CACTGCTCCAGGCTAAAAGCAAGTTTGCAGTCATGGTGATCAACCAAGAGAAGAACCAATTGGCTAGAGTTGCTATACTTCCAGCTAAACCCTTTATGTTCACAGGAAGGATCTGTTTTTCGAAAACAAAACAACAGAGAAACCAAAAGTTAAAGTCTTATAGCTTCAAACTTCACAGTAAGTTCAAACAAAACTCGGTACCTCAGACATAATGAGCCACGGAATTGGTCCCATTCCCAATGAGAAACAAACAACCATTAACTGTAAAATGATTCAAACAGAGTTTAAAGCAAAAGATAATCGCTCATTGCATCAAAGAGAGGTTTCACTATTTAACAAACAAATAAAACTTACCACAACTCCAACTACTGACAAGATGCTCAGCATACTGTACATGTCTGAATCAGGAGACACAAATCCCTAACCAAGAAGACATGTAAAAATCATAAAGTTGAAAAACCTCTGGTTTGTTGCAGAAGATGAAAAAAACTGGTCTTTAGGGAAGTTAAAACTTAAAAATGTACCTTGAGGTAGAAAGCAGCTGCAACAATTACAAGGCTAATCGTCATCCCAACCGAAGAGATCTACAAAACAATTCCATCTGACTTAGTACATAATCTCTAGAGAGAAAATCTTAAAGATATGAAACTAATGAATTAATTAAAACTCACGGTAAGAAGAAGCCGACGACCTGCTTTGTCCACCAACCATGTCGATATTGCAGTCGCCACTACCTGAATAGCACCGACCCCAAAAGTCGCTGCGTTACTCGATGTCACTCCTAAAAATACATATACAAAATAAAGTAAAGATACGTAATATTATGAAACAAGAAACATCACATGTGTTCTTAGAGCAAGGAACTACCTGCAGATTCAAAGATTGTACTGGAGTAGAAAAGGACGCCATTGATTCCAACAAGTTGTTGAAGTACAAGCAACCCAATACCAACCTGTTACAAACACATACACAAGAAAATGAGTTATAAGATTAAGTTTCCTATGGTAGACAAAGTAGATACCAAAGGGAAAGATATTCAGTGGTTGTACCAGGAGTGGGAAATAGTATCTCCTCCGCTTGAGATCTACAAACCGAACTGTAGATGATCGCTTTGAAGATGATGCCACAGATCTCTGCAGATTAATTTGCAGAAAAATATTAAAAAATGGTATGAAAATCAGTTTTCATCATGGAAGGAAACATTTCCAGTTGGTAATATTACCTTGATTTCATTAACCTCAACGGTAATATCAGTCTCAAATCCTCTAAGAACTTGTAATGAAGTCTCAAAATCATCAGTCATACCCATTTTTGCCTATATAAGCATCCCATAAGAGTGAATTGGCTAAATAGAGCTCAAGAAAAATAAGCAAAATTTGTCTAAAGGCCTAGTGGCGTACCAGCCAGCGAGGTGATTCAGGAATGAAAAAGAGACCTGGTATCAGTATTGTCATTGGCAATACCCCTAAAGATAAAGGAAAGCAAGTGATTATCGATAAAAATCATAATCAGAATTCAGAAGCATAGTCTCAAGGTTTCATGTAATGAGATTTAGTTACCTAAAACTGCAAGAATTCTCCATGGAACAAAGAGACCAAGCAAATACGCCAACATTATTCCAATTGTCACAGAAAGCTACAGCAAACATTTTACCAATGTTTAGCATCAAGAATATGTTCATAAGCATGCAAAAGAAGATTTAGTCAGCTTGAATTGTCATTCAAACCTGGTTAACAGAACCCAATCCTCCTCTCATGTTCTGTGGAGCTATCTCAGCGATATACACTGGCACCTAAAACCATAAACCGAGTTGCATAAAATTTTACTGTAACACGTTATACCATAAGCAAAACAACTAGCTGAGTTTCAGTTATTACCGTGTAGGATACGATCCCTACGCCAAAGCCTTCTAAAAGTCTTCCCATGTAAAGAAAAGAAGTATCCTACCAAAACCATAATCATGTAGAGAGATTAAGTCAATCAACATGTTCAGATCACCATTTAAGTCAACTGGAGAAGAACAGATGCTCACTTTGGCAAATGATATGCAAAGCCAACCAATGATATTGGGGATTGCTGCAATCATCAGAGACTGTTCCAAGAAAACACAACAAGAGGTTAAAGTAAAGCAAAGAAAGAAGAGTTTTTTATTAAATGGATCAAAAAACAGAACCATACCCCTTTTCGTCCAATGTATTCTGCGATCTGACCACTGGCGATTGCACCAACCATAGCACCCACATTGGACAGAGAACCAAACACAGAGTACTAAAACAAACATGGAGCAAGAGATTCAAAAGTCAAACACGATTGATTAAAAAAACAATACAAGCTCTATACACAAATGAGTCTATTACCTCAGATACCGTTAAACCAAGATCCTTGGTGATTGCAGCTTGCGTTGGAGAAGAATAACCACACTGAACAAAAGGTTAAAAAAAAAATTCGAACTTTAATCACCAGACTAACATTTCTCAAACGCTAAGATCATCAAATTTCATCTCAAACTACTTTTTCCATCAAAAGTCACACTTTTTTCTATAAATGAGAAGTAAAAAAGTTGAAAAGCAGAGATTTTTATTTGTCTTACAGTGAATCCGAATTGAATAGGACCAAGCGCAACGATCAAAACGCATGCAAGAACAGAGATTGAGCTGTCTCTGATGACTTGAGACGAACCCATCATACTCGATTGTCTCGAACCCATCCGGTACCAACTTCCGGTGTGTATGAACGGTCGTCGCAGATCATTCCTTGCCTCCTCTGAATCATCCCTGAAACTCATCTTTTGATTCCTCTATGTGCCAAAGCTTCAATATTTAGACTCCTGACGAAGTAAAATGCCGATTCTAAACCGGAAATGGCAAATTTGGACTTTTTTTTGGACGATTGGGAAGATCTTAGAGATTTGGGTTTTGGAGAGGGATTTGATAAAGAAAAAAATGGATAAGAACGGGTTAAGAAACGCCGACTTATATAATATAAGAGAATTTGGGTGTATATGGCTGTAATGTAGTGTTTTTAATCGCTGGAAGAGAGACGAGAAGGAGACTGCTTCAGAGAGTTTTTTTTAGATCACAGTTTGTCGTCGTCGCGTAAAACCATATTTAGACAGAATTGAGCTTATTGTCTGGATAATGGATAATTTTGTTATGTAGATTTTTTACCTAAAATCACCAGCTTAAACTTACTAAAAAAACAATTATGAAAAAAAATCTGGATAAAAATTATTGTTGGCACTAAATAAGATCACGACCGTCGTTAAAATTTATATTCAGTCTTTAAAGGCCGGCTAGATTTTTGTATTTTTTGCCGGAAAATGATAGATATTATTAGGACAGAGACAACTACACAATTAATCAAAATAAAAAATGATTTTATGGAAAACTTTTTTCTTGGATAAGGCATCCACATCTTACTTACGTCATTAATATTAATATATGAGGAGATAAAAGTTAGAAAAAGGTAATGAATGGAAGTGCAGTTAGCCCTGTGCATTTCGGGACGGGAATCCCGTTCCCACCCTTACCCGTTTAAAATTTCCTGAGTTTTTCGGAAATGGGAATTTGCAATTTCCCGTTTGGGAACATTTATTTTATTCAAACGGGTAAGGGAAGGGTTCGGGAAGGGAAAGAGATTTCCCGATTTTCCCGTTTAAAAAAAAAAAAGTTGAAAATTAGATATTTTTTTCTTAAATATCCCAAGTTTTTCCATATTTTCCCAAATTTTCCCATAATTTTCCGTATTTTCTCATACTTTCCCGTATTTTTCCGTAATTTCCCATATTATCTTCAACTTTCCCGATTAATTAAGACTTCGGGTATTATTTTCTGATTCCCAAATTTCCTATTCCCGTGATTTCCCGTCCCGTTATAATAAGGGAATGCTTCGGGAATCATATTTGGTTTCCTGAATTTCCCATTCCTGTCCCGAACTCGTCAATTCCCGTCCCAAAACCCGTAATGCCCAGGGCTAAGTGCAATAAAACAAAAAACATTCAAACACCATAAACAGTTATTTGGAATTATACAGATATTTGTACCCAAAAAAAGTATTCTGCTGTTAGTTAATTAGTTAAGAAATACAGTAGAAGAAAAATAAAAACGAGAGAAATGTGAGCTAAGACTTAAAGAGTAAGAGGTGGCCCATGACATAAAAAGACAGGGTATCAATCAATCATATCACACCAAAGTCCAAACACGTCTTTGTGATCTCATTTTATTCATCACTAATCTTCTGTTGACCACAAATTGGAGCGATTGCCTTGTTGCTATTACTTGATGAGAGTAAGTAGTAATATGTTCGATTCACTTTCAAAGCAATGTCTAGGGGCTTGTGGAATCAGTGCTTATGGTTGAGATAGGTTTTTAAACTTGAATTTAGTCATGTTGAACACTTGTGTTGACGTTGGTTTAGATGGCTGGATAGGTCTCGATGTTTTAGTATTTACTGATAGATTTCTCATGTTGATATAGTCCTCAGCCTTAGGCTATGCGCCATATTGTTGATACTTGCCTGTTTCAGTGTAATCACATTTATGGAAGTGAATGCCTTCGCTAAAAGAAGATGAAATGGAAGGAAATGGTACTCTAGGATTGTTGCCTTGTTTTTTAGAAAACAACAGTTGCTACAAAAAACAAAGTTTTAACACTAAACCTTAAGTAGTTGCTACAAAACAAAGTTTTAACACTAAACCTTAAGTAGTTTTGTTTTCAGAAAGAATAGAGAGGTGATAGAGACAAATCACTCATTTCCCTTTCATTACACTTAGCATTAGGCAACTATCTTCCCTCTCCCTTTTCCGAGTGATTCTACTTTTGCCTCTTCCTGTTTCTTCTATCCAAATCATCTTCCCTCTCCTGCCTTTTCCTCGAGTATCTGCTGCTGCTATAATCGTGAGGCCTCTCTTTACCATCTCTACATTTCAAGTTTAATAGTTATTGAAACAACAGAAAGAAGATAGTTCTCAAAAAAAACAGAAAGAGTCGACTCACCTTCTGCTAGACTTGTAATGCCTCTCCTCTTTGTGACTCTTCAGGCGTTCTTTTGGGTGTTTTTGGTGTTGTTTTTGGCATTTCTGGGATTTCTGGGAATTTTGGAGGAAAGGGGGAATCCTGAGGAGGTGGGGGAAGCAAACTTGGTGGTGATGGGGGTGTTAGGTTTTTTTTGGGAGGAGGTTGGGAGGAGGTGCCCTCGAGGATCAGAGTTCTTGTCCATTCCCAAGTTTCACGCAATATGAATGGAGTTGGGGGGTCTGGGTTAAGGAAATCGGAACTGATTAGCCTGTGGTAAGGAACGGTGTCGAGAAGTTCAGATCGTGTCTTAGGTGGGTGAACCAACAAGGTTGTTAGATCAAGTTGTCTCAGGTATCGAATCAGTGTTGTGAAGAACCAGTCACCTGCAAACACAATCAAAATAGTCTCAAATTTCTAAATTCGATACAGAGTATTCACAATAGTCTATACACAGTCACCTGTTCTAAGCTGAGCTACACAGTAGATTCAGAAAGCGATACCAAGAGTATTCACAATAGTCTCACCTGTTCTAAGCTAAGCTACACACACACAGTAGATTCAGAAAGCGATACCAAGAGTATTCTAAGCTACACAGTAGATTCACGCTAATCAGCTATTAAATTACCTGTGAGAAGGCAGAAATTGACGGGTGCCAGACCCGATCGAATGGCAGCAACGAGATCTAGGCAATCTCCATACATTATCTCGTCGGCAGCATTTTCTCCATTGTGCCCAGCGTAGAAGATCTTAACCCCAGCTTTCTCGAGGAGCATGATGCTCAAATGATTAACAGAGGCATGTTTGTCGCCGGCGTTACCCGCTAGATAGACTCTAATCTCGATCTCCCCCTCGTACCCATACCTCAGCCTGAGTACTAGTTTGATTGTATCGACGAAGACGGTAGCATTTGCGAAAGACGACGGAATAGCCACATTCTCAAGGTCGATCAAGACATAAGTCTTGCGGTATCGATGGTAGAAGACCCTCGCTCGTAACATTTTGGTTCTCGCCTAAACTTGACCTAGATCGATCTAGATTTATCCAAAAGAGGCTGAGAAACACTTTCAAAATTTTCAGAGTAGAGGCATTTTGGTTAACCTAATCTATATATGAAAAGGCTGAGAAAGAATATGGGCATTTATAAAAAAGGCCCAGTATACAATAGATCCAAGAAATGAAATCTCGTGGGTGCTCTCTATCTACAATATATCAAAAGGAACATCAAATTGTCTCATAAGGTTACTTCTTCTTACCATAGAGTGAAGCCATAAACTGGTGAGTCCAGGAAGCCTCTCGTATATATCGGATGCAATTAATCTAGACGCGATGTGGACTTCTTTTGCAACGCTTGCTATGTCCCTGCTTATGTCTGCTCCACTTGCATAACTTCCTATCACCACCACCACCATATATTAAAGCAATAATTATACATATATAAAGTAGAGATTGTTAATTATTATGCCTACAAAGTCCACCATCAGCGGAATTAATTATATTCAAAACATGAAAATCTAAAAAAAAAGCTGCACACCATTCAAGTCCAACGGATAAATCGAACTTACTAAAAGAGTGACTATAAGATCAAAGCACTAACGAGAATTTCCTTTGAATGTTGTGTACTGTTTTCAAAATGTGAAAAAAAAAAAAACTACATATACCATTCAAGCCCACATATAAAACAAAAGTTATAATTAAGAAAGGATTTGTTACTTTGTTCCATCTTTTTTTCTTGATAAAATGTAAATTATATTACCAGAAGTAAAGGTTGTAGCTACAAATGCTGTCACAGCAAAGAGTTTTTCATGGCCCAAAAAAAAGTGGAAAAAAACCGATGAAAAACTACAAGATTAAATCTAATCTAGACTAGAAACTAAGACAGAACTAAACTAAACTTTGTTCCATCTAAGAACATAATAATTATTCATTATTATAAATAGAAGACTTAAACCAAATTTTCGATTCCCTGGAAGTTGTCACCGCCGGGCCGGATCGAACCATCTGCAGAAAATTTTAAATAGATCCGAGAAATGATATCTCGATTTTCCACCACCTTCAACCTATTATCACCATAGGAGAAGGAGAAGATAATATATAATCCATTGTATTTACAATAACATGTTCTGACATTAGTGCTGAGCTAATATTTAAAACTATATACTCTAATTTATCAAATCTTATAATTTTTTTTAAAAAGAATTTGATTCTTCAAACGGATCAAACAAAGAAAAAGAACAAAAATTGAGTACATCAATGGATCTATAAGATAAAAAAAAATGTCTATGCAACAATATAAATTCAATGGGATCAGAGACTGGGGAAAAAGAACGAAAACCGCAAGCTCCACAAAGAGTACATGTGTAATAAAGAAAAAGAAAAAATCTCATTGATCTATTAACAACAGAAAAATCACTCAGTACTCTAAATGAAGGAGTATTTGACTTTTAACTTGTTAAGAAGAAAGTAGATCTCTGAGATGCACAGAAAAAGAGGACAAGTACAAACGTATATAGCGGCGCTGATCAAATGATTCAATAATTTGAGTGCAACCAATGGATCTATAAGATATTAAATATCTATGCAACTATATAGATTCAATGGGATCAAAGACATCATATCCCAAAAAAATATAATTCAAAGAACAAAAACTGCATATGCTTGACTGGGGAAAAAAGAAAAATAAAAAACGCAAGCTCAATAAAGAGTTCATCTGTAATAAAGAAAATATTTTTCTCATAGATCTATTTACAACAGAAAAATCACTCAGTACTCTAAATGAATAACAAAAGCGAAATGAAGGAGTGTTTGGCTTTTTTTAACTTGTTAAGAAGAAAGTAGATCTCTGAGATGCACAGAGAAAGAGGACAAGTACAAACGATAGCGGCGCTGATGGTCTCCGTGCAACATTAAATGGGCCAGATTTTGTTATGGGCTAGGTAAGTTGCTCGTGGCTAAAACAGAAATATCACAAGGCTACTTCGGGTGGTGTTCGGGTAGGAACCAATTGGGGCCGGATCCTTCGGGTACATGAAGTTTTTGTATCCATATAGAATTTGCAAGTGTTTTGGTTCGGTTTTGGTATTGATCATATGGACTGAGAAAGAGCTTAAGGTATGAAACGAAACTACGAACCTATTCCTTGGAGCAAGCTCGTGTTGTTGGACCTTGATAAGCTATGATGAACACAAGAGAATTGAAAAGAGTAAAAGCTTCTTTTAATTCTAAACTCTTTTTGAGATTAAGGTTAATGTTGGAAGATGATTTCTTGTTGAATATAAGAGATCTTTATATAGGCCACAATACAAACTAATTCTGTTAAACTAAAAAGGAAAACAGACTCTAAAAATGTTAAAAACAGAAGAAAAAACACCAAATCTTACTATGGAGAAAAAAAGTAGATGCAGCGGTTGCTTCATAGTTCCACTTCCCTCACCTATCTTCAATTTATTACTACCCCCAACATCAGCTCACTCTACGTGACTACGTGTCTCTACCAAATTCCTTTAAAAAAAAAAAAAAAAAAAAAATCATGTATATGGAAATGTTCACACGTCAAGAAGCTCCGTTTGGTTGGTTTTTTACTTTTTTCATTGTAGACTTGTAGTATATATAAAAGGATAACTCAGATAATCATACTATTGGTTATTTATTCCATAATTAACAGTTAAGCTTTCAGGCTTCGGAAAAACCTCTCCACATTGGGAAGAAGCACAAACCCCTAGGCGAAATCGGATACCTAAAATCCAAAAACAAATTACAGAAATATAATTACCGCTAAATTGTATTTTCTCATCATTAATTTGTATTTTACCTGCTAGGGTCCACGATCATGTGACACTCGTAGCATCCGGAGAGGTTATGGAACTGCATGGCTCTAAACGACGTCGTGGAAGATGACGTGTAGCTCCGCTGGCGGTAGATCTCGTTGAGGCGCCAGAAGTAAGAGACCGAGACGATGAAGAAGAACCATGTTGACCAGGTTTCCGAGTCAAAAGACGAGTTTCCGAGTCAGCAGTAGCCGAGTTAGCTACGTGTGGAGAGTGGTCGGCTCTGTGAACAACACGAGTGTTGCCGTGAGCCACGTCTCGGAAGCTGCAGATGGAGCTACACGAAGAGCCGAGCTTGGAAGGAGATAAGTGAGTCGTTGTCGTCGTCGTGGACGGACCAGATTGAGAGTTCTTGGAAGGATCGTGGACTCTTGACCCTTCGATTTGCTTGCAAGTCAATAGGTTCTTGATTTGGTCCCACGAAGACGGTTGCTTCTGAGGTGCTGCTTTCTTCGGTTTCTGAGATTTGTGTGGTTTGTGCGACTTCTGCGTCTGCGTTTGGTCGTTGGGTTTGTCACGTTTCTTGCGTTTGCTTGGCGGTGGAGTGTGTTTCGGTGGCTCTGCGTTTTCCGGCAAGAAAGTTAGTAAAGCCATTGAAACTGAAAGAGAAGTTCTTGAGAATGTGAGAGTTTTCTTTTAAGCTTTTGTTTTCTTTTTGGTTCTTTAATTATGAGCTTTTGTTGAAATCGAAGATGGATCCAAGATGGGGTAATAAGGAGGGAAAAATAAGAGAAATTAAAGTGGTGGGCTCTATTTTTCTTTAATTCTTTATTTATACGTTTTACTTTGTTACCTTCTCATTACAGTAAAACCTCTATAAAGTAATAATGTTGGGACTTTGAAAATTTATTATCTTATAGAGGTATTACTTTATGAATAAATTCAATATTTAGAATTTTTTAAAATTTATAATCTTCGAAAATTATTCTCGATATGATAATGTATTAAGAATTTAAAATAATTAATATGACTTAATAAACTTGAAATTACGATCAAATCTTTTGGATATCGTAATAAAACATATATTATTAGCTTCTATAAATATTTATTTATATAAAATTTTATACATAATTGAAAAAATTATAGCTACTAATGAAGTTGAAAATAATGTGTTTAGAATATGTTTAACAGTTTTACATGTGAAAAATTGCATTATGAGTTTTTATATAATAAAAAGTTAGAGATAAACTTAAATTCATAGTTTAATAATTTTTTAGGTATATATAATGTATAGTTATATTATTTATTACTTTAACTTATAATTGGGACCATATTTTTACATAGAAGTTTCAAAAATATTATTATCTTATCATCTTATCGCATTTTGCTTATTTTTACACTGGCCCGAATTGGGACCGGAGAAATTTATTATCTTATAGTGATTATTACTTTATCGAGTATTACTTTATAGAGGTTCTACTGTAATATTCTTGTCATTCGTATATTAAAATTTAAATCATACTCTAAGCTTTTTAATAACAAAATACTCCAGTGTACTAAACCACTAAGCTATATTCAGATGTCATGTTTTGTCAGAGAAACAAATCTTGCCAATTAATTTTGGCATCTTCGTTGCTGCTTTGTTAGTTGTGATGCAGTGAATTATAGTTTTGGATCCTCAAAAGATAAAACAGTACTAATATGCATTTTGAAAAGTAAATTACTTTTTAATGATAAGAAAGTAGTTAGAGGAAACTGAAATTAAATATTTTGGGACGAACTTGGTTGGCTTGTTATGTGCTTTAACTTGCTCCACCTATAAATCTTCCATTACGGTTTGACCTCACTTGGTCAACGTCACTAAAGCTTTCGTTGGTTGCAAAGTAAATGCCGTCGTCAATAGACGACGCTACTAGTACTAAATCTTCCATTACGGTTTGACCTGACTTGGCAACACGAGTAAAGCTTCCGCGGAAATTTATTTCTTTGTCATTGAACCATTATTCCCAGCTTCTGCGGATTCTTCTATACATTTCTTGGTTTGAGTTACTTCTCATTCTATGGAACCTGGAGTTGAATCTTCAAAGGCAGTTTCTTGGCAGCCAAGTTACAGACGAAACAAGCATTATTTAATAGTAAGTTAATTACAAGTTTATAGAAATTAGTGTATGCTCTCACAAACAAGATGATATCATTTCCAATCTTGGAATTCAAAACTTTTTCACATTTGTTGTTATTGATTCTGTAGGGGTCTCCTCAAGAACAAAAACAGAAGAAAACTCGCTAGTTGGAGAGCATTATATCCACTTGTGTTGGGAACTTCCTTCTAAGCTATGCAGCTTCGTCAAGCTTACCAGGGTTAGTTCATCAATAGTCTGTCATCTACCAGGTTTCAAAATTGTTTTCTTTTGTAGAATACTTAGGAGTTCCATATTATCAAAACTTTTAACAGGCTCCTCAGGTATCCGATCTATGTGGTGTTGGTGGATTGATACTTCTTGTTGGTTTGATTTTGCTAAGTTGCATAGATCAGGATGATTCACACAGTCTTGGGCAACCAGGAGGTAGAGATTTCCATGAATTTCTCCCAAAAAATCATCATGTTGTTATGTTTGAAGCACTTCATTTGGGAAAAAATATTAAGTTATGTATTGTGAGTCTGTGACATATAACATAAAGCTGGGACATGGGCTGTAATATAACAGGTATAAGTTCCTTCTTCCTCTTGTCTGGTTGAGTTTACTGATAATTTAATATGTTTTTGTACTTGCTAATGTTTATAAAGCTTGGACATGGGCTCGTGCATATGTATCGGTCTGGATGTTTGTCGGAGTGCTTATTTACCTGTTCTACGGGCTAAGACGCAGTAACGCAGTACTCTAGTGCGTGCAATTTACGTCCCCACTGCTCAGGGCGGCGCACGCTTCTGGAAATCTCTTTGGCTTAAATAATCACCAATTGGGGACTCAAGATTCTTATGTAAGTATGAATTTTCCTTGGTAAAACATGCAACAAAACATTTAAAAGTTGTATTTTTTTTAGATTGGTGTGGGTATAGTCATGTTGTATTCAAGAGTTCAATGTCATTGCTCTGCATAAAGAAACTGTATATAAAACAACTATACACAAAAGAGTGTTTGCAAGACCATAACTGGTTAACAGCGTATGCATTGAATTGGAAATTGAGATGGTGAATCTAATGCTTTTAAGGATATAAAATGGAACCGACTATAATAAAACACGACCAGTTGATATAATTGATGTACAGACAAATCCAAAGTATTCACAGGAAACACATTAAAAACAATTACTAAAAGCTTCAGAGTAGATGCATTTAACAATGGCTTCCTTTGTTCAATTCTTGGCCTACATTGTGATATGAGTTGGTTCACATTATGAGATGTTACCAACCAAACTATATTCAATAGGTGCTCTAACCTTATTTACCATCAGCAGAATCATCACCAAATATAACACAAAGCTGCTCATAAATGGGACAATCCTTAACTCTAACCGGCTCACTCCTCGGCTGTACCTCTGGACAGTTTTCAGTAAACCAAACACACATTGACTAAACCTTAAAGAGTGTGACAAAAAATTTAGACTTACACCAATCACGATCTAGTCCAGGGGCGCATCACTCTTCCCACAAGTCTAACTCCAATATACATCTCGTATCTTCTTCTTCCACAACAAACTCGTTTTTCGATTTCAGAGAATTGTAGCGTTGTCTCAGAACGTCGAGATGCCTCCTCAATTGATTGTTGTTGAAGCTGAGACCCGTCTGCTCATTGAAATCATTACACATGTTGGTCCAGGTCTTCCTGTCGAAGAAATTGTTCCGCCTGTTTCCTGCTTGGATCTGCTTGAGCACTATGTCAGCTAACACCTTGTCGAGCGACGCAGACGCAGTCCATTTGTTTCTCGATGATCTCTCTTGCTTTTGCTGTAGGTTCTTAGCTTCACTGCTTCAGTATCCATCACCATCTGGAAGAAAAAAACAAGTTTTTGTTTTGTATCTTTGGTATCCGGGTCCGAGGAGTTGACCGAACAGTCACTGACCAGTCATGGGGCCCAAACCGATGGTCTGAGCTTTGTCCAGCTGTATCCGAACGGAAAACCCGACTATCCCCTCGAAAGGGGTCCAGGGCCCCAACGGAAGGGAATGTTAAATCTGTTGTGGCCAAGTGGTTTCGAACCCGGGTCCGTATTGGGACTTACCTCCTTTAAGTACCATTGGGATACGACCACTTGGTTAGAAAAAAACAAGTTACAAGACAGAGACTTTACAAATGACACAGATTAAGATGACGTATACAAAAATGATCATCCATCGCTTTCAACTGGGAAATCAAAAGGGAGATTAACGGAAATCAATCGAATTTTAACAACAAAAAAAAACAAGCAGCATTAACAGATAATCATCTTCTCTCTCACTCAAAATCGCGGACCCATGTCGATTTTGCATGATCCGACATTAACCCAGGGAGAAGATTTATAAGGGACAGAAGAAAAAAAAAAACAAAACTATGGAAAAAACTTACATCTGAACTATATTGATCTGTGTATTATTTAGTCTTAATCTATTTCCATTATGCATGTTGATTTTAAAACCTCGGACAATTTTATGCAGCGTAACAATCTCCATAACAGTATTTGGCCCATTGGGTTAATTTTGCAAACTATGGAAAAAATGCCAAAGTCACACGACTCACAGACCTTAAGAAGCATAAGGGTAAATAATTATTATAGCAGCAGATTTACCAAATAAAAGTTTTAAATATTAAATTTATTTAGAAAGAAAGATTATTATTATTAGTCCTTTATTAAAAGAAACTTACAGAGGAGAGAGAGAGAGATGAAAATAAAAGATAACTCTCCATCAAAATCCAGGAAAAATAGGGTAACCAAACGAATTGACAAAATTTTGGATCGGTAAATATGCCGAAGTCAAAATATTAGTTTGCTAACTTCAAAAACGAGAATGAAAATAAGCATAGGTAGTAATTAGTTCGGACTTGAACAAACAGTTCGCCATATGAAATGTCATAGAGAAGAACAACAACAGACACAGCACGGGAATGAAAATAGTATTAGTTCGACTTGAACAAACAGTTCACCATAAAGAAAACACAGCACGGGACATGTTACTCTTCTTCTTTTTATTCGTCATCATCTAGAGGCTCCTTCGGTCATCTTCAAAGCACAAATCCTTGAATGTTAAAGAAAATAAACCAAAAAGTCAGTAAATCAATCAAAACCATGCGGTACTATTGCACATTTAGGCACATCTAGTTGAACTCGATTGCTTTCTTTCTACTGAAACACTATGAATAACTAAGAAGACAGTTTCACCGAAACTATAATAATAAACTCGAGTTATTTAAACTTGCCTTGGGTTCTTTGTTCATGAAATCAGAAAGATTAAAGGACTTCATAATCTTTGGCTTCCTCTTGCGTAAAGGCAGGAACATGTCAAACTCCTGCTTGACAAAAAGATAACATGGGGTCAAATTTGATAAATTTAGGAAGAAAGTGCGAGAGGGGAAACTTGTGCTAAAATGGAGTTAGACCAATGACAAGTGTAATTGATACAAATATGTAGGAGGTGATGATGCTTACACGCTCTACGTGGACACGCTCTTTGAGATGCTCGGCGAAGTCTGCATACCTATCGCCAGGACATGTATTACATGTTGAGCAAAAATAAGTTGCTCGACGCGGTAAACGATTCGTCTTGCTTCCCTCAATTGGTCCTAAATAAAAGAAGTACAACAATTAATTTAGAAGCGATAGCTTCGCTGGTTATTTCAACACTGACACTGAAAGAGATAGGGTAGAGAGGACAATCACCCAACAGTAAGTGTCCCCAGAGATAGCTCTTTTCATTAGCTTGAGGAGATCCCCGAGGATTTGCTTGAAGAATGGTGTATCCCTGACGTTCTAGGGTTGAAAACCATTCAAAATAAACTGGCGCAAGCTTTCTACCGGTTATCAACAGTATATTAGCCGGAGGTTGATTATGCAGCGTCCACGTCAAAAACTTGTCAAAAATCTCAGCGAAACCTGTTTCAGTCGATGAAAGCAAACTCAATGCCCAAAAATCTTATTTAAACCCTTATTTGTACTATAAGAAAATGAAACAAAACAGAAGACAAGATTTACCGCGGACGTGATTAAGATGGATTCCAGAGTTACAGAGTTTCCGAATATCAGCAGGGGTTTTTCTTAAGATGGGTTTTAGGTTGCCAAGGGCAGTGATGGTGAGAGGACCAGTGTAGCCGTCCTTATCTAAGGCCGAGTCTATACTCGGACCGACCAGACAAGCATCGTGACCATTCGGAACCGGACAGCTGTCGATGTCCCAGCACACCCACGTTTTTGCGTTCTTACTCGTCGCCTTTTTTTTCCGTATCACCCTCGTGGGTCTTGAATTGGCATTCATCCTGAAAACAAAAACCAATCAGATCCAAAACTGGGAAAACAAAATCGCAGTTACGTCTTCAGTTTATAACGAAAATCTTCGAGAGAGTTTGGCACAGTTTGATCAAAACTACTGACCTCGTTTACGATCGGACCTGAAACGCCTGAGAGAGAGCACAGAGGAGAGATGGACGGAGCGGCGGATATGCTTCTATCGAATCGCTTAGGGCAAACCATCAATAAATGTTGACGACTTATATACTTGGGGCTTGGTTCATTGGGGCTTGGTATATAAGTAAGCCCCAATGAACCAAGCCCCAATGAACCAAGCCCCAAGTATAGAAGCATATCCGCCGCTCCGTCCATCTCTCCTCTGTGCTCTCTCTCAGGCGTTTCAGGTCCGATCGTAAACGAGGTCAGTAGTTTTGATCAAACTGTGCCAAACTCTCTCGAAGATTTTCGTTATAAACTGAAGACGTAACTGCGATTTTGTTTTCCCAGTTTTGGATCTGATTGGTTTTTGTTTTCAGGATGAATGCCAATTCAAGACCCACGAGGGTGATACGGAGAAAAAGGGAGAGGCCTGAGCCAGAAACGTTTGTGTTCTGGGACATCGTCAGCTGTCCGGTTCCGAATGGTCACGATGCTCGTCTGGTCGGTCCGAGTATAAAATCGGCGTTAAATGATGGAGGCTACACCCATCCTATCACCATCACTGCCATTGGGTTTCTTCCTTACACCGAAAATCAAACCCGAACCCTTTATGATCTTCCGGAGCTCACTGCCACTGGAATTAATGTTATCTATGTCCCTAAAGGTAAATCTTCTTTATCAATTAGGGTTTATAATTAGGGTTTATAATAATTAGGGTTTATAATTGTATTTTTCCTTGCTGAAACAGGTTACAACGAGATTATGGATTATGTCAGAAACTGGACATGGTTTCATCCACGTCCGGCTACAATACTCTTCATAACCGGTGCTGTGATTCATAAATACTTCTACAGTTCTGTTTCCAAACTCCATGACAATGGGTACACCATTCTCCATGCGTATCCTGGTGCTAAGTCGACAGAAACTAAATCTGTCAAGAGCACATTTTCGTGGGAAAGTATCATACTTCAAGGTGTTTGAACTCTCTTCTCTCTCTCTATCTAAGTTTATTAATTTGACCTATCATACGAAATCTGAAATAACTAGCTTTCTGACCTATTTTTAATTTTATTTAAGTTTCAGCCACATCCTTGACGTCAGTGGAGACACGTCCCGGAACCTATTTATGTTCACTGTGTGTGTGTGGTTGCCTTAGCTTCGAATCTTTCACACATCATCTCCAAAGTGAAGATCATATAACCTGTGTAAGCATTGCCTCCTCTGCTTCAGAATATATATACAAGTTTCAAAGAATACATCTCGATACAAAACTTGACCACATTTCATCTTTGTGCGTTTGCTTTGTCAAGCAGATGTTGAGCATTGTGGAAAGCCCCTTCTGCACAAATAAGAAGAGGATGACGGCGTATGATTATAGCATCGCTCCTCCTCGATCAAAGGCAAGTGTCAGATTCTTTTTACAACTTTTGGTTAAACAGAAATTTCAGTTCCAAATATGCAATAGAAAGGATATTTTTTTTTTATTGATTAACTGACTGTGTTTTTTATTCTAAAACAATGAAGGAGAGCATTGAAGAAGAAGAAGCAGAAGAAGCAAGATTAGCAATAGAAACACAAAACGAACTACGAACAGAAGAATGGGACCGTATCACCATCTAGAGGAGGCCTCTTTTCATTTGTGGTTTTTTATTTTCTTAATGTTAAATATAATGCTTTTTTTTTACAGTTTTTAAGATCGTCTCTACTACATGAAACTTTATTTTGATGGTTTTAGAGCTTTGTAAAACATCTACTTGTTTTCAGATGTGACTTGGTAGGAGTAGTTCCATTTCCAGCTTCTTGTTTCCAATTCCTCTTCTTTATTGCTCCCAAGTTGATGCTTAAACCCAAATCAAACACCAAATGACGAAAGATTGAGAAAATGTCTCGTGACAAATTTCATGAGCTAGAGCCCGATCTAATCTGTACCGAACTTGTTGTTGATTTCATTCGTATTATTTGAGCAAAAACGGATATGGAACAAGAGGAATTCAAGATCATGATGGAGTTTTTCCATCCCAAAATTAAAAAACTTAATTAAATCTAATAGTTCTATAGGAGTGTGACGGTCCATTGACCTGTTACGGCTGATATGAGGCAGATGATGATGGTAATCCACTTCTTGCGTCTATGATCCGAGTCACTGGTTTGGTTGATCGGCATCGGCTTGTGCTCGACATCCAACGGTATTTGATTAAATTGTTCCAAGCAAATGATCTTTTTTGTTTTGTTAATATGATTAAACAACTAGATTTATATATAAAACGTTTTAGTCCCCACTAGGGACGATTACAACATTTTGAAGAGCTAACAAATTGCTTGAGCGAGGAATATGAAAGAAACTAATAGAATCAAAGAAAGAGCTTAAGATAGAAATATCATGCTACATCCTTATCACAAGGTAAGTGGGCCCACCAAACTACTCCTTTGTTTTGCTGGTTTTGGTGCTCTTGTGGAAGCGAAGCAAATGATCTAAATTATGTGTTATTAGATGATGTTTCGAAACTGTTGTTTGTTTTTTTTAACCAAGCAATGGGTTTGGAAGGGGTCTTTTGACGGAGTCAATGGTTTTGCCTACTTGAGCAAATGGGGTTTAGTTACTAGCTATTGGCAGGCAATTGGGTCTTTTAATCTGACATATTCAGAGTACATGAGTTTTCGGTAAAATTTGTCCGTATATGATTAGGATTTTTGAGAAATGCACATATTCTCATGACACCCTAACTTTTCAATGGAATAGTTAAAAACTTAAAAATCAATCGTAACAGGATTTGGGTCACAAGATTTTAAACATGACGGGATGAAATAGGATGTAGCTATGGTAAATAAACCAAATATTCCAAAAGGAGAAAGCTAAGAATTGAAAAACCTCATAACACAAACTAGAAGCAAAGCCAGCAATGTGTTATCTTGGTCTCCTCCCATCATTCCTCACCATCTCCTTCTTCTTCTTCTTCTTCTTCTTCTTCCTCCTCTTCATCATCATCATCATCATCATCATCATCATCAGTATCAAAATCCTCTTCATAAGCCTGCTACATAACCATCAAAATCTTAAGCAGCTTCTTCCCTTTACAGAAAGAGAGGATAATACGTAACAACTGAAAGTGAGAAGGATGAATAGTTTACATTGTTGAAGTAGGTGAGAGGGTTGGACCACAGATCTTTCTTGATAATATAAGAAACCTGCTCCAAAGACGAGATTGCTGAGTTCTAATTGGCCAGAGAGACAAAAAACATCATGTTTAACTTATAACAAGTAAGAAAAGTAGAGGAGCATGTACCTCATCACGAATCCCATACCCATCATCTTCATTATGTTTAGTAAACCAAGTAAAGAAGCTGAAGAGAGATAGTAGAGTGGAAAGGCGTTAACCGTATGCAATTACTAATCAGAAAGAGTTTAAAACTTTGTGTTATGTGCGTCATATATCCATGACCACACCGGTGACTGCAGAAATACTTAATGGGCTCAAGAACAATACCTTTCCTCTGGAATAGTACGTTTGTTTCCTTTCATGTAGTCATGTAGCAGGCCCTTCATCATTGAGAAACATCATTAAGAATAAAAATCCCAAAGCAAGAAATCAAATAGAGTAAGTACCTTTCCCATCCTCCATCTGATAGGAGTTGCTGTGATAAACGTTGTTCCTTCTTTAAGAAAGTTAAACGTCTTTGTAAGACTAGAATTCTCAAAAAACGGGTTGGGACTGAAGTTCTGTGATCATAACAAGTATATTAAACAATAGTCAGTAATCACATCCAATCTTCTTTAGATCAATAGCGGAAGACAATAAAGAAACTTACAAAAGTAATGGAGAATCCAGATTTCCCATCCTTTGCATCCTCCACATCCAGAGAGCTCAAGAACTTGATAATCTATAAGAGCAGAGAAATCAAAACCAAGAGTTTAAAAAGGATGTAACTATACAGAGAATATGAAAGTCCAATTGGGATAATTATATTGAGAGAAAGCTGAAATTAAGACAATTCTAAAACCTTTTGGTCTTCTTCTGTCAAGAGTTTATCTAATGCAGGATGACTCAAAAACTGCAAAAGAATGTGGAAAGGATCAAATCAGAAAGAAAGACTTTTTTTTTAATCAGTGATTGGAAATAAAATAAACAGAGAATAATGATATTTACTTACAGCAGTATTCCAAAAGTCTGGAATCGATTTGATAACTTCCTTACGCTTGTCATACACAGGTTTTCGTATCTCGTTGTACTTTTGCTTCACTTTCAAGACCTCATCGCTTGCCTTTTCGTTAATCTACAACCAACATAACAGTGAGGAGATGAAGGAAAGAAAAAACATTTTACAGTTGATGCCAAATAGTGTTTTTTTTTTTTCTCTAACAGAACTTGGGGAAGCTAATTGCAGAGAGCTATCACAGGAATGACTAAAATATGCAGAAATCTTAAAAAAAGTTCTCAAATTGCATTGTGTCAGTACATTGTTATCACTGTAGCAGAAGTAAAAAAGACCAACTTTGATGTGAAATTCAGGAAAGCCAGCTACAGAGAAATCAAAATTGGAACCCATATAACTAATCAAGATACAGGGCACATGAACACCGGTTAAAAAAAGACGAAAAAAGGGATTTTTTACCTTCTCGAGGTCGTCTTGTATCTCCTGAAGCTTCTCAACAGAGAGAACAAGCTCCGTGTCGATTTGCTCGTTCTTGCCCTTATCCGCGACCATCTTTACTTGACTCCCTTTTGTCACCATATTCAGATTTTCCAAAGAAAGAGAGGATCTGGCTCTTTTCTCTCTCGCTATAACCCTAATTCCTGACGAAGTTTATGCTCTGGTTAAGTGTAAGCAAAGGCCTAAGGACTAATAAAAAAAAGGAATAATATGGTTTAGGAAATGTTGACAGTGGGAATTGAACCCACGACCTTTCAACGTGGTTCATCTGTCGGTTTGAACCAACTCGGCCATCTCAACTTGAAGAGTTTACAAATATAAATTAACTTCATGACGAAGAAGCACTCCTGGTGAATTTTTATGGACATTCTATTGGTCTGCTACTTTTACCAAAAACCCGAACCGAAAATTTAAAAAAATTCGAAGAGTTTTTAAATCTCAAATCCGAAAAACATTTCTAGGGTTGTAATCTATTATCAATTTTTAAATTCTATTATCAATTTTTTTTTTAGTTTCAGCCACGTCCGGGACGTCAGCGGAGACAACGCTTGCACGTACGGGAACCTATTTATGCTCACTATGTTTGTGTGATTCCCTAAGCTTTGAACAATAGCTTTGAACCTATTTCTCTTTATTTTATTTCCTCATTATCTACCTTTTGTATCCCTAAATCGAACTCTTGTTTTGGTCTACGAACAATGTATGTTTTCGAAGCTATACGTTGCGTACTAGTCCCAAAATTTATTGTGCCTAAAACTAATTCAAAGTCAAGTGTATTTTATGAAACATCTGGTGTATCTCCTCGGGAATGCCATTCTGAATCTTCCGGATGATCAAGAACAGATGTGTTGGCTTATTGATTTCACAGACTGGACACTGAGCACAAGTGTTCCTATCAAGTCTGCTAGAGAAGCTATCAATATACTTCAGAATCACTACCCTGAGAGATTAGCTGTAGCTTTCCTCTACAATCCTCCAAGGCTCTTTGAAGCATTCTGGAAGGTTAGAACAATAACATTTGATTGTTTTTTCAGATAATTTCAAGTGTCTTTTGTACGTCTAATGTCATTTTCTTCTTCTGCTTCTGTGTTGTTTCCACAGATTGTGAAATACTTTGTTGATGCAAAGACATTCTCCTAGGTGAAATTTGTGTACCCAAAGAACCAAGAAAGCGTGGAGCTAATGACCTCGTTTTTCGACGAAGAAAATCTCCCCACAGAATTTGGACGGAAAGCTTTGTTGCATTATAAGTGTATAACCATCAAGAGTTCTCCAAGCAAATGAACCAAGACGAAGTTAAAACTGCAAACTTCTGGGGATTGGTTCACAGTAACAATCACCAGCAGCACACGAGCAACGGGTTTTCTGGAGCAGAGATTGCTCCTGAGCCAATCCAAACCAACCCTTGACTGTTATGTAACGCTATGGAACCCTTTTGAAATGGGGTAGTTGTAGCTGAAGTTCTAAGATTTAGACGTGGCATTGATTGAATAAGAGGATTTGAGTTTATATAAGTAACTCTTGCAAGGCTTATAAGTGAATCCAAAAACTCTTACACTCATAAGCATTTATTTACAGGAAGTACACACAAGATTCACATTAACCAGCAACACGCTTTGTTTCTTTCAGTCTGAATCTCAACACACACAAGAAGAAGAGAGAATGATTTCTTTTCAAAATCTGAAGGCACAAAGAGAAGAGAGAAAAAAAAAACACATGAAGAAAGATCATACTACACAGCAGTATTTAGCTATTAGGCTACACAGCCTGGAGTTCTGCAGTCAAAAGAGTTAGAGAAGCAGAAGAAGCTCGAGCCAATCTGAGAGAAGCTAGATAAGTCTTCTTCTGAAGTTTCTAGTGGTTGATTGATAGGTACGAACCAAAAGGCCAACCCCAATGCTAAAACCTACACAGACACCAAGACCAATTCCCACACCAACCCTCACACCAGCATTGAACCATGACATCTCTCCATCTTCACCATCTGCATACTCTCCCTCATAATCTTGTTTATAGATCCGATGTATGTACATGTTTGGCTCAAAAAAGAAGAAGAAGTAAGAGACAATTATAGAGATAGTCAAATAAAGAATACAATGGTCATTCAATCATTTGTAGAATAGAGGCTAATGGTATTTTTGGTTACAATCTTAAAATCTGACCAACGAGAGTCATACTGGTGTCTAGTGTCTACACCTCCATGACTTTTAGGGGAAAGTTATAGACATTGCAATACAGTTAAAGGGAAGCTCTTAATCTACCACAAGTATGAAGATCCATCTCCAAGAGGTTTTGCCAATAACAACTATAAGCACCTCCAAATAAAACCCAAGGCATAAGCTAATCTCAACATTGACTCTTCAACTTTTCTTGAACAAGTTTATATACATAAATAAAAGATGAAATGTTGTGGTATTACATTTAAAAACCGTTATATTTCAACTAACGGGTCACACAAGAACTGACTGTAGCAGACACGAGGATAAGCGTTAATATAATAAGTTCACAAAACAATAGGCAAATGGGAGAGAGAGAGAGAGAGCTATCTATTGACACTTGTCAAATGTGTCAGGCCCCATACCTTACATGATCATTTATCACGAAGTTGGTCCACTTCAATATCTAAGGAATTATCTTCCTAAAGTACCAAGAACCATATCTCATGAAATGAATTCTTAACACCATGAAAAAAAATTAATGTTCATTCTGCCTAACGCATAACCAAGAAGACTCATATCCTAGGTAAAGCATTCAATGTGTTGAAGTTGGACACAAACCAATATAAAATTTACAAGAAGCATTGCAAAATCTTGAAACAGTGAAGTTACCTGAAAATCAAGCTCAGATGAGTCGCCTTTATGAGGCTCACCGGTTTCATATTCGGGAATCGAATCTAACGCATTCCCTCTAAAACCAAGCTGTAGTGTCTTGGTGAAGATGATAGGTGTTCCTGAGAAGCAACCAGTGACATAGACTTCAAGAAACCAGAACCAGCAGTGATCTCAGCTTCACAGTTCATGTTCCAACGCTTCAAGCTATGCTTAGATTCACCGGACGTGTAACCATTGCTACTAGACATCTCAAGCGTTCCGGACAAAACAAGCTCATCTTTGTCATATACCGACCCCAAAAGCCGCTGCATTACTTGATGTCACTCCTAAAAATGAAAACAGGGGAAATGTAAACTTATGCAATAATATGAAACAAGAAACATCACATGTGTTCTTTGAGCAAGGGACTACCTGCAGATTCAAAGATTGTACTGGAGTAGAATATGACGCCATTGATTCCACCTGAGTTGTTGAAGAACAAGCAACCCTATACCAACCTATTACAAACACACACAAAAGAGGAGTTTTAAGATTAAGTTTCCTATGGTAGACAAAGTAGATACCAAAGGGAAAGATATTCAGTGGTTGTACCAGGAGTGGGAAATAGTATCTCCTCCGCTTGAGATCTACAAACCGAACTGTAGATGATCGCTTTGAAGATGATGCCACAGATCTCTGCAGATTAATTTGCAGAAAAATATTAAAAAATGGTATGAAAATCAGTTTTCATCATGGAAGGAAACATTTCCAGTTGGTAATATTACCTTGATTTCATTAACCTCAACGGTAATATCAGTCTCAAATCCTCTAAGAACTTGTAATGAAGTCTCAAAATCATCAGTCATACCCATTTTTGCCTATATAAGCATCCCATAAGAGTGAATTGGCTAAATAGAGCTCAAGAAAAATAAGCAAAATTTGTCTAAAGGCCTAGTGGCGTACCAGCCAGCGAGGTGATTCAGGAATGAAAAAGAGACCTGGTATCAGTATTGTCATTGGCAATACCCCTAAAGATAAAGGAAAGCAAGTGATTATCGATAAAAATCATAATCAGAATTCAGAAGCATAGTCTCAAGGTTTCATGTAATGAGATTTAGTTACCTAAAACTGCAAGAATTCTCCATGGAACAAAGAGACCAAGCAAATACGCCAACATTATTCCAATTGTCACAGAAAGCTACAGCAAACATTTTACCAATGTTTAGCATCAAGAATATGTTCATAAGCATGCAAAAGAAGATTTAGTCAGCTTGAATTGTCATTCAAACCTGGTTAACAGAACCCAATCCTCCTCTCATGTTCTGTGGAGCTATCTCAGCGATAAAACAAAAAATATTCAAACACCATAAACAGTTATTTGGAATTATACAGATATTTGCACCCAAAAAAAGAGCAAAAATAATGACGTTTTTTGTATTCTGCTGTTAGTTAATTATTTAAGAAGTAGAAGAAAAATAAAAACGAGAGAAATGTGAGCTAGAATAAGAGGTGGCCCATGACATAAAAAGACAGGTTATCAATCATATCACACCACCAAACACGTCTTTGTGATCTCATTTTATTCATCACTAATCTTTTTGTTGACCACAAATTTCCCTTTTTAATATCTATAATATTGATAAAAGTCTATCTCTTTCCTACCCGTTTCTCACATGTACAATAATTCCATCGCCCATTGTACTGTATATTTATTATTTAGTCCTTACTGTAAACATCAACATTACTCACTCAATCGAATGAAATCTCGAAATTATATAAATGAAAATAGATCAAGGACTTTTTTTTGTTACAGAGAACAAAATGAATATTTTCTGTAAATAACTATTCGGGTTTATTGGGCCGATTTGAAACCCCAAGTGATCCAGTGTGGGCTTTAATTTTGAATAAAAGCCCATCTAAGGGACGTCGGAGCGTGAGGGCCACTCTCGTTGAAAGCGCGTTAAAGAAGAAGCCGAGAGGCAACTTCACTCGGCCGTGGTGGTTATTCTCCGATTAGGAATTTCGATTCTATCGTCTCTGGAGCGACCGAAACCCTAATTTTATCCATTCGGAATTTCCATTTCAGATGGGTGAACATTCACCTTCCCAACCGTCGTCACCTACACAAATTCAACCGCAATCGCCCAAACCCGAAACCTCTAATCCAATTCCACCGGAAACTAACGATGGTGACTCCGCCGGAGTTTCTGGATCAATCGTCTCATCAACCACAATTGAAGCACCAGGGGTCACAGAATTAGGCAATGTATCGTCTCCGCCTTCCAAAATCCCACTCCGTCCTCGAAAAACCCGGAAGATTTCACCTGACGACGACTCCGCCGTAAACGCTAACATCGACGGATTCAAGGCGGAGAATAGCCCCTCTCAGATGATGATTCCGCTCGCTACAACTGCGAAACCCGCCGCGAAGAGTAAACTACCACTGTCGCGCGCTGTAACCGCGCCAAGAATCCACGCGAGGTCTCTCACCTGTGAAGGCGAGCTCGAGGCAGCGATTTGCCATCTCCGGAGCGTGGATCCTCTTCTCGGATCGTTAATCGATATCCACCCGCCACCGACGTACGAGTCTTTCCACACTCCGTTCTCGGCGCTGATCCGAAGCATTCTCTATCAGCAGCTAGCGGCCAAAGCCGGCAATTCAATCTACACACGCTTCATCGCCCTATGCGGCGGCGAAAACGGCGTCGTCCCTGAGAACGTCCTGCCTTTAACTCCGCAACAGCTCCGTCAAATCGGCGTCTCGGGCCGGAAAGCGAGCTACCTTCACGATCTCGCAAGAAAATATCAAAACGGAATCTTGTCGGACTCTGGAATAGTGAACATGGACGAGAAGTCTCTGTTCACGATGCTAACGATGGTGAACGGGATTGGCTCGTGGTCGGTTCACATGTTCATGATAAACTCTCTTCATAGACCCGATGTGTTGCCGGTTAACGATCTCGGCGTGAGGAAAGGTGTGCAGATGCTTTATAACTTGCCGGAGTTGCCTCGTCCGTCGCAAATGGAGCAGCTTTGCGAGAAATGGCGTCCGTATAGGTCAGTAGGGTCTTGGTACATGTGGCGGCTCATTGAAGCTAAAAGTACTCCGTCGAATGCTGCTGCGTCGGTGACTGCAGGAGCTGCGCTTTCGTTTTCACATTTGGAAGACATTCCACAACAACAACAACCGCAACAACAGCATCAGCAACAACAGTCACAGCTTATGGACCCTCTTAATAACGTGTTCACTATCGGGTATAGTCACTTACTTTATCTACTGGTGAACGTGTGCTTAACTTAGATAGAAAGAGAGCACTGGATAAAGCATTTTACTTTCACTGTCAATGCTATTTCTAGGGGCTTGTGGAATCAGTGCTTATGGTTGAGATTGGTTTTAAGCTTGAATTTAGTCAATGTGGAACACTTGTATCGATGTTTTAGTATTGAGAGATTTTTTTCTCATGTTGAGCCACGTTGCTTATCTTCATATAGTTCTCAGCATTAGGCTATGCACCATATGGTGATGTTTGCTTGTATCATCGTAATCACATTTATGGTTAGAGTGGGTTTTAACTTTTAACCATCGATGGCATGATAAGTGAAGCTTTTGTTATCAAAGTCACTGTTTACTTTTCTGTAACGCTGAATACTTGGCTGTGAATCAAGGACTAGTGACGATGATGATTATACATTAGTCTTCTAAATTCAGTTCGTATTTTGTATTCTTAACAGGGCATGGGGGCAAACGTAGCTGACTTGGCAGGATGCCTTTCATGGCGTGATAGGGATTCTGGTCCGGTCTTGGGCTATTGTGTGGTGAAGAAGTCTTTGTTCCTTAGCAAGGAAATAAGAATAAAAATAGGAACTGTTGTGGGTTCGGATTCCTCAAGACACATACTGATTGAAGACCATGGAACAGAGATCTTCTTAGCTAAGTGAAAAGTAGTATGTAAGTTTAGTTTAGCTAATGAACTCTTAATCATCGATTTCCTCTTGTTGGAGAACTTAATCAGTTGTTTAAAGAAACCCTGATTCATCTAAACACAGAGCCTGCGTCTTTATTTTTTTCATTGAAGAAACTTGTGGGGTAAAAAGTCACGAGAGACTCATAAGCAGAGGAGGTTATGTCGTTACTGTGTTGAATTGTCAAAACACGCTAAACAAAATCGTACTCTCATGGAAAGAAAAGGAAGAACTCCTTCTGATGATACATCAGTTTTGGGATCTTCTATTATCAGTTTGAAGACAAGAGAGTCGATGAAACACTTGTTTGGTTTCTTGCCTGTGTTACTGTGACACAAAGACACAGATCCGTCTTTCTCCTCCACACAATCCACAGCTGTGTGTGTTTAGTAAAGTGTTGTGAGACAGTGAAGTAAGAGTTGTTCTTGTTTTGGCTACAAAACAAAGTTGTAACACTAGACCCTTAAGTTTTGTTTTTCAGAAAGAATAGAGAGGTGATAGAGACAAATCACTCCTTTCCCTTTCATTCATTTCATTTTCCAGCTAACTCGTTTTCTTTTATATACACACAATAAACTATATCGTTGCATAATAGTATGGGTCCATCAACTTAATTCGCCATTGTGTATTTGCATCCACATTATGCAACTCTTTAGAATGCATGTAATTAACCAGAGATCGGTTTAGATGAACCGGATATAAATTGATTACTTTAGTAAAAAAAAAAACAGATGGTGGATTTCGAAATCCCAAATCCCAAAATGTCCCTACACCATAGAAGCTACACTTAGGTGTAGAAAATCATACGAAGAAAATTAAAAAAAATATGAGAGAGAGAGAGATGAAAAAAGGAAAAGGGGTTGCTTGCGGGGAAGCGTGGAGAGTGGCAGAGAGTAGAGAGAGAGTGAGAGATTCAGACATTGTTGGGTTCTACAGTTCTTACTACTTCAAACTGCTTTTTGGTTTGATTCTCTGTGTGAATATAGACATTTCACATCTTCACAATTTCTCACCACGTAATCCTGTTTTTCTCTTTTTCATTTTTCAGTAATATTGCCAATAAACTTCGATATTATGGAAGTATGGAACATAACATTATTGACGTCAAATTTCCTTTATAATAGATTTTTTGTATTGTTGTTCTTTAGGCTTTTCTTGAAAGTATTTTAGAAGATATAAAAAATTCTCCTATTTATTATACATACTGGATTTATTAAGTCTACTCGTTCCAATCCAATCCAATCTAAAGCTATAAAAAGACAAAAGAAGAAAAACTAATATAAATTTAGAAAATAATATATTAATGGGATCTGATGATAAGCTTGATAATCGTATTAAGCAAGATCTTTGTATTTGACTTTAAGCTTTTCTTCTTTTTTTGTTGGTCAAAAAGTCGAGCTTGTTGTACACTGTTCCAATCCAATGCGTAAATCTAAGTGTAGTGTTGATTTTGATGCTACATAATTTTGAGACATGATCTAAGCAAGTCGTATCAGATATTACATATCTTCAATTTTGTTTTGGACGAAAGCTCGTCAGGTAACGTATGATGTTTCCAAGATAACTAAACATGGTGGTAATTTCTGTCACTCAATTTCTAAGGCAATGTTCATAAGATTGGCATGTAATGTTCGTATGTTTTTAAGAACATTAACACATATTCAAGTCTACAACTCTGGATTATATTTTAAGAACATTAACACATATTCAAGTCTACAACTCTGGATTATCTACTGCAGAACATCTATCTACTGAACTATTGTACTTTAAAAAATAAGATTGAACTATTGTAATCTGAGAGATGATTACAGCTATTTTCTTGACCATAGATTCACAATTGAGCCGAACTTAATTTCAAGAATCTTGTTAGAACCAGGGAACAGAAAAATTGTTTGGGTTTTAGTTTCATTCGTTTTTAAATTAAAGCCAAAAAATGGTTAGAAAGAGAATGAGGTCATAATGCTAAAGGGGACAAAACATGTTATGGTAGAGAAGTAATTATCATGTGACAGGCTGTCTATGAAAAAAAATTGCAGAAACTATGACGAATACTTCTCTCTTAAAAAAAAACTCAAATCAAATCAAATAATTGTTATTGCAAATTGTACATTTTCTTGAAACCGTTTTTAATAAGCATGGACTATTATTGCATTGAAGATTTGACATGCAGTATTTATCATCTTCTGAAAGTAGTTTATTATGTAGCCAACCGGAACAAGAATCAATGAATAAAACTGATCAACATATTGATTGTTTATCATTAGTATTACACTAGGTTAATTAAAGAAAAACAGAGAAAATATCCCAATGCATGACATCTACATGTAAATGGCTTTATGAGTACTTGTATTTAAACTTATCATAAAGCTTGTAATTTATATATTGATAAAAGGGAAAAGTAAAAAAATAAAAAGATAAATAGGTAAAGATACTCGATAATATGAAAAATAAATAAATACTCCCTTTTGTTTCAGTTTATAAGGGGTTTTAGGAAAAAAAATTTGTTGCAGAATAATTGTCTCTCACGATAATCTAGACTAAAATTACCATTACTTTACATTTTTACATTTTTCTTATTCAATGTGGAGAAAACTTTTTAGTGGTATAATATTGAAATAAGTAATAGAAGATCAAGTAATAGAAGATGAGGTTATAAGAGGTATTTTAATTGCTTCCTTAAAAAAAACCTAAAATCCCTTATAAACTGAAACAGAGGGAGTAAAGGTTAGAGCAAAAGAGAAAAGAAGAAAAACATGAGTAAGGGAAAATGGTGTTTGGACAAATTAGGGTTTAAGGGTTTGAAAAAAAATTAAGAGAGAGAGAGAGTAATAATGAAGGAGAGAGAATGGGGCCCATAATGTGGCAGGGCATGTGGCTGGGCTTCCAACTTGACCTTGTCGGTTGTTCTCTGCACTGCCCTTCTCTGCAACCCACACACTATAAAGCCTAATTTTCATCATTTTCTTTTTCATTACACATATACTCTCCATTTTTATTTCTTTGGTTACATTCCGAAGATTAGCTGTATGGTAATTATTGTGGTTTGTAGATATAGTTTCTGACCATTACATTTTTTAGTTTAGTAATTGTTACGAATGTACGGTGTCAGAAATGTAATCTATCAATTCTACTTTTTTGTAAACTATAATATGTAAATTGAAGACCAAAAAAAGTGCACAGTTAGAATAACGATAGTTATTGTAGATATCGCAAACTAAAAATGGTTGACAAATGAATTATGAAAAACATTTGGAGTTACACCACTAGTCGAACTGAATAAATTTCTATGATGTAGACAATTTTTTGTTTGCATGTTTGTTTGAATAAACAAATTTCAAAATTCTCCTGTTTGTATTTTACTTCAATTTGAAAAAATGGTTCTTTCTACAAAAGATCACATGTACGCGAAAACACAAACGTTGAAATTCGAATATAAAACAATCAATACCTTATGATGACCAATTAGACTTATGCACCGACTGAATAAAAGTTTTCAGAGAGATGAAAGAGCGTTTTGAAAAAATTAACCACCTCGAAAGCTCCTAAATCTGATGACATATCTCTGATATCGGTGACGCACTAAAAGCAGCATTTTGTAAATAATCTCCAAAAGATTGAGAGAGTTTATCTGAAATTATAGGAATATTCATGTTTTTACCATCTTCCAGATAATATATATAGACAACAAAAATATATAGAGACAAAATGACGATGGAAAATACTAAAGAAAACAAAGATTACGTAATAAGATCATCCGATTACCAAGGTACATATGATCCATTGGCACAAATTACAATGCTTTGAATTGATTATTACTAGTGGTTTATTTAATTATTATTATTGGTTGACTCTCTAATTATTTAATTAACCGTTCTAACATACAGGGCAAACAGCCTAAGCTCATTTCGGATTAATTTGCATTCAAGCATTCTCCAAAAGGAAATAGATATTTCACAAAATTGTACTAGTATTTTCTGCAGTATTTACAAAATTACTATGCTGACGCATTACTAGCCTACTGTACTTGACAAAAAATACACTTAAATACTGTACACAGTAAAACATGAGTTCATTAAAACTCGAGATGGAATGTCAATAATTGCATCAGTTTCATGCGAGTGACAAATACTCTGAAATTTTGAGCTTCAATTTACTATTGAGGATCATAATGTGTTTAGAATCAATTTATAGAACACTCGGTTCCTACAGAAAACAATTAGCTAACAAGATATGGATAGAATTATGCAATACTTACCATGTTCTTATATGGTCAATAGTTATCAAATATGGAGTATAAAAGACTTTTTGGCTAAAAATGTGAAGTTTTTTTTGTTGCTAAACACACAGATTAAACATTTTGTATCTTTCTAGATTGAAACACCATTGAAATTCTAACTCAAATCAATTCAACCAATAATTAAAAATAATGTGTACTGTAAATGGTTACAAAAAAAAACTTATAAATTAAAAAAAGGAACAAATTCTTCTTAAAATATCAGCACACGCTTTCAACTCTCCATAGGCAAAACTACACACATTAACTACAACTGAACTCAGTACTACTATATCTGTTTCACAAACTTTGACAGTCTACTAATCTTATGGCCTTGATTGGTAACACTTATTTTAGAGCAGTAGCAGTAAGGAGCAGAAGCATTGAACTTACGAAGCTGTAAGCTATTAAACATTATTTGATAATATGTGATTGGTTGAGCATTGAGCAGGTAGACATAAAATTACAAAAATAGACATTATATTACTGAAGAATATAGACTTAAGATATTATATTAATTAAAAAATAAGGGTAATAATGACTTTTTCTAATTAGATTGGCTGACAGCTTGAGAAAAGCTCCTTATGGGAGCAGAGACTCTCGAGCAGTTAGAAGCGCTCAATGCTCTATTTCTTGCTTCATTTACTAAACATGATTGGCTTATAAAAAACATTAAGCTCACGATTCTGCTCTTCCAATCAACCCCATATGTATCTTTAATTATTTTTGGTTTTATATGTATCTTTAATTTGTTTAACATAGAGATTCAATTAGCCAAATACTTAGTATATCTCCACATTTATAGTGTTTTAGTTTGAATCATTCCTATATATATTTTATTATAAGTTTGAGATAAGTAGAATTATTCATACTTGTTCTACAAATATATTCTAAATGACATTCTACTATAAATGCAGAAATTAAAATTGCAAAAGATGCGATAAATTATGCCCATTATTAGTATCGATTCCATGTAAAAAATGTTACTATAATTTAAGATAGTTTTGGTTGAGACATAACAAATCTTCTTAATCAAATTTAACTTGAGAGTAATCCAATATACATCACTATCTTTATATTATTAATTGAGAAGTACATTCTAATGTATGGATATAAGAATTAGAGAAACATCCATTTAGATAGAAGTATAAATGATAACAAAAATTGTTTGGATATAAGAATAAGAGAAAAATCTATTTGGCCACAACGAATTTAACATCCCTTCCATTGGGGCGCTGGACCCCACTTGTGGGGATAATCGGGAATGTGGCTGCCCGGATACCAGAGCTATCAAAAAAAAAAATCTATTTGAATAGAATAATAAATGGAAAAAAATTGTTTGGATACAAGAATAATAACTTAAAATAAACCGATGGTTTAGAAAACTTCCGTTTTCCATCTCTTAAAAATCTGCAAAAAAAAAAACTTAACATAATCTAACGATAATTCAAATCAATAAATATGCTTTTTGGATTTCCGGGTTTTTATAGACAAGTTCGAGTTTGGGTGAAAATCTGAGACATAATTTTATAGAGATATATAAATTGTTCGGGTTTCTTTGAAAATTTCTGTTCGGGTTAGGCTCAATTTTTTTATTCAGTTTAGGGTTTTTCGGATTTTTTAGATTTCTGGTTTTCGGGTTTAGGTATATTAAAAAAATTGAGTATTTAAAAATTTTGATTAGGTATTGTGGTCGGATTCCGGGTGAAAAAGTTTCCAGATTTTTTTTGTTCAGTTAGTGTTTTCGGGATTTTTTTGATTTCGGATTTTCATATTTAGACCTATTAAAAAAGTTTGGGTTTTTAAATGTTTTGATTAGGGCTTTTTGTCGGGTTCGGATTTAGAGTTTAAATTTTCTACATAAAACAGCAACGTCACACCGCAAAAACGTGCGGATACTCTACTAGTCCGTTTATTATTCCCGTTAACATAATTTTTTTACTGTAACTAAGCTTATATATATTCCAAAATGAAGCTAAACCATTTTATCATTGTCTTTCAAAAACTAGACTATATCTTAAAAAAAAAATTACATAAAATAATAAAAGAAAACGCTAAGATAAGATAAACTAATACGTAATGAGAAGCTAATAGGATCGTATAATATAAAGTAGGGTATATGATATTAGTCCTCTCTCACAAAGGGCTCTTCTCTTATCTCTCTTTCTCTTATGGCCTCACCACAAGCAACCAACCTGTCTCTTATAATCGGATCTCAAAGTTGGCTTGTTGGGAGCACTGAGACATCAAACATGGTTCCTTCTCCCTTTCACTCTTAAAATCCAATTAGCCCTAAGAAAACCCTTTTCCAGTTTAATCCCAAAAGTTCCTTCTTCACATCTCTCTCTTTCTCTTTCTCTCTCTCACCATTAAAACACTTCACAAGCAAAAAGCTTCGAGCTATTAATGAGTTTAAGATCCTCTTCGGTTCCTCCTGCAAGAACTGTGTTTTTCCTCGTGTACTTTCTCTTATCTGTAAGTCTCTGAATCTCTCTGCCTTTAATTTTTTCTTTCTTTCCTTTTTAGTAATCTCATTAATATGTTCTTTTTCAGGCATAAAATTTAACAAACTTCAATTCTCTGTAAGCTTCTCTTATATCCCCAGAAAAAAAAAACCTTAACCCCTTTTTTTTTATTCGATCTCTTTAATTGAAATCCTTCTTCTTTTAATTTCTCTTTTTTTTTTTTAATTTTAAACTCCAAGAAAGAAAAAAAAAATGGATATGAGAAGCCATGAAATGATAGAGAGAAGAAGAGAAGACAATGGCAACAATGGTGTTTCCGGTAACATCAATAGCATTGCTAATGAAGACAATTGCAATGGTAACAACAACAACAGCATCACTCGTGTCTCTTGCAACTCTCAAACCCTAGACCACCACCACCACCAATCCAAGTCTCCGCCGTCGTTCTCCGCCGTTAAATCCGCCATACGTTACCGGGAGTGTCTGAAGAACCACGCGGCGAACGTCGGCGGGAGTGTTCACGACGGATGCGGCGAGTTTATGCCGAGTGGCGAAGAAGGAACAATCGAGGCTCTCAGATGCGCTGCTTGCGACTGCCACCGTAATTTCCACCGGAAAGAAACCGACGGTGTTGGAAGCTCGGATGTGATCGCTCATCACCACCGTCACCACCAGTACGGAGGAGGGAGACGACCTCCGCCGCCGAACATGATGCTTAACCCACTCATGCTTCCTCCGCCGCCGAATTACGGTCCGATGCACCACCACAAGTACGGGATGAGTCCTCCTGGCGGTGGTGGAGGAGGAATGGTGACGCCGATGAGCGTTGCTTACGGAGGAGGAAGCGGCGGAGGAGGAGGAGCTGAGTCGTCGAGTGAGGATCTGAATTTATACGGACAGTCGAGCGGAGAGCATGGAGGAACTCCGGGACAAATGGCGTTTTCGATGTCGTCGAAGAAACGATTCAGGACAAAGTTCACGACGGAGCAGAAGGAGAGGATGATGGAGTTCGCTGATAAGCTAGGGTGGAGGATGAACAAGCAAGACGAAGAAGAGCTCAAACGATTCTGCGGCGAGATCGGAGTTAAGAGACAAGTCTTCAAAGTGTGGATGCATAACAACAAGAACAATGCCAAGAAACCATCACCAACAACAGCAACAGCAGCAACAACTCTCTAATGGTGAAATGATCAAACTCTCTCTCTGCTTAATTGTTGTTTAATCTATTGTTGTTTTTTTTTATTAAGAAATGTTTTTTTTTCTAGGTTTTTGTAGCTTGTACGATCTTTGAATCAATCAATCGGATGTTTTTGTTTGAGTAGTTAATGTTTTAATTTGGGTTTGTTTTGTGTTTTGTCTTTTTACCGAGATCGTACTTGTAGTTGTAATCAGCTTCGTTTTACTTATTAGTTTATGCTTCTGTCTTTTTTTACATTTAAGCTTATCACACACACAACCATTTGTTTTGTATGTACACAGTACAAACTTGAAATAGCCAAACACGACATTAGGATTAATATAGTTTAATAATACCGATCTTATAAAAGAAACAAAATGTGCGATGCCTAAACGTCAAATGCAAACATTCTAAATTTTGTGTGTTTCTTATTTGAATATAAAGAATTTTACAGACATCTTTTGGTGTCAACATTCCAAAAACAACTTTTGGTTTAACCCCCAAAAATATTATGATAATTAACCCATAATCTTAGAATTTTTGTTCTCTAGATATAAAATTATGCATACGCAAGCGTTATAATGGATTTATATGATCAAAGTTGGACTTTCCAACATGTTTGATGTGAAATATGTCCAAAATTGTAACCATATGATTTGAGTATACTGTAGATGTGTCACCATCCAATTTTGAACCAAACAGAAAAACATGAGAAAAAGAAAATTTAAAAAAACAAAAAGAGAAGATTCTCACTGTTATATATTCCACAGATGAAGCCAAATTTATATAACTCACGACCTATGTATCTTTTCTTTTTTATGTGTCGTCACGACCTATGTATCTAAGCTACCATATGTAATAATTGGTTATAAATAATAGTTTCCACAGTCTAATAGTTTTTCCTTTTGCATGCGACCAGTTTGTGTGGGAAACTGTTGATAAATTATTCTCATCGAATTTATGTTTCTTCCTTTGAGAAAAAGAAAGTGGGCCAAAAGAATTATACTCAAAAAGCTTCACACATCACAAAGTTCAAGTTTTGTAAAATACACAAAAGTATAAGATCCTTCTTATTCCGTACGTCACGGCCACGATGTCGTTTTAGTCGGGCTATCTTGTTCCGATGTTCACCTTATAAAATGGCCTCACTATTTATTACAGCCAGCCCATAAAAGCCCACTGTAATAGCTCACAGTCAATTGTTTTTCTATTTTACATTTTTAATTAATGGAAAATTCTTGTTTGTTTTCAAATCAAATGTTAATACGTGTATCACAGAAATATTAACATATATATGAGTCATAGATTTTTTGGGGAGGAGACAGCAAAATAGATAGATAAACTAAATTAAGCAGCCCTCGCTTTACTAATGATAAAGTCATAGACGGGCTTGGCATTTCTATAATTTTTGTGAGATTATAGACATTTTAAATTAAGAGATTTAACTCTGAAAATTAAAGGTTTTGATTATGAAAAGTGAAAACAAATATTTGCTTAATCAAGCCAATTCCCAGCTACTTGCTGTTTTCTTCTTTCGGCACGCTTTTTGTATAAATCACTCTTCCCCATCTGCTAAATTAGGAAATAACAATATTCTTGTCGGCTTTGATAGGTTTATTATATTCTCCAGTTGATTTCTCAATTAATTAGAACTTTTAGCCAAATTTTTCATTTAACCAATTGAAACGGATGACAAAGACAGACTAAAAAAAAAACAGAAGACAAAGACTATTATGAAAGCGAAGGATCAATACAGGCATGATCACTAGACAGAAGAATAATGACATATCCTTCTGATCAATCTTTACAAGAACTTGTTGACGTTAATGTGAGACCTTCACATTCTTCTTTACCCTGTACAAGAAAAATAATACAGCATATATGAGAATGAGAGCATGTTTAATTAATAATTCAAGCACGATGATTAGATTCCAATCACACATTTATATATTTAATTAACAACTTGAAGATATCGTTAATTAAAGGTTTCCCAAACTCGAGCTTTGCTTAACAACTTGTAATATAAATAACATGCACTATGTCGACCACCGACCATGGACAGAAGTAGAATTAACCAAATTATCCATTTATGGACATCTAGATTATCATGATCTAATGGCTTTGTGCTTCAAAAATACTAAAGACAATGTGCATGTGATGAAGTTCCAGAAAGGATTAGTTTTCATGTGAATATTTCCCTTTAGTGTGTTAATTGGTGTGTTCCATACTATTATATATATAAAATTTGATTGTAAACATATATTTACATATACATTATTTTTTTTTAATATAAAAAAAACATAGTATGCGGAAGGTGTATTATGAAGCATATTAATTAGAATACCCAGTACAAAAACACATATTTATGAACTATAAGCGTGACGTTACGTCTTTTTATTTCGTTTATAATTTCTTACATAAATACTTGACAAAAAAAAACTATTTAATATTTTTTATAAACACAATATTTAACATGTAAACGTAATATAGGAAACGAAAACAAAAACAAAAGTTCATAATTAACTTATAAAATTTTGGACGAACGAGACCGCGTTGAAGTGAAATCAATGTAAGTTATATACCTCTTGTCGAAGACATTGGTGCCTCTAGAGTTAGATTCGACGTTCTTGTAATTAGGCAAAGGAACACGACCGAGCTCGATGTTGATGAGATCTTCGACGAGGATGTCATAGTGACGCTTCACTTCCTCTACTGTTTTGTCTCCGACAGCGTTTGCCACATTCTGCCATCGGTCGGGGGTGTCCTTGTCGTAAACTGCCAAGGCTCTCTCGAACAATTTGTTCTGCTTAAACGTCCATGACGAGCTCGAGCTTTTAGAGTTTGATGCCATTTATGCTATAACTTGAGATGGAGAGAGAGAGAAAGAGAGTGAGTGATGAAAGCTTGTATACAATGAATAGCAAGGAAGGGTTCTTTATAAGGAGGAGATAAATAAAGAGAGTTACTAGATTCTGCAAGCTGGACAGTTTTTCAATTTTATTTTATTCAAGTATTTTTATTTTATCTTTACTTCATCCGTTACATACTAGTCCAAAAAAACCAGTTGCCGTTTATGTTTTTTTCGCACATACTAAAAAAACATTCAATATTTTTCTGTTGTACAACTCATAATACATTATTTTATACGTTACCATTAATTAGCGAGCTAACAAAATACTTTCTGTCAAAATTTTGAATTAAAACACAAAACGACAAGTAACTGAAACTGAAAATTAATATTAAGACAAAAACTAATTTGAAACGGATGAAATATTGAATACCCATATAAATTATATTATATGAGAAGATAGCATGACGAGCATTTGTACAAATTATCATAGAGTCAGAGAGTAATCTTAGAGTTAGAGATGGTGAGTGTGTAACTATAGCATGAGTGAGTAATCTTAAGAATGTGATATCTTGATTGATATAGAGCAATATCTTTACTATTCATTTTATGTTTAATCAACCAAATTTAATGTCTATATGGTCTAGATAAAGTCAATCGTACGTAGTAGTGTAGTATTTTCTGATATATATTTTTCTTTGATGCTAAGCAAGTTTTTGAAGGAATTTTTGATTTTGATGCTTTTGATAGTGAAAGGAATGATACTGCGCAAAACTGACCCATATATATATATAAGTAATATAGTTCTATATACGCGTATGTTCGCGCCTGAGCATGCATTACACTATGTATAATAATTGTTCTGATACTGCAAAAGAAAAATCTAAACATTTCAAAATAGGACAATGACACAATGTTATAACTTATAAGCTTGCACGTTTAAGCAACAAAAAATTAACCGAACGATCATAATCGAGAACCGGTTCAAAACGTAGGGTTGAAGTTGGTGAGTTGGACAACTTGGTGCATATTAGACAGGACTAGATAACGCAGGAGATTATAACGATGCTATAATATATAAGTGCCACAACTTATTTTCTTATATACGAATATTACATATAATATTTCACAGTTCTCGATATCATAATGCAAGCCATTAATATACATTGTGTGGTGTGATTGAAAGATTTAAGAAAATATTAGTAGACAATCAATCGATCATAGTGGATGTATAATATATATGATATATCCATGGAATTTTTTAAAGGAATTTGTTTCTTTTGATATGGAGACGACTACGATCGATATGGCAATATTTTATATTATGCAAAGTTTAATCGTATGTCGAAATATGTTTATAGCTAAACAATGATAACCAATGACTTGTGCATCGTTTCTGGCCAATTTTGTGGGAGAATGCTAACTGAAACTGACATAAATCGTATATTTGTAATGGTAGATTATCCAAAGCATATTATAAGATATCAAGATGTTTGATATGATAGTTTAAAGTTATATTCTCAGCATCAACTAATAATTAAACACATCTAAAAATGCTTAAAATCAAACAAATAAAGGAATTTTCTTCGATATGTCATCATCATCATCTCCTTAACCAAAGTTCGTGGATATTTTTCTCTAAAGATCATCTTCTTTTTTTCAATTTTCACCACTTCAAAATGAAAGAGATAAATTTATTCTCCGGGACCTTGAATCTAATGACTTTATGTGTGATGTAATGGAAGAGACCCGTTACGATGACAAGCATTTTTACAAGAACCACCAAAATTTTGATGCAAAAGAATAAGGACATTACTAAGGAATAAAAAAAAGAATAAGGACATAAGGGATATTATCATTTCCTTTTGTGATAAAATTCTTCTATCCAAATCTAATCCATTTTCTGTTTTAAATACTTCATGTCTACATGTCGACCAAATGTAAACGACGATAAAGTTGTCCAGTTTCATTTGTTGATTTGAGTGAATGGTCTCTTGGAAGGAGAATATTGTTGATTAGTAAATTCGACTCACAGTGAAGAAACAATGTTATATAGTCACGCGATTTGAATATCACGACAGAAATACGCATTGCATGTAAAATAAAGTTCACGATAGAGCGTCGAAATCTCATAAATACTTCACTGAAGACGTAATATATAGTTGTAATTTTAAATAATATATTCATCTGTTTTATGAAAAACAAACATTTCAAAAATCTAGGAATGTTAAAACATTTAGGTTATGATACGACTTTTAAATGTAGGGGCATGTATGAGAACATTGTTAATGATCAGGGCTCGTAGCTGCAAATACAGAGGAAATAATCCCAACCCTCTGTTCCATTTTTACCCCTCCTATGATCCTATCAATCTGATATTTTCAGCTAGCTAGGCTTAGGGTTTCTGTTTGTCTCTGTTAAAACTTAAAACATTGAAGAAGATGAAACCTGCTTGGCTGCTTCAAGAAGACTCTCTTTCGTTAATTAAAAAAAACTTGTCTTCACTTTTCAGGCTTCCCCTTTGTTCTTTGCTTCTCTGTAAAGCTCTCTTAACCTTGAGGAGCAAAAGTATCAATTGAACATAGATTCCGAAGATAGCTTCACTGGAGAAACTGATCGCTTTTCTTTCCCTCCCTGAAAAGTTATCTTTTCCTCTTTCAGACACAAAGCTAAACATATACATACAAAGACAAACAGAGATGAAATCAAGTATAAACTTTACACATTTCAATTTTTTTTTTTCACATCTCTTTCCTATCATCATGCCTCCTTTCCGTTTTCGTATTCCTTTCTTTTCCAACAGCTCTCCTTCTCGTATCTCTTCAGGGACTTCCTCGCCGCCACCACCACCACCACCACCGACTCCTCCTCCTTCACGCCCTCCTTTCCGTCCTGCAGGGATCGCTCAGCCGTCAAAACCTGTAGCCACATCGCCAGAAACAAAGTCCAAGTTGCCTCCGACACTCTCTAGGGCTAAAAGCAATGTTGCGGCCATGGCATCTGCTTCGTCTGCGTCTTCTGCTCGAGGTGCAGCCATGCCAACCCGGCTGCCGAATGTGACTAACCAATCTGGTTCTCCGTTAAAGAAACCGGAGCCTCTGAGGACGGAGGAGGCAAAGGTGATTATGAAAGAGAAGCCATTGAGAGAAACTGAAAAAGAAGGTGGCGAGAATATAAATCGTGTAATAAAGGAACCTCCGATTGCTCGTTCAACCCCAAAAGAAGCAGAAGAAGCTCAGGAACAGAGGAAAAAGACAGAAATGGAGAAACGTGCAGTGGAAGAAAGAAATTTGAAAACAGCACAGGAACTACAAAAGGGAAAAGAAACCAAGAAACTTGCGGTGGAAGAAAGAGATTTTAAAACAGCTCAAGAACTACAGAAGGGAAAAGAAACGGAGAAACTTGCGGTGGAAGAAAAGAAGAAACTTCTTCGTCAGGACATGGAAGAGAATTCAAAATCTGCTCCGGAACAACAGAAGAAAAAAGAAACAGAGAAACTTGCTTCACAAGAAACAAATAGACCTCTTCACAATGCAACGCAAAGCAATACCACACGACATATTTCCGCAGCATCAGAAGCCACGAGAGGACCGAGAGAGCTACCGGAGAGAAAGATGCAAAGTAGAACAGACATTCACAATCACACCAATGACAATCATCAGAAAACCAAAGGCAAATCGACGAGTGATCATGGAAATCTGAGATTTACGAACGGAGAGGGATCATCTTCAATGAGCAGAAAGATAAAAGAAGACATCAGAGATGGAATCAGTAAGCTTACTTGGGGAAAAAGCGAAGGCGATGAGAAATCCGTGAGCGTCTTTACCCTAACCGGCGAAAACAGAGGAGCCACAATGGCGATAAATTCTGAAAAAGACCAGAAAGACGGTGAGGTTCATATTCGTCGTGGATACAGAAGTAACCCAGAGGAGAGCCCTAACACCACAGAAACCGAAGGAGAAAGAAGACGCTTGGATAATAAGGAAGAAGAAGAAGATAAAGAAAGAGTTAGGGCATATGTAAACGGGAACACTCAGGCGATCAACAATTCGATTGTGTGCGATAGTTCAGTGCAAGAGAATGATCCTGGAATTCATATGAGTGTGAATTTTGAAGAGTTGAAGAAGAAGGATGAAACTATTAGTCCACCAAAGACTGTGGCGGAGAAGAAACCGGAGCCGGTGAAGGTAAAGAATGAGCCGAGGGTGAGGAGAAGATGCTTGAGAGGGTTACTTGCAGAGTCGAGTGAGTCGGGTCCGGAGAATCCCTTGAAGCCCCGGAGACATGGTTGCCGGTTTACCTGTAAAGACAAAGATGTACAAAACACTTAAACTGTGTTTAATTATATACTTTATATTATATGAAATTTATGTAAATATATGGTCCATTTGATCCTTAACTGGAGTACTGAAGACATATCCTCTTACAAATGTTGTTCTTTGTTCAAATGAAATCGCATATCATTAAATGTTTCAAACACAATGCATCTTATTTCTTGATTTATTATTACTTTTTAGAATGTACTGTAATTAACACAACCAAAAAGTCTTTGAACTAGTGAGTGTCATCTAGAAGCATTGACCATAAAGAAAAATTTATTTTCTTCACAAGGCTTTTTTTTTTGAATTTGGTGTTGTTCTAGAAAAGGAGTTATTTTAATTGGACAAAAAAAGTGAAACCAATCGCATGGCGTGACGTTTGTTTGACTCGATGAGAAAGAAAAAGCAGAGACTTAAAAAGTCAAAAGTAGAGAATTTTCAGACAGAGGACATTTCCGTAATTCACACCCAAACTCACACGTTGCACGAGTCCTATATAGCCCTGGGCACGGAGCAAATACTAGGCAAAAAACAGGTATCCGTGATCCGATCCGATCCGTCCGGATATTTGATTTTCTGATCCGATCCGATCCGAAAATTTTCGGATATCCGAAAATCCGGATATTCGTAACTTTGTTTAATATCCGCGGATTATCCGCTCCGATCCGTTTGATCCGGATATCCGTAACTCTGTTTAATATCCGTGAATTATCCACTCCGTAAATATTTTAAAAAATATTTGTATTTAAAAAATTTCAGAAAAATCAATTTTTAACACAAAAATATAATTTTAATTAAAAAACTATTAGTAGTTATTTTGTTTTAATTTTTTTTAGTGTTTAAATAATCAATTTAATGAATATAGATTTATAAAATTTAGATATAAACATAACAATCATCCAATTTATATATGTAATTTTATATATATAGATATATCTATATGTATAACGGAGCGGATCGGATATCCGGCTTTTAAAATTTCAGTATTTGTGATTTGCTCCGGTTTTAACGGATATTAATTTTTAGTATTTGCTTTGCTTTGTAAAATTACGGTTATCCGGATTTTTCGGATCGAATCGGAACGGATAACGGATCGAAGCAAATATAACGGATAATTTGCCCAGGCCTAGTCCTATATATACACTCTAGCCGCCGGTCTAAATGTCAGCAAATAAATCAAAAGACAATCTTTACCAAAACCACACAACACACAAAACCCGATCGAAGATAAAAATCAATGGCGACGGAGAAAAGCAAGATTCTGGTGATCGGAGGAACTGGTTACATCGGAAAATACATCGTCGAAGGAAGTGCCAAATCCGGCCACCAAACATTCGCTCTCGTCAGAGAAGCCTCTCTCTCCGATCCCGTCAAGGGCAAAATCGTCCAGAATTTCAAAAATATCGGCGTCACAATACTAAACGTACGTAAACTAAAGCAACACTCTTTAACTTTAAATTAATTGTCTATGGAATTTATAGCCAAAATCATTAACAGGGAGATTTAAGCGATAAAGAGAGCTTCGTGAAGGCGATTCAACACGTTGATGTTGTGATCTCCACCGTTGGTTTCTCTCAAATCCGTAATCAGATTAATATCATTTCTGCTATCAAAGAATCTGGCAAACACATCAAGGTCAGTCTTATTTCTCTAAATTCATTTTTTTCTTGAAATATCTTTTTTAATTCTTGAAAATGTTTGTTAGTTGATTACTTAAAATCTTGTTTCATTTGCGACTTGTAGAGATTCTTACCGTCTGAGTTTGGCAACGACGTGGATCGAACGGTGGCGATTGGAGCAGTAAAGTCAGAGTTTGAAATGAAGGCTGAGATCCGTCGTGCCATTGAAGCTGAAGGCCTACCGTACACGTACGTGATCAACAATTGCTTCGATGGTTACTTCTTAGCCACGCTTGGTCAATGTGAGACAAGACTCACTTCTCCTCCTAGAGATAAAGTCACAATCTATGGCGATGGCAACGCTAAAGGTAGGCAAAGAAAGAACAATCATTCTTTTAACAAGTGACAAAGAAATTTAGAAGTTTTTCTGATTTGGTTGAATGAATGAAAATGTAGCGATTCTAAACAAAGAGGAAGACATTGCTACATACACCATGAGAGCTGTTGATGATCCAAGAACCCTAAACAAGACTCTCTACATCAACCCTCCAAAGAACATTGTTTCACAGAACGACATCGTCGCATTGTGGGAGAGCAAGATTGGTAAAACTCTAGAGAAGACTTTTGTTTCTGAGGAAGAGCTTCTCAAGAAAATACCAGGTGAGAGAGAGAGAGCTAAAATTCCACAATATTTTATACAATACATAAACAGTCAAGAATCAAGATCATTGTGTTGGCTAATAATAATATTTGAAACGTTGTTGCATGCAGAGTCTTCACATCCACTTGATCTTCTGTTGGCTTTGAATCATGCCATCTTTGTGAAAGGAGATCAAACTTTGTTTACAGTAGAGCCTTCTTTTGGAGTAGAAGCTTCTCAGCTTTATCCTGATGTCAACTACACTAGCGTCGATGAGTATCTCAGCCAGTTTGTCTGAAAAAAAAACAAGAACACATCCTCTTGACCATTGGTCTGTAATAAAAAAAAATTGAATAACACATTTATATCATCCATAAAAGTTTTATTGCATTCATTATTGATAGAAGATAAAGCAAACTCTAACAAAAACAACAAAAAGAAGACTCGTTTCATTATTTCAAAGCAGCACCATAACTTCAAGAAGCATAAATCTACATTCACTCGTTAACTTTAGATGCCCAACCAGCGACCACAAACTTGTGCTCAGCTTTGGTTTTCACGAACGACTCTCTAGAGAACAAAGCGTTGGCGTAGTTACGCAAATTGGTCAAGCTCTCGGGAACGGACCAGTTCTTGTAATGAGCAAGAACAATCTCAAGATGGTAAAGCTTTGGTGCTAAACTAAGATCAACCGCAGTGGGTTTCTCTCCACCTACAAAAGGACCAGAATGTGTCTTAAGGTAACTATCAAATGCCTCTAACTCGTTAACCAAAGCCTTCTCGGATCCATCGTTGGCGTCTTTGCTTAGTAAGAACGTCACAAAGGCACCAAAGATTTTGGATCCCACAGAGGCAAACTCAGGAGGAGTCTTGAGAGATGGCTCTGGATATTTGTCTTCCAGGATTCCGACGATTGCATCTGAATCAGCAACCCATTTTCCGTCGAGTTTCATCACCGGAACTTTTCCTTCCGGACTAATATCCAAGAACCTATAAACACACAAAAACCAAAGTCACATGATTCAGAGAAATCTATCACAGCTCACCATTTAATCATTTATAGAGGACACAGAATCTTGTTCACAATGGATTGACAAAACTTACCATTGTGGTTTGTCGGTGACGTTAATGAGATGGATCTTGTAGGGAAGCTTCTTCTCCTCGAGGGTCAGAAGAACCCGTTGGCTAAACGGACCTGGAACAAAAAAATGGTAAGATTCCATCGGAATATTCCCAAACATTTGCAGATCACATATCAAAAACCCTAATTTGTCAAAATTAATGGTTGATGCAAAAAAAAAAAAAAAAAAAAAAAGAAACAAAGATGGATGTTCGGAGAGGGGAGATAGAGAGGACTTACAGTCGCCGAGAACATCAGGAGCACCGACGGCAACCTTCACGCAGATATCGAGAGTCATTGATCTTCAGATTTCCAGAATTTTTTTTCGCACCGAAGAATAAAATACTCTGTTCGTGAAAATATAAATTAAAATCTTAATGACACTGATCTGATTTTGTTAATTAAACAATTAATGGAAAATTCTGACGTCACTAGTGAAGTGGCCGTTACGAAGTGGTTCCTAGTCCAACTTTCTGGAACCTTCATCACCAATTGCATTATTTTCATTTTTCAACGATCAATGGTCACAATCTTTGTCTAAGTGTATTTTTATATTTACCAAACAATTTTTTCCCATATTTTGTGAACCTAACAACAACTCGCAAAATAATAATGCGTTTTCTTTTTTTCCCATGTTTGTGAAGCGTACTTGGACCACGCACCAACTTATTAAAGAAAAAAATAATGATTTGGTTCAATTTTCTTCCACATTGGCACATGTGACATGTATATGGTATACTTTTATGCGTTTGTTCAACGATGCTTGTTCTACTACTTATGTAATAATTATATTTGTTCTTTTTTTGTTTGGTTAGTGTGTTTTGTCGCAAACAGTAAACAGCTTTAATATATTTTGTTTTTTGTTTTCTTTTAAACTAAACTTATTAGAGTTTGATGTGGAGTGATTACCGAAAAATAAAGCTGAGAGGAAGAACAGATTAGGCACTTAAGCTTTGAGGTGGAGCCAAAGGGATAACACAAGAAATCTAAGAAAAAAAAATATATATCTTAAAATTGAAGCAAAGGTTTGGTAAGGCTATAATCGTAAATAAACAAACCAATGTCTGGTCCATAAATAGCCGCCCTGCGAATGCCTTTCCTTCACTCACATTCCAAATCATTCTCTCTGTACTTACTGTAGCTTTCAGATCGCACTACTCATTCAAAAACCAATGGCGACGGAGAAGAGCAAGATTCTGGTTATCGGAGGAACTGGTTACATCGGAAAGTTCATCGTCGAAGCTAGCGCCAAATCCGGCCACCAAACGTTCGCTCTCGTCAGAGAAGCCACTCTCTCCGATCCCGTCAAGGGCAAGACCGTCCAGAGTTTCAAAGATCTCGGCGTCACTATGCTACAAGTACGCGTGAAAACTCTCTTTTCTCTAGTAGTTACTGACTTATGGTAACTAAACGATTATTCTGTTAAATTGACTTAATCGTCTCGTATGGAACAGGGAGATGTGAACGAGCACGAGAGCTTATTGAAGGCAATAAGACAGGTCGATGTAGTGATATCGACTATTGGAAGCATGCAAATCTTGGATCAAGCCAAGATCATTTCCGCCATCAAAGAAGCTGGTAACGTCAAGGTATGGTTAATCTTTATTACAATGCCAAAACTTACATTTCTTAGTTTGAGTTTCGGTTTAAGGAATGATATAAATGTTTTTTTTGTTGTTGATTTTTTTCAGAGATTCTTGCCGTCTGAGTTTGGGACGGACGTGGACAGAACAAGTTCGGTGGAGCCAGCGAAATCGGCTTTTGCGGTGAAGATTCAGATAAGGAGAGCCGTGGAAGAAGCAGGAGTACCATACACTTACGTTGTTAACAATTGCTTTGCCGGTTACTATTTGCCTACGTTGGTTCAGTTTGAGCCTGGTCTCACTTCTCCTCCTAGAGACAAAGTCACCATTTTGGGCGATGGAAACGCCAAAGGTTGAGAAATTTCTAATGCTAAATAGACAAAACTTAATGTAAAAACGTAAGTTTTTTTTTTTGAATGTTGATTTTTCTTGTTCATTTTTATTTCAGTTGTGATTAACAAGGAGGAAGATATTGCTGCTTACACTATCAAGACGGTTGATGATCCGAGGAGTCTTAACAAAATCCTTTACATTAATCCTCCTAAGAACACTTTGTCGATGAATGAAATGGTTAGCATTTGGGAGAGCAAGATCGGGAAATCACTTGAGAAGACTTACATCTCGGAGGAACAAGTGCTCAAAAGCATTCAAGGTTTAGTATCATTCATCAAGAAGAATTTAGATTCTTTCTTACATTATATGAGTGAGACGATTTTGTTTTTTTTTTGGCAGAATCTCCGGTTCCCATCAATGTTCTTCTGTCGATAAACCACTCGGTGTTTGTGAAGGGAGATCAGACAAATTTCACTATAGAGCCTTCGTTTGGTGTTGAAGCCTCTGAGCTTTACCCTGATGTCAAGTACACAAGCATTGAGGAGTATCTCAGTCAATTCGCTTGAGAATTTTCTATAAAGCACCTCCACGAGGATGGCCCGGTTTTTATAATTGTTACAATAAAAAAGTGAATCTTGTTTATGGTGAGGAATGTATGTTTGTGTCTGTCTATGTGTATGTGTGTCTAAATCACAGTTTTACCTATATTTCCAATCATACGATGAAATATCAATTTGTATCATTCTCCATTATTTCCAACTCTTGAGATTGCATCCACTAATTGCGTTCTTACTAAGAAACTGAATTATTCCCATCCATTTGTAATGGTTTAACTAAATTACAATTTGATCGAACCAAGCGACACTGCACTCAAGATCATATTACTTTTTCACTATCTTGTGTCAGTTATAGTTTGAGTTACATAATATCTGCAAGCTTGTTTGGGGACCAGACTTACATTTAGATAAGTGAAAACTTAGGAATAACTGTGCTCATATTGTGGACCACAAGATTTTGAATGATATAATCAGAATGAATCGGAAACATAGGAAAGGGGTTACTTTAGCCAGTAGTAAGCTACTTTTCCACTGAAAAAGGAAAGACAGATAAGGGTGGTTTTAACTCGTACCAGGAAAAGAAAAAAATATAGTTTTAAGTTGAAGGAGAAAAATGTGATATTAAATATTTTTGATGAATTAGGTTGTATCTAAGGCATTTGAGTATTATACTATTATTATCTCATAATTTTGTTGTTGTTGTTGTTTTATCTGAATTGACTAACATATCATCACTTTTCCTTACTTACTAAAATATTAAATCTTCAGAAAACAAACTAAAACTTTCATGAAAAAAATGAAATACCTTGGAATTGCAGCAAAGTTTGTTTTAAATTGAATAAAAAATCTAGAGGGATTAACAACAAAAACAAAACATCTTCGAATAAAACAAAAGTTCGGTGAGTGGAATCTATCTTATCGAAAATCAATTAATTAATCAGCCAAAGTGTTTATGATTCTAGTTTTAAGTGAAAGACAGGTCAAAGTTTGAGATGGAGACAAGAGATAAAACTAAAACAAGAAACAATAACGTCTTGTCTAAGCATTGAACTATATATTGAAGCAATAGCCAATAGGTTCGTTGAGGGTATTATATTAAATCGACAAACAAATCATCAACACGATCAATGCAAGACGTAATCAACGTAACTTTGGAAACCTTATGAGCCATTGGCTGAGATAGAATTGTCATCAGAAATCACTATTTTGCTTCCTTGTTTTTTACCCCTTTTTTTTGCCAAGGAACCATATGCTTAGGTTTGCTATTGTAAATCCTACTTTCATTAATATGATATTTACAGTTTTAGCAAAAAAAAAAAAAAAAATCGACAAACAAACCTCATTCCATAAATTGTCCAGGTTCATTCACTCACTCACATCAATCAACGCAAAAGAATTCTCTCTTATCAATCAAACATCACGCCTTCATTATCACGTCTTAGAAAAAATGGTGGCGGAGAAAAGCAAGACGCCAAGATTCTAGTGATCGGAGGGACTGGTTACATCGGAAAATTCATCGTCCAAGGCAGTGCCAAAGCAGGCCACACCACATGTGAGATTTCAATGATCACGAGAGCTTAGTGAAGGCCATATATAAAACAAGCCGATGTGGTGATATCCACCTTCGGTGTGACATTCAAATCTTGAGAACAAATATTTCTATAAAAGCACATAATTCACCATGAAGAGACGAGTTTCGTATTCGTAATTATACAAACAGATTCTTGAAAACCTCGAAGATGTGTGTGAACTATATCATTATCCATTATTTTCCAACTCTGTGGAGCTCTTGGCATCACAGATTTGAGTCTATAACGCTCGTGAGCTCTGAGTTGCGGATAAGGAAATTCTGGTACTCAACAGTAGTTCCCTCTTGAGCAGTTTACAGTACAAGTAACAATCAACAAATACAATCACAAATCTTACTTTAACATTTAATTTTTGTTTATGAATCTAAAAATACCATATTTTTTTTTTTCAAACTTACTCTTTTATAATGTAGTAAGGCATTTTTCTCCTTATTTATATATACATACTTCATCCCAAAAAAATAAGGGTCTTTTAAAAGAAAAATATCCAGTGTGATTTGTATTTTACTAGCAGACCAATGTTTATCATGTGAATAATTGTGTACCACATTTGATGTGGTGGGGATCAAAATACGAATTTAAGAGCGACGGATCGGTAAGGGTATTGTCGTAAATCAACCAACCAATGTTTTGTTCATAAATTTAAGGCATTTCCTTGCCTTCTTCACTCACATTTCCAACTTTTAATCCTCTGTCGTTAGCATCTTAAATCGTACTACTACGCACTCATTTGAATAATGGCGACAGAGAAAAGCAAGATTCTAGTGATCGGAGGCACTGGTAACATCGGAAAATTCATGGTCGAAGGGAGCGCAAAAGCCGGCAACCCAACATTTGCTCTTGTCCGAGAAGCCTCTCTCTCCGATACCGTCAAGGGCAAAACCGTCCAGGGTTTCAAAGATCTCGGCGTCACAATAATTCACGTACGTACGCGCGAACCTCTCTCATCACTATCTACATGTAATAACATGTTTCATTAACATCATAACCATAACTAAACTTGGTTATGTAATTTTTTGTCAGGGAGATTTGGAAGACCACGAGAGCTTAGTGAAAGCAATAAAACAAGTCGATGTGGTTATATCAACCGTTGGGCGTATAAGACTTTTAGATCAAACCAAGATAATTTCCGCCATTAAAGAAGCCGGTAACGTCAAGGTCCGTGTCTTTGGTCCAAACCCATTACATATAAATAACAATCCTAGCTATTCTCACGTTAGTATTAGTCTCATGTTCTAGATTTGTTTCTTGTTGCTATTTTGTAGAGATTCTTGCCGTCTGAGTTTGGGACGGACCCGGACAAGACAAGTGTGGTTGAGCCGGCAAATACATTAGTTTTCGCAGCGAAGAGAGAGATAAGGAGAGCTGTAGAAGCAGAAGGAATACCATACACTTACATTGTTAACAATTGCTTTGCCGGATTTTACGTGTCTTCGTTGGTTCAGTTCGAGCCTCGTCTTACTTCTCCTCCTAGAGACAAAGTCACTATCTTTGGCGACGGAAATGCCAAAGGTTGAATGTTTTTAGAATGTTAAATAGACTATTTTATTTATTTTTTAAAAATTGTAATAGGATTTTTTTTTTATTGTTAATTATCGCAGTTGTGTTTAACAAGGAGGAAGATATTGCTGCTTACGTGATTAGGGCAGTGGATGACCCAAGAACTCTTAACAAAACCCTCTATATCAATCCTCCTAAGAACACTCTGTCGATGAACGAAATGGTTACCTTGTGGGAGAACAAGATCGGCAAGTCTCTTGACAAGACTCACATCTCAGAAGAACAAGTGCTAGAAAACATCAAAGGTTTAGTAGTTTCAAAATCATATCAACATACATCAAGGGGTTTTAGATTCTTTGTTACCGCCTTATCTCTTTTGCTGAGTGAAACATGAATTATGTTCTTCTTTCTTTTTTTTGGCAGCGTATCCGGATCCGGTTCCCGCCAACATTCTTCTGTCGATAAACCACTCGGTGTTTGTGAAAGGAGATCAGACAAATTTCATTATAGATCCTGATTTTGGTGTTGAAGCCACTGAGCTTTACCCTGATGTGAAGTACACGAGCGTTGAAGATTACCTTAGTCAATTCGCTTGAGAAAATTTCATTAAAACACCTTATTCACCACAACGACATGCTAGTTTCATAATTTGTAACAATAAAAACTCAATTCTTGAAATCGTGAAGAATGTGTGTGTGTGTGTGTGAGAGAGAGAGAGAGAGAGAGACTAGTCACTATGTTTTACTTTATCAATGAAATGTGAACTATTTAGTTTATAATTCTAATTTTGAATGACAGAATTTGAGGTGGAGACTCTTGCTTATAGTACAAGTAACAATCAACAAACACAATCCAATCTTACTTAAAATTTTAAACGTTGTTTATAAATTTAAAAAATACTATGTTTATTTATTTGTTTGAAACAACGTAATAAGACATGTACATTTTTCTCCTTATTTGAACTACATAGTTAATAAACAAAAATCAAAATATGGTATTTTTCAAAATATCCAATCAAATAATTTTACCAGCAGAGACCTTACCTTATCATGTGAAGTAAAAATGGTGTACCGTTGATGTGGTGTTGGGATAAAAAACAAGAAATTAAAAGCGACCGTTCGGTAAGGGTATTTTCGTAAATGAACCAACCAATAATATTTCTATCCATTTATTTGTCCTCCCAACGCATTTGCTGCTTCACTCACATTCCAACTTAATAATTCTCTGTAGAGCGTTACAAATCATTGAATACGCAATATCACGTTTCAAACAATGGCGACGGAGAAAAGCAAGATTCTTGTTATCGGAGGAACTGGCTACATCGGAAAGTTCATGGTCGAAGGGAGCGCTAAAGCCGGCAACTCAACATTTGCTCTTGTCCGAGAAGCCTCACTCTCCGATCCGGTCAAGAGCAAAACCATCCAGAATTTCAAAGATCTCGGTGTCACAATACTACAAGTACGTACGCGTGAAACTCTCTCACTACCTAAAATGTTACACAACAATGACGTGGCTTTTTTGTAATTTTGGTCAGGGAGATTTGGAAGACCACGAGAGCTTAGTGAAGGCAATGAAACAGGTCGATGTGGTGATATCAACCGTTGGCCGCGTTCGATTTTTGGATCAAACCAAGATCATTTCCGCCATTAAAGAAGCTGGAAACGTCAAGGTTAGTCTTTGATTCAAAGTTTCAAACCCATTACATACAAATGTCAAAACATATATCATAGCCTTAAAATGGACCAAAAATATTTGTATTCCAAAAGTAGTAGACTCACAAGTATTCTTTTTCAGAAATAGACAAGCTTGTTTTGTGAAAAAACACTTGTTTATCTTAAATAAATTGCACAAAATATTTTTGAGACTTTTCTCCTAAATTAGAGTAACCTTTTTATGTTAATAAAAAAAATTATTTTGAATTTTAGTTTTGGGGCAAAAAATCTTATGAGTGTATTTCTGGAATACAAACCTTTTGGATAGTCTCATACTAGAGATGTTGCTGTTTTGCAGAGATTCTTGCCGTCTGAGTTTGGGACGGACCCGGACAAGACAAATGCGGTTGAGCCGGCAAATTCATTAGCTTTTGCATTGAAGAGACAGATCAGGAGAGCCGTTGAAGCTGAAGGCATACCATACACTTACGTTGTTAACAATTGCTTTGCCGGATTTTACTTGCCTACGTTTGTTCAGTTTCAGCCTCGTCTTACTTCTCCTCCTAGAGACAAAGTCACCATTTTAGGCGACGGAAATGCCAAAGGTTGAATGTTTAATAGTGTTATATAGACAGTGAATATTAATACAAATATGTATTCAAGAAAGTTTTTGATTGTTTTTGCAGTTGTGTTCAACAAGGAGGAAGATATTGCTGCTTACACGCTCAAAGCGGTGGATGATCCAACGACTCTAAACAAAATCATGTACATTAGTCCTCCTAAGAACACTTTGTCGATGAATGAATTGGTCACCTTGTGGGAGAACAAGATCGGCAAGTCTCTTGACAAGACTCACATTTCAGAAGAACAAGTGCTCAAAAACATTAAAGGTTTAGTAACTCAATATCAGATTACCATTCACAAAAAAAAGGTTTTAGATTCCTAATGTTTTATTTCTATTTTTTTTTGCAGAGTCTCCGGTTCCGGTCAATATTCTCATGTCGATAAACCATTCGGTGTTTGTGAATGGAGATCAGACAAATTTCACCATGGATCCTGCTTCTGGTGTTGAAGCCTCTGACCTTTACCCTGATGTCAAGTACACGAGCGTTGACGAATATCTCAGTCAATTCGCTTGAGAAATTTCACAAAAACATCTCAGCGGCATGCTCGTTTCATATGTTGTAACAATAAAAACTGATTCTTGAAATCGTCAAGAATGTGTTTATGTGTGTGACTAATCACTATGTTTTATCTCTATTCTCAATCTTTCAGTGGAATGTTAAATAATTTAGTATCAGCATCCATAATTTCAACTGCCATCCATGAATTTCTCTCCACAAAGCTCCATTTATAGGTTTAAGCCAAATTACAATTTCGTGAGTTAGAGGTTTACACTGTATGTAGTGTAGCCTGTATGCCCTTAATTATATTGGGCCTAGACGATGGGAATATATGTTTGTTTCGTTAAAACAAAACAGCAAAGTAAACATGTGAATATGCGATGCATATGGCCTATCAAAAAGCTTGTAATATATGTTATTTATCGTGGGCTCCATTATTGTGCTTTGACTGACATAATTAGATTCTCGATCTTAAAGCATTCGTTTACTTTTTTTCTTTCTAAAAAGCTATAAAGGAGTTGAGCATAGATTTATACAGTTTAGATCTCAATTGCCTAAAAGCTTACGATCATTTCATATCTGGACACTCTGTACGTTACATGCTAATTGCTTAGTCTCATTTTCGTGTTTTTATATATAACCGGAGATCCGTACTAAAACCAAAACTAGCTAATCTTAACTTTTTTTTCATGTGCTCGAGATTGTTAAAATGTTCGTTTAATGATGATCTTAAACTGAGTTGTATTCGATGCATATCTGTTTCGGATCTACTCGATAATGATACCATGTGAATGTTGTTTAATTACTTGTATAAGTTCGAATTTGACTTTTAAAGGTTCTTATTTGATGACTTTATTTGTATTCTAATTAGGCGTTTGAAGTTTCCATTAGTTAGAAATCTTACTTTTCAAATGTTGACTAGTTATATATAGGTACAATTTTTTGTACCTACTAATGAGCAAAGAGGGTCAACATCACACTTATCTTACATGAATGTGAATCTTATTACTTTGTTTTTCTTTTCTTGATATGTCATTTTCGTATGGGTTTCTAAACTTTCTATTAGTCCCATCATTATATAAATCGATACATAGTTTGGAAAAGGTATTATCAACAACAATATATATATATATGTCGTTCGTTGGCGCATTATAATAGTATCATTAGGTGATCAGTGATCGATACAAATTGTCTCTCTGATTTTTTTGAAATTAACAATTCAACTTTATTTTGCGCTCTATATATTCCGAACTCCGAAGGGAACAAGAAAAAATAACCTTATATTTGATTTGATTTTTCAAGTGGATTTTTCTAATATTCAAATCTTTGAAATACTCAAAGCGGTGATAGCAGGAACAATCTTGGAAATGGCAATGAGGTTTTTGGTTTCTTATTCGATTTGTGAATTATGTTCATATGGTATAAGTTTATTACATATAATTTGTCCAGAAATGCATGTCTTCTGGCTCTTGGTGATTGCCAGCAACTATGAAGCTGTGAATCATTACATTTCTACCAAACGTGTGGATATTTACATAAGGTTATTAATATTATAAGCTATATATATGTATATTTTTGTCGTAGTACTTAACTTGGACCAGCCTGTATAATCTAAAGTTTTGGACCACATCCCAAAAACCACCAAGGGAAAGGGAAGCTTCAAATAAAAATCATGAATATGAGTCAAATGAGTGAATGAACAATGACACAATGTACTATGGGAACTGTTGGTTTATTATATAGTTTTCAAATTTTCGGAGTATAAATTAAAATCCGTGGGAAATTGTTGCGACAAGAATCCATGTCTTGTATCAAAATCATGTGATCATTCGAGATAAAGACATGCACAACGGCTTAATAGACACTTTTGTAACACCACTTGTTTGCTACCCCTTTTCTTGCTCTTATTATTGTTTTTTGGCACGATTAGTATAATTGTATAAATCACATTTTGTTAGAACATCATAGGATACCAAACCTCAATAAAAATAATCATACTAAACTCAAAGAAAGTTTGCTGAGTAGATTTGAAGACAAAATCAGCAGTGAGAGCAATACATAATTAAATAAGACTTCACATAGTTATATGTTTTTTTGGTTGGTGATTGATTGTCTAGCTACTAGACACTTCTGTTATCGACAGTTCAAATTGCTTCAAACCCGTATAACTCACTTTAATTAATGTTCAAAGTTAGAATTGTTAAACATATTTAAATCTATAACATTGATAAAAATATGAAAAATAATCCATAACTTGTTTAGGTATTTTAATCTAATCCATTACATTCTTACGCTTTAGTTTTACAAAAGAAATCTCTGAAAAAATTGATAAGGGGGCAAGAGCCTAATAATTTCTCAACGGTCGAGTACATAGAGAATCATAGCTTTTTAGTTTTTACTATGCCACTTAAATCTCCGAAGATTACCCCTCACGGGATTTCATTGTTGACGATAGGTTGGACCTAGCTATCTTTTGAAAAATAATATTTGAAAATTTTCGATTTAGTATAGTAAAGTAAAACATTTTGTTTTCCCTTTCTCGACACCAAAAACAAAACCATTTGAGTATTAGTAATCGGGTAATCCCATGTGTTTAAGAACGTAACGCATTTATACTCTTATTTTTGTCGTAAAAAATAAATAACTTATACATATGTTACTCTAATGGTATCAATATCATACACAAAAGCTTATAGTCAACATAGACTGTTTTAATAACTTGAATGGTTGTTCCACACACATAAGTCAATTATTAGTGTGACAAGCTACTTAGTTGCTAATACGTGGTTCGATAATATAGATAAACCCCTGTTTTAAACTTTCAATGTAGTTTTCACTGCAAATTTCTTTAATTTTACGAAAAAGGATTTGCGTACAACACTGTTCTTAATGAGACAAAATAACTAGCAATATTTTCATAGATTAACAAAATGACAAAAATAAGAAATGACAAATACCATAATACATTACACGTTTTGAAGGTACACGAACTATTATTTTTATTGCAGACTAAAATAGATTGGCGTGTGAAATACTTTTGATTTGACAGAATCTATACTCCATTTTAAATCACACGAAGAAAGAAAAAAAAAAAACTAAATGAACTATCAATTTATATCCAGTTATTTTAATGCTAAGGCATCTTAAAGTACTAATACGATACTTAGAAGTTAGAACATACAGTGAACGAGATTGACCGACACATTTATTTGCTTTGTTATAGTACACAGCAACTAATATATTTTACGAAACAGATTATTATTACATGGTAAAACAAATTAACAAAAATAATGAAATAATCCCGTAACTAATTTAACTATTTACCGTACAGTTATAATAGTTCACGCGTTTTTTTTGGGAATTATGTATTAATTAATTTTAATCTAAATATCTTGGCAGGAAAAAAACAGCTCATAGCTCTCACTCTCTTCTCTTTCTTTTCTCTCTCTCTCTAGCTCTGCAGATTTTTCTTCTGCAAAGAGTGAAAAAAAAAAAACCAGTGACAACGACAAAATTGAGAAGAAGAGATCAGAGAGGAGAAAGCAGAAACCGTAATCACGGCGAATTAGATACCTAAATAGAGCCTTTAATCCCAGAAAAATGGAGTACGAGAAGTCTCCCACTGCCACTGCTTTCTCCAGGAAGATAAGTAACCGTAGCCTTAGCTTTAGCGCCAATGCCGTATACGACGGCGTTTTTGCCTCTCCGGCGAAAACGAAATCTCCGTTAGTTGATTACAGCGAGATTTTCCGAGGCTCTGGTCCTTCTCCGTCTTCGATTCCGTTTCTGGATGTCCCTGAGCTCAACGTCGGCAAGGTTAAAGTCGATGTTCGAAGCTCCAAACTCGATTAGTGACCATTGGCTTATTTTCCTAATTGTGTAGGAGTCGTAGGAAAAGTGGAAACTCTTGTGATGTTCCTCTTCACAAGGAGGAGAAGAATCAAACTTCGTCACCGGAAATGGTTAGGATGAAGCACTCTGATATATTAAACCAGACCAGCTCTCGAAATGAGAATGGGACTACTCACACTATGCCTGGTCCTAGTCCTGCTCCTGCTCCTGCTCCAGTTGTTGATGATAAGAGTCAAGTGCAGAAGATTGAAAGCAAAACACCTATTCCATTAGTTGAGAAGAAGCCATGTATTGAGGAAGTCAAGGCTTCAAGAAAGCAGAGTTCTAAAACTGAGGTAGATTTCGAGAAAGTCTTTGGGAGAAGTGAAAGCAGTACGCTTGATAACTCCACGAGCAAGGCTGAGTCTAATGCTGAACATAGGGATGTGAAACCGCCTTCAAGCTTACAGCGTACTTTCAATGGTGAGATTGGAGTTTCTGAAAGATCAATGGGTTTGAATTCAGGGAGTTTGGAAAGGTTTGAAAGTGAAGATGGTGATTCTCCAAGTTCGCCTACATTCTTTGATGCTGAAACAGATCCAGATTCGTTTGCTGCTGAGTCTTCTGCAGCGTTGAAAAAGGCTTTAGACGAGGCTCAAGTAAGAATGAACATTGCAAAACAAATGATGGGAAGGAAGAAGTCAGGCTTCCTCGTTTCTCCAAAACTGAAATCTTCTGATGAGTCTCCAAAGCTGAAATCTTGTGATGAGCCTAAAGTTGAAGGAAAAACAGAAGAAAGCAGAGAAGACAATCCTCAAGTTCTCGGTGAAACGGTGCAGTCTTCTGAACAAGCATTTTCTAATGAGGGAGATCAGCATGCAAAAAGAGCACGGAAGCAGTGGGAAGTTCCTGAAGGGCAATTAAAATCAACCGCAGACCAAAAGCGGGAAGAGGTGGAAGAGCAAGAAGTGGTAAAGCGAGAAGAGGAACAAGCCAGAAGAGCTCGAAAACACTGGGAATTACCAGGAGGGATATTCAAATCAGTTATGAATAGTAAGCCACCGGAGCCAGAAAACCTTGCACCACCCAAACCTGAAACCGACACGAAGCAAGAGGTGCAAGCATTGCCTGAGAATCCCTTTTATACCTTTGGACAGCTTGGCAGTAAACTAAAATGTGTTGTAGAGGCCTTCACGGGGAGCAAAGTTTCACAAAAGGATGAGACACATGAAACAGAGATGGATAAGTCTTTCCTCCCTCAAATGGTTCAAGGTGAAGAAATTGACTCACATGAGATGTTAGCTGGTATTCCAGTCATGGAAACATATTTAAGAGAAGTAGAAGAGACCCCTCAACAAACTGAGAGCGAAACTAAAATAGAAGAGAAGTCTGAATCTAAAATGTGTACTTTCGTAGAAGGGTGTTCTCAGAAGATGGTGGAAGAAACAGGAGAGCAAGTTAAAAGTGCTTGCGAGTCCGAAGATGGACCTAAGTGTGGTGTAAAAGATTTCCAAGAAAACTCTGACCCAACTTATAGTTTTCTAGATCAGGAAGGTGAGAAGGAGATAGTCTCTGAGCCGCAGGAGATGTTTGTTGCTCCTGATGATACCAAAACTTATGTAAGGGAAGTGGAAGAGATCCCAACACCTAATCAGATTTTGTGTAAAACTCAAGTCGATGAAAGTGTTGGAACTATGGTCTCTTTCACAGAAAATACTCCTGAGCCGGGAAACACACACGAGGAGGCAGAGCAAAAGGCTCCCAGGCGAAGAAGAGTTTGGAAGACCTCTGAAGACGTCTATAATATGATCAAGTTCCCAAAGGGAAACAACAGTCCCTGGCAGCCAGAAAGTGTGGAAACAGAAACCACACAGAGGTCGTTTCATATGGAAGGTGTAAGGATCCATGATGCTAGCGAGGAAACAGAAAGCACTTTTGAGCAAGCTAGTGATTCAGGATTGCAAGAAAATTGGGCTGTTCTTAAACAGATGTTTAGACAGATGTTTCAGCCAGCAGATACTATTAAGGGCGAGGATGAAAGTTATTGCTTAGTGGAATCTGAAAAGGAGCATATTGATATCCATCAAATAGCTGGAGATGAGAGTGGAAATGAAACTGCAGAGACTTCTTACCGCCACATGACTGGTACAGATAAATATGAAAATTATGAAGTGGAGACAGAGTATGAAGCGTATGCACATACAAGAGAAAATGAAGACGTGGAGTCATCACAAGAAACATACTGTAGAGACGTGGATGGTAAAGTAGAATTGAATGGAAAAACGTCTTTGGTCCGTGAACTGATTGGAGAAGAGATAGAGGCCACTGAAATGGCTAGCGACCAGGAAGGCGAAGATATGCAGGAAGTATTTGCAGAAGCTGGCTGGGCTCAAGGACTTCCTGAGTTTGATGAGATCAAGGAGCATGCGGATTCTAGAGCTGAAATGCTTGGATATGATCGTAGTGAAACGGACTCAAATATATCTGGCGAGAAATTTGAGCAAACGCAGGAACTGGCAGAGGAAACCAAGATTGACGGTAGTATAGATACTGGCACCAGCAGGTCATCTTTTGAAATGAGACAAGGTGATTCATATATTGAGGAGGAGGCTGGCATCGAGCAAGATCTCAGTGATCAATTCCATGAAAAAGACAGTGTCGCCAGCAGCACGGAAGAGCACGTTGAAGAAGTAGATTCTGATTCAATCCAAAGTGGCTGGAGTGTTGTAGATGATGACGAGAAAATCAAGTCTTATGCTAATCATCTGCAGGATGTAGAAATGGAGGAAACCAAAGAAGAAACTGATAAAACGGAAACAAGTCTTGGTGAAGAGAACAATGAAGAGAAGACAGAACAAGACCACAAGTTTGAGTGTCAAAAGGAGGAAATAGATAGAAGCGATGTTGAGCCAGCTGAGTCTTCCTGTTGTTTTCCCAAAGGAGACGAAAAGATTGGTGGTGCATCAACAGATAGGAACATGAAAGACAATGAAGGAGAGGAGAGTTGTCGATCATCTATGGGAGACGAGGGAGATGCTACTTCTGATGCATCACAAAACGAAGCAGAGCGAGTTGAGAAACATCTGAAAAAGAGAGATGAAGCAAAAGAGAAAGAAAGAGAGAGATTTATGGTAGAGAGAGCTATTCGGGAAGCCAGAGAAAGGGCGTTTGCTGATGCTAAGGAAAGAGCAGGAAAAGCCGCAATGGAGAAAGCAAAGGCAGGAGTAGTGCCCCGAAGAGGGACTTCTGAGGTTCCAAGGAGATCAGAGAAAGGATCTGTTGAAGTTAATGATAAGTTATCATCAGCTGAGAAGGCTTCAATGCAAGCCAAACTCAGAACCGAGCGTGCTGCTGTAGAGAGAGCACTCTCTGAGGCCAGAGAACGTGCCATGGAAAAAGCATTGTCTAGTAAGTCTACTGCTCCTCAGACAAGATGTTATGGCGGCAGCAAATCATTTAGCTCTTCTGGTGAAAGACGAGGCTCCTCATCTTCTGTGAGTTTACGTCCCCTCTATACTTATAAATATCCTCCATTGAACAACTTATCTGCGATAGCTTCTTATTGAACATTTTGATCCATGAAATACTTAAGCAGGGTACAGAGAACAAAAGTTGAACGTGCCATGGAAAAAGCATTGTCTAGTAAGTCTACTGCTCCTCAGACAAGATGTTATGGCGGCAGCAAATCATTTAGCTCTTCTGGTGAAAGACGAGGCTCCTCATCTTCTGTGAGTTTACGTCCCCTCTATACTTATAAATATCCTCCATTGAACAACTTATCTGCGATAGCTTCTTATTGAACATTTTGATCCATGAAATACTTAAGCAGGGTACAGAGAACAAAAGTTCGGGTCCTTCCAGCTCTTCAAACCAGACAGGTAAGTCTTTGTAGATGGATATATATTGTTCCGAGATGTTTGATCTATACACTGACATGTACATTCGATTTGCTTGATGAAGCCAAAGCTGAGCCGATACAGAGAAGCAAAGCTAGATCTGAGAGACACCAGAGAACATCTGACCGTGCGGTATGTTCATCAACTCTTCATCTGTATAGGATATAATCCCATTTTCTCTGCTTAAAACATGTTTGTTTGATGTCATCATTCCAGGCAGAGGCTCTTGCAGAGAAGAAACTCCGTGATCTCAAAGCCCAGAAAGAGCAGACTGAGAGAAATGTAATCTTACATTAGAATTCTCATAAATATGATCTCTGAATTTGGTTACTAATCTTTCTTCTCTCATTGAAACTGCAGAAACTTGCGGATACTCTTGACGCTGATGTCAAACGGTGGTCAAGTGGAAAGGAAAAAAACTTGCGGGCTTTGCTCTCAACACTCCAATACGTAATTGTTTCCTTCCAATTTGTTGCATATCTCGCAAACTTTCTTTAATGAATCAGAGGATCAGTTTTTAACTGTTGTTTTTGATGTGATTTGCAGATCCTTGGAGCAGAGAGTGGATGGAAACCAATTCCTCTCACTGATCTTGTCTCAAGTGCTTCTGTGAGAAAAGCTTACCGAAAGGCAACGCTTTACGTCCATCCCGACAAGCTTCAACAGCGTGGCGCATCCACACAACAGAAGTACATTTGCGAGAAAGTTTTCGATCTTCTCAAGGTTTGTCTCTCTCTCTCTAAAACCCTTCAAATATGATATCAATTCCACTTTTGAGTCACTAACCAACTTTCTGATTCTCCAGGAAGCATGGAACAAATTTGGCGCAGAGAACGATAAGTAAGATCAGAATCAACCAGTCCAAGAAAGGCAATGATATTAGATGATGTCAGAACTAGAGATGTAATAACCAATATTATTTGTATCCATGAGTCATCATCACATATATAAAAAAGAAGCTCATTCTTATTCCCAGCTAAACCAAAGCCACAATCTCATTTAATCAAAGGTCTTCTCAAACTAAGGTTACTAAGAATAATAATACATCCATCATCAAGTCAATCGCACACAAACAAAACGCGTGAAAGAAGCTAAAGATAAGAAAAAAGGAGAGTTTAAAAGCCGAGCAAATGCAGCATTATTGCATTCTGTGCATGCATGCGATTCTCCGCCTGTGGGAAGACGATCGAATAAGGAGCCTCCACGACTTCATTCGTCACCTCCACTCCTCTCTCTGCAGGCAAGCAATGCATGAAATAGGCTTTTGGACCAGCCAACTTCATCAGAGCTCCATCCACCTGCAATCACGAACACAAGTAAGACACTGAACAATCATCGTAACCAAAAACTAAAGCCAAAGACTTCGGATTCATGTTTACCTGGAATCCTTTGAAAGCCTTACGTCGGGATTCAGCTTCATCCTTTTGTCCCATGCTTGCCCATACGTCTGAGTACACAACATCAGCTCCTATGACAGCTTCTTTAGGGTCATTGGTGATCTCAATCTTGCTTAATCCAGCTTGTTGTGCCTTCAAAACTCTTTCTTTGTCTGGCTCAAAACCTTTTGGGCAAGCGCAGACGAAATGGAAAGGAATCACAGATGCCAATTCTAACCACGAGTGGACCATATTGTTCCCATCTCCAACGTAGACTACCTAAACGTTTGTTGAATCAGTGTCAGTGAAGCTATATGAGATCATCATACAAGTCTAGAGTCTGGAAAGGATAAAACTTTCAGGTCCAGAGTTTCACTAACCTTTGTGCCTTCCACTTGACCAATGTGCTCAATCATTGTGAGGGCATCAGCCATGATTTGGCAAGGATGGTTATGATCTGTCAGACCATTCACAACCGGTACACTCGAGTAGTTAGCCAAATCAAGAACGTCCTGCAAAAGAAAGTGGATTCATGTTTCATCATTCAGCTCTCCGATACAAGAAGCAAGTGCAAGCCTAACGAAAAACGAAATATCCATGCCACTAACAACGAATGCATCTTTATCTCAGATTCAGAACAAGCCAATAGAAATGCTTGTACACTTCTTACCAGCATACCTGATGAGCGAAGACACGGGCCATAATGATGTCATTATAGCGGCAAAGAACACGAGCAACGTCACGAGTCTCCTCTCGTTTACCCATCTGGATATCATCGGGTCCTAGATACAACGCATGGCCACCAAGCAAGAAAAAGCCAGTCTCAAACGAGACGCGAGTCCTCATGGAGGGTTTTGCAAAGATCATAGACATTGACTTCCCTTTGAAAGGTTGATAGTTCCTCTCCCCTGATTTCAAAAGAGCTTTCACCTCTGAAGCCTTGTCTAGTATCATTTTAATGGTCTCTGTGTCAAAATCATCTATGTGCAGAAAGTCTTTCAGGTCAGATTTTCCTGAACATGAAGCAAAAACAAAAGACTTGATTAAACTTGCGAAGTTTCTCAATCAATTAGACGAAAATAAGAGTCAACTGAATTGACACAGATTTTCTCATTTGCGTATTGCTAACATTAGAATCCGATTACGAGATGCTGATGAAATGTGGAATTGAGAAGATGCGAACTAAGGAATTAGAGACCCAGACCTTTCACATCGGAAGTAGAAGGGGAAGTGACGGGGGAGGCTTGGCAGGAGACACGGAGGCGGAGGGAGGAGAAGCTCGTCGGAGAAGGGAGTGATACGGCGGAGAATCGTCGGAGAGTGGTGCCGGGAAAGAAGGAGGATGAGGAGGAGAGGGAAAGAGCCGGTGATCGGGGCGTCGAAACGTGAGAAGCCATAGCCACCATTGGGATTGTCGTGATTGGGGTTGTTGACTCTTTTTCAGTGACAGTGTGCTTCACATTTATATCGCCTGAGACTCGGTTACTCGGACGGAAATTTTCTTCTTGGGCCTACAAACGGCCCAATAACAGAATGTGAAGAATGTGACAGTAACTGAGATTTTGATTAATTTTCTTTTACCAAAAATTGGTAGGAGTTCTGTGGTTGCTCTACACAGCCCAAAATCTTTCTACAGCAATTTAAAATTACCAATCATGCTTTCATTCTGTCTCTTTCCATTTTTGAAACACAGAGCAATTTTTTATATTTATGGAAGTTCCGTGGCTTTGGAAAGCAATTTTTCTAGAGCACCAAATTAAGTGCTCTTAGAATTTTCTCTCTTCTCTTTCCTTATTATTTTTTCAATATTTATTTTTTAATCTATTATTTCTATATCTTATCTTTTCTGTTTTAATGCTATATTTAATGACACAATCTACAATAAGAAATCCTACAGCACTAAAATCTATATTTACAGCCAAAAATTCTACAGCGTAAAATCTACAGCAAAAAAATTAAAGCTACAGCTACATCCAATCAGGCCCACAGTCTTTCATTGAAATTGTCTACACCATTTCTCTCTAACTTTTTGAGCTATGATAGTTTTTTCTTAAATAAAATGATACACAAATGTAAAATTGATCATATGAAGATGAGGTTCTTTGCTACAGAAGCAAATACAGATTCAATGGCGGATATGACTCTATTTATACTAATATTGTTAAACAAAGGCATCAGGTGGTGCTTGCTCCGGAATCTGCAGGCACACAAAACAATTCTCAAGACTATAAAATTTTGCCAATTTAAAATTCTGTAAAAAAAAACTCTAAAATAAGACTTTTGAGAAAATTTACCTCCCCTGGATTCCATTTCTCCTTTAACCAGACGCTGTTATCAACAGAAGCACCTTCTAATTGCAGCTCGGTTCTGCGAGGTTTCCACAAATGGTTCAAAGCAAGTAACATAGATCAACGGTGGAAGAAACTGGAATCAGAATGGTCGTTACCCGGAAGATGGATTTGGTGCAGTGAAAGACGCAACAGGGTTATTGAAACTGAATGGGGACTGATTGTTCTGAGAAGTGTTGAGAGACGGGGTTGGAGTTACTGAAGGAAACATGTTGTTGTTTTGTGGAGCTGTGAAGAGTCCTGGTCCAGGTCCAAACGATGCTGGCTTGAATGCTACTGGTTGAGTCTGGAAACCAGAAGGACCTGTGATCATTTGTTCGTTTTTTCAATTGATGATAGGAGTCTCGGACTCAGAGCAGACTTTAAAACGTTTCAAAAGTATAGTACCTGGAGGAAAAGGTTGAGGAGTGTTGTTGTTGACGCTGAAAGTATTTGGTTGTTGATTAAAGCTCGCAAACGCATTCGGAGGTCCAGATGGACTACGTGGAGAAACAAAAAGGTTAACACTTTAACCTAAAGAATGTCGATAAAACGGAGAAATCGTACAGAAGTTGATACCTGAGTCCACCAGGGATGGTATTGGGGAATGAAGGTTGTTGGTTAAAGCCAGAGAATGCTGGAGGAGCATTGATCTGATTCGTTGGTGGGAAGATGCTAGGAGTGATTGCAGCAAACGGGCTTTGATTGACGGTAACAGAGCCTTGGTATGGATTCCGTAGAAAGTTTTCAAACTCAGCTACTTTGGAATTCTGCAAGTTCCTCTCCCTCTCAACCTAATATATAACGCATCGTTGATAAGCCAGGAAAAAGAGGAAAGGAGACATGATTGTGTGAAGTATTCAAAAGCATCTCACAATAGACTGTAGAGGTATTCCACGTTTGGCTTCGTCATATGCCACCGCACGTAGCTCTTCGTAGCTGATATCACCAGTAACATCACAGGGCAAACTAGACAAAAAGAAAAGAGATGTTATAGAGAATGAGTAAAGAAGTAAAGATCAAAAGGATGTAAAGAAAGCAAGGAAGTTACCATTTCCAGTGACCGTAGCAAGTGAGCTTCCACAAGGGTCTCTCATTCTTGAAATCGTCTTGCATTATCAGCTTACACGCAGCAGGATCTGTGCATCTTTTTCATAGCAATCAACAAACAGAAACGATCAAATTTCCAAAAGAAACAAACAGCTAAGAAATGAATGACGGAGAATCATAAGCAAATACTCACTTATGCTCTGCCTGTTGCGTCTGTTTAGCAGTCTGCTGTACAGCACCACCACCAGGTGTAGAAGAATTTCGTTGCCATTTATTATCAAAAGGCTGAGTTTTCAAAAGCATCATCATCATCATGTCACCATTGATTCAAGAGCAAAGAGACTTTCATCTTACAAAAAAAAAGGAAAACGAACAAGAGAACCTGGAATTGATTTGGTTTATTAAAGCCGCCTTGTACACCAAATCCAAAAGGATTAGTACTCTTCTGCTGCTGCTGCTGTTGTGGTTGCTGTTGTTGCTGATTTTGTGTACCGAATCCAAAGGGATTATTTGGTTTAGCTTGTTGCGGATGAAGAAATCTACATGCTTCCCCAAACCGGCAACTGCAATGAACAACACCAACGACGCGTCAATCCAATAATTAAGTCTCTAATCATGACTTCCAGAAGCTAATAATTAGTCATTCATGGCGGAAAAACGAAAACCAGGAGCGATCAAAGTCAATAGGCGTTAAATTCATCTAGATTTCAGTTCAATACACATCGCTTCCTTCGCACAGCGATTGTGATTCAAATTAACCACAGAATATAGAACACGAAACCTAAATTTCTGCAATCTGACTTCGAAAGCTCTTTAGAAACAACACACGAGTGACGAATTGGATCAAAACAACCTAAAAATCGACGAAATGAGTGTGAAGAAGATGAGGAAAAAGAGAATTCACCTGCCACGCTGAAAGTTTCTGCACAATTCCTTCCTCATAACTCACTGCTCAAACCTTCGTCTGTGTATGTATGTATCAATGTATGCATCTGCGTATATATATGTGTTGCTTTTCGAAAACTAACGAAGCGTTAAATCGACGAAGAAGAGACCTCAGTAGAAGAACAAAAGGAGCTCTGTCGTAAATTACCATATTACCCTCATATTAGAGAGTCGGGACAATAAATTTTATAGGGTTATAAACGTAAAATCACGAAACTTCATCATCTTCGTTTCCCTTATCCATCGTTAGATGCTTCTTCACCAGGCAAAAGAGAGAAGAAGATAGTAGACGAAGCGATAAAATGGCGGTTTCTCTTCCGAACTCGTTTCTCCAAATCAATCCATGTGCTCCTTCTCTGTTAATTAGAAAGGTAAGCTTCTCATTGTTTCTCCTCCTTCGTCGATTTCTCCTTTTCCTCCCGAAATCACGAAGTGTATGTTTTGGGGATTTTTCCGAATAGCCGGTTATGGCGGCGGCGATTGGCGTGAAAGGAGGGAGAAAACCGGCGGCGAGCAGTCCAGTGGTGGTTCAAGTGACGTGCAGGAAGAAGGAATTGCATCCTGAGTTTCACGAGGACGCCAAGGTTTACTGCAACGGAGAGCTGGTGATGACTACCGGAGGGACGAAGAAAGAGTACGTCGTCGATGTTTGGTCAGGTAACCATCCGTTTTACCTCGGGAATCGATCGGCGTTGATGGTGGACGCCGATCAGGTGGAGAAGTTCCGTAAGAGGTACGCCGGGCTATCGGAGATTATGGAGATTCCTACACTGAAGGGAGAAATCGTGATGCCGACGAAGAAGAGTAAGGGTGCTGGAAAAAAAAAGAAATGAGAATCGATTTGTTTCTTCACTTGAATTTCTGTTCTGGTAAACCTTAAAATTTGTGTTTTTTTATTCAAATTCGAAAATCGGACTGCTTAGGCTGTTAAAAATTGTATGTTAATGTTACATTTCTTCTGAATGCAATTGGTTATGCTTTCTAAAAATGTGTTTGGTTTACTGGAAAGTTGTGGAAACTTTGGTTCTCTTATGTGGTCAGAGCGATGGTCTCAGATCAATGTTATATGTAGAAAACTGAAAAATCTTGTGTTTGACATGAACTTGAAACCTGCCAATTGATTCTTGTTTTTGGCTTCAAAAAAAGGTTTGATGCGTATAGAATAAATAGTTTTTGCAGGATGGAGATGGTGATAAACTTGTAAAGTTATGGCATTAACTTGATAATTAGTTTAAGTGTTTTGTTTGATTAGTTGGTTGAGATCATCTTCTAGGGCTCTCTCAATCGTATCTGCAGAGTGTTGGGCATGATCAATGCAAATGTCTGCTGAAGTTATCAGGTGGGATATGAAACTGCATTGCAATGTCTTATTTTACATTCACAGCAAAATCTAGAACAGAGTAGTGACTTGCAATCACAATAAGTGACCTTTTTATTAGTGAGCTCAGTCTCTTATGTGATCATTGCTCTAAGTGCTGCTTATGCGGCCATGCCCACTACAATCCATTGAAGTGGGCTATTTATTTAGCTGCTAGGATCAAAAACAGCGTGAAGGGAAGAAATGGCCCAATCAATTGTTTAATGAGACAATAGAAGTATGTTTTGTGATCAGAGAGCTTTGACAGAAACTGAATGGACTTAGTTTGGTATTAATACAAACCAAGAGTCGAAATTATGTTTGTTATGCAAAAAATTATGTTATGAATCATAACATCGTTGGACGTTGGTTGAATCCTTTCTGATGAAGAATTTGTTGCGATCCTGACTTAAATAGATATATGTATAGATCATAAAATAAAGGTCAAAACTTAAAAAATAAAACACGGAAATAAAATTATGTTTAAGAAAAAGGTGGTGTTTTCCTGTTTCCCAACATAAGAATGATGAAAGAACGATGTGTTGAATTAGTTGAACATTATGTCTAATCGTATCTAATTGGTTTGTTGATTATGTTTGCAATAATTCAATTTGTTGGGTTAAATAACTACCATTTTCCTGGAAATAACACAATTGTTTATGTAAAATCACCCAACGTGTCATCATTTTTTGCGAGTTCGCCCTAATCCTCCCAGGCTCATGTCCCGAGACATCGCAGTAGCCGCCGTCGACGCGAAGACTCATGGATCTCCGCCGCGCTTCCTCTCCGCCATGCCTCCTCTCCTCGATGACTCCTCCTCCGCTCCCGCTCCCTCCGTCTAGACCTCCTGACGTGAAGCCGTTTCTCCTCTGTTCACTCTCCCTCTCCCGTGGTCTCTCGACGGATCTCATGGCATCTCTGAGGACAAGGTGTCCGGATCTGTCGGTCACGCCGCCGGAGCTGTCAGTGCCAGAGCATGAGTCGCCCTTCTCGTTCGGGAACCCTCCGGATCCACCGGATCCGCCTGATGTCGGTGGATCTTTGTCTCTCACCGCCGCTCTGTGGTTTTCTCCACCGTCATCTCCTCATCTCGCTCTCCCTCACCGTCCGCCAGATCTCTCTCTCCGGTTTGCCTTGTCGCCGCTCAGATCTACGCTTCCAGCGCCGCCATCGCCGTCGGTTCGTCCTCTCCATCTGTCTCAGGTTTGCTCGCATCTCCCATCATGTACTTCTCTGATTCATTCTGAGATTAATGGGATTTGGGCAACTTTGATCTTGGAGAGTTCCGATATGCTCCCATCTTTACCGATTTCTTCGGTTCTTATCGCCTCTATGCGATTCCTTACTGTTATATGCAGTCTTGTCCCTAGGTTCACTTTAGTGATGGATATTGTGAAGTCTTTTGTACCAGATTTGTGGCAATTTGGTTTGAATTTTCTGAATATGTCTAATTCATTTGTCATCTTGGTTGATTACTCCTTGATGGAGTTTAGTTGTCTCCCAAAATTTCTGCTTGCTTTGAGTGGTATTATTTCAGGGAATTGGAGTTCGAAAGTTTCAAACACTTCGCTTCGAGTAGGCTCAGTAACCTGGTGCTTTGTCACCATAGAGTTTCAAGCCGTTTCTTTGGTTGCTAAAGTTGCACTAGCTGCATTTTTTCAACCCCGGGTTTAGGATCAATGAAGGTATCCAAGTATTCCCAAGGCACAACATCACTTCTTCTTGTTTATGTGTCGAAATAATGCAATTCGTTTTGTTTCGGGACGACGCCAAGATCAGACAGTGTACTTACCAAACCAGTCTTTGTCTCCTGTAAACACTATTTTATACTAGTATAATCATGAATTGAGCTAATACGTTTAACAACGATATTTGCATAGTACTATTTCAGACTTATGTGCAAGAAGTTCTCTTTGTGCACGTGACTCCTCATCTCACGTGAGTCTCGACCATTTCCTCCTAAAATCCATGAACCTCGTTAATGTGAGCAGTCTTGTACCTTTGTGTGTGAGTGGATAAGTTTGATCCTTCTTTTTCTTTGCCGGCGCGTGAGTTTCACGTGTCCGTTTCAAAGTGTACAAGTGGCTTCGTGGGCTGCTTTTGCTTAAACAAGTCCATACATGTAACCAACTTATATCACTTAATTACTTATGTTTTTTTCAATCGAATATTTTTGTTAAAGATACTAAAGATTGGCATCGTTAATTTATAGTAAGTTGAAAAATATATCCAGTATATACGATATCTTCAAGTGAACTTATAATTTATGACGGATCTCTTTATCTACATGCAAGTTTCTATATAGAGAAAACATTGTATTGATAACGATATAACACTATAATTTACTTATGGCAATTAGATAAACAACTAATCATTGTTTCCATTGACAAGACAGGGAGACAAACCATTTTGAAGATAAAACAATTCTCCAACTTCTTTCCTAAGTTTTGAATACGGTTTTATATTGTGCTAAATTGCTATTGGTTGAGAGTGTCCACAAAAAAGCCAAAAAAATATTGATTTCATTAGCAAAAGGCAAAGGGGAAACATAAAGGATCCTCTGCTTATATAAAAAGACAACTCTCGCGATCGTATATCCATATCAGTGTCAGTGTATATATCTTCCTCTCTCCAATCAAATATTTTCTCAATCGCTTCAATTTCCCTGTAAATTTGTATAGAATCGTTTAATTTCCCGTTTCATTTTCCCAAAGAATAATCTAAAATCTGTATTTAATTTCTCAACACAGAGCAAACGCATTTATATAACTTCGCTGTTTCCATTTTCACAAAAAAGTAAACAAACTTCAGTCACAGAAAAAAATGGCGAAGCCGTTGGAATCACACGGCGGCGTAGAGGCGGAGAAAGCGGAAGCGATGAGGAGATACAACAGCCGCCGAAGCTTCCGATACGTTCTACGAGGAGTCGCGTTAGCTTCGTTGTGCTACTTGTGGTTCCCGACGGTGGCGATTTCGCTGCAAACCGCCGGCGACTGTTTATACCGGACCGCGGTCGTCGTTCTAACGAATCGCTCCGTCGTCTTTGTCTTCGCTAACCTGATCGTCGCTTTGATTTTCGTTCTGTCTCGCGATCGCGACGACGACGAGAGTAGCAGTGTTAGCACCGCGCCAGATCTGTACGATCGATACACCTCGTTCTCCGCCGTGAACGTAACCGCCTCCGCCGAGAAATTGGAAGACGACGAGAGAAGTTGTAGCACCGCCGTACCAGATCAGAACACCACTTCGTCCGCCATAACCGTAACCGCCTCCGCCGACGAGAAGGTGGAAGATTATACGATGAAGCAAATCGTTCCGGCGTTTTTCCCGGAGGTGGTAGTGGAGGCGGCGGTTTCAACGGATGTAAAGGGGATTTATAGGAGGACGAAATCGGAGGTGAAGAAGGAAAGTAGATTCCGGCCGGTGGCGATGGAGTATCGGAGGACGGAATCGGCGAATTCGGCGTTAGAGAGGTTGAGTAGCGAGGAGTTTCGTTTGAAGGTAGAGACGTTTATAATGGAGAAGAAGAGGAGTCTTGTTCAGGAGCTTGAAATAGATTGTAGAGCAAGTCTCGTTGGTGGTGGTGGTGGTGGTGGTGGTGGTGGTGGGGACTCTGGCTATGGCTCGTGCTAAAAAAAAGCTAACAGAAGAAATGTCAAAACCTCAGTGACTGAAGAATGATTTTATATCGCCGGTGATTTTTTTTTTTTAATTGGCTGGCTCTGTTTTCATCTCATATGGTTAATATGTTTTATGATTGATGAAGCAAATTTACTGAATTTCTTTGGCTATATAAACAAAGATTTTTTGGTTTTTTTCTTTCTTCTTCTTGTCGAGGATTTAGTTAATAAAGATTGTTCTTTTCGGTCTCCTAAATCGTCTCTCTCTCTCTTGATCGCTCGTTTGTGTTGCGGTTTTTGATTTGAGACAAGAAAACAGAGCGAGGAAGTAAAAGAGACAAAGACAAAGTTTAGTCCATAAAATTAAAAGCTGTCTTTTTGAAAATGCATAATCGAGACCGGAATGAAAAAGTCTTATAGACGATACACAATCTAACGTATCTTGCAACTTGCAATCTTATAATCAAATCGCCAATAAACTTTCTGCTTTTTAAATTGTTTTTATTACCAATATTTTCAACTATATGCAAGTTCGTCTTTAAATGTTGACAAATTAACGTATGACATACACTTTAAAAGAAAAAGAAAGATTTGACTAGAATATTGTAGGGCTTTACCCCGATAATAAAGATTGTTCTTTTCGGTCTCCTAAATCGTCTCTCTCTCTCTTGATCGCTCGTTTGTGTTGCGGTTTTTGATTTGAGACAAGAAAACAGAGCGAGGAAGTAAAAGAGACAAAGACAAAGTTTAGTCCATAAAATTAAAAGCTGTCTTTTTGAAAATGCATAATCGAGACCGGAATGAAAAAGTCTTATAGACGATACACAATCTAACGTATCTTGCAACTTGCAATCTTATAATCAAATCGCCAATAAACTTTCTGCTTTTTAAATTGTTTTTATTACCAATATTTTCAACTATATGCAAGTTCGTCTTTAAATGTTGACAAATTAACGTATGACATACACTTTAAAAGAAAAAGAAAGATTTGACTAGAATATTGTAGGGCTTTACCCCGAAGGGAGCCCTTCCAGAAATTCTCGAAGGCCCAAGACAAGCTTTAGGCCCAGGAGGGGGTTTGGAAATAGTTTTCAACCAGCAATAGACGCGCCTCGGTTAGTACCTCATTAGCTGCGTCATTGCCCCAAGCGCAAAGATAATTCCCTCGTAACGAAAGGCCCTTATTTTATACCCAAACGAAACCAATCAAGTTGACATAATGTTTCGATGTGGGATATTGCACTTACTCACACACCGTGCCGTTTGGAGATTATAGTATTGAACAACGTGCTTTCCTCTTACACGCTTGAAACCGCATGGGGGCCCATGACGAAGGTAATCACATCTCAGTTATATTAATAAGTTTACCTCTTTACAAAATTGGGTTAAACAATCTCTACCTTTTAGATCAAAATTTAAAATACTGTATTGCTCTTGTACTAAGAGAAAATGGTCTCTGATATAAATAGAGATGTGTGGTGAATATTAAGCTATTAACTGAAACAGTCTTCTGAATTTCCCCCAAAAAGTATCAAATCTTTTCTTAGGAAACCTAACTTTTTTACATGAACTAAAACATTGTTCCATCAATGGAATATACGAATTTATCAACATACATGTAGAAAAAAAGTACCACCATTTCTCATAACTAGTAAATCGAGCTCTCTCTTCTTCATTAGCACATCTTCTTTTTCTGCATTTTTTCAACAAAAAAAAAATCATATCAGAGTAATTCAATAAAGAAAACAACACAAATTTATGGGTGAAAAAGAAATTAATAACTGACTTACCCGTTGGTACTTCTCATCCTCTTCCCGGTCTATGTAAGCCAGAAGATCATCTTGTCTCATTAAAGCCTCATGTAAAGCCTGATTCATTGAAGAGAGAGTATCAACTATCAAGTTGATAAATGACATTTGATGGAAAAAAACATGGAAGTGAGATCTTTTCTTAGTGTTATGGTTACCTTTTTGGTAGCGATGAGCTCTGCTTCAAGCGCATCAACGCGGTAAACAGCTGTATTAAGCAACTCTTCTTTCTCACGAGGCATCTCGTGTCGCTTCGAATGCAGTGTCTCTACTTGTTTCTCGAGATCTCCAAGTCTGTTTACAACCGAAGAAATCAGATTACTCTCTCTCACAACAGTTGAAAAAGCCGGTGAAGGAGGACGAGACTCTCTAGCGAGTGGTTCATCAACCGAAGTATCAGACTGAGAATCTCCTTTACTCTCTGGCAGAGCCATTGATACGAAAAACGCAAACAAGCTCACGAGCAACGCGGTTAGCCACCTCCAGATATTACCAACCGGTCCTGTTTCAACTCTTTTTATATCACCTTGTGAAGTCTTTGGCTTTTCATTGGCCATCCATGCAACATCCACAACTTTGTCCACCATCGGTGAGTCATACTCGGATGAATCAGTAAGATATGATGATTTACCAATGGTCCTAATCTGAAAGCAAAGGTGAGGAAGTTTAAGTAAAGTAAATCTGAATGCAGACTGTGAATTTTCACAAGAAAGCCCTTACATCTTCACAAACAGGAGTCAACTTGGGAACATGACTCTCCTTATTAGCTTTTGGAGAAGCCATCTCTTCCAATTCAGAGCTTGACTCCGCTGTTGACGTGTCACTTACTTTTATCTAAGCCAAAAAGGAGAAACCAAAACTGTTACTGTTAGATTCAAATGCTAAACTATCAAAAACAAGTATGGTTATCTAAGTCCGGAAGACTTTTTACCCCAGAAAAAGATGGCTTATCGCATGAGGACACACGCGAGACGCTGTTTAGAATCGATGCATGCCTGCAGAGTGTTCCACCACTTTGAACCATCTACAAGTGGAGCAGATCAGTTAGGTTATATAACCACTCTATATTGTGTTAATATCATTAACCAAACACAGTGTGTGAAAAGTTGATTTACATTTAGTATCTCAGGGTCTTTCCAGGGACCTTTATCAGATCTCATACAACCTCCTTGATCTACACAAGTGCAAGTCCCACCAAGAAAATCTGGCAGCTGACTGAAACAAGTTCCAAATTTTAGAGTTAAACCATGTTTTGGGACTCATGAGAGAACCAAACAAACAAGTAAAATTATCTACCTTGCATCAATGATCTCAAGTAATTTGTTCTGGTACTTGTTACCAACAACCTATCAGATGTACAAATCCACATGCGAGTAAAATAATCTTTCATATAACATGCGGAAAATGTGAAAGAAAGGTGAAAAAAATTACATGAATCTTGGTGACTGTCTTTGGATCAAGAAATGACTTCACCGTTCCCCAAAGAAGCTTAAAACCCGAACCAGCATTAATAATGTACATTCGATGAAGTGTCTGCACATATATCATCATGATTACTAAACACACATTTCGTCAAGAGATCAAAAAGCATCCATCTCTCATACCTCAGGGTAGTTATCGTTATCAATCTTCTGCAGCTGAACAATGAGATCCCTTGCAGGCTTAGAGAAGTTTTTATACCCCTGCAAAAACCATACTTTCAGAATTCTAAGTAACAAGAACAACACTACACAAAGAAGAGCTCAGATCATAAGTTACCACTCCCTGGACGTCTAAAATGGTGGTGCTAGAGTCAATGTGTCTCTTAGCAGCAATGCAGCAAGCTGGGAACTTTATGGTGACAGTCTTCTCAAACTCTTTCACATGATACCTTATGTATCTCTCCAACGTGGTCACCTGCATGAGCTTACCCGCATCCACTCTCCCTAACCTCTCAATGTAAACAGGTCTCCCTTCTTTGTCAACACCGTGATACCCCTGAGGATAGTATCTCATAACTTCATCCACCTCTTCAAACTCAAAATCCTCTAAAATTGTATCTGTGCCAAACTCTCTTCTCCATTGAACCATGTTGCTCCACATCAATTTGGATTTCATAAGATCGAACTTCCTAGCTTTCAGGAATCTGGCAGAGATCAAGAGCTTGATTCCATCATCTACAAACAAGGAATCATGTAAAACGATGAATCTGGGAAATCGAAATCACCTCAGCATGATGTGGTAATCGTCGAGCTTCGGAGGGAGGAGATTCTCGGAGACGAGGAGGTTTCGGAATTCGTCGACGGCGCGAAGCTCCTCGACGTCGTGGATGTCTTCGATGGTGAGAGAGAAAGTCCGATCGGTGCTTCTTCTCCTGCTGCTTCCTTTCTTTTTCAGCGAGTGTCTCAATTTGCTTGAGGCTTTGGCTGCTTTCTTCTTGAAACTCCCGATTCTGGTCTTCTTCTCGTCCTCCGAGACTTCGAAATCCGATCTCCGTTCTCTTCTCTCGTCGTTGCTCGAGCATCCTTCAAAACCTGGAAACAAAAATCATTTCCCATCGATTCAGAATCCGAATTCTGATAGTTCCAAAACTCAATATACAATCCGAATTCCGTAACTTCAATCACTGGAATTCATCGATAATCGGAGGAAATGGGGTGAAAAAGTACTCACAAGGCATCGCGAATCGATCGAGAGGGCCTGACATGATGGAGGAATTCGGAAAACAATTCCGATGAATCCCAGAAACTCTGGGAAATTCGGTATCGGGGAGCCGAGAGAGAGAGAGAGAGAGAAGAGGAACAGAGGGAAATTGAAAGAGACGTAAGAGGGAGAAGTAAAGTGATGGGTTTTATGATTTTTGATTATTAAAAGTTTCCTTAATTGAGTAAAAATATTACGTTAGAAACTTAAAACGTGGTTTAATTGTCGCCGGAGACACAACCACCGTCGGTAACTTATTTTCTTTCTTCTTAAAATCAGCCTTGGCATGACTGTAACAATGGTGTATGTATATCTAAAACATAAACGATATTGGTAAGTACTCAGTTATATATGACGTGTTTCTTTTAAATAATATGATTTGTTGTCTTCTGAATCAATTGCAAATTTTGTTTTCCTTTTGTATTAATTATTATTGTAAATTGTTTCTTACATGTATATAGCCCATTTGTGACAAGTGGTTGTCATACAATTTGCTCTGTGGAACATAAGTTTTTGAGATATTTTCATTTAAATGGATAGCTTTGTTTTTTTTGTTTTTAATTGGAAAATATCATTTCTCATCAATTGACATTTCAAAAAGAAAAACTACTCTATTTTTAGTTTTTTTTTTATATAAAAAAATAAATAAATAAAGCCAAAAAGAAACGCATAGGAAAAGCTACATGAATACCATAAATCCATAATGTTACACAGACTTGCCCATCATTATGATTCACCTGATTTAACCACTTGGTTAAGAATAGCTTTTTTAGAATTGAATTTTGTAACTTATTTCAGCCAAACCAAAGTATTAGTCCTAATGAGAAAAAGAACTACAGTATTCTGTTTTCTTTTCAAGATTAGTTTAAAGTCACTGCAGTTTCGTCGGCAAGGCCATCAAGAATTTCTCTTTTTTTCAATGTTTTGTTAAACAATAACCATAAGTCACTTCACTTAAAAATCCGGTCACATAATAGATTAATACCAATAGCTTACTTCTTGGACAAAAACAAGAACTGCAATCAACTTGACAAAGAAGAAAGAAGCACAAAAACAGTAAATTTAAATAAAATTAAACCAGAGTGAGCTTAATTTGCATAAGCAAGAAGACATAGATTAATAAGTAATATTATGTACACACCACGTTACATATAAATATTAACAATAAATTATACATTTTTTTGTTTCAGAGAAATGGGCAAGTAGAAGCACACTCCTCGATCTCGAGAGACACTACTTCTTCATCCACTTTGATCCCTACAGTGACTTCTTCTTCTTATTATCATTTATGTACACAGACAATACTTCCTCCATCGAACTGTCCTAAAGAGAAACAAACATAAGCATCGAAGAAGAATGATACTTTGTCATTTAGATCAAACTCTCGTTTTATTTTCCCGTACCTCTTATGTGTATTTCTTCAGGTTGCGCTTCGCCCGAAACTGGCCAAGTTTGTTTTTCCACTCAGCTGCAAATCATAAATCCAACAATGTATCCATCTTATCTTAGACCAAGAACTAGTCTCAAGTCTTAAGTCTTAAGATGAGCAAATGATTTTATAAAAGATTATATAAGCTTACCGGCTTCATCATATTTCTCTTCATTAACAGCTTGCATCATGTTGCTCAAAATATTGAACTCTTTCGTATCAAGACAATCCTGACCATTTGGTCTGCGCAAAATGTCAAAACCAAGTTTTCAATTCCCAACACTCAAAACTCACAGCAAGAAGATGTGATCGATCTATAGGTGTCTGAAACTGAAACCTTACCGGTCTTGTTCAGTAAATAATAAACCATCAGAAGCAGGTGCCGGTGTGGTCGATGGCTTCCGTGACTCGATAACTCTCATTCCATCACTATACGCAAGGTACTTGTTCACTTGGATAGGTACCTACACAAGAATCAACACAATTATATACAGATTTGCATATAGCTCAATGATATATATATATATATATATATATATATTAACATAGCTATGTATATGTTTTTGTTACCTTGCATCTAACAGCTATATTAATTGCATCTGATGGCCTAAGGTCGAAGCTGACACAATCAGACGCATTACCCACCTGCAATTTCATCCAAAGCCTTAGTAGAGGGAAATAAGACAATGTTCCAAGACTGAAATGAGAACTGTTTGCATAGAAGACATCATTTGCAAACCTTTGAAAGGTATAATTGAGCAAAATACGCCTCGTGAACTCTTTTGGTGACTCTAACAAGTCTAACCTGTACAGAAATTAAGAAACTTTTCATCAAACAATATGTTCATGAGATTACAGAAAAAGGAAGAGAGACTGAAACCGTAAAGACATACTTCGTAACCCATCTTGTCCACCATTTCCTTCACCACTTGATACATGGTTGGTCTTGCCTGAAACCATTAACCAAAACAAAAAAACCATAAATCTCTATTCATTCACTCTTTTACTAATCAAAACAGAGAAACAAAAGCATACAATTTGGACATTCGTCATTGCTGCCATAAGTAACACACTAGGCATCTCCACTGCAGTAAAGAAAAAAAAACAAATCAAGTTACTTGACAACACATTTAAGATTTTGAGATGATCAAAGCTAAAGATACTCAATTCACAGTTTTTTTCCAACGTACAGACGATAATAGGAAGGAGAAGACCAGTGCCATCTTCCATTTTCAAGACAATCGCAGGATGTGGAGCATAATCTGGCAAATGACCTCCTTGAGGATTGTTATGACCACATCTTAGTTGCCTACCGTCTCTCATATTCACCATGAAACCATCTTCTCCACTCCTTACCTCAACTACAACAATTCAACATAATCTAAAAGTGTGAACACAAAATCATACAAAACAGAGAAGAGATTATTATATTTAAACTTACCAGCTTCAACTACGCTAGAGTTGACGAATTCCTCATCGTTCTCGTTGAAATTCTCAGCGGTGCTTCCGTTACCATCAGAGTGGGAGCTGAAAACGCACTTGACGGTGCTCTTGTTGCTGCACCGACGAGGATGTAGACGAAGAGTGACGTGAGACTTGACGGCGATGCCTTTTGTTCGATTACCCCAGAATTGGCTTCTGACGAGTGACGAAGCGCATGCACTTACTTGTCTTGGACGTATCGCAGGGCATACAACTGGTGACTGAAGCGACCTCATCTTTCTTCTTCTTTTTTCCTTAAGAATTTACACAAATACAAAGGAACAAAACAGAGATTTTCAGTAACAAACATGGCATAAATTCAACAATCTGGGATTATAATTTCAGAAATAACAATAGATTCCAGAAATTCTAATAAAAAGTCAAAACAATCAATGATCGGTGTATTGAAAACTGACATTGATATCATTTAATTACCGTATTTACAATAGATATTCACAGATTTCTTAGGATCGATGATCAATAATTAGAAAGAGTATAAACTGTTTTTTGATTCACGTACGATTTTGCGAGCGATAAACTGGAATTGGAGATCGGAAGATCAGATGATCGATTTCAGATTTCTTCGATCCTTTTTGCTTGATCGATCTGTTCGAGTGTACTGATTTTGCTAAAAGTTGTTGAGAAGCCAAAGAGCGAAGAGGATCAATGGAAGATAAAGGGAGAAGAAGAAGAAGATAGAGAGAGATTCTTCACTTGAAACTTGAGAGATCAAAAGAGTGAGGGAATCTCTCTGTCTCCTTTATCGACCCAGTTTTTGCTTCGATTGCCGATTTTACCCTTTTACCAAATTTGTTTAATTTTTGCCGGTGAACCTAACGTCAAACCAGAATATTCTTCATTTTCATTTATTTATGATAAAAGTTTAGTCTAAATAAGTCAAAAATAATTTATATATTGTTGAAAAGGCTAACTTTAACTTTTGTATATTGAAAATGTCAGTATTATTTTTTACGAACTGTATTTATAAATAAAATAGTGATCTGTAGCCTTTGAAATTTCTGATACGAGAAGGCATTGATGTAGGTAAAATAATTAAATATATGTAGGTTATAAAACTTTATTAGATATGTGCTTTCCTAAGGTTTTACAAACTGGACACAGTCAATTACTTATAATTCAAGCAAAGATCAACCAATTACTAATACTAATAGATGATAATAAAATGGAAATTGTACCGAATAATTCACTTATAAAACTGATTTGTTAAAATGATTTGATTTCGTCGTGTTGATTAATTTCTTTGTATTTACGGAAATTAAGAAACTGAGATGGAAGGGTAAAAAGGGTAATGCAATCATATAGCTATGATGACGTGAGAACGAGAGAAACCATAAAAGGTCGACAGGTCATCAATTGCCGGCAGCCGATGTAATTATAAAATTTATAATCGCCTAGAAGGATGCCACGTGTTCATGCGACTTGTATCAGACATGACTTTGGATAAGGTCCTAGAATTTATGAATTATGAGAAACATCGATTCTCTTTTCTCTTTTTCTTGTTCTGTATTTTGTCTTTTTTTTTTAATATATGTATTTTGTAATCTAGATACTATTATTATTGGAGTGATCTACTGTATTTTTGGATAATATCCTTAGTATAATTAATGTTCAATATTTATAACTAAAACTAATATATTCCAATACCTTTATCTGTTTATATAATAAGATACGTAGAATACTGAAATATATGTTGATAATTAAATTATCATGTCAATAAATACGAAATAATTTCAATTTTTTAGAAATTCAAACATTATTTAAGTAAGTGAATTAACATGTTCACATATATCGTTTTTGGTCAACTTATAAATCAAAAGACAGAGATAAGTGAAATTAGCAAAGAAAAGAGAGAAAAATGTGAGTAGTAGTCTGTGTCCAAGTGGAAATAAAAAGACAGCAATAAATAATAAGCAAGTGGAAACTAAAACTGTAGCTTAGAAGTCAATGTCAATGTCAATGATGGGCCCATTGATAATCAAATACCTTATCGGTCCAAAAACTGATATGATGGGTAAATGGCTTCAGAAACGTTCCTTCGTTATCCAATTTTCCAGCCTCAAAATATCCCCAAGATGTTTGGATATTTTTTCTGATTTGTAATTAACTTCGAAATTTGTGTATTCACTGTTGAAACTTGAAAGTGCTCAGAAGCATTGTTTTTTGGGGCACAATTACAAACTATGTTGATCAATAACTCAAATCGGCCCATAACTAGGCCCAATAGAGTTGTAATACGGGAACGTATAAGATTAAATCAATTAGAGTTTTTTTTTCATCTTTAGACTGTGAATTGATTAGCAGAAAACATATAACAGGTAGCCTCTCAAAGAGTTGAAACTGTATTAAACATATAACAGATTTGGCCCTAACAATTCTGGATCTTAAGAGCAATAAATGTATTAACAAATACAATAAAATGATGGTTTTATAAATTAGGAAAAATGATGGTTCTAGTCTTCTAGATGGAGAAGAAGCTTCCTTTTGGTTGAAGAAAAGCTAAACTTTAAGTTCAAACAAAAAAAAGCTGAACTGAAACCAAATTAAATCATTTGTAAGAAAATAAAAAGATATTCAGATGCGCGTATATAGGTGATAAGGTAATTTCGATAATTTTTTATAGCTTTAAAGATTCGATGTCGGCTGCTCGAAGCCTCCTTCACTCACTCTCAAGACTTTGCCCTCTCCCGACCAACCCTACCATTTGTCTTTCTCTTCCTCCTTTGTTTTTCTATCACTATGCATATTTTTCATTTTTAACTTACATAGAACATGATATGTTTAATCGGTTGTCATGTTGGACTTAGATTTCATATCAAAGTACTGTAATGATACGCTTATAATACAAATCGTTTTCACTAAAAACTATGACAAGATATATCGCATTCATACAGAATTAGGATGGATTAATGGTGACTTAATCTTTTTATTCAATTTGATCGAAATAATGAGACAAGAGATCATCAAATACAACCCATACGTAATTAAAGATTTGTGGTCCACTGGTCCTTAATCACTTTTGATCGCTATTCACACCACTAGAGAACCTAGCTCAATAATATATATCATTATAGTTAGGGATTAAACAAAGAATTCGAGAAAATCCATGCAACTTCGACAACAGTCTCAGCGACTATAAAATAGTATTGTCTTTTCAGCAGTGCATGAACCTCAAATCACGTATCCGTCGTCTTTTTGACTAAATTCTTTAGCAAATAGGCACATCTCCTTTAGAAAAATGATCAAAACTCCGTTTAGTGTCACAAATTCTTTAGACGTCGATGATATTGTACTTGTGATTTTGTCTTCTATACAAATACGAAACAAGAATTATAATTAGCAACAAAAACTGAGACAGCGAACTGCGAATTCAAGAATAGGCCATGCTCGTACACCAGCACATAAATACATAATTGGTGTTATGTATATATAATATATATGACTCTATAATGATATATATCAAGATCGAATCTGGTTTTAATATGCAAGATATGATATATCATGCATGTCTGATATTCTGGTGCCTGGAATTTGTTCGTAAGAGATTATTATTTACATTTTTTTTTCTTTGGTCTTGGTTTAAAGAGAAGCTTTCTAGAATTCACATATATTCTAAAGCATGTCTCTTAAACAAAAGAATATCCCTTCCATTTACATTTGTTTTTTTAAGTATGTTATTATGTTCGTCAATCCATTGTATGACATAGACGTATCCATAATTAATCAGTTTATGTTTAGTAAGCAAAATCTTGCACTTTAATCAGTCGGTACATTTTCTCGGACCAATTAATATTATTACGAATTTTGGAACAAACAACAAAATTTGGTTAACACTAATACATGTTTGAATGTGCATGTGATTGTATGAATGTTCACATTGTTGCCTTAGTACCGAAGGAAAGTCCATGACCGTACAAAGCCAGACAGAAAATTCTCGACCCCGAAGTTGCAACATCAGTTTTGATGTGATTGTAAAAAGAAAAATGTTTACGTATGTTTTCTTTATAATGAACGGCCAGTGTGTAAAACAAAATCAGTTGATATCGTAATGTGAGGCACATAACGCGCAACGTGTACATAAGTATTTGAGAATATCTTCTGATTATGTTTGGAAAATTATAGCGATTAGCTTAGGATAAGATACATATTTATGAAACTATAATGATTTTGCGTAGATTCATAGCTGTTATAACTGAAATTAATATGAAAGAGATATATCTTAAAATCCATTGCTTGTATAAGTTGTTGTGGATATAAATGTTTACATTTGTTTAAGAAGGTCGTAGAGAAAACCTTGAAGAATGGCAAATAAGACATTCCGAAAAATACCTCTTTAATGGAAAGAAAAGAGAAACAGAACAAGAACTTCAAGAACATACACACTATATAAAAGAAAAAAGATAACACATCTTTTTGAGACTTAGCTTTTATAAAAAAAAAAAAAAAATTGACCCCAATTGTTTGCACTGAATCTTATCTGACCCACATGACGAACCATCGAAGATACAATGTCTTCCTAGTTTCTCTTTCTCCTTCGTTGATTAATGGATTTTTTTCAAAACTTTGATGTTAGTAGCTAGAACAGTCTAGTCTTTGACCAAACAACTATAGATCTTAAACAGCAAAGTTAATTACTCTATATTTTCTTTAGTCGCCGAGACATATGAATTGAAACAATAATTGCATCGGTGATATCAAGGATTATGGGTGAGAGGAATATAAAAACAAAAACCTAAGGGGTCTCATCGGTAGCTAGTTTTCCATTTTTATTTTTCTGTCTTTGATAGGGATACTCAACGAACATTAGGCAGTTGTTTACATAAAGTGTGCTTAATTATGGATTACGAGCAAACCACCTATACTTATCTAACTATATACATATGTATATACCAATTGTTTATAACTAATTAATTAAATTATATAGAAGATGTGTTTCTTTCTGTTATTATCGAGTTTGATTCTAAGAACTGTACTAAGTACCTAACCCAACAAGTGAGAAAAATGTTCATATCTGACTGAAAATGGAATATTTCTAGAGGATACAAATGTTCATACAAATTGTTTTATATTTCCAAATTGTTTTTATATTTCCACATTACTAAAGTGTCCCATTCATGCAAATTGACTTGTCACCAGAACCCACCTTGAATTAATTTGGCAAAACTTCTTTTGGCTTTTAATTTTCCAGTTTGATAAAAGGTTTCTACAATTAATTTTAAAAGCTAATTTTTCAACCCTCCTTCTTACTACATTTTTTCAACCCACCTTCATATGAAGAGACACAAACTTTGATTGGGTCATCCATCCATGAAAGATTTCAACGATTATGTTGGTTCTTATCACTGTAGATTCGAGATTGATGACATATATCTAATCAATTCACTTTTTGGCAAATCGGATTAACAAACTAAAAGAAAGAAAGATCAGTGTTCAACGTTGTTTTCTTAAAAAAATTGTCAATATCATCCTATTCCATAAGACTTTAGCCTTGTTAGTTCATCATGTTACAATATTATACAATGCTACTAACACAAAAATTAGTTACTTAGCTTCGAGGTAGTACATATATAAGATCAAAAGGAGGTCTGAATATAAAACAACTCCACAATGCTCGCAAAGATGAGAGGACAAAAGCAAAGCAAAAGAGATCAATGCTAAGGAAGAGAGATATAGGCGCATGTGCTTTGAGAAGAAATGTTAGGCAGATTCGGAATCTTTCAGACACCTTCTTTTTTATTACCTTCTTCTTGCTCTCTCTCTATCTCTCTCTCAAGCAAGTTTTGTTTTGTAACAATAAACATTATTATTATTACATTTCTATTCCGCTTTTGATAGAAAAACTGTTTTTGCCAAAACGCAGTATCTTTGCTTTGCATTCTTTTTAAATACTTTTTTTCCATCTCTGTGTATATGTCTCACTAAGCAAGTTGTATCCCTTTTGCGTTGGGTAAAAAGAGACTTTCACACCACTGAGTCACTGACCACACACCACTTACCAAACTTTGCAGTACTAAATCGGTTAATCTCTCAACTTTGATCGTTTATGAGATTCAAAGCGTAACTAAAAAGATGGTTACATTTTGTTTCTTTCAACTTAAATGAACTTTTAGTACTCAATACAGAACATAATTATACAAACTTTGCAGTACTAAATCAGTTAATCTCTCAAAGCGAAACTAAGAAATATGGTCTTTAATTATAACAATATGATGTTTATAACATGCATGCATTAAAGTTACACTTTTTAATTGAATTACTAGGTCAAACTTTAGCTTATAGCCTTCTAAGTACCTATATCGTAGATCTTAAAAGTAATAATAGGTTAACCTAGCAATGCTGGATTTGTTAAGATCCTTATCTAGTTACAAAACTAGTTTTTTGACAATTTATATGAGATAATAAACATTAAAAACAAATTTATCCGAGATGGCCTTAATTTGTGTGTAAATTGTAATGGTACGATACAAAATGGTTTTACATGAATTTGTATTATTATGTAAAACAGATTATGTTCCGTATTGAAAACTAAAACTTCATTTAAGTTGAAAGAAACAAAATGTAAACATCCCCCCAAACGAAAATGAAGAAATACATTCTGGCCAAAAACAATGTGTCACGAAGACAATTACAGTAGTACAAATTACTTTTGTTACCCGTTCCAATCAATGCAGGGACAAATTGATTAATATGATACCTAATTAATGTCAGGCCTCACTGATTTACTTAAACTAAACATTGTTTATTTCAAAAGTTTGATAATTGAAGTACACTATAAATAAAGTAAATGACACGTGTCGACCTTACATCCCATCTGCAGTTTTACATGGGATCCACATGGGCACCGAGCACGCACTCTTGCACGTGCGATGTCCGTACGATGACGGTCCAAATTTCCTTTTCAGTTAATTTAGCTTTTACGTTTTACAATTAGATTCTCAGATTATAATCGTAATTTAAAGAGTACGAATACAAAACTCATAGATGTTTGATGTTCTTCACCAAAAAAAATAGATGTTTGATGTTACTTTGATTTTACGTGCTTAGCATCATTGTTACAATTACGCCTCTACAAACGGGTTTAAATATTAGTACTTTTGTTCATACTTTGAACGTATAATTTTTGTTTTGGTCCCGAATATAATAATTTGTTTGCACGTATGACATGATTTTAAATATGTTTTCTAACCGTCAATTAAGCGACTTATGTTTTGCTTAATTTTAATTTGGAAGTAAGTAACTTTAAACAGACGTTTTGTTTTTGGTTTTTTTTCAACAACAGACGTTTTGTTAATGTTAGAAAAAGTTGGATGACGATATGCGTCAAAACCCATTTGCCATTTCTACATTCTTGATAAATATTTATTTTTAAAAGTTAAAAAATTAATATCAAAGCTATTTGTCCCTACAGTGGACAAAAGCATGAATAAAGCCTTGAATGTGTTAGCTTGCAAAGGGTTAAGTAACTTCTTATAGTATGTGTGGAATTCGGCGTAGACATATCAATTTGTGTACTACTTAACCAATCAGTGGAGATTTCTTTTTATTTTATTTAAGGTCAGAAGTTTGGATACCGACATGAAAAAGAGATTACAACATGCTATGATTCTTTTTCTTTTCTCCACAACACAAGCGTATTTGTTAGTAACACGATAACAATACTCCCTTCGTTCCATCATACTACATATTCTATTGTGAATTTGTGATTGTATGCAAATAAAGTTAATTAAGGAACATAAAAGCAGAGCAAGTGAAACCAATACCTTTTTATCTGTAAATTTGTTAGCATTACATGAATGGACAATCATAAACCTTCATAACGCATATATATGAAACTCAGTACAAAACTTCACGCTTTTAGTTACGAACTACTGGATCGAAAAGCATACTATAAAATCATATGTACATAGTGTTATAGATAAGAAATTAAATTCTTGATGCTTGCATACAACAATAAATTCAACGGCTGGATAATTTACAGGATATAATTTTAAAATATGTACTTATTGAAGTTCCAATTTGACTTGAATCATTGACATACGAATATAAAGAAGAACGTAAATACCGAAACTACCCATACATACATTACGAAATACCACCTCTACCATCATTTATAATTTGTCTTATACAACAGGTGTCCGTTGCTCAACGGTTAATTCTGGTACTTTGGGCGGTGATTCTGATGTATTAAACAAATACGAAAACCAAGAACAGTTTCAATTATTATTGTTTATTTTATTTGTAATTTTGTAGGATTCTCTAATACAAAAATAGTCATTTGACCCAAGAAACTATAAATGCATTATAAAGTATAATTAGAGGATACAAGTTGAAGGTTTTTTAATAAATCAAAATATTCACAAATAGGATTCTTCCACTTCCCATATTAAACAAATGTCTAAAAATGGTTATTTAGAGAATCACTAATCTACAAACAATTAAACCCATACACATAAATAAATAAATAAAATATTGCAAAACAGCTGGAAACTTGACTGTTTCGGAAAATTCCACTTCACATGCTTCATCCCTCAACAGCTTTCCTAGTTTCCTTTTTTCTTTTTTCCCGAATATTCACTTACTGTTTTTGAATTGTTTTAACAAAAATTAATTTTTATTTCCTTCTCCAACTCTATAAAATCCTCTCCCAAACCCTTAATTTACCTCTTCCCCTCTCCGCTCTCGAATACACATCACATTCTCACTTTTCTCCATCGTTTTTGTTTCTCTCCTCTTTCTCTTTTACAGTTTTCTCTAGAAACTTAAAAAAAAAAAAAAAAAAACTCTTGTGTTTTAAAATATTGATGTGTCAAAAACCTGGATCTTGATGTTCAAACATTCATGTCTCCGGTGATTAGTGAAATCCTTAGATCTGGGCTAACTATAGATTCGTCTCTTAGACGCAGGACCCATCTTGTTCAATCCTTCTCCGTCGTCTTTCTCTACTGGTTCTATGTCTTCTCATAAATCATCTCTCCTTTAGCCCCTTAATAATATATAAAACTATATATTATACATATCTCCTTTGGGTCCTGCGTCTTCACTTTAGCATTGTGTGTTTTTCGTTTTTTTTTTCTTTTTAATTTGGTTTTTAAAAAAATATGAATAAAACTGAAATGGGATCGTCGACGAGCGGAAATTGCTCGTCGGTCTCAACGACCGGTTTACAAAACTCCGGTTCGGAGTCGGATCTCCGGCAACAAGATCTGATCGACGAGAGGAAGCGAAAGCGTAAGCAGTCGAACAGAGAGTCGGCGAGGAGGTCGAGGATGAGGAAGCAGAAGCACATGGACGATCTGACTTCTCAGGTGACGCATCTCCGGAAAGAAAACAACCAGATCATCGCCGGAATCGCCGTCACGACGCAGCACTACGTCACCATCGAGGCGGAGAACTCCATTCTCAGAGCTCAGCTCTCGGAGCTCAACCATCGCTTGAGCTCCCTCAACGAGATCGTCGATTTCGTCGAGTCTTCTTCTTCCGCCGGTGGATTTGGTATGGAGACTGGTCAGGGAGGAATTATGGATTGCGGCGGCGGAGGTGGAGGTGGCGGTGGATTTTACGACGGAGTCATGAATCCTCTCAATCTAGGGTTTTATAACCAACCAATCATGGCTTCTGCTTCTACTGCTGGTGATGTTTTCAACTTTTGATACATAAAAACCAATATGGCATCAGGGGTAAAATTGTAATTTACTTATGGATGAAGTGAATGGATGCTCTGTTTTACTTTGTAAGATAGCTTAATTAACGCTTAATCTGTGTTTAAATTGATGTCATGTAGTGAAGCTGGTGATGTGATTTTTGGTATAAGTGGGGGGAGAATATATTAAAGCTGTTTTTCTTTTTTAATATTAAGAAATTGGAGAAATATATAAATTTGTCTTTTTGTGATATGGTTTGTGTTTTCCTTATTTGGGAGCATCTGTTGCCCTTATTAGAAATATGAAGTTTTGGCTATTAGTGAAAAAACGAAAGTAATGTGAAAGCTCGTGGACGGTTTTGAGAGACGGTGGTCCATTTTAAAATACTATATAGAAATGGAGTGTTGTGATTATTGTGTGGGAGACTCTCTCTATTGTCTCGATGTCATAAATAATGATGTATTTTTAGTACTTGCAACAAGATGAATTATTATCATGGGTCACTCAAGTTTTCTCTTTTTCTAGAATCTTACGTACGAGGCCACATGATCTCACTTTACTCGATATCTTCGTTCTTATTTATAATATGCGAATTGTCAATTCTCTATGATTCTCAAATCCCGTTCAACTTATGTATGTGAGGCTTGTTTAGTATTTAAACAGTCCTTCATGGTTGAAAGAACTGGACATAAGAGAAGTCCTCGTACAGTTTTGTTTTTGTATATGTAACAACCGGAGCAATTCATGACTAAAGTTCGTATCAGTTTCGAGATATGTGTGGAAGAGTTCGATATTATTTTCATCTATCATGAGTTTAAGACTAAAACAGCATAGTTTTTTTTATTAAACATATTTTCTACCTCAAAGGATTCATAATATGTTTTGGATAAAATAAGTTCAATAATATGATCTAGAAAAGTCAGTTGTAAGGTAAAATAAGATCTATAATCCATGTAAGGTCCAAAAACCGATTTAGGGTTTGGATTTAAGACGTCACCACCATAATCCTGACCGATATTTAGGGTTTGAGAAAAATCTATAAAAAAAAATTACTCCAGAAGAGTAAAGACACAAGAAAACAATAAAAGAGAAAATATTTGATCAGCTAACCTCGTCGCTTTAACGAACAAGTGACCGAAAACTCGACAATGCTCACTCATATCAATTATACCTTCTGCTTCTATGAAGATCATAGAAGTTTTTTTTTTCTCGAATAACAACTTAGCACTTACGATTCTTTGTAGTTCAAAGCTTTATTATCTGAATAAAAGAATATTATCTATTAAAGTTCTTTGTACTCGAACCAGTCAAAATGTATCTAATGTATTGTATTCAGTTATTTTGAACTGTAAGTTTCTTAACTTCTGTAAAATTATCACCTGAAGGATGCCTTATATATTTGAAACTTTAATATCACACAGAGATATATACAACTAACTTTCTCCCTTCTCAAATGGCATTCATCTAACTGGAATGTTGTTTAATTTCAACTATGACGTACATATATATGATGAGATGATTTGACAAACAAATCATTCTCACTGATCGCCAGGCACTAAAACAGTACTTTGTATTAACTTTTACAAATCCACCAAGCCAATAGGCGTAAAAGGTCAATGACAATATTATTTGAAAACTCATATATGTTGAGTACTTGAGTTCAATGAATCCATCCATATACCCTGCTGATTAGCGATCTTGTCCTTATTTGCTTCTTGCAAATTATATTATATATATGTATCATACAAATACAATATGTGTAGAGGAATATAAAAATGGGGGCAAGTAGATGTTCTTGTCTCTGACTTAGCGTAAGAATAAAACTATACTCAGGGTAATAATATGTCGAGTATATTTCTTTGTCGCCACCACAATTTATTATCTTCATTTTGCCTCTCTTTAATAATCGATCCGAATAATACACGTACGAAAGCTCATTAGAATCGATTCTTTAGATAGTTGCACCATTCGCTTCTTCATATTTTTGGCGTAAAATCTATTTACTTACGATTATATTCCGCTAACACTAGCTATTGGATAACTTTCACGTTCGTAGCTTTTAGACAATTGTACAATATGGCAAAAAAAAAATATATTACTAGTATAAAGGAGATGTATTGAGTGAGATATTTGAGATAATCGTTCCCTTAAATGTTTACATACAGCTGAGCATAGGCAAATGAAAATCATGGTTTCGAACCCAAGAATTTCACAAACAATTTTTCTATACTGAAAAGGGATATACATAAATGACATAATTTTCTTAACTTGCATAAAGATATCATCGAATACAGTAAAAGATTCTTCTTAGCAACTGTAGATGTTTTACATAGAAAAAAATCTAGACATGTGACAACTGATAAGATATCCAGCTTTTTACAGGCTTCAAAATTTATCTACCTTTCTGTCCAAAATCTAGACATGTTTACATAGAAAAAAAAGTTATGGGTTGTAAAAAGAAATAACCAAATTTTCAATTTCCCTTATAGAATAAGATATCAAGTTATCAACTAGTGATGATAAGAGAGAATAATCACTTCACAGAAAAAAGCAAAAAAAAAAAACTGCCATTTACACTTTGCAAAGGTTGTCGACCAATTAAGAGTTCTGGTCCAGGCTTTGTTACTAACGGGCCCTCTACGACATGGACCCAATAATAATACGAAAAAGCCCGTTCTATAAACAATAAATTTTGACAATTAATAAATCAAATCTACATTGTAATAAAAGTTGCAAAAATGCAATAGATTGACTTCCCGTATATGGGGACAGAGCATGATTTCATACCATTAATGTATATTTTCTTACTTACAAATAAGAAACATTGCTGCAGTGCCGGTCCAACGAATTTAAACGCCTACTCGAATCTAAAAAGTATGCCTTATAATTTTTTTTACAAAATCACAAAAACTGTAAAAATATAAAAAAACCCTTAAAACTTCATAAAATAAACAAGTTCTAAATAAAAAATTCCCAGTTAGTAAATAATTTGCAAAAAAAAAAAAATTGATTTCTTATGGTTTAAATAAAGCTCTCTTTATATTTTGAGCTGCAAAATCATTTATTAAACTCACATAATGATACACATACTAAAGATATTTGTTAACAAATGCCCTATAAATATTAATATCACTAAAAATTTTTAAAACTTTGTACATGATATATAAACCCCTTTAAAAAAAATTAACAAAAAATGTTCTTGTTAAAATTTTGTAAATAATACCTTTAAGAAAAATTTCAGTAACTAAAATATGCCCTTGTTAAAACTTTGTAAATGATGTTTATACATCCTTTAAGAAAAAATTTATCAAAAATATGCCTCTAATAACTGGATGCCCTACTCGGCCGCTTACCCTGCCTGTGCTCGGGCCGGCCCTGCATTGCTGGATAAAACAAATTCAAAAGCAAAGTTTTCAGAAATTAACAAATTCGGAATGCAAATGAATAAATTCGTACCGAAAAACTTTTTTTTTTGTGTTTACATTTTAACAATTCGAAACGTAACACATGGTGCAATTTGTCTAACCTAGTTGCTGACAAGTTTTGGCATTTACACTTTTAAGTACGTACATTGATAAATGTTATTTAATCCTCATTAATTTATTGTCTAACTGATGAGAGTGGGTGAACAAATATACTACTCCGTCAAGAAATATCGAAACGTAACACATGGTGCAATTTGTCTAACCTAGTTGCTGACAAGTTTTGGCATTTACACTTTTAAGTACGTACATTGATAAATGTTATTTAATCCTCATTAATTTATTGTCTAACTGATGAGAGTGGGTGAACAAATATACTACTCCGTCAAGAAATAGTAGAAATAATACATTAGTTGCCAATGCCATTTAATTTTTGTTTTTATACATATTTAAAGCTTGTATTTATTTAAGTGGTGGCAGAGAAAGTTTTGGCTTTTGCGGCTAATGGAGAAACAGTAACACGTAGAGCGCACTCATCGTGGTCCTGAAGCCACCCAATCTCTCCTAATTAATCAAAAATTTAAACATAAAGATCTGTTTATTAAATCTCTCTTTTTCTTTCACCAACATTTCGAGTTTATTTACTCAAACTCTAATGTTTACGACTTTCATAATGGTTTTTGTTTTATCACTGAAATTGTTGATTGAGATTCCGAGAATAGACCAAACTTTACCATAAAGCAAAAGTATAAAAAATAAAAGGAAATTAAAGAAAAAGTGAAAATTAAAATTGGTTTTCTTAAATAAAAGAAAAGAAAAAGTGAGGAGGAACGTGGCACAATTCCCCGTGCGTGTTTCTCCATCCCCAGACGCAGACGCAGACGCACCCAAAACTGTTTCTCCTTCCTCCTCCATCTTCCTCTCTCTCTCTCTTCCTCTCTCTCAGATCGATTTTGGTTTTTTTTTTGCCGATCGACGGTTATCTCCGTCGTTTATACACCGCCGGAGGATCTGTCTCCGATAACATATGCCCTTTCTTATCCTCGCGCGCATCTTTCTACGCTCTCTTCCTGTTTTGATTCGCCGAGACATTCGTTTGTCTGGTGAGCCTTTGTTTCCGCCATCGTTATTAAATCTATCCTTCTCCCCAATATATATATTTCCTGTGGGTGATAACGAATTGACTTAGAATCTTAAGGTTGATTTTGGTTACTATTGTGTATCGTTAGATTCGTTTCCGTGATGAATTTTGGATTTCCTGGGTTTTGACTCAGGACTATGTGAGATACTTTCCGAGTTGCTGCATCATCTTCCTCTCTCCATTGAAATTTCTGATTCATTTTCCCCTAGAAATTGTTCGAGAACATAATCAAATTCAGAATTTTTGAGTTGGTTTTTTCGAGATGCGTTTCTCTTTATTCAGTGAAAGTTTCTCTCTGTATCGATTGATTTCATCTGCTTCATAGATTCTTCTCTTTGGTTGTAACCATTTTCAGATCTATTTTTTGCAGGGTTACAATAGGAAGATAGGTGTTTTGCTACTGCGTTAAGCAGAGAGTATAAAGAAATAGTTTTTTTGTGAAGAGATTATGGGTTCAGTTTGTTGTGTAGCTGTGAAAGACAGAAAGGTTCCTCCTAGTAGTGGTGGACATGCAGGTGCAGCTCTTCATCGTAACTCAGCATGCTCGCCGCAATGGAGTTTCCGACGTGACAATAGGAGACGTGTAGCTGATGAGATTGAGGGGTCACCTTATTACAGTCCATACGTTGGGAGTAGAGGAATTAGCATGGATAAGATGTCATTAGGCTCTCTCTCTGAAGGAGGAACCCCTCCTGATGGGCATTTGGGGACCCCTGCCTCTCAGAAATCAGTAACTCCAGAGATTGGCACCAATTCAATGGTACCACCTTCTTCAGGTAATTAGCTCAGACAACACTTATTGGAAGCTTCATTGGATCAAAGATGGAACTTTATAAGTAGAGCTTGCTAGTTTTCATTATCTCTATCTCGTTCTTGCTAGATATAGTTGCCAGAGGGATTTTAAGTGTGATGTCTTCGACCATATTTGCATTTTACTGCAGTGTATTAAGCTTGCTTATTGTATTCTTGCTGTGTCTTATGTTACTCTTTTGTGTGTGGCAGATTCATCCTTGGTAAGCCATGATCCCATCGAGGTGAGATAACTTACATTTCTCTACTTTGAGGTTAGAGTGATTTTGTCTTGTGTGCCTCTTTGGGAAGCATTGTTTTAAGCCCTTTTTGGCTCTTCAATGTTTTCAGGTGAAGAATTTGGTTGAGTCACAGAGTAGTATTGTGCCATCAGCGCTTCCGAAGCCTGTGTTCTCAATGCCTTCTCTTTCCCCGCCAGTCTGTGATCTTTCATCAGCTCACTCACGTTTGCTTCCTCCGAAATCCACACCATCAAGACGGGCTCGCCGTTCACCGGGGCATCAGCTGTTTAGGCAGGTTTCCGATAGTCAGATTCTAGGATTGAAATCCCCAAACAACAACTACTCAGTCTCTGAAGGAAGGTCGTCCTTTGTGCTTTCAACCTGTAGCAACGACTTCGCCAACGGATCCAATTACGCTTCCTCTGAAGGTGGCTGGTCCTTGAACGCTTTCTCTGAGCTCGTGGCGTATTCTCAGAGAGAGAGATGGTCCTTCGATAGCGAACAGTTGGATTCTGGCAGACGGAAACTTAGTGGTGGTAGCAGCAGATTCTCCTTCTCCCCTTCCGTTGTCGTCGACCAGCAGAGTTGTGGCGCTTGCTCGAAGCTACTAACAGAGAGGTCCTCCATCGCCACTTTCGAGCTCCCAATCGCCGCTGTTCTCGCGTGTGGCCATGTTTACCACGCGGAGTGCTTAGAGACCATGACAAACGAGATGGAGAAGTACGATCCCGCTTGTCCCATTTGCACGATCGGAGAGAAACGAGTTGCGAAGATCACTAGGAAGGCCTTGAAAGCGGAGGCGGAAGCGAAGGCGAAGCATTACAAGAGATGTAAGAACCGTGTGGTGGATAGTTACGGCGAGAGTGAATGCGATGAGTTTGTGTTTCAGAAGACGGGGAAGAGAGAAGGCAAAGCTTTGAAGATGGAGCCTAGTTGCAGTAGCAAAGGCCCGTCTAAGTCGTTCTTGAAATGGCACTTTGCTTCTATCAGCTCCAAATGGAGTAAACCTTCGTCTAAAGACTCTGCTTTGAAGAAAGGGTTTTGGTCTAGGCATCGTAATAGTAACCGTTCTTCATCAAGCAGCATAGAGGTAAAAGATCCGGTAATACACTGTAAAAAAATGTCAATCGTGTTTTTACTAATTTAAGAGTGATTGTCTCATGATAATTGATGATACACATTTCAGGGACTTAACCAGACATCTCAGCTTTGATGGATCAGAGGAATGTGGGATATTTAGGAAAGCTTGTATAAAACAGATCTTGAAGCTTCAGCTTTAGTCTTTAGAGCTGTGTCCTTTTAACATTTTTTCTTTGTTTTTGGATGTTTTGTGTGTTTCAGTGTAACCTATGGTGATAATTTTTAGCAATGAAACAAACTTGTCATTTTAGCATTTTACAGAGTCTCTTGAGAAGTTTACAACTTAAAACATGCTTAATGAAAAAAAAAAAAAGAATGAAAAAACCAGGTGTGACAGTAACAAAATGTTTATTTGATTCACACTTGAAAGTATTTGTTTATACCACCACGAAGATTATACACAAAAACATTACAATATTTGGCTTACCAAAGTGTACATAAGGCTCAGTTTCATATACAAATGTAAAGAGTAAAAGACTAACCATCTACAGTTTTCACAAAATCTAACCTTTTATATATGCCACAACAAATATTACAGATATATCTTTTGTGTATATATCCGCTATCTATAAAAATGCTGAAAAGCGCGTTTTCTTGCGCTTCAAGAATCATCATACTCTCTCCCACCAAATCCAATCACTGTGCGTTTCATTGCCAGTTCTTGAGCTTGTGAAAAAAGTTTTTCAGACGACAAAGTCGTGTAATTGATGAGGATTAGAGAATCTCCCATCTTGCTGGTTTCCAAGTCCAATGTATCGATTGTAATCATCGATACCAAAGCCATGATAGTTCATCAAACTGTCGTAATCTCCAGTACCAGCACGGTCTGGTTTCGGATCTGCAAAGACCAGGTTCTCTTCTGCTTCAGATGTATAAACATTGTTGTTGTTTCCTTGATTCTGTTGTTGCGTAGAAGAAGAGTCTTCATGTTTGAGCTGTGATGTTTCCTGCATTTTGCTATTGTTGTCTTGATTAGAGTTAGAGACTAACTCTGACGAATCTCCTCCAAACTCTTCTTTATACATCTCTTCAATCATCGGTTTCCATAACCGAACTCTCGCGTTAATAAACCAATTCGCAACCTAAAATCAAGAAACAGAGGAACCACTCAGATAAACCGCAAGAACAAAAGATTAAGCCTTGTCCTGTCTCGGTGTTACCTGGTTTTTCGATAGTCCTGTCTGCTTCGCAAGCATGATCTTCTCAGATTCCTTAGGATATCTACAGAAAAAAGGTTACTAATTAAGCAAAGAGGACCAATAAACAAAAGTGTTCTCTTAATGAAAAAGACTTACGGATGAAGGAAATGCTCAAAGAGCCAAGCTCTGAGAATAGAAACAGAGTTTTCAGGCAAGCCTCGTTGAGGTCTCCAAGCAGGTCTAACCATTCCAAGCTGTTGATGCAAAGCTCTCTGTTGTCTCAACCTTTGATCTAAATACCTAAGACGTGGTATCCTCTCTCCTCCTTGCTCATCAGAAGTCTCTTTCTCCCCAAGCTTCCCTCTAATCACCTGAATCTGCTCCTTGATCGCATCCCGCAAGCAACGGAAATGGCGAGAGATTCGATTCAGAGCAACCGATGTGTATGGCTTAGCTGCTCCAAGACCTGTTACCATCTCGAATGACGAAGCTAACGCTTCCATTTGATGGTAGTATTGGTTATACCTTTTATCTACCTGCAAACAAAAATCATCAACAATGGATTCAAAAAGTTTGTTGCTTTTTTAAAAAGTAATTCAATTTACCTCATCCACCATTGTTAAGAGCTTGTTCTTCTTGCTCTGAAGCTCTTGACGTTCTGAAGGAGACAACTCTTGAGATTTCTCTTCGACCTCTGTGTTGTTGTTGTTGTTATCGCTTGACCCATTAGTAAAGTCTTGACCTTTATCGTTGTTCTTGCTCTTCTTATTGTTATTATTAGTCGCCAATTTCAAATCTTTCCTGACGCTAACGACTTCATCGAGCAACTGCTGTGTGGGTTTTAGGTAACGAGATCTCAACACGCTGCTGACGAACCCTGATGTCTCGTAACGGTAGTTGTTGTAGAATCCGACTCCATTGTTGTTGTAATTGCCAGAGGAAGGAATCTGCTCTGGTTGATGATGATGATGGTTGTGGTTTAAGCTTTTGACATTCTCATCAGACGGATTGTTGTTGTAATTCATTTGGTTGGAGAGGTTTTGGTAATGGTACTGGATCTGATTACCGAGGCTTAAGGAAAGTCCTCCGCCGTGAAAGCTTAGATCGTTGCTTGAGACTGTTACGTTTCCGACGACGTTGTCGTCGCTTGTTGGTGGGATGAAAACCATCTCGTTTCGGACAACGCCGGCGGAGTTTGGGATTTCGAGACAGTTTCCTCCGCCGCCGCCGCCGGAGACGATGTCGGAGAAAGACGCGGCGGAGGAGGAAGAAGCTTGTTGCTGTTGCTGTTGTTGTTCGTTGAGGTAGATGGATTCTTGGTAGAGAGATTGCATGCCGACACTAGTTGGGTAATAAACTGCCATGGATTTTGATTTAAAATGTTGTTATTACAGTAAGTCTCATCCAGATTGAGCTTTTGTCCGAAAACGAGACTTCCTGTAAGAGAAAGAGAAAGAGAGAGAGAGAGAGAGAGAGAGACGTGTAAGTTTGAAACTTAAAATTTTCTGGATAATAAAAGGAACAATCTTGGTTAAAACATCGTATTCTCACGCCGCAATTACAGATGGAATAATTCAAGAAAAGAAATGGTACCCAGAAATCCCCAATTTAGGAAAGAAATTAAAACCCTAATCTTTTATACGGAAGAAAGTTTTGCCACTTAAAATCAGTGACGCTAAAATTTGAAAAAAAAAAGCAGATGATGATGAAATCATGAAAGATCGATAGTACATAAAGTGTTTTTCATTTTTTTTTTCTGATGATTTCATACTTTCACAATCCATGAGGATATAATTTAAACACAGAAAGAAAAGAAAAGCTTTTCTAGTACAGAATCAATCATAGCTTTAAATCAAGAAACTAAGAACAATCGGTATTTAAAAGATTAAAATAAAATCACAACCTGAGAGGGAGAGTTTAAAAACCCTACAAAAGAGAGAGAGATTGTGGATGTGTGGCTGAATCAGGGAACACAAGAAAAGAGAAAAACTTCGAACAGTCGAAGACAAAAAGAGAGAGAAAAGAGAAGAAGAAACCAATCCCAAGGGAGACGATTAATAATTGTGATTATAAAATGAGTAAACAAAAATTCTTGTTCCTTTATTTTTTTTGTTGGTCACTCACAGAGAAGAACAGAACCAACCCATCTTATCATTGGAACCTCGACAACAAACCCCAGATTTTAAAATTATTAGAATAATGTTTAACAAATATCAACAATATCATAATCTATGAAGAAAATTTGACAATCTCTCTACCAGTAATTCTTTATTGAATTTTTATTCCACCGAAGCTTCTATATCAAATTTATCAATATTTAATTAATTTATTTTGGTTTTTCCTGTGCCAACCATTTAGAGAATAGCACGCGTGAGCAGAAAATTCATATATCTATTTTTTCTGTTTGGATTATTAGAGATAATACAGAATATATTTACAAATACGACTTTTTATATGCATTTACATTTCATACTATCGATAAACAAGCTAATATTATTGAACCGGAACGAATACTGTGTTGTCATTGACTTGACTTGGTGCTTATATTCAAATAAATAAGATAAACAAATAAGCGAAAACATTTTAAAAACGAAGAAAAGAGTTGAATTTCGTATTGTATTTTTGTTTTTTTAGAAGTTTAATAGCTTGGACACAAATTCAAGCAACCGTTGAATTGTTTTACTATTAAACTTTTCCACCAAAACTTAATAGATTAATTGACTAAAAGCATCTCAAGATTAGTTGTTGTTGTGCTGATAAAATCATAGGTTAGTGTGAACCAACAACATATGTTTTCTTTTATTTCGTATATGATTGCGAATCCCTGTTTATAAGCAAACATAAAACATGTGTTACGACTTACGTGACATGATACTTCATAACTAATCTCTAATATGATTGCTAAGTTATCATAATGACAAAACTCTCTAACAAAATAAATCAAACGAACAGTTTTTGTGGAGTATCCTACTGTTCATAGATACGTGTTTCGTTCGCGTAATACATCGGGCACACATTTCTTATTAAGTGACGTGCAAAAGTGGTAATTAATTATCTGCATTTTTTCAGAATTTAATATTTTTTACTTAATTAGTGATAAATAGAAATGTCAGAAAATCGAATATATTAAATATTAACACGTTAAATTACAAAACCACCAAATGGGAGCTATGTAATTTGATTTGCTAGAAATGTCATTCGAGGAAGTGTGTATGCTAAATTGCTTAATTGAGGGATTAAAGGACCTTAACAACCAGTTGGTGACTACCCAATTTCGTTCCTTGTAAGTTGTAACGAAAGAATCCAATTATTTGACTAACAAGAAACATATGCCTCTTGAATCATCAATAGTTAATTGTACAAGTATACGACATGAGGAAAAAGTACTAGTAGTATCCATAAAACAAATTGGAAGAGAGTTTTTATAAGCTTTATGATAGGTCGATTTCTTGTCCCAGAGGATCTATGGAGGTTGTGTAATAAATATATGAAAAAGTAGAATTTTTTGATAAAAATGATGAAATAAATAAGGTAGATGTGTCGGACGCGAGGTTGGTGAAAGTGGCCAAAAAGAAAAGACTTGGACTCCAATTGCCTCGTCGAAGCTTATGGAAGGAAGCTAACGGCTTTGTGTCCAAAATTCATCAAATTGTATCTAATTTTCCTTCTGTATATTTTGTTTTTGTTCTTTTTTGTTTTATTTATTAATTTTGTCGTAGATTGGAACAGCCGACGCAAACCTTTCGAGGAGAATCAATGTGTTAACTAAATAAATTACGTATTTTTTTGTTCATACATGACTGGATTATTTGTTTTGTTTAATAAACATTTTTGATATGGAATTTGTAAAGGGGGAGGTGGGAAAAAATAGACAAATTCGAAGGATTCAATATTTTAAATTTCTAAATTAGGTTTAACGAATGTGGCTTTTCTAAAGCGAATTATCATGAGTTTTGTAAGAATAATAATAATAAAAAAAAGTTAAGACAGTAATGAATCGATGATGATGGATGATAGTGCTAAATGAGGAAATGGCGAGTAAGAAACTTACAGCTTTTTGTTTGGACGAAAGCTTCCCTTAATTTATTAATCAAAAGAAACAGATAAACATCTTTTAAAACACTATATTATGACAGCTAATCATAATTAGGATACCGACTCTAATTAAAATGTGTGGTTTGCTCTCTCTCTAATTGCTTCGTTAATAAATGATACCGACTAAATTGGAGTTCAGTGTTTTCAGGAACTGATTGGGCTTTTTATCAAAGAGGCCCATGATAATCCAGAGGGACAGAGAACGCGCAGATAAAACAAAAACGGCATGACGTTCTTCAAGAATAACGTGAAAATGCCCCAAAAACGGCGTGAAGTGCGAAGTTTAAAGACCAAAATTCCTTTTCCAGATTCTCTCATCATCATCAGTCTCACTGACTTCATCAGTTCTGATCCAATTTTTACCAATTCCAGTCTCGATTAAGCTTCTTCGCCGGAATAGTTTCTTCGGCGATCATTACCTAGTTCTACGAGGAATTTTGATGTTGAAATTGATGTGCCTTTAGCGGAGGAGGAGGATAACGATGGGGAAGCCGTCGACAATGCAGAAGAAGAGATGGGCTCTGATGATTCTGTTGGTGTTATCTCTATCAACCGTCGGAGTGATTCTCGTCAGATCTAGCTTTGACTCCTGCAGAATCGGCGGTAAGATCACCGGACACCAATTCGCGGAGGAGAAGTTCCGATCAGCTCCGGAACGGCCGAATCCTCTAGGTTTCATGAAATCGAAGCTCGTTTTGTTAGTCTCCCACGAGTTATCACTCTCAGGTACTGATTCCAAACCCTAATTTTAATCTGGGTTCCTCTGTAAAAAATCCAATTTTTGCTGATGCTGCGATTGGAATTTGTGTGACGTCATAGGTGGACCTTTGTTGTTAATGGAATTAGCGTTTTTGTTAAGAGGCGTTGGTGCTGAAGTCGTTTGGATCACTAATCAGAAACCAAATGAAGAAGATGAAGTTATCTCCAGTCTCGAACACAAGATGCTGGATCGAGGTGTGCAGGTTATCTCTGCAAAGGGTGAGAAAGCCATGGATACAGCTCTCAAGGCTGATTTGATTGTTCTTAATACTGCTGTGGCTGGGAAATGGCTTGACGCTGCTCTCAAGGAGAATGTTGTTAAAGCTCTTCTTCCTAAGATCCTCTGGTGGATTCATGAGATGAGAGGTCACTATTTCAAACCGGATTTGGTCAAGCACCTCCCTTTTGTTGCAGGTGCGATGATTGATTCACACGCAACTGCTGAATACTGGAAGAACAGAACTCAGGCACGCCTAGGGTTCGTCCGTTTCCTCTTTTCCCCATTTTCAGTTTTGTTTCTTCTTCTTGTAGCTTATACGTTGTTCTATGACTGTTAATGTAGGATGAAAATGCCTAAAACTTACGTAGTGCATCTAGGAAATAGCAAGGAGTTGATGGAAGTAGCTGAAGATAGTGTTGCCAAGAGAGTTCTCCGTGAGCACGTTAGAGAATCTCTCGGAGTTCGTAACGAAGACTTACTATTTGGCATTATCAACAGTAAGCCATCATTTCAAGTCTTCCTCTTTCTCAGTTTCCTTGGGAGCAAGAGTTGTGTATTCATCTAGACGTTACTTGCTTGGATTTTGTTTCAGGTGTATCGAGAGGAAAGGGCCAAGATCTGTTTCTCAGAGCCTTCCAAGAAAGTCTTGAGATAATCAAAGAGAAGAAGCTGCTTCAGGTACCAACAATGCATGCGGTGGTAGTAGGAAGCGACATTAGCAAACAGACGAAGTTCGAGACAGAGTTACGCAATTTCGTCCAAGAGAAGAAACTTCAGAGCTATGTCCACTTTGTCAACAAAACTCTAGCAGTAGCTCCTTACATAGCAGCTATAGACGTTCTTGTTCAAAACTCACAAGCTAGAGGAGAATGCTTTGGGAGAATCACAATCGAAGCCATGGGATTTAAGGTACCTGTGCTTGGTACTGCAGCGGGAGGTACGGTGGAGATTGTAGTGAACGGGACGACTGGTTTGTTGCACGGTGCGGGTAAAGAAGGTATGAAGCCTCTTGCTAAGAACATAGTGAAATTGGCGGTGGAAGTTGAGGTGAGGCTAACAATGGGGAGAAATGGGTATGAGAGAGTGAAGGAGATGTTTTTGGAACATCATATGTCGCATCGAATAGCTTTGGTGCTTAAAGAAGTGTTGCAACACGCAAAGGCTCATGCTTTACAGTGAGATCAGATAATGGAAGTTGATTTTTTTTCTTCAGCTCATAGGTATGTTCTTTGTCTCTCTTTGGTACGGTTCCATGGAATCAGATTCTGCAGAAGGCTTTTTGTATAATAGATGTAGCGAAAGACTGCAATTTTTCAACGAAAATTCTAAATGCTTCTCGATCTTTCTCTGTTCGTAGAAATTTACAAACTTTACCGCCAAGGAAAGATTGTTATTTTCTTCTTCTGTTTTTGTAATGGTGTTTCCGATTAAGAGTTCAAGTCTTTCAAATATGGTTATCTTTGTGGGCTAAAATGATAAATGTGAAATGTATGGGGTTAAAAGTCGAATATGTGAAAAACAGCGGGACTCGATAAAACAAAATTCAGTTGTGAAAATTAGCGGGAAGTATATAACAGATTCTTGATTGTTTCCGTTAGCAAAAACTCACTTGCAGAGAATGAAAAACTCAGAATCGTAAAGCTTTCGTCATCTTGATTTTTTTTTTTACTTTCAAGGTTTTTTGGTAGTTTGCTTCAATGGAAGGTGGAGAAGAAGTGTCAGCGAGGAGGAACAGAGTCATTGCTTTCTACAAGGCTACTCTCAACCATCGCAACAGCTTCAAAAGTTTCATCAAAGCTTGTCAAGATTCCTTCTCAAAGCCATAAATTTTCCTTTTCTCCTACATATATCGATTCTCGAAATGTTGCAGTGACACGTGTTTTTCTGATTTCCAGGTGAGGACTACTTGGAAGTTTTAACGGGAAGGCTTGAGTACACTGGAGACGTACTCAGATACCTTACGGATACTCGTGCGGAGTTTGTTGCAGAAATTGTGAATCCTATTGACAAAGAACGATGTGATTTTTCTCAACTCTTGATTATGATTTTCTTTCTCGGAATCATTCGCTTATTTTACAGAATTGATCTCAGATGCTGTGAAAGGAGACGACGATGCTGGTTACGTAGTTGGTTGCTGTAGCAAAATTGATAAAGCAAAGCTGATTTCTGGAACCAGAGTTACTCTTGAAAGTGAAACGTTGACGATCATGAGAATCCTCCCTCCCAAGGTAAAAACTTCATTTTGTGGATTCGTCTCTGTTTTCGTTTTGGTTTGCTCTGTTTTTGTTTGACTGGCTCTGTTTTTTGTTCGTTTGGCTCTGTTTTTGTTTGATTTCCTCTGTTTTTGTTCGTTTGGCTCTGTTTTTCTTTTTTTCCGATCTTTCATTTTTGATGTCCAGGTTAATCCATTGGTTTACAATATGCTGCAACAAGAATGTGGAGATGTTAACTACTCAGATCTTGGTGGTCTATCTAAACAAATCAGAGATCTGAAAGATTGGATCGAACGTCCTCTCAAAGATCCTGAAATCTTCAAACAAGTTGGAGTAAAACCTCCCAAGGTTTGATTTTTGGTTTCATAATCTCTCCAAAAATAAAGATTCATTGTTTTTGACTAATATTAAATAACAGGGAGTGCTTCTCTATGGACCTCCTGGTACCGGAAAGACATTGTTAGCCAGAGCAATCGCTAGCAACAATAAAGACTTAACCTTTTTGACGGTAATGCATAACTCTGTTTTTGACTGCTCGTTTTTCCTTGAATACACCAAGTTTTAGTGGTAATTTGGTCTTTTTGTAGGTTGTTTCGAGCGCGATTGTAAGCAAAATCATGGGAAATAGTTCATTGTTGTTGAGAGAGATGTTTAAATATGCTCGTGATCATCAAGTAACTTCCTTTTTCTTGCTTACTTCTTGTTTGTGATTTGTGTTCGTTTCCTTTATAATGATAAGCTGTTTTTGTTTCTTGGTCTGGTTAAAGCCTAGCATCATCTTTATGGATGAGATTGATGCTATTGGAAGACGTCGAAGATCCAGCGAAGGAGAAGTGAAGACTGATGGAGAATCTAGAGTGCTCTTCGAGCTTCTCTCTCAACTCGATGGATACGACGAGCTTGAAAAGGTGAAAGTGATAATGGCAACAAACAGACCTGATGTTCTTGACCCTGCGCTTCTCCGACCTGGTAGGATCGATAAGAAGATAAAGATCCCGTTGCCTAATGGAGATTCTAGATTGAGAATCCTTGAGATTCATGCTTCTCGTATAGCTAAACAAGGAGAGATTGATTACGAAAATGTCGTCAGACTATCTGAGGTTCGTTTGTTCTTGTTCTTGTTCTGTTTGTTTTAAGCAAAGCAAAACTCTTCATTGAAAAGTTGTGACTTTGCAGGGATTCAATGGAGCAGATATGCGTAACATATGTACTGAAGCAGGGATGTTTGCTATACGTGCAGAGCGTGATTACGTTGTCTCTGAAGATTTCATCAAGGTAACTAAATTTCTGATTGTTATGATGTTTTAATGTTTGATATGATCAAAACTACAACATGTTTTCAGGCTGCAAGAAAACTAGGCGAAGCGAAGAAACTTGAGTCCAATGCAGAGTACAATGCTAATTTCTGAATAGAGTAAAGACAGGAACATTAAGAAGAAGAGATACAAATGAAGTAGAAGAAGCCTCTGTTCTGTTTATTGATTTTCAGTTAGTTTGAGTCATAATTGCTTTCTCTTTGCATTGACTCATCTGAAGAATCTCCAAACTCCTCTCTGTACATCTCTTCTATCATTGGTTTCCAGAGTCGGACTCGAGCATTTATAAACCAGTTTGATACCTTTGATCACAAGCAAAAACAAAAGTTACATCAATTAGATTCTTTATGATAGGAAAAAAATGTAGATTCAGATTCAGAGGAGTGTACTTGGTTCTTGGAAAGCCCTGTTTGAGATGCTAACATCAGCTTCTCTGCATCATTCGGATAACTGTATTCATTACAAACAATCAAAATGTTAATTATTTCCTCAAACATTTTACTTTTATCTGTACTGTGAAGTTACTTGAGAAGCAAGAAAACTAACGGATGCAAGAAATGGTGAAAGAGCCAAGCTCGGAGGATGGCAACGGAAGTTTCAGGCAAGCCTCTGATTGGTTTCCAAGCATGTCTCTGTGGTCCTTGAACCAAACCGAGACGCTGAAGCGATGATGAAGTAGTGTTCCCATCGAACAAGCTGAGCTGTGACAAACCGGAGCTGATGATCTTTGGAACAGCATCTTGTGAGATGATGAATCTCCGACGAAGAGAGTTGAGCTGAGAGAGTATAGCTTCTTGGAGAGAACCGAAATGTCGAGTCATGGCTTGAAGAGCTAAACCGGTGTATACTTTTGATGATCCTTCTCCTGCTATTTGCTCAAATGATGCAATCACTTGCTCTAATTGATTGCAGTAGTTGTCAAATCTTTCCTCTACCTGTTGAATACCAGGAGAAGTAAACCGGATTTAACCAAGCAAAAAAACAATTGAAACTAAAACCAAATGAAAATCTTAAAATCGTTCTAACATAAAAAAGGCCAACTGTTTCAAAATTGAATAAACAGACTAGTTTGTTGTGAATCTAAGGTAAAAAAATAGGTTTTGAGGTTTAGGATTTATGGTTTAAATTTTGACTATTTTGTTTACTAATACAATTTACTTAATCTTGATATAAATTTAGACTATTATTCATAATTGTCCCAAAGATTTATTTAAAGTGACTGACCTGTTGCAACAAACTGAGAAGTTTGGTGATTTTGATATGAAGCTCATGGTTCTCAGGTAAAGACATGAAACCTGAACTACGTAGTTCGGATTTGATCTCAGAAGACAAGCCAAAACCGGATCTTCGTCTTCCTGAAAACAGTTGTTGGATGAGAACGTCGTTGCAAAGCTCAACCTCTCTACCACCTAAATCGATGACTTCTTCTACAAGGCACCTCACTGCCTTGAGGTATCTTGGATCCAACGAAACTCTAGTAGGAGATGATGATAACTCGTGTGAAACCATAAACTCCTCCATCGTCTTCTGCTTTGGAGAAAGAACAAGTTGAGAAGAGAAGAAAATGAAAATAAAAGCTTTAAGTAGGCACTGTTATCTTTACTCTTTTCGCCCCACATACATAAATAAGTAACCAAGAAGCAAATATGTAATATTATTCATTTTTTTTCTTTGTTAAATAATATTATTCATTCTCATACAGGTCGAGTTTTATTTTTACTTTGAATGAAAAAGTTAGTTGACTTGTAGCGAAGGTAGCTTTTGAAACCTATATATACTAGGCAGTTACTAGTTACTGAAGTCTATCCAAAGAGTCTCCAAATTTAGAACAAGAACTAATTAAACAAAGTTTTCTACAAAATAACACTATATTTTCGCTGGATTTTTATTGCATAATCTGAAAAAGAAATAATTTGTTCATTGAATTTGTGTAGTATAGTTATACATATTGTCTTCTTTTTTTTGAGGGAACACTTACAAATCTTTGACGTTGAGAAACACTATTCGAGGTAATCAGTGGTCAAAGCTGGTTTATAAATTATAGTCAATTACTGTGGTAAGAAAAGCACTGATTATTTTGAAATCACGCAGCACCTAGAGAGTAAGAGCCAATGCTGCAGCCTGCACCGAATTAAAGCTCTATGCATACCTATACCGGAGCCCTACTAATAACAATTACTAGTATTTTTTGTTTAAATGGCAAATAAATAGAAATATTTGGTGGTTAACTAAACACCACTACACCAAGCCAAGAAAATTAATTTTTGTATATCCTTGTCAAAAAAAAGGAAGAAGCTACAGAGGGATTTCAAAAGATATATGGTCCCTCCTCTGAGCACGAAACAACAGGCTTTTTGCATAAATGCTTCTTCTTAGCTTGCATCAGTAGTTCAGTACCCACAATCCCTTTTTGAGCTTCTAACTTTGTTGGGAAGTTCAAAACCTAAAAAGAGAAAAAGACACACACATGCAAACAACAAGTATTCATTTCTACATACTTCTTTTTTCTTTTCCATCAGAAATAACGTTGCTATCTATAATTTAAAGATGGCATAACATAACATGCAAATTCTGATAGTCTATCAGTTAGTATATGCAAATTCTAAGTCTTGCAGCTAAAATACAGATGATATACTTAATAGTCACATGAATGTTGAGAATTGTTGATGGAGCCAATGACGATTCCCATTAGGATTTTTGGAATAATAATCTTCACATTTCTTACAGTTTTCTAATTAATTTTTACAATTATACAGAATCATATAAAACGTATGTTTCAATCATTTCGTTATTTATTAACAGAAGTAACAATAAATCAATGTGTTTCTTGAGAATATTCATGAGAGATTTAACCTCATTGAATGTCAATGTACAAAATTTGATAAAAGGGGAAAAGCTTGGGTCAATCAAAGTCTATATAGTTTCGTGATTGCTTTTATTTATTGGAATTTTCAGAGACTTTTGTCTGCGTGTGAACTCATAAAGACAAAGGAACATAGAAACTTTAAGAGTAGTATGTGTATATATTCGTTGATAGTAGCTGCTAATTAGGACAACTCGTAGATGTTGAAAAGACACTGCAAAAGATCTTGAGGACATTGCTTTGGCTTCTTATTCTTATACATCTCAACTTGCTTACACATCCAATGGGGCCTCGAGTCTTCGACTTATGGACCTAACCGTACCTTCTATTAATTTTACATTCTCTAAGGTTATAAACACTGTTCATAATTTACTTTAGTCAACGATACACATTTAGTTTATGAAATATTTTTCGTCCAGCAATTTATGATCGTTGATTCATGAGAGATCTTGGCATGCATCTGACCAACATCTGACCCGTAAGTGGTCCTCTGTGGATCATGTAAAGCCTTTTACCTCGGATTAAAAGGTTTTTGGAGATCTCTTTCACCATTTCGAAAGAAACTCAATTTTTTTTGTTTCTATCGATTATGATCATTTGAGAATGTTATGAAGATCTTTAACAAAAAAAAAAATGATCATTTGAGAATGTTGTGGTAACTACTATTATACCCTTGAGACCGTTTCTTCTTCACGTAGCAAAAAGTCCACCGATCCTCTGGCTTGCGTCGCTGACACAAAGTAAACGAAACGGTCATAGATCTGATTGTACACGTGGCATCATCGTTACCGTTCCTATCCCGATCTGAAAATCTCTTACCATCAGATCAGAGTGGCCCCACAAATCCGAGCCCTTCGATTGTACTTTCCTTCTTCTTCTTCTTCTCCATCATCTCTCTCTAGAGAAAGCCATGACAAGTTCTGGTGCTCCTTCTCGCAACAAGGTACTCTTCACTCGCTCTGTTAACACGTTTGTGTGTGTCAATGACTTTGGTTCTGTAGTTAGGGTTTTTGACTGTCTTCTTGACTTTGATTTAGGTCCTGAGCAAGATCGCGGGTAATCGGCTTCAGAAAGAGCTTACCGAATGGCAGAGGAATCCACCAACAGGGTTTAAAATCAAAGTCACTGATAATCTCCAGAGGTAATTTTGTTTTTTACTAATTCCAGCTATCCATCGTGATCGTTTGTTTGGTTTGTTAGCTTAGTTTTATAAATTGATGATCATAAAAAAAATTTGGGAGTTACGGTTTGAAATTCATGGGGTTACAGATGGATAATTGAAGTGATGGGAGCTCCAGGAACTCTGTACGCAAACGATACGTATCAACTTCAAGTTGATTTTCCAGAGCATTATCCTATGGAATCGCCGCAAGTAAGTATTACACTTTTTTTAGTGAAATTTATGTTCAGAGCAGTAGAATATTGCAATTCTAAGTTGACTAACTTAGTTTAGACCCTAAAATTGATGGAATTCAGAAATAATGCTTGTTGATCAATAATGAAAGTTTTTCATTTTGGTAAAATTTGATTGGTTCTCTGCTCTTGATCTCTCCTCAGCTGATTTGAGTATAAGTGTTTCCTTATATTGTTTTTTTTTCCCTGCACAGGTAATTTTCCTACCTCCAGCTCCTCTGCATCCTCACATTTACAGCAATGGGCATATTTGCTTAGGTACGTGATTGTCCTCTGTTTCTGATACCCTCTTGCTCTTTTCATTACAATTTTGCCTTCATCTGAATCTTGATCAGATAGCTCAACTCAATTTTGTGGTAGGAACAATATATATTAGGAACCTCGATAATTATCTTAGTGACAAACACATGTGTTTGATAGGAAAGTAAAAAGGTTCAATATAATTTATTTACTGATCAAACAACATAGGAGCTTTACGCATACAATATGACCCTCTTCACTACTTCAATTCATATACCTTAAGATATCGCTTTAGCATCCATGATCCATTATATGATAGCTTAAAACGTTTCCTAAAATTTATTGTTTAATAGCTCAATTTTAAACATAGGCCAACCGCAAATAGAAATCTGATGTCAGTGCATGTACCATTTTGCAGATATTCTGTATGATTCGTGGTCTCCAGCCATGACTGTGAGTTCTATCTGCATGAGCATCCTCTCCATGCTCTCAAGCTCCACTGAAAAGGTACATAATAAGCTAGCTCTTAAACTCACCATTACAATAGTCTACTATGCTCTCTTTTGTTCTTTAGACAAAGCTGAACCTTTCTCTCGTTTGGTTTGCAGCAACGACCGACCGACAATGACCGGTATGTGAAGAATTGTAAGAACGGAAGATCTCCAAAAGAGACTCGATGGTGGTTCCACGATGATAAAGTATAAAACTATAAACAATCCATCAAACCATAAATGTATAATTGTATATCATAATAGTCCGAAACAGTCATGAGGTTGGTTTGTTTGTTTGTTTGCTGGTTGTCTAATTTAAATTTTAACCGGGTTTAAGCTGTCCTAATTAAACCCCATTTCCAAAACTCCGTAATGTAAAAGAACAAAACAATAAAATCTGACTAATTTTAATCTTCTTTCTACCCTAAATTTTTAAAAACCCCTACTTAACAAAAAGACTTCAACCTAATCTTCTACTCTGATGCTTATCCCTTAGGTCATATATATACATCAGGAAGAATATAATCTCAACAACTACTTTCCCTATGATTTTGTCCTCTGTCACCATGAAGCAGACGAAGAAGAAGAAGACAGTGGAGGAAACAAAGACCGAGACGGGCTTTGAAAGATTCTCTGACCGGTAGCGAGTATATGTCTCGGATCAAACTCAGCCTTCAAGCTCCTAAACCGATCCCACTTATCTCCAAAATGAGCCACCCACTGTTCTTGTGTTGCGTGGTGAGGAAGGTACTGCTTCACATTGATCTTGGCTTGTTCACAGAACTCCAAGATCCGACGGTTCTGCTCTTTCAGATACTCTAGCTTCTGCGTTTCTTCACCGTCCTTTAAAGCTGACCTCAGTAGAGCCACCAGGTAGAAAACTTCCTCGTCCGGCGTAACCGCTGAGCTCCTTTCGTCCCATCTGGCAATTACAAACAAATTTGGACACGTCAGCACGACAAAACAAACTGTAATTAATTAAATGAATGTGTTGTGAGGGTCGTTGAGATCGGTTTGGTTTATGAGAATCCGATTGGGACCTACCACCATGAGTTATAGGAACTAAAAAACAACAGAAACCTAATCTGGACCGTTGGATTTCGGCTACAAATTTGGACAACGAACCTAAAGCGAAAGACGAGAGCCGACGAGGCGTAACTGTCGATCTTAGCTGGTTGCACATGTGGACAACGTTTTTCGGACAATCCCATGTACAACGTGTCGCTAGTTCTTTTCAGTTTTCGTTTTTTTGGACCATTAATTAATCCCCACAACTACAAGTGTAAACTATATGCATGCATGCAAAACTCGTTTTTCTTTTTTTGTGTGTAAACAGAAATTGAGAAGTAAATGCATGGTAACATGTCGTCGAGACTTACTTGTCTTTGTTCATTGGGTAGATAAGGATAGGGCCACTAGTTTTGTTTCCCAAAATGCCCTTGAAAACGCCTTTGTCGAAATCAGAGATTCTTGATTTTGGCACAAAGAGGTTGAGCCATGGGTGTGGAACCTCCCACAAATTCTTGGACCGGAGCTTTAATTCGGCTTTGTGAACCCGGTCTAGAAAATCCACATACTGCAAATCCGTCGTGAATACCGATGTTGGTATGAAATTCAATTTCTTCATCAAAATCTCTACTTCCTGTAAGATAAAAAATCCACATTTAGTTTATTAAATTCAAAATGAGAAAGTAAAGTTAACGGGAAAATTATAAAAAGCTGATTTGCTATTAAAGCCTACCAAAACCAAGGATAAGTTAAGATTCCAGTAGAGTTGGTTTTAATAATCATCTAATTAGAGATAGGAGGAATCATTATTTGGTGAGTGGTCCATGATTAATTTGTCCACTACTTAATTAGTAACCATTAGTGATAAAACATAACAAGAATAAATAAAAATTTCAGCGTATTATTAAGTTCAGGTGGAAAAGCTAGATCTCTGTAGATCCTCTCTGGCTTCTTCTACATGTCTTCATCCGAATTTAAATTATATTAAACTCGACACAACAAAAATTCTATGGAGACCACTTTTAATCATATAAACTAAAAGAAAACCAAAATTCTTCATCATTGATTTCCCCAATAATCGCATAGCGTTAAAATCCTTCCAGATAATTCATCAATATTAAAAGAAAATATCCTTCTAAATCATTAACTAAAGTAGTATACAAAAAACGAAGGAATAGTTAAATAAGTGTACCTGATCTACGGTTTCGGAGTCGGAGTCGTGGTAGTTCTTGGTGATCTCAAGGCAATACAAAACAGAGCCGTTGGAACTAACGGAGGAGATCTTAACGGGGTTACGAGGAGAGAAGAAAGAGGATCTCCAATTGTTGACAAGACCTTCGTCCACAATCACAAAACCTTCCACGTAATCAAACTTTGATGCACCATGCATCGATATTAAGTACTCTTGGTCCTCCGTAAACACTTCGAAGCTCGAATACAATACCCTTATCCATCTTACCTGTCATAATAATACATCATTTTTAGGGTTTTAATATCGTTATTTCATTTTATAAAAATGTCACCAACAGTAAAAAGGTTATAACTATGGACCCGCCAAGAAATTTTTATTACGTGACAACATGAAATCTTTTTTCAAGAAAATAATTTACCCTTTGGGGAGCAGGTTCGAGGGAGATTCGTGCCCGAGTGATGATCCCAAATTGACCTAACCCACCAAGAACTCCATGGAATAGCCTTGTGTTCTCTTCTTCTGAACATCTCTTGACCTCTCCTTTCCCTATTTTTTTTTTTGTTATTAAAACTTTAATTAAATTCAACAAAAACCATTTATTTATGAAGTTGATTGTTTTTATTATACTAACCAGTTACAACGTCAAGCTCAAGGACGTTACTAATCTGAGGACCATGGTGAAAAGCTTGACCGCTGATTCCTGCATTGGAGAGTGTACCACCGACGGAGAGATACAAGTAATCAGTCCAAGATTTTGGTGCTAAGCCATGCTCCAACGTTTTCTTCAACACATCGACCCATAACTCTCCTCCCCAAACGTCCACATACATTTCCTCCGGCTTGACAAGTGGCTCCGGCGTGCCGGTTTTACGGTGGTTCATCGCAACCACCACCCCGTTCCTCCCGACCGAGGATTGTCCGTTTATGGAATGGCCGTGTCCTCTGGCTGAGACCGGAAACGCCGTGGCTGAGCCGTAAGCTGTTCTGATGAGACGTGCCACGTCTTCGGCCGAGGATGGATGGAGCACGGCCAAGGGCTTTTCCGGTGACTTTAGCATACCGAAGTCGGACGAGACGGAGGTTAAATCTGAAGGATGGACGGTGAAGTGACCGTCGACGTCTATGGCTCCGATGCGAAGGAGCTCAGTCGGACCAACGGCTATGATCAGTTCACATACTATGGCGAACGTGACAAGAAGAAAGCTTGACGTCATTTGACGATTCATCAAGAATCAAGAATCAAGAATCAAGAATCAAGAAATCCAAGATTTGTGTCTCTCAGGACACTAGAGGGGAAGGGAATATATAGAAGAAGAAAAGATAAATTGATAATAATGTTTTAGATGATGAAAGATTTTATGGGGAAATGAAAAAACATATATAGGAGATCCTTGGGGGTTCGTGAGAGCTAACGTAAGCCCAGATTACGCTTTGAAGATTTTCTGAGCAACATGCACAGATTCTCTCTCTCTTTTTTCGGTTTGGGTGAAACTTTTAATATTAAATTAATGTAAATATATAAAAGAGCCTTTTGTATATATATTTTTTATTCGTACAAATTTAACGAGTTTATGCGTTGATATGTGTGTGTCGAGAATATGAAGACAAGAGGTTCTCTATTTATAGGACAAAGAGTTGTACCGAAGAAGATCACGTCATTTTCTTATTAACAAATTCATCTTTAATTAAAATTTAAAAAGGACAGTATGATATCTACGTGTCAATGTTGTTAAATATAGTACACAGTGTAAACACGTATGTATTTAATATTTTGCAACTGCCAAAATGCAAATATCAAACCATTTTTGATATTGTTACTGGAAAAAACGTGTTATATGTGTTTAAACCTATGAAAACATTGAAATGACTATTGAACAATCAACCGTTTTGATGTGATTATTAAGAAAAAACTCGTGTTATATATATACTACATAGCATATCTGTTTTAGCAAGATATTGTAGACCGTTTACGTAGATTTGAGTTGACTAGCTACTTCAAACTTGGCAGTATCAAAATGCAAATCAAACCAAATATGGTTGATTACGAAAAAACGTGTTATATCTTTCTACTACATAAGCATGGACCATGGTCCTAAGGTTTGACTATTGAAAAGTAAGCTGTCTTCGGAATCAAGAACAAAGAAGGAGAAAAATCAACCATTGTGATGTGATTCTATTTCTATATAGTGGACTAAATGCAAATTCAAAAATGATTGGTGATTGAGAACATCTTAAATGACAAAACTATTTGGTTTTTAACGGATTTGGATGATTACCATGAGTTTTAACTTTTAATATTGAATCTCCGACAATAAGATAGAGAAAAAAAGAAAAAAAGAGTGATTTTTCAAATGCGAAACTCAAAAGGAATGGGACTGAGTCATGGGGAGAGCATGGGAGGGATGGGAAAGAAGGAAGGAAAGAAAGCCACGTGGATATTCACGTGGGAGAGGATGAGGTCACACGTGTGTGGCGAAAAGTGTGGGGTCCGTATTTGGATACGGAAAATCCTAGCGGGGCCCTCTTCTCTCCTGAGATGAAGTTCACGTGATGACTTGCACGGTAAAAAAAAGAAATACAAATCAGAAAATAGATGACTAGTTTAAAAAAAAGTTAAACACAAAATAAGGAAAAAAAGTAAAAGGAAAGATAGATTCTTCTTCTGCAGTACTTTGCAGTCGGTAGATCCTCTCTTTGGCTTCCACGAGATATATTAATTTAACATTTTATTATTTAATCTCAAATCAAAACTTCTTTTACAAGTACCGAAAGATATGATTCTACGAATGATTTTGTTGGTGAGGTCAAAAATGGTTTAGCAAGAAGATTTAAACTCCGTACTTTTGTTGTTTACTAATTTAAATTCCATTTGTGTGAGCTACTCTTCGTCGAGTATATATATAAACTGGTGCGAGAATAGCACTCTAATTCTAAGATATACTATATATTTAGATGAAGTCACTTATCATACTTCTTTAGATGACTGAGAAACGAATAATTTTACGTATTTTATTTGATTTGTTTCTCTAAGAAAAATGAGGGAATCTAACGTCTAGCTTGATTTGGTTTGGTGGGTCGATTCGGTACTATATTTTTCTATAAAAACAATGAAGAGCAAGTTGGGATCTATTTGATACCAATCCAAACATTAATACCTTTGCACGATAATAGAGATTGTTACGTTTTACCAATTTTTGTAAATCTCATGGTTGCCAACTTGTTCTCATGTTTTGATTTTTTTTTTTCTTTTTCTTTTGTCTTCTTACTAGATTATTATATATACGTAGCATGCTCTATCAACTTCACGCTTGCTATTTGCGTTGCTGATACTAATGCTAAATCAGCTATCATTACTATGCGAGTTTAGAGCCAATATATTACTACATGTAATAAACTGCAGCATACATATGTACACATAAGTGAAACGCCGTAAAATATATATTTTTGTGAAACGGATGTACTTTATATAAATTTTGTATTCAATTCTAGTGTTTTTGTGAGCAATATCCATATTGAAATTTGTGAAAATGTAATGATAACGATATAAGCAGAAGAGGACCCATGTTGGGGCCAGCATGTTTCGAGATATATATTTTTGTGAATTGATCAGTTATGAACAAAAAAGATGATCAGCCAATATTGGTGATTTAAATAAATTCACCAATTGAATCAGGAAAAAAAACATCAGCCAATTTTACTGGATATAACGATGATATATGTTGTTCAGATAAAAAATAAAAATAAAATATAAGGGTTTGATATGTGATTTTTTACCGCTGTTATCTGTGGAAAAAATCCAAAAGACAACACAGGAAAATAGTTCTGAACAATGACTTTGAAAAAACTTGATAGTACAAAATATTAATATCTTCTTCCAAAATAAAATAACAAATGCGAAGTGACAATGGCACAGTGTAACATGTCTGCGTGAAGGAGAACAAAAACGAGTACAAAATTTATAATGTTTCCATATTCATATATTGATTATAATATAATAGTATATTGTTAATTCGGATATGCTGTGGTCTACAAACTGTGCAGAAAGAGAACGGATATTTGTTTTTTTTTACTGTATTCTCTTAGCTTAGTACAGTATAAGAATTATAATATTTGAGTGTTTAATTGCTACTAACGTTTTTTAGTAAATTTTTTATTGAGCTTTAAAAATCGTTGATAAATCGAACCATTTTATTACGATTTTCCATAGATATATTCTAATGTGATCGTGATTCTATGTGTGGTGGAGAGAAAATGAATTGAGAAACAATTGGCAGATCCTTACCTCAAAAGAGGAGACCGCCACATTATTACGGATATCCACAGAAAATGTTTCTATTGGTTCTTCCATGATTTATACTTAAATTACTCTCCGAATCGAACCAAATCCAACACTCTTTTTGTACACAATATTCCCTCTTCAAGCACACAGATTGATGCCTATTAAAGTATTACCACTACGCCTTTTTTTAATTTTGTTAAAACTACAACCTTGTTGCTAAGGTTGATTAGCTTCCGCATACAAAAATCTATGAGCTAAAAACAATGGTTCCTAACCGCTTAGAAATAATAATTACAAGTGCATGTAAATTGATATACTTCTTTTTATGAAGTAGAGTTGTGTGATGGAGATAGGAGAGAGAGGTTAATTTATAAAAGAAGAAATGAAGGAGAAGTCGTAATCAAGCAAGAAAAATGAGGATGGATAGTGGCGATAACCTAACAAAGAGATCTCACGTTAAAAACAGTGGACATGGACCTAACACTCTTCTCTCTTCACATTCCCGTCGTTTACTTCCTCCCTTTCCTAATTATTCTTCTTCCATTATATTGGAACTTGGAAGTACAAAATAAATAGTATTCTTGTTCATCTCTTTTTTACTAAAGTTTCCGATTCTTGGTCCATGATCGTTTCCACGTCTCTCATATCCATACACTATCTATCTTGTTATTCAACTTAACTTTTAGGTTTGAAGTACCCCAAACGTCCACTATATACAAATTTGGACACAATTTTTTAAAATATTTCAACGGTCTATCTATACACTTGAATGATGTTAAATTGTTAAGTCACAATCTCGATTCAACACGCACTTCTCTAGAGGCTAGTATAAAGTTCAAAACAAAGTATAGTTTGACTTAAATAAATTCATATAATTTTGTTGTTTATATGAATACATATAACCTTTTCGGTCAGGATATATTGATATAGTTTTTATTCGTACTTTAAAACTGAATTAATTACATCCATTTCTATGCAAACCAGACGCTGGAGATATAAAAAAAGAAGTCAGGTTTACGCTCACCTCTTACGTGTTAGACCAAAGGAACTATTATAAGAAGATAAACAAACCTTTTCTGAAAACGAACGAAGAACGCCATCATTTACTTTAAAACACTTTTGTTCTAAAGTCTAAACTCTCTGCCTCGTCAATCTGTTATGCAACTTATTCAATTATTCCTTTGGCTAAAAGCAAGTATGTGTAACTTTATCGTGGCAACACCGTGGGTTCCTTTTTGAGTTCCGAACCATCTTTTCCGAATCAGTCTCGCAGCCATATAAGTGGTTAGGAAAATTTTGTATATATATATTTATGTCTATACACATTATAATATTGAATGGACCGTGTTGTCGCAGTGTCGAGTTTTAATAAATTAGTGGACCTTACACACAACTGTCACTTACGGGTTTTTTTGGTCATGAAACCAAACATATCCACCTTTCCCATGCAAAAAGTGTCCCGTAGATGATTTCATTTAGTTATTTACTTATTTTTATATTTCTGATCAATTTGGTCAAGATATCATTCGCCAACAGTGAATATATTTATCTTAGATTAACACATTCAAGTTAGGTTTCATATAAAGCTAATGACTTATTAGTGTCCGGCCGTATAAGATAAGAAAAAGGGTCTTAAAATGTTTTATAGATCATGTTTTCTCTTATAAGTACAATATTACTTTTTATCACCGTGGAAACGATTAACGAAGCCAGTGCTATCATCGATCTTCTTACGTACGACGCAATGATCAGACTCTGCATTACGTACTTATATCATATTACATTTTATACTAATATAGATGAAGACTTCAAGAGATACGTATACATTACTGATACGCTAATCTAAAAAGTTTAAAAGGGATTTGATCATGAAAGTAATAAATTGGTGGATAATTAGTGTCACGTGAAAGAGGGAAGTGGAGATGTTTGAGAAGTAAAAGAGATTCGTTAAGACTTTTTGAAAAAGTGAGAGCGACAGAGCAACTTAGTGAAATGAGTTCCCAACACTTTTTTCTTTCTTTCATGCTCATTTACAGCTCAACCTTCCTTTTGTTATTGTATTTTATTTCCAAAGACATTTTTATGTAATTAAATCAGATTTTGTACCGTATATCGATAACAGATTAGCCGGATATATAAACATTATTTGCTAATATATAGAACTTGTGGTCATAATTTATAGGTCTAAACACTAGAAAATAAGTCATTAACGATCCTTTGTACGTTAAACATTACCTGTACGTAACTTAAACTTCGTAATTAAAAAATTATGGTGGATGTGAAAATAATAAATGTAGAAGAAATCTGAACGAAATAACTTTGATTGGGACATTGAAGATTCGGAGCCAAAGGGATTTGATTCGAGATCTTCAGTATGTCTGCCTAAAAATGGTTACCGTGTGCAACAACAAGTTTCACAACACTCTTTACATTTTTGGCAAAATATTTTTGACCCTTTGAAATAATCGAAGAGACGAGACGTACCATTTACATGGTTCGTTGTTTTTTAGCTTTTCTTTTATTTGATTCTGGAGTTAAACCATGACACCATATGACACCATAGTGGAGTAACTGGAGTTAGACCACTGTATCTCCTTGATGATATACCTTTGAGGTGTTATTAAGCTATATTAATTACCCACTAATTACTTAAACGTATATCTTAGCCAACCAGTTGATTAATGAGATGTACACATTATTGATTTACTCACAGTTTTGTTATGTATGGATGTAAAAATTAAACTATGTAGAAGATCCAACGAAACTTTGATATTTGTTAGTGTCATCAATTCATGAAGGGGACCTAATATTTTGATAGTTATGGTAGTTTCCTTTAAAAAAAAACATTAAATATTAATAGTGTTTTCCTTTTTCATTGTCGACGTGAATTGAGGGTTTTTGTAATGTATCAAATTCAAAGTTTTGGACCAAAGCTAGCCTAATCCAAAGCCTCCATCGACATCACAATTTGGCCAATCATTGTCCGAAAATCTCGAAAGTCTTTAAGAACATTATTAAATGTAATGTATTGAATCGTAATGTGGACTTCTGTGATGCTTTTGTGTTGGGATACACATCACATTTCTTTGTCCTTTTTTTTTTTTAATATTCCGCCAACAAAGAAATCTCTTTGCAAATTAGGTGTTTGTTTGTGTGTGTCTATGTCGTGTGGTCAAAACTTATTGGAGTTTAATTAATACAAGTAATGTGAGTACATACAATATTTCAGAATACTTAATAAGTTTTATGTCAAGCTATTATATGAGATTTACTGAATTTCCAAACTTGTGACAAAAATATACTGAATTTACAATTTAAACTAGAACAAGTAAAAAAGTTGATACAACTATATAACTACAATGATAGCTATCTCTTGCAAGAAAAGAAACATAGTGAAAAGTCGAATCATCAAGGTATTAATATCGTACGACAAAAACAACATGGCATATGCTTTGTCCATAGTTCTATATAATAAAATAATATTCTCCTATCATAATTGGCAAAACTTTGGAATGAAAGTGATTCGTTCTTCTACGAAAGCGATAATTAGTTTTGTTTCTGTGGAAATTAATACCGATTGAATTCGCATAAGAATGGCTTTGTCGCAACAGAGACAATCGATTCCAAAACCCACGTGCTTTGATCTCGTCTTTATCCTACTTCACATTCTATTGGTCTTCCTAGTCTCCCATTGATTTAGTGGTTCTCATTTTTATTTCAATTTCAGTTCTGTCTACCTTACAATGTCTTTTTCGAATCTAGCCTAGTTAGTGAGACTGAGTGTTATTTTCATTTGGCTTGTTAAGTGTAGAGACTTTTTGTAAGTTGAGTTCAGCAAATGAGAATGGGCCATTTTATAATGGACTTCTTTATGGGCCCTTATTTGTTTATCTTTCATATCTTGATGTGTATGCTTTCTTTTTGTGCTCAACACTTGATGGTAACAGAAACACACACCCATTGAGGACAACACACAAGCACACGAAGCTTATTCTTGTATAAGACCAAATGTGTTATAGAGAGATCAATTGTATAAGATTCTCATGTAACATTATATGCTTGAGACCTTTCTAATTATACCAATTATATGATTAGAAAAAGAAAGTATGTCACTAATACTCTCCTTCTGCTTAATTTCCTCTTCTTTTTATGTGATTTCATCTTAATCAAAAACCAACATTAATTTTTAAGAGCTCGTGGCATTTATATAACTTTGTAGATGGATAATACTCCACGTGGAGTTAAAAGTGTCACTCGTGGGATATTCCATAAACCACATCCAAAACCTTTATTCCTCTCCTCTCGTTTATTATCCACCAAAATACTCAATCACTCAGAATATATCTCGAAACTACATGTCAATTATTAAAAAATTTCCTTTAAAACTTTATAATTTTTTTTTTTACATAAATTCAAAAATTCAAATTAGTTATAAAGTTTTTTTTTCTTTTCGTTCAATCGATTATTTCTCTGGTAATGGCGCTTCCACACACAGTCTCTTCACCGTCTTCGTTATCTCCAACTCCTTCCTTCAAATCCAAGCCACCGTTTCACTCTTCCTTCAACCCTAGATCACCATCTCCTCACCGGCGATGTAAGCTCACCTCCTTCCGATGTTCTTCATCTTCTTCCTCCGAGAAGCACCACCACAACACAAACCCTCCTAAAAGATCCGACGACATCGTCGAGCTTCCTCTCTTCCCACTCCCACTCGTCCTCTTCCCCGGCGCGATCCTCCCTCTCCAGATCTTCGAGTTCCGCTACCGAATCATGATGCACACGCTCCTCCAATCCGACCTCCGATTCGGCGTCGTTTACTCCGACGGATCCGCAGCCGAAGTCGGATGCGTCGGAGAAGTCGTGAAACACGAGCGTCTCGTCGACGACAGGTTCTTCTTGATATGCAAAGGACAAGAACGGTTTCGCGTCACGAACGTCGTCCGGACCAAGCCTTACCTCGTCGCGGAGGTGACGTGGCTTGAGGATCGTCCGTCGGGTGAAGAGAATCTTGACGCGTTGGCTAACGAGGTTGAGGTTCTGATGAAGGAAGTGATTCGGTTGTCGAATAGGTTGAATGGGAAGGCGGAGAAGGAAGTGCAGGATCTGAGGAGGAATCAGTTTCCGACGCCGTTTTCGTTTTTCGTGGGGAGTACGTTTGAAGGAGCGCCGAGAGAGCAGCAGGTGTTGCTTGAGCTGGAGGATACAGCGGCGAGGTTGAAGAGGGAGAGAGAGACGTTGAGGAATACGCTTAATTACTTGACTGCTGCTTCTGCTGTCAAAGATGTCTTTCCATCATCGTCTTAGTGATGATGAATGATGATGATGCCTAATGGTAAATAGAAAAGTCCGAATCTGTTCTGCGTTTTGCTATGTTTCGTGTGGTATACGAAATTTATTAAAAACTGCATAAGTTCCTAAAAAAGTGTAATGTCTGTAAATTATGGTAATTTTGGTGGTAAGGTATTGTATTTGATGTTTGAGATTTTGACTATACCCTAAATTGATCAAGATGGGGTTTAAACGCAGAAATGTTTTCTTTTGTTTTATGGAATTTGCAAAACTTTATGAAGTTGAATACTTTTCTGTACGGACGAAAGAACTAGCAAAAGCTTATCGACTTCCTTTTTTCAAAGATTTGAATGACAAAGTCATACTAATGTCAGAGATCAGTTTTCCATTAACCCCAATAAAATTTTAATGGTTAGAAATTTAAAAACTCAATTGTCTGCAAAAATGGTAATTGGAAGTTGAATACTTCTGTATCGACGAAAAAAAAAAAAAAACTAGCCATTAGCCAGAGCTTATTCCCACTCTTTTTTACAGAACTGATAAAGTCAAATCTAAACAGACTTTGTCATTTGAATCGTAGTACCTGGTCTATGAGTCTCACATCTACGAACATGTCAGACATTTTCGATAACACGATCCCAATTAAATAAAAATTGACGATAAATTAAAATACACAATTGTCTGCGATTAGTAACTAAAAAATCCCATTTCATCAAGTAGATAAAAACACTTGACTCAAGTTTTGCAATTTTCCCAAATCATCATCATCTAATAACACATTTTAGATCATTCGCTTCCAAGCTATCTCTCTCTCGGAGCTCAGATATCATGGGACATAATCAACCAACGCAGTTCAGTTCACAAGGTATACATCGGTCTTAAAATATTTCATGTATGATTCAAAATTAGTATATAAATCATATTTTTTTACAAGGTATAATAGCCATTTTCATAGTTTTTCAAATGCATACTCACTGGTTACATTAATGTTTTGCAATTTCATAGTATGTATTTCTTCTTTGTAGAACAATTTTATCAAATACCGCTCGACATCGAGCACGACCGGATCAACCAGACCAGTGACTCGAACCGGAGAAGACGCAAGAAGTGGATTACCATCATCATCTGCATCATCATGGCCGTAACAGGTCAATCCATCGTCAGACTCCTAGAGAACTATTACTTCCTCCACAGAAACCTGAGCCGCCGCTACGGCGCATGGACTCAATCCCTCATTCAGGTCATCGGATTCCCTCTCTTAACCATCCCTTTCTTGGTCTTCTTCCTCCTCTCTTCCAAGAAAAAGAAACAAATCCACATCACCTCCACACACTTGGCCATACTTTACCCTATTATCTCCATGTACATTATTTTCCAAGCATATTTCTCCAACCTTGAACACCGTTTACCTTTTAGAGTTTTCACTCTCATCTACACAACACAAGTCTTGTTCACACCAATTTTCTCCATCTATTACAACAAAACCAAATTCACTCGATGGATGATTATCTCTCTCGTCTTCGCCATCATCACCGGAGCTTTCACTCTCTACACTTTCTCCGCCGGGTCACCCATCTACGACGGGAATAATTACAACCACAGACTCATATTTTCTGCCGTATGCGCCGCCATGTTTTTCTCCATGCTCCTCTGCCAGATCAGGAGCATATTCGAGAATCTTATCTCCCTTTGCAAAGAATCAACCGACAGGAAACAACCTAGTTTCGTAGCCGTTCTTGAGGTTCTTATCTTCTCCTCTCTCATAGCCACTGTCTTCTTGGTCTTAGCCGTTTTTATCTCCGGCGAGCATCGTGATCTCAAGAGACATATGGATGAGTTCTCGAAAGGAGAGTTTGCTTACGTGAGGACTATGGTAGGTTTAGCCGCTGCATGGCAGATCTATTGGGTCGAGATCGTGGGCCTCGTGTTCGTAGTCTCGGCTGTGTTCTCTATGAGAGTGAATAAGTGTAATGTGGGCTTAGCCCAGTAACGCAGAAACCCATCAAGCCCACATCTTCTACACAGAACAAGACAAAACAGAGAGCTACCCCTGCAAATACGGAAAAGCAAACGTTAGAGATAAGGAATAGATTTGAATCCCTAGCTTGCTTTAACCCTGGTTAAGTTATCTGTACAGCTGGAGCTTAGATTAAGGTTCAAGGGTTTCTAGATCCATCTATGTTCCTCTATATAATTTACCTTGGCCTCTCTTTGTAAACTGTCTCGTCTAAATAATAAAGTTCAGTTTTTTACCAAAGTCTTGTTCTTCTACATGGTATCAGAGCCATTGTAAGCTCTAACATGCGACAATGGCAGATCCAATAACTCCCTACCCGTTTCCTAGTAATGTTCATGTCCTAAGCTCAGTTACTCTAAAGCTAAATGATAGCAATTACCTCTTGTGGAAAACCCAGTTCGAGTCTCTCCTGTCAAGCCAGAAACTGTTTGGGTTCGTTAATGGTGGTGTAGTAGCTCCTCCCGTTGGCAGTCCTCTTCATGAGTCGTGGTTTTGTACGGACCAGCTCGTTCGCTCGTGGCTTTTTGGCACCTTGTCCGAAGAAGTTCTCGGTTCAGTGCATACTCTCACCACATCTCGTGAGATCTGGCTCTCCCTTGCCGAAAACTTCAACCAGAGTTCTCTTGCCCGTGATTTTTCTCTCCGTACCAGTCTCCAGTCCCTCAAAAAGAAAGATAAGAACTTTCAGATCTATGTTCGAGATTTCAAAGCTTTATGTGATGCTCTGAGTGCTATTGGCAAACCTGTTGAAGAATCCATGAAGCTGTTTAACTTTCTGAATGGTCTTGGAGATGAGTACGATCCTATCGCTACGGTGATCCAGAACTCCCTCAGCAAATTTCCACGACCCACACTCAACGATGTCATTGCAGAAGTCCAAGCATATGACATTAAGCTTCAAGCTCGTAACCAGACGGCTACGGAGACGGCTCATGTTGCTTACCAGGCTCAACAAACTCATCAGGGCTATGGTAGAGGTCGTGGACATTATGGTCAGCAGCGTGGTCGTGGCAACTACTCCTCCAGAGGCAGAGGGTTCCCTCAGCACCAGACCTCCCAAATGACATCTGGAGATCGTCCCACCTGTCAGATATGTGGAAGAATTGGTCACACGGCGATTAAGTGCTATAATAGGTTTGATAATAACTATCAAGCCTCCGAGACAGCAAAGATCTTTACCTCTCTCCGGGTAGCAGACGACAAAGAATGGTGTCCAGACTCAGGTGCCTCGGCTCACGTCACATCCAGCACCACAAACCTTCAGTCATCCGTTCCATACGAAGGCAATGATACAGTTATGGTTGCTGATGGTGCTTACTTGCCCATCACTCACGTTGGATCCACCACCCTCAAATCACCTCATGGTATGATCCCATTGAATGATGTCTTGGTCTGTCCTGCTATAAAGAAGTCGTTAATGTCAGTCACTAAGTTATGTGATGACTATCCCTGTGGTGTTTATTTTGATAAAACTAAGGTCTGTGTTATTGATTTACGCACTCAGAAGGTGGTGAGCAGGGGACCTCGGCGTGAGAGTCTCTATGTTCTTGAGGATCCGAGTCTTCAAGTGTTCTTCTCTAATCGTCATTGTGCGGCTTCGGAAGCAACATGGCACCATCGTTTGGGACACTCGAACACAAAGATCCTCCAGAACCTGAAAAGCAGCAAGGAGATTGAAGTGAATAAGAGCAGAACATCCCTCATCTGTGAGCCTTGCCAGATGGGGAAGAGCGATAGACTTCCGTTTTTTAGTTCAGATTCTCAGGTGTTGCACCCTTTAGACAAGATACATTGTAATCTATGGGGTCCATATCCTTTTGTATCTCCTCTGGGTTTTAAGTATTATGCTGTGTTTGTTGATGAATTCTCAAGATATTCATGGTTTTATCCATTAAAAACAAAGAGTTCTTTATCATCGGTGTTCATCTCATTTCAAAAAATGGTTGAAAATCAGTTTGAAAGGAGAATAAAGGTGTTTCAAAGCGACGAAGGAGGTGAATTTATGAGCAATATGTTTCAGAAATACCTGGTTGAATGTGGAATTAGACACCTTGTCTCGTGTCCCTATACTTCTCAGCAAAACGGAGTTGTCGAGAGGAAGCACAGACACATTGTCGAGCTAGGTCTGTCGATGCTGTTTCACAGTCAGACGCCACTCAAATACTGGGTCGAAGCCTTTGCTGCAGCAGTGTTCATAGGCAACATGCTCCCTTCCTCAGTCCTAGACAATAAGAGTCCACAAGAATGCTTAACAAAGGGAAAACCAGATTATACAATGTTGCGAGTATTTGGAGCTGCGTGTTATCCATACCTGAGACCGGTTGCAGAGCACAAGTTTGATCCAAGGTCTTTGCAGTGTGTGTTCCTGGGCTACAGCTCCCAATACAAAGGATATCGTTGCCTCTACCCTCCTACTGGTCGTGTGTACATCTCTCGTCATGTAGTATTTGATGAAGAAGTCTTCCCTTTTCGAGAACAATATAGGTCTCTGCAACCACAATATGAAACACCGCTACTGAGAGCATGGCAGGGAGCAAATCCGGACAGACAACCAGAAGAACGAGAAGAAAGAATCACTCGAGCTCTAGTTCCACCAACACCAGCAGTTGTTGTTCAAGTCCCTGAACCAGAAAATGAAGAAATTGAGCACGAGCATGAGGCAAACGTTGAAGCAGAAGAGATAGTGGAACAACAACCTAATGTGCATCCTATGACTACACGTGCTAAGTCAGGGATTCACAAGCCTAACACAAGATATGCTTTGGTGGCTCTGAAAACTAGTTCCGAAAATACCAAAGAATATTGAAGAGGCTCTTAAACACCCTGGTTGGAACCTAGCAGCCATGGATGAGATGAACACTATATATATGTTGAATACGTTTACTTTGGTTCCACCAACAGACGACATGAATATCCTAGGGTGTCGCTGGGTCTTCACACCAAAGATGAAACCAGAAGGAGAGCTCGACAAGCTAAAGGCTCGACTAGTTGCAAAAGGTTACGACCAAGAAGAGGGAATAGATTACCTGGAGACGTATAGCCCAGTAGTCAGAACAGCAACAATACGCATGATATTGGATGTAGCCACGGCCAAAGACTGGAAACTTAAACAATTAGATGTTTCTAGTGCGTTTCTGCATGGAGAACTGAAGGAGCCGGTCTATATGACGCAACCTCCGGGTTTTGTTGATCCTGCAAAACCAAATTATGTTTGCAAATTAACAAAGGCGCTATATGGACTCAAACAAGCACCGAGAGCATGGTTTGATACGTTTAGCAACTACCTGATCGACTTTGGGTTTCAATGCAGTAAGTCGGATCCCTCTCTCTTCACCTATTGGAAAAATGGGAAGTCTCTGGTTTTTCTTCTATATGTCGATGATATGATGGTAACAGGCAGTGATGACAATCTCGTTCAAGACCTCCTCAAAGCTCTCAACAGAAGATTCTTCATGAAAGATCTTGGACACCCAAAATACTTCTTGGGGATAGAGATTCAGGCCTACGAAGGTGGAATGTTTCTACATCAATCTTCTTATGCTAGAGACATTCTCCATGCTGCTTCCATGACTGACTGTAACCCCATGCCAACTCCACTTCCTCAGAACATTGAGAATCTCAATTCAGAGCTCTTTCCGGAACCAACTTATTTCAGAAGCCTTGCAGGGACGCTCCAATACCTGACAATCACCAGACCAGACATTCAGTTTGCTGTTAATTTCGTCTATCAGAGGATGCATCAGCCAACAATTGCTGATTTTAGCTTACTAAAAAGGATTCTACGCTACATCAAAGGGACAATCAATATGGGATTACATATTCACAAGCACAATGACATGACACTAACAGCCTACTGTGATAGCGATTACGGTGGATGCAAAGAAACAAGGAGATCAACTACTGGATTCTGCACAATGATGGGCCCTAACCTCCTCTCTTGGTCAGCTAAACGACAACAGACTGTGTCTAAATCATCAACAGAATCAGAATACAGAGCACTTACAGCAACGGCGCAGGAGTTAACTTGGCTGTCTGCTCTTCTTCGGGATCTGGGGATTCCTCAGTCGAAATCAACATTGCTTCAGTGCGACAATCTATCGGCAGTCTATCTCAGTGCCAATCCGGCTCTTCATAATCGCTCCAAGCACTTTGATACGGACTGGCACTATATCCGAGAACAGGTCGCTCTTGGTCTAATTGAAACGAAGCATATTCCGGCGACCGAACAGCTCGCCGATATCTTCACTAAGCCGCTACCAAAACGACCGTTCTTCGAACTCAGATCCAAACTCAGTGTTGGCGAGGGTCCCACCATGAGTTTGCGGGGGGATGAGAGTGAACAAGTGAAATGTGGGCTTAGCCCAGTAACGCAGAAGCCCATCAAGCCCACATCTTCTACACAGAACAAGACAAAACAGAGAGCTACCCCTGCAAGTACGGAAAAGCAAACGTTAGAGATAAGGAATAGATTTGAATCCCTAGCTTGCTTTAACCCTGGTTAAGTTATCTGTACAGCTGGAGCTTAGGTTAAGGTTCAAGGGTTTCTAGATCCATCTATGTTCCTCTATATAATGTACCTTGGCCTCTCTTTGTAAACTGTCTCGTCTAAATAATAAAGTTCAGTTTTTTACCAAAGTCTTGTTCTTCTACACTCTAATGTGATCAGCGTCTGTACGTGGCCGGTCGTGTCGCTTCTTGTGGCTCTTTTCTATAGTAAGTACGAATATTTCCATGTCTTGAGTGGAACCGCCTTAGCCACGGCCGCTCTTAGCGTCGCATCTTAACATCACAAAGACAAGAATGACGAAGAAGAGGCCACGAACTAACTAAAAGCTTGTTTCTAACAAAAGTTTGTCGCTTTTACAGTTTCTTGATTAAAGTTTCTTTTGTAATGTACATACATACATTCTTTTTGTGTAACTTAAAGATTTCAACCACCACAATTTCAATACAAATCTCACTAATCGGATATACGAAATTTTATGAAAAACTGGGAAGTTTCTAAAAGTGTAATGGCTGTAAATTATGGTAACTTGGGTGGTACTGTATTTGATATTTGAGATTTTGACTATACTCTGAATTGATCAAGATGGGGTTTAAACGCAGAAATGTTGTGTCTTCTCTTCTTGGAATTTCCAAAACTCATGAAGTTGAATACTTCTCTGTACGGAAGAAATACAACTAGCAATAGCATATCGCCTTCCTATTTCATAGACAAAAGTCAAGATTAAAATGTCAAAGTCATTTGTCCGAATACGTCAAAGATCAGTTTTCCGTTAATCCTAATGAAATGAAATAGTTAGAAAGTTATATGTACTCAATTGTCTGCAAAATACTACTAAACCCGTTTGCTCAAGTAGGCAAAAAAAAAAAGTCCGTTTACCCTATCAAAGTCCACCCTCATAGCAATTGCTTGGTTATATAGATAAAGACCAGCTTCCGACATTAATAATAAGAAAATGATAAGAAATTAAAATATCACAACTGTCTGCAAATAGTAACTAAAAATCCCAATTTGTCAAAGTCCACCCCCAAAACCCATTAGTACGTACTTGGTTATAAAAACAAACACCATTTTCCAGCATTTACCAAAAACATCATTCAGAAACAGATCTCAGATCATTTCAGATATCATGGGACTTAATCAACCAATGCAGTCGAGTCCACAAGGTATGTGCAGATTCTTATGTCTTCCTGTCAGAATATTCCATATACGATTCAACACTAGTATATAAATGATATAAAGCCTTTTCACTCATTGTATCAATTGAACTGAAAGCTCATAAAGTAATAAATATTGGCCCTTACATGTTATTAGAGCCAAGTTCATAATCTCCAAAATCAATTCCCTCTTCACATTTCTTTTTGCAAACCTTAATATTCTTTCTCCTTTGCAGAACAATTCTTTCAAATACCGTTACACATCGAGCACAACCCGGTCAACCAAACCAGTGACTCGAACCATAGAAGACGCAACAAGTGGGTGACCATAATCATCTGCATCATCATGGCCGTAACAGGTCATGTGGACGGCTGTATGCGCCGCTGACTTCTTCTCCTTACTCCTCTGCCAGATCAGAGGCTTATTCGAGGGTCTTATCTCCATCTGCAAAGAATCAACCAACAGGAAACAACCTAGTTTCGCAGCCGTTCTTGAGTTGCTTATCTTCTCCTCTCTCATAGCCACCGTCTTCTTGGTCTTAGCCGTTTTTATCTCCGGTGAGCATCATGAAGTGAAGAGACATATGGATGAGTTTGCCTACGTGAGGACTATGGTTGGTCTAGCCGTCGCATGGCAGATCTATTGGGTCGGGATCGTAGGGCTCGTGTTCGTAGACTCGGCTGTGTTCTCGAACGTGATCAGCGTCTGTTCGTGGCCGGTCGTGTCGCTTCTTGTGGCTCTTTTCTATAGTAAGTACGACCAGTTCCATGTCTTGAGTGGAACCGCCTTAGCCACGGCCGCTATTAGCGTCGGATCTTATTTCTACTTGATTCACAAAGACAAGAATGACGATGACGAGGACACGAACTAAACTATAGCTTGGAGTTTCTAACAAAGTTTGTCGCTTTTACTATTTCTTGATTAAAGTTTCCTTTGTAATCTACAGTTACATTCTTTTTGTGTGACGTACCATTTCATTTTCTTTTACTTTAATACCATTTTTAACATATTTCATAAATTAAAAACAACACTTACTTACCATAGAGTGCCTTTGTTTTTTTGGTGTAACGTTAGTGAAATGCTTAATGTTTATAGCTTCTTGCTTCTTTGGTCTTTCCCCAAAGAGAGGTCCAATATGTATTTATTTATCGTTAAGTTATGGACAAATGGAGAAGTGTGTACTCCAAATCTCTTTTCAGTATCTCCAACATTTCTTTTGTGTAAGTTCAGTGATTTTTTTTGGGTTAATGTTTAGCAATTTCCGCAATAGTCTATTTGAAACTGAAGTTCTTCAGTTTATTTTTTTTGATAAATTAGAACTGGCGCTTTGTAGTTATCGGTTAAAAGATATGAGAAGAGGCCGCTTTTTCACGTGTGTCTCGACCAGACCACAAATGTGTTGTGAAAAAGAGAAGAAAAGAGAAGACAACAAATGTGTTGTCTCTCTTAGTGAACTTTGTTCTGTCTTCTCTCGAGCCTCGAGGAGCCAACTTCGGGCCAGGCTGGTTCAGTCTACGTGTACATATAGCCGCCACATGACTGACACTTACACACATACATATTTGTATACTACTGTGTTACTACACGTGACAGTTAAAAAAGCAGAGAGAATGGATAACATCGATAACTTTTTGGTGACTCCTATGTACGAAGAGTTGAAGATATTTTTCGAAGACAACACTTTGAAAAAGTTTTTAACAACTGTACCGTAGCTTAACTAAACGTTTTATTTGCAAGACAAGTTATTTCCTATGTTTCATTACAAAAATTTGTTACTCCCATAAAATAATTTATAATAGTTTGGTTAACAGAAATCAATTTTGTAAATTGTTTATCATTCTATGCATAGATATGATTAATAATTATATATAGGCCAAACTTAAGCTATTTAAAAAAACATATAGAAAATCGGAAAACTTTACCACTTAAATGTTTTCAGTGGCCAAGAAAAATTCCAACAATTTTCGTAAATAGTACTATAATTTATTTATTTTTCGACACATATTTTCCCACTATTTTTTTTTGCATTTGTAACTGTTTTAAGTTACGTCATATATCCATGATTGAATGGGAATGCATGGAAAGCATTCACACGACGGGTCGTTTAATTCATAGTGATATTGATATATATCTTTAAAATATTTCCCCAATCGCAGATGACCTTATCCATATCTCTCTCTCTCTTCTCTAAAAGAAAAATCTTAAACTCGTATCTCTCTCTCTGCTGGTTTTACGATCAGTGTTGCCAAAAAGAGAAGGGTCTCTCGAGACAAGTGTTAGTATTACAAACACAACACCAGCTTCCTCCTCACGACACGACCCTCCGTCATGTTTGCGCCAGCTATGTCTTCTCCTCGCCACGTTTCATCACATTCTTCCATTATATATACACACTTTCCCATTTCCTCAAGTCTTTGCCTTATCACTCACCAAAACTCATTCGACTTGTCAACATCCGTATATGTCATCAATAGAGCCAAAAGTAATGATGGTTGGTGCTAAGAAACAACGAAGCGTCCAAGCTAGTTCGAGGAAAGGCTGTATGAGAGGAAAAGGTGGTCCCGAGAACGCGTCTTGCACTTACAAAGGCGTTAGACAACGCACTTGGGGCAAATGGGTCGCTGAGATCCGTGAGCCTAACCGAGGAGCTCGTCTTTGGCTAGGTACTTTCGACACCTCTCGGGAAGCTGCTTTGGCTTATGACTCCGCAGCTCGTAAGCTCTACGGCCCCGAGGCTCACCTCAATCTCCCCGACTCCTTGAAAAAACACCCTGAAACGGCGTCGTCTGGATCGAGTGTGTCCCAGTCAACACCTAGCAGCAACACAGGTGGAAAAAGCAACGAGGAATCGCCCTGTTCATCCAACGAGATGGCTTCATCGTGGGGAACGAGAGAGGAGATATCGTGGGAGCACATGAACGTTGATTTGCCGGTAACGGATGATTCTTCTATATGGGAAGAAGCTACAATGTCGTTAGGGTTTCCATGGGTTCATGAAGGAGATGATGATATTTCTCCGTTTAATACTTGTATTTCCGGTGGCTATTCTAATTGGGATTCCTTTCATTCACCACTACTCTGAGGTTTCACTAAACTCTTAATTAAGACCTTATTATATACAAAATACATACATAAAATATATAGTCACCGTGATCTAGGAATATGTGTAAATTATATCGCAGCTCCATGTATACATATATGTATAGAATATAGACATGTGGTTTGTCTGTAGTGTAAAAGCATATTCTTACCACGTCAAAGAAATTAAAAACGACAGTTGTTTGTGTATCAATGTATAAATGTGTCGTGGGGAAAATCAGAAGTGCAATGTATCTGTGTAATGAAAACGGGATGTTGCGTCGCGTGTGACGTCATTACACGAGATTTTACGTCGTGTGCAGTGTAACGGTCGATGTCATGGCTGCAATATGTCTGTTTTCTGTGGGCTTGATGACTTTATATATTGTCTTATTTGTTGTGATGTATCTTTCTTGTTTGGTCCTCTCTTTCCATCTTACCTTTGCCTTCTCTTGTTGCTAATGTGTTTAACCCTCTCGCGTGACATTAATATGGTAAGGTTAAATCACATTACATAACCTGGCCCGTTTGTGCTCGGCCCAAAACTATATCTTCTGCTCTATGGTCTCAGTCGAATAGATGATGCAAACACCAAATTTTGAATCCACAGTCCACTAAACATATAAGATTTTGATTTTTAATGCCATATCATTAATTCAAAAATACTTTGATATGCAAGGCAGTCCATTTTTTTTTTTTTTTTTTTGACTCGGACTAAATTTTCTAGTATATTTTTATATTTTAACTTTTAATTCAGTTTTTGTTTTTAATTTTTGTCCATTTGAACATCAAGATTTTGATATTTTGATCAGCGAAGTCAGTTCGTTTCACCGGAATTGAATATCCTGAAAATGATCATTAAAAGAGACCATAAATGCAAATTATAACATTCTATTGATGATCGAAAAGAAAAAAGAAAAAGAAACCACAAGAAAAGTGAAAAAATGGCACTAATATATCAGCCAGATATTTTATAAAGAGTAGTCCCAATCCAAGCTCCCACATAGTCTTCATCATCACCATCATCATAGTCATCTTCACCACCATCCTCATGAACAATGATGTCTCATCCACTTTGTTTTTTCCTCAAAAACCTTTCTTAGGTAATTAATATTAAGAGAAACTAAAAACAAAAATACAAACAACAAAAAAAAAGAGAAAAAGAAAAAAAGCAGATCACAAAAGTCATAAAACACAACGGCACACCATTGTTTTCCCTTTTTAATTGGGGTTAATGGCATTTGTAATTATTAGCTGGAGAAAGACCTCGAGTGGTCAAACATTGTCCGTTGACTGATGAAGCAGTGGAGCTGTGATGGACGACTTGATGGAGCCGCGAGAAACAGGTGCACGCTCGATACAATGCTCCGCGGATGACTGGATCGCTGCCTTCTCAAGCGCAGCAAATTTCCTCTCTTCGCTCTTACCGTACAACACAAAGTAAAGTCCCGCTATGATCAACACTGCTCCGATAATCCTGCCATTAGACAAACGCCACGTGGAAAAACATTTCTTTTAGCCCCTCGAATTAAACTAAAATTGTTGTAATTGCCCCGTTTAAAGTTTTTATTAAAATTACATACCCGCCCAAGTAAAATTCTTCTCCTAACGCAATTGAAGCCATAATAGCGACGACCAAAGTCTGAACAGGTTGGTAAACAGCAACGAAGACTGGACCTCCTCTGTCAATACACCAAATCTGAACCGCAAACGCGATTCCAGACGCTACTATTCCCTGTAATTAACCCGATGTGAGGACCAAATTGACCAATTGAAAACAAGAGGGTCAAAGTTTAAAGAGTGTAAAATTTGAAAATAGTAAAAAAAGATGAAGAAACTAACGGCGTAGAGGATGGTGAAAAGCTCCCAACCGGAGTGAAAAACCCAAGCCTGAGACTCTCTTTCACAGAAGGCAGCGATGATCAAGAACTGAATGATTCCGAAGAAACAAGTGTAAGACGTAACGGAGAGCCTCGCCGGGTAAGATTTAAGAACCGGAGCTTGGAAAACGAGCCAGCCTGACCACGAGAGACAGTGACCAATCAAGTAGATGCAACCAAGAGTCCAGTTTTTCGGCGCGGCGTCTCCTAACGGCGCTAATACGGCGGAAGCGGCGGAGTTGGTTGTGAGGAGGTGAGTGTGGAGGTGGCTGGCTGGAGTGTAGATGGTGGGACCCTTGTAGAGAGTGATGACGGAAGCTCCGGCGACGCAGAGAGCTGTTCCTAAGACTTTGGAGATACCGTCTCTTCTGTTTATTCTAACTTTCTCAATCCTGAATTTTGTTTTTACATACATAACAAAAACAGTGTGTTACTATAAAGTTACTAGCTAGGGTATGAATATGATGACATTATTATCGTTATTTTTCTAATAAATTGAAAGGGGCATTTAATGTTATCTACGCAAAATATTATCAACTTAGATATGGTATGTTTCTTTTCTTCTACGTTGAATAGTCAAATGAAAATTATTAAAGTAGTTAGTTATATGATATACGTATACCCTAGCTGTCCATAAGTTTAATATTGTTTTTGTCTCTCGTTTTTTTTTTCAAAACTATAACAAGAGGAAAAAAAGAGATAGATCAGATACCTGAGAAGAGCAGCCATGAGAAAGGTAATGGCGGGAACAGAGTTTTGCATGGAAGAAGCAAATGTTGGTGAAGTGTTGTCCAGTCCCAACAAGTAAAACCCTTGGTTCGCTGTTATTCTGTCGAAAAATAATTCAAGAACAGTTTCATTAATTAACTATCCAATTATGATTAGTACTAAAAAAACAAAAATTCAAAGTGAAGAATATGAATATATACCCGATGAGTGCTAAAAAGAAGAACTGGATGAGAAAGTTAAGAGTGATCGCTGGTCTCTCCTTCCTAAATACACACAAAAAGTATGGTATAATTAAATTACTATACTATTAGTTGATCTGATCATAACAAATAGACAATAGGGTTTTTAAGAAAATGTTACTTTTCGAGGAAGTAAGCGAAGGGAAGGAGAAGAAGCAAAGCGATGATGTTACGATAAACAGGGAAGACGAGTTTGCTGATCCCCATGTTAAGAGCAGCTCTGGAGACCACGTGGAATCCGGCGTAACCGAATTGCAACGTAAGCATCGCTATGTGAAGCTGAAGTTTCTCCGGCACTCCACATAACGACCTCCGGGGATCGTTTCCGGTATTATCCGCCATCGGATCAAACTAAACTGACCTTTGAAAATCGGACGATGGAGAACGGAATTAGTGAGTTTGCGTTGTGTTTGATTGAGGAAAGGAGTGAAGATGTGGAGATATAAATATAGGTGGATAGCTATCTCATTCCCCTTTGGCTGTGGGAACCACCACACTATAATATGGTATCTATATTAAATGTAATTTGTTACAGTACATAAACTTCTAACATTGTGAGATATTGGAAAAAAAATATGATTTTAGGTACGGATTTAGGTACATTAATGATTTGTTGTTGTTGTTTCCGATCATAAGCAAAATTCGTCACTTTGGTATATACCGGAATTCGTTGTTGTTTCACAAGTGTCTAGGGTTACTTTACAGTTAATTTGGTATATACTATATACCAAAATTGTTGGCACATCACAGGATAAAAAAAAGTGTTAACTCAAACATGAAAATTATATAATTATGTTAACTGATCAATCTACTAAATTCAAGTAGTGTTATATATACTGTGCTAAAATCGACCACACTATGAGGTTTTAATTAATTTTGTTAAAATAGGTTAACATCTAAATTTCTATCATGTTCTCTTTATATAAAATGGATTTTTGGTTTACTTCAGCCCTTAAAACTCATTTTCTGTTGTTTAATTTGATCAGTTAAACGTTGGTATTACTCTATATCGAGAGTGTTTGTATAAGCTTGTCGAGAGAGTTTTGAATAAGCTTCTATAACTTCTTTTGAACTGACAAAAAAACAAGTTCTCGTTTTTTTTTTATGGTCAAATAAAATTCATCACTTTTTATATCATAAATGGATAGACTGTTACATGAAAAGTTTATTCATGACTAAAACAGCTAGATTTTCATTATACATCAAGTCGCTAGGTTAAACATCATTGACAAATTGAGCCTAAAATAAACCCTTCAAATGATATAACAATTAAACAAAACATTTTGATTGATTTTAAGTTTTTAACTTAGGAAAACGACCATGAAGCTACTAAATTTAAATTGATTTAACAAACGGCCATCACGCATTAAACAAAACTGTGTACTATTTGTGTTTTTAGAAAATAAAAGAAGAAAGCTAGAAAAAAATGAGTAAAAAGGCAAAGGCTGTCTCCCACATTCTTTCATTTTTATCCCTGTTTTAGCTGACATGACAACCTTCACGCCACTACTCATTAACGCAACCATCATTATTGTTCTTAATTTTCTATGATCTAAAAACACTTTTTAATCTGAAAATCTATAAAGTAAAAAGTTTAAATAAGAAAAGCACAATTGTTTACTGCATTTCCCTCAATATGCACTCACTATCTTAGACATTATAATGGTTTTAGTTTGTCCTTTCCATTCATATTTATTTGGCAGCATGGCATTGGTACTAATTATTACTTGCACAGTACTCACCAGGAGAATAACAATCTTATAGTACCACTAAATTTCATTTTAACCTTTCTTTTTTTAATTTACTTCTTTGTAAACATTTTATGTTAAATAATTAATTTTGTGGGGACTAGCCCCACGCGCACTCGCGAAACCGTGAGTCCCACAGTACCTCTTGTTTCGTAGGCACACCCACACGCTCATTATTCCTGTACACGCTTACACCAATATTATTATCTGTATTTGTCCTCAATTATTTTAGGTTTAGTTTCCAATTCTCAATAATCTATATATATACAAACTCCGAAAATTATCTACATAATACAAATACACACATATATGTGTGTCCTTGTAGAACAGAATCATCGAAAATTTTATGGTTTGCTTGTATGCTTTCATTTTTCTGTTTCTTTTTGTTTTGTTTTTTTGGAACGATCGACAATATACACACAGAGACACTTATTTAGGAAACTGTGGTCGAAACATGTGCATATCCACGTGAAAACAAATGACCAGATATGTATTCTTTTTCTCCCTTTCACGTATGTATCAATATGATCACGACAAACAAATGTTCACGGAGTTTCTTGTCACAAAACTGTTTAAGATTAACTGTATGTAATATTCATTATATGTAACAGTCGTAGTTGCAATTATAATATCAACAAATATGCAAAATCATATTCCACCCGTGTTAAATTAAATTCCAAATTAAAAGAGAGAGTATTATTGTGTTGATCTCTTGAGGAAGGAGTGTATATATATATATGTGCAATGAAACAGGTCGTACCGTTGGCACACGATCACACGTATGCTCAGCCGTATGCATAGTGCCATATATCGAGGAGATCCCTTCATTAACCATACTGCAACTTCCAAATCTAAACACAATTCGTAAAAACAACACAGAAATCAAACTACATGAGAATATTAACTCCTCTTTTAACTTTTGAAGCCTTACCAACTTGATCAAACATTCCCTCGTATTATTGCGTGTGGTTGAAGTAGCGATAAATAGTATTCAATATGGAAGGTATGGAAACATACCAAATCCAGCACAAAACAATTATTTTATTAGTTATAGATCGAGGGCTTATGATAAGATCTATAACTTAGCTCCATGATCTATAGTATATTTTTGTGTTGTTTTATATCATTCTCAAATGATGTTTCGTGTAACTTATGCGAAACTATCAAATCATAACCTAAATGAAACAGCATCAAAAATAATAAATGAATATGAGGTAGATCAAGATTTTAGTTCATTTCTTAATAAATACGAAAGATCACTCGTGCAAATAAAAATTATATAAGAACGAAAGTTCACTATACAACATTTAATAGAAACAGCAGGGCGTATTCTTGATAGGAAAGACTAAAGGTTCACTATTAATTAGCTCAATTTCCGGAACTAGTGCTTACAAAGTGTTTACTTAGATACAAATAATGGAACTAATTAGCATTTTCATCTTTGTGACAGAAGATAAAGACTTGTTTAGTTAAAAAAGAAGAAAACAAATCCCCTTTTATGTTGAAAAAGAAGACAATAAACACTTTTAAAGTTTATACTTTTATATCTGAGCCATCCACTCTCAACGGGTAAAGGGTAAAGAAACGGGTCGGGTAAGGACCCAGCACGAAAGTAACGGGTCGGATAAGGACCCAGCAAGACAGTAACGATGACGAGCAGACGAAGAAGAAGAGGGAGACCAATCTTAGTTGGGATATTTAATTGCTTTGTCTCCTTTTTTCCTCACTTTATTTCATTTCTTTATGATCTCTGCTCGCCCACGAGCGAATCTTCTTGTCTCCGATCTATCTCTCTCTCTCCTTTTCTCACACTTCTTTTGAATTATAATACGAAAGATTAGCTTTTAACCTAATTTTCTAGATAAAATAAAGTAATTTCTGTTAGAGATCTTTGTGATAGGCATAGTTTTGGAATCTTTAAATAAAACTTATAAACTCGATTCTTACTCTCAATAATCCAATACATTAAAATGCCGTTGCGACAATCTTTGTGATTAGTCACTTAATACATGTTTGGTTATAATCAACCAGAAAACAAAACAAAACGTTCCGAACCAAAAATTGCTTGTCTGAAGAACGAAGACACGGTTCTGCAAAACAGGAACACATTTAATGACTGTATGTAGCTCATGTGCATGCAATTCAATAGTGTATATATGTATATACGTGGCTATGGCTATACATATGCATGTGTATAATGATTAACTAGGAATTAATGAGTGATGATCTAAGTGGTAAAGGATCGTAATGTGGATATAGGTCAGAGAAGGAATCCCATCACAAACATATACCTATGACCTATCTTGATCTCTTACTTGACTATTATACACATGTCAAATAGAAAGAAAATTCGGTTTTCTACACATTTTGGGATCAGGTTTGATCTCGGTATGGGATTCCGTTATTTAAAAATGATGAAATGGGACATCTTTCAGATTTGTATATACTTAACCAAGCTCTAACTTTAAGATATGTATAATAATTAATGTGAATAAATTCACCCACTGTTTTAACGCATAAAAAAAAAAAAGAAGAAAGAATCAGCCGATCCTTTGATTGATATTTGATAGAGGGTCGTTAGATTCGCTTGTGAATTGTGATGATAAGTGGATGTCACTAGGGAGACACCTTGACGTGCGACAACACTATAAGGACGAGACAAGTATGACCCTTCAACATATTACTATATGACTAATGCCACTTTACCCACTAACGTAATTTCAATACGTTTAAACAGAAACAATTCTCTTTTTTTTTTCTTGTCAAAATAAAGCAATTGCAGCTCGAGGAACTATAATAGGCTATGGCGATCCAACCGTATCAATCTTCGAAAAAAACTAACTAACTAGCGGAAAAGTACTACTCTAAGTGTTTACTTACCCGTTGGAGTCTACACTGATTTAAAAAAGTTTTCCTGGAAGAAATAATTAAAGTATAATATTTTGAAAATTCGGATTTTTAAATCATAAAGACACAGAGTTGTGGCTTACAAAACAGAAATAGCAAGCTACTGAGTTAGTGTCAACTGTAATTAAGGTTTCAATTTTGTTGGTATATATTAAGAGAAAACTTCTTTTGAAAACTTAATTTGTTCAGATGTACATATTTTATTTTATTTTTTACTTCAACATAGCATTTTTTAGGGGGAGAATCTTCCGACAATTGTGAAACTCGTCGTAGATAAAGTTCCGATGAGGTTTAAGGAGACAATTAGAGTTTATGATTTTAGGATTAGCATTTAAAAATCTAAATAAAAATCCAAAAACGACCATTAACAATAATGAGAACACGTGAGAACTGAGAACACTGGTTTAGAAGAAGAACAAGTGAAATAAACATGTCAAAATTTTCGAAAACTTGCTAATCAACTTTGTTCGAATCACTCAGAAACTTGTTCTATTAGTTAAGCCAAGAAAAACACATTCAGTAACCTTGTGAAGAAGAGGAAATTATAAGTTTTTTTTTTTTCCTGATAGGCAATTAGGTGTTTCTGCAACTATTTTGTGGGTTGGCTTTTTGCATGCGAGGTCTTCTCTATGTCCAAACATATACTGACCTTTTTATTTTGTTTTGTCTTTTTTCATCTCGATTGCTTTTGTTTGGCATGCATGCATAAATTAATTATGGGAAACCTCCACTAATTTGACTTGAAATTTGGTGGGATTTCTTAGTTAGAGATAGTCCGACATGATTAAACTACTGATATAATTGTCATAATTTGATTTTGTATAGTCTTCTAACGCCATATTTTCAATCAAAGAATTAGATTTTCCAAATTAAACATGATCATTTTATCTCTTTCTTTTATCAAGTCACGCTTTTGTGCTACAAAAGCTTTATCTTCCTGTTCAGTTAATCTATTTTCCTTGAGCACTAACTCACCTTAATTAAGTTCTCCTAGGTTTCAAAATTCATGTAAGTATGTTTAAATTTTTATTTCTGTATTCATATTATTCGAAGTTAAATTAATTGTTTTTGTTTTTGTTTTGATAAAGCATAAATTAAAAGATTGCGTAAAATTTATTATATAAACTTTACAGTGATAAAAAAAATATTACAACTTCTTCTTACATGTCTTCATTGCTAATTATATTCTTCCTTCATTACGTCTGCGACTCGGTCAAAACACAATAAGATAATTTATATCTTTTCAACATTTGCAATCGCAGGCTCCATTAAGAAAAAGGAAAGAAAAAGATTTTGCTAACAAATAAAGTACCAATGATAATTCGTCAAATTATTTGCATGGTTTTTTTCACACTTTTCATCCCATAAATATAAGGCTAGCTATGATACGATACATTAGCCTACTAAATATATCTCTGACCACATGGAGCTTACAAAAATGATGAAATGTAACTGTTTTGTATAAGTGGTGTGTTTATACATCTTTTAAATCTGACTTGCTAAGGAAAGAAAGTAAAACTTAATACAAAATGTAGAAATAAGTTTGATACTAGTATCTTTGTTAAATTATTAAGAGTAGCATCGAGTAATTTTTTTGCCAAAATGTTTGAAGAATTTCGTGAGCGAGTAAATAATCCAAACCCAAGATTATAGGGAGTTTACGCATTCGATCCTAAAACCGATCGTTGTATAGAAAAGTATATTCCATATTTGATGATAATACAAATAATAAATGATAGTTGTAGTTCCTCTAAGTTATTCAACACTTAAGTGATCGAAAAATTGAAATAAATGTAGTGTTTAGAAACTTAGATGGAGAAACAGAATGTAAACAAGCACGATTAATGTGTCTGCCACAAACAGAAAAAGGGTCAAGTACGTTACCATTTATATTGTTGTCTCTATCATTAATGTTCATCATCCCATTCTACGGCTCTCGTGTCACAACTTGGAATCTTCAGAGAGAGAAAATCAGGAAAATTTTCACGTCGTTTTCAAAATGATCAGTCACGCTTATGTTCAAGCAGTGGAAGACACATTGACGTCTCGTCTCTTTAGACAAGACTTGATGTTCGTTATATGTTTATATCCAACCAAACCGCCACATGATTTTGTTATTTCTCAATCATTAGCATAAACATAAACAAACACTCACTTTAACTTCTTAATTTTGGTTTAATAAAAGTACAAACTTTTAAAATATAACCCCTTCCTCTCAGGTGAAAAATCTTTTCAAGTTTCTTTCACCGGATCAAATAAATGACTCAGGGTTTATAAATTTATATCATAATATTTATGCTACACATGGGTTGATTTCACTGCCCGTTTGTATCATCTTCAGCAGCTTTCTTGTACTCTGGTTTAAGCTCATAAGTCCCTTGGTTCGATCCTCTCTTATTGTACACACACAGCTCGTTCATAATCTCTTTCAAAAACTGCGCCGGCTGGTCCGTCTTCTGCACCAGCTGCTTCAGTGTCCAGTTTGATTGGTCCTCGAACAGCTTGAACATTATCGCTTCGATCTCACCACGATCTCTCCTAAACCTCTTCACGTCGGTTTGCTTAACCGGGACAGGTCTCTTATCCTAAATCATATATAGTTTGACAAGAAGAGCGAAAAATCGAAGTTACAAATGTTGCTTCATGAACTCTAACTATGTCTCAATGATTACTCTGTATACATATATAGCCATTTACCTTTGGATTGGTGGGAATAAAATAAGGCATGGGCCTCATACGTGCTCCGGTGTCATTATCAAGTACCTTTCGTGAAAAAAAAAAAAAAAAAAAAAAAATCAAAAGTAACAGTTAACAGAAGAGATTTTAATAAAGGGAAAAAAACAAACACTTATAAATGTGCAAAAATCACTAACCTTTATCTGTCGATTTTTAACCATGGCTCGGTTTGTTCTCTCACGACAAAGCCTTGCGTAGTCTTCAATGTCTTCCCCAAGTGGTTTCATATCGAACTTGTGGTCGATCTTTCCCAAGAGAGCTTTATCTACACAATATAAAGTCATAAACTATAACAAAAGAAAACAATCTGATGTTGTCAAAATCAGACAATAGAATCCAAACAAGATCTTACGTTGATTGGCCTCAGAAAAGGCTCTCATGTCAACAAATTCTTCGAACATGTTCATAGCGTAGCTCTTTGGTATGTTCCGATTCTCAGCAGAAACAATCTCCATAGAGTACTGATACAAATAATGACAGAGAAAATAAGTTTTAGTTTAGATCCTTCCCTAACCTAATCAATCATGTTAAAAAAACTCAAACGTTTTGATGACAAAACAACTCAGTTTCATTAATGGTCTACTCAAGTCAACAACAACCCTAGGGTTTCTAAACCGGGTTTCAACCTAAATTACAATCAATGCACGCAAAATTGAGGATCAAAACCGAAAATGTAAAATTCAATTACCTCTGGGTTAATCTCGGACTGTAAGGGATCAATACTTTCAACAACCTTCGCGCCTACATCTATCAATTTCGGGAGAGAAGTCGAAGACGAAGAAAACTGCTTAACCTGCTTCTCCCAAGCCTTGGAGACGACGACAGGGCTCTTCATCAACCAAACCGATTCATCGGCGTTTTCGGTATCGAGATAATGTCCGTTTTTCCGATCGTCTTCCATCGTTTTCGTCCTTCTCCAAAATCAAATCCTTTTTTTGTTTCGCTGTTACTTTTGCTCAGAGTTCTGTCTGATTACTGTTTAGGATTGTGTGTCTTAAAGTCTTCTGAGTTTTGACTTGAACCCTAGAACTTCTCTTGAGTTTAGGAAGGTTCATTAATTTAAATCTTATGATAGAACGAACCGACCACGGATTAAATGGGCCAAAGCCCATTTGTTATTTGCAAAAGCCTTTTAATCTATAACTTTCTTTCCTAAAATTTACAATATCATAAAACAGTAATGAGTTAGTGTTGACTGTTGACTAATGAAGGTATCCTTTTTTGGAATAGAAATTAAGAGAACTAAACTCTTTTGAAAACTTTATTGGTTCAAATCACATATTTTTATTTTTCTCTTCCACAAATAGCATTTTTGATAGTCTTGAACCTTTTTACCTCTATATGAATTTCTTTATTTTCATTCACAGTCTGTTTTTATGCTCATTTACATTATTTTGAAAAAGCTGATATCAAAGTTATTTATAGGCAGGAACAAAAAATCTTCCGTTAATTGTGAAAATCGTGGTAGATAAAGTTCGGATGAGATTTAAGGCGACAAATTAGTGTTTATGATTTAGGATTGGCATTTAAAATTAAGATTTCAAAAAAATCCAAAAATGACCATTAACATTGAAAACACTGGTTTACAACAAGACCAAGTGAAATAATTTTAAACATGTTAAAAACTATATACATCCAACCAAACCGCCACATGATTTTGTTATTTCATAATCATAAACAAACATCCACTTTCATAATTTGCCTATTTTTTCGTTTGACAATAATACAAATTGAAACATATAAACCCCATAATATCCATCTCTCTTCTCTCCTCTCCTCTCAGTTTTTGTTTCCTTCCTCCGATCAAATGAGACTCAAGGGTTTATATAATAAGATGTGATGCTATATAATGCTACACATGGGATCTCATTTCACTTCACTGCCCATTTGTATCATCTTCAGCAGCTTTCTTGTATTCCGGTTTAAGCTCATACGTCCCTTGGTTCGATCCTCTCTTATTGTACACACACAGCTCGTTCAGTATCTCTTTCAAAAACTGCGCAGGCTGGTCCGTCTCCTGCACCAGCTGCTTCAATGTCCAGTTCGGTTGGCCTTCGAACAGCTTGAACATTATCGCTTCAAGCTCACCACGATCTCTCCTCGTCCTCTTCACCTCGGTTTGCTTAACCGGTACAGGTTTCTTCTTCTCATGCTGACTCATTACAAACACACAAAACACAAACCTCTACATCAGTAAAGACTAAAGACAGATTAAAGTTGGATTATTCTGTTAAACCTGAATTCAGTAGACATCAATTCACTTGTAAACCTCTGTTGGGTTAAGCACATTTTGTGCTGCTAAAAGGCATATGAAACTCTCTCTTTTGGTTTTGATTGAAGAGCGTGTAAAAGAAATTTGCTTTTTATTCCTTAAACGGGGAACGATAACTGTTTCAACTTTTTCACAATGCTTTACAAAACAGAACATCCCATCACACTCACTTGTAGCTCTGTTTTTTTACTTTTTACATACAATGCAAAACCAACACTGTTTGATTCAAAGAGAAATTGAGTAGAATAAATAGTCAGTTAAATTGACTTTACAGAGATATCTTGAATTCGAATTATCAATTGATGCGACTTGTCTCTTTCTCTTGAAACGTAGCGTATCATTTATTTACGTCCCTAAGAGCTGAACAAAGGAGAGCGGCATCACAAGTCTGACATATCTTTGAATTTCGATTCACTCGAGAGTCCTGCAACAAAATGATACGCTAGCCTCAAGTTCACCATCAAACTCAAATAGCCACTGTGCAAAAGCGTCTAGATTTGGAGCAGAATGCAACACCGCATCCTTTTATCCTCTGGACTGAATATGTACCAGTTTCTGTGCTGGAAACAGAATTATATCTGTTGAGAGAATCATACATATGGTAGTAAAAGAAAAAAACAATGTCGTCCAGGTCAAGTTCAGATGCACAATCAATTAGTTCTTGTGTAGGGAACGAAAAGTGAAACATAAGCAGATGTTCCATCTGAGTCGGTTCCCTGTCAAAGTGTAAAGAATGCACGTCATATCTGCTGCCTCTGAAATAGCAGTACACCCCAACGCATGATAACCTAAACCTTGGGTTGTTCGGAGGCTCAAGCACGACGCAAGCCTTAAATCCTACAGATTCTTCAGAAAGAGAGCTCTCAGGGAAAGGAATAGATAAGGAACTTCCACGAGCTCGATGCGTTAAGAACTTAGGCACTTCCCCACCTGGTAAGACCGCGTACTCGTAATCTGATTGTAGGATGACTGTCTGTGCACTTCCATACAAACTTAGGCAGTTGTCGAAGTTAAGACGAGCCTCTGGATTGGAGAAGAAGTCAGAGATGCCTCGGATTTTTTTTACCGCGTCACATATTAATAAGGACTGTTCGAGTAATCTATACACTAGAGAAAATATCCGATGAAGAAGAGAATAATATGCGAACCGTACTACCAGATAACGTACGGTGCGTGATGTTCTTGCCAGCACACCTGCGTCACAAAACTCTGCGACTAAAGCGTCAGATAAGTTTACCACTTTTAGACATTTCAATCTAAAAATGTCTTGAGAGATGTTTCTTATCCAGCAACCTCTCATCATGAGTGTAGTGAGCTCAGATAAATCCTCGATCCAAGAAGGAACTTCTTCAACCGCCGTGTGGTCGAGATAGAGACTTTCGATGCTCCTTGAAATCCGAGGGAAACATCTCAACCGCGAGCACTCACTGAGATAGAGAAACTTGAGAGATTTCAGGTTCACGTTGGTTGGAAGAGCCTTCAGCCTCAAACATTTTTCCATGCTCAACTCCTCCAGCTTATTGAGACTCTGAATTGAAGAAGGAACCGTCACCAAACTTGTACAACCATCAAGATACAATTTCTCGAGATTGGTAACCTTTGAAAGATTCGGAAACTCTGACAAGTTTTCAGATCCTGACAGTGATAACTCCTTGAGACTTCCAAGAGACTGAAATAAAAGAAAAGAAACAAGAGAAACTGAGGCACCTATGAACAATAATCTCTATCAACAATGAGTTTACAGAATAAGTACCTGGGCTCCTTCCCATAACTTCTCAAGCTTGCTATCTCTCATCGATAAATAAACTAGATATTCTGGACGAAAGTAAGCAGGCATACATCTCAGTGGACAAGAGTCCCAAACGAGATCAGTGAGCCTTGACATATTCTCTACCCAAAAAGAACTTTCTTCTTCTATTGTAACTCGACCTAGATAAAGCTTTGAAATGTTCCTTGAAATCTGAGGAAAGTTTCTTAACCGAAAGCATTCTTGGAGATTGAGTTGTTCGAGAGATTCCAAGTTGACATTAGTTGGAAGAGCCTCGAGCTTTGAGCATCTTCCCATGTCTAACGCCGTAAGTTTACCGAGATTCCGAATCGAGGAAGGAAGTATCACCAAAGATTCGCAGCTGAAAAGATCCATTTCCTCGAGATTCGTGGCATAAGAAAGATCGGGGATTTCTTTCAAGTTTTTGGAATTAAACAGAATCATCTTCTTGAGACTTTTAAGTCGCTGAAAAACAAAAACATGAGAGACACAATGCACGCATTTCAATAAGTAAAATCATTTGTCACCACTTCCAACGTTCTGTATTACTCTCCATTTTCATCAATCGTACTTGTAAGTGTATTTACCTGAGTTCCTTGCCAAAGCCTCTCAAGCTTGCTATATCTCATTGTTAGCTCAACCAGATACTCGGCCTTGAAGTTAGAAGGCATACACCTCAACGGGCAATTATGCCAATATAGTATTCTGAGTTTCCGGGACAAATAAGCGAGGCCCTGAGGAAATTCCAATATGCTTTCACCACTCCCCCACGAGCCGTCGTAAAATTCTAGATACCGGAGATTACGCATCCCCTGGAATGATTTTCCATCTATAAGCAACGGCTCCTTGATTTCTGATGTGTTAAAAGATATGCCTAGCACAGTTTCCGTGCCCTGAAATATAAAATTACCATTAGCTTAACATTAACAGTCACAACAGTTTATGAAACCTTGCTTATATGAATGTATAGAGTCAGTATGTAAGAGCTTACGATATCATCGGTAAATACATCACAAATATCCTCAGCACCCACCAAGAACCGGCGTTTTCCAGGATTACAAAAAGACTCTCCACGACTAATCATTTTACCCAAATTTTGAAGCAAACTGTGCATCTCTACAATTTGGAACACTGATGATATACGTATGAGGGACTTATCAGCCAACATTTTCAGCCCCATATTCGCGCTATCTCCGATCACGTCTCTGATGTAGTTGACGTCACGACCATTGAGTAAACACGCAATGTAAAGGAACAGTTCTTGATCTTTGCCATCTAACGCATCGTAGCTGACTCTCAACGTTTTCTCGATTTTCCCATCCAAACTATCTCGGAGCCTAGGCATCATCTCCATCCACTCCTTCTTGTCCATCCCTCCCAAAGACGAACCTATGATGTTGAGATCCAAAGGGAGATTACCAGCAAGCTCTGCGACCTCAACTGCGAGCTCCGCGAAACCATCAGGTGGAGAGTCGAGACCAAAAGCAGATCGACATAACATTTGAAGAGCTACATCTCTCGATGGGAACTTCACCACGTAAACATTGTCAATCTTGTGACAATTGAGAAGTTGCCTATCTTTAGTGGTCACGATAATTCTGCTTCCAGGTCCAAACCATCCGGGTCGTCCCACCAGAGTCTTTAACAGCTCTATGTCATCCACATCATCAAGAACGATAAGAACTTTCTTGCGCTTTAGCCAATATTTCACCATACCTAATTGGCTTATCTTCAAGTCCTTTTGATCAAGAACTTTTGACAGAAGTTGTTCCTCCCAGCTCAGCTTCATGCCATAGTTGTCCCTGTTGTTTCTCTCAAAAGCCAAGAAAGCGTGATAGGGGAATTGGCTAGAGAGTTTATTGTATAGAGCTCTAGCTATTGTAGTCTTACCAATCCCTGAAGCCCCCAAAACCCCAACCATTCTTACTTCCTCGGATTCCATGCACAAGATTGAACTCATTGCGTCAATATGAGCTTCAATCCCAACAAATTCCCCAAAACAATCCGATTGTGTGATAAGTTTATCTAAAATATGCTTGGCGATATCTTCAATCATGATTGCTTCATTACTCCTAAAAAAAAAACAGTGGATAGTCAACATCCCTAAAACCATAAAAAAAAATTGGAATCTATGCAATCGAAAATCTAACACTTACCAATTCTGAGAATCATATCCGGCTATACTTGCTACCTGAACAAGAGCTTGAATCCACTGTTGTTTCACGTCTTCTGATTTGCCCTTACAGGTCTCTTCAAAGATCTTGCCAAACTCTCCGGTTTGGTTTCTAACATCAGAAGTATCAACTTGGTAGAAAATCGGTATCACCATCTGATGAAACTCCTTGTAACACTTGTGGATCTCTAGCAATTCATCCAAGCACCAGGTGGAAGAGGCGTAGTTCTCAGAGAACACAACGACTGAGATCGTGGATCCTCTAATCGCCGATAAAAGTTCAGGCCCGATCGGGCGGCTTCTGTAGATGTCGTTGTCTATGAATGTGTCGATTGATTTGCGGTGGAGGTTCTCGAGAAAGTGGCTGAGGAATGATTTGCGGACATCTTTCCCGCTGAAGCTCGGGAAAACATCGTATGTGCAGGTGCGAGTGGAAGACGAAGAAGAAGACGCCATGAACATACGAGGAATGAGAGAAGAAACAAAAGAACATCATTTGAAGAAGGGATCAACTCTGACAATCCAGTAATTATATATAATTTACTCGAAGACCTCGTCTTTCAGATAGTTTCCAAGTACCGTGTTGACCTCTTCTCGAGAGAAAACTTGAAGAATTCGGAGTTAGAGAAATACCTGACATCAGAACATGTTGATCTGTGTCGACAACACAAAGAGAGATGAGGCAGGTCTGGGATCGGGTTAACGGGTCGTAAGCCGGAGCAGACTTATCTGTATTAGGCTCAAGCCCACTCGTTTCAACAAGATAGCACAAAAGACATCAGAACATGGATTAGGCCAACTTTAAGCCCATTCTGTATGACTGTATCAAGAGAGATATGAGCATCGCACAAGGGTTTTGTAAGAGCTTTAAGCAGAAGAGAGAAAACGTCAAGGGAAGAAGAAAACTACAAAGAGACATGGTCAAGAGTCTTCATAGCTTTGTCTTCTAAGGATTCCTGTAACGTGTAGAAACAGAGACACGCGAGGGTAAGTGTGAATTTAATCTTCCTCTACTTGTGAAATTCGTCGTAGATTAATTTCCGATGAGATTTAAGGCGACCAATTGTTATTAGAGTTTATAAATTAGGATTAACATTTATTTTTTAGATTAAAAATATCCAAAAATGACCGTTAACATTGAAAACTAGTGAGAACACTGGTTTACAAAAAAGAAGAAGCAAAACTATTTAAAACATGTTAAAAATTACATATTCAACCAAACTGCAATATGATTTTGTTACTTCTCAATCATAAACAAACACTCACTTTCTTAATTTGCCTATTTTTGGTTTGACAATAATACAAATTGAAACATATAAACCCCTTAAAACTCACCCCTCTTCTCTCCTCTCCTCTCCTCTCTTAGCTAAAATCTCTTTGTTCTTTCTTTCCTCCGATCAAATGAGATTCAAGGGTTTATATAATAAGATGTGATTGTATATAACGCTACACATGGGATCTCATTTCACTTCACTGCCCATTTGTATCATCTTCAGCAGCTTTCTTGTATTCCGGTTTAAGCTCATACGTCCCTTGGTTCGATCCTCTCTTATTGTACACACACAGCTCGTTCAGTATCTCTTTCAAAAACTGCGCAGGCTGGTCCGTCTCCTGCACCAGCTGCTTCAATGTCCAGTTCGGTTGTCCTTCAAACAACTTAAACATTATCGCTTCAAGCTCACCACGATCTCTCCTCGTCCTCTTCACCTCGGTTTGCTTAACCGGGACCGGTTTCTTCTTCTCATGCTGCTCATTACAAACACACAAACCTCTACATCAGTAAAAGACTAAAGACTGATTAAAGTCTGAGAAATGAGAAGAGAATATAACATTTTTACCTTTGAATTGGAGGAAACTAAACCTTGAATTCCAGGCATTGGCCTCATATGGATTCCACGGTCATTATCAATTACCTTTCAGTAAAAAAGGAATAGTTAGCTAACAGTTAAAGCAAGAGAAGGAGTTTTCTCAAAAGGTAGACAAATTTACCTGAACTTGACGATTTTTAACCATGGCTTTGTTTGTTCTCTCACGACAAAGCCTTGCGTAGTCTTCAATGTCTTCTCCAAGCGGTTTCATATCGAACTTGTGGTCTATCATTCCTACGAGAGCTGTGTCTTTATCTATACAATATAAACTATCAACCTTTTAGCCACACTGGTGTTATCAATCAGACAATAGAATACAAATCAAGAACTTACATTGATTGGCTTCGGAGAAGGCTGTCATGGGAACAAAGTCTTCGAACATGTTCAAAGCGTAGCTCTTTGGCATGTTCCGGATCTCAGCACCAACAATCTCCATCGAGTACTGAAATTGCCAAGAAAAAATTTGACAAAACACATCAATTTCAATTTAACGGTTTACTCAAATCAACAACCCTAAACCGGGTTTCAACCTAATTTACAATCAGTACAGACAAAATTGAGAATCGAAAATCGAAGATGTGTGTATTGAATACCTCGGGAGTGATCTCGGGCTGTAGAGGATCGATACTGAGAACAATCTTCCCTATCTCTAACGATTCCGGGGAAGAGTACGAAGACGAAGCGGAGGACACGTGCTTAGCCCAAGCCTTGGTGACGACTACAGGACTCTTCATCAGCCAAATCGGTCGATCTGCTTCTCTCGTATCCAGATAATTACCGTTACTTCGATCTTCTTCCATCGCTACTCTCTCTCTCTCTTTTCTCCTAAATCTCTTGTCGCAGTTTCTTCTCCTCAGTTCTGTCTGATTTCAGTTCTGTTTCGGATTGTGTCTATTATCAAGTCTTTGAGTTTTGACTGAAGACTTCTCTCTTACTTTGAAGCGGAAGTGAAAAGAAAAACAAGAATCTTCTTAGTGAACGGACCCGTTACTAAATACCCGGATTTATTGGGCCAAGGCCCATTTAGTTTATCCAGAAACCCAAGTTTTTATAGCCAATTTGTGATTTTGTAAAAGTTTTTTTTTTTTTTTTTTTTTCCTGAAGTGGTTTTTATACATTTCCATTCCTAAAATTTACGATACTTGTTTTGTTTTCTTGACCTATATATAAAACATTCGTATATATGGCGTGATTAATAGTTGTAATTGTATATACACACATGATACATACATACATGTATATGCACAACAACAATCGATCATGGATGTATTAAATGGATACAATCATACAAATATATTGTGCTGATAAAGACACCGAGTTAAGAAATGGATGGCGTTTAGGACAAAGACAAAGAAGTAATGGTGACTGGTAACGAACTTAACTAAATCCATGAGAAACCCTAACCACTACTTTCACTCAGTTGCTTCATGTGCAAAGGGGGACCAATTTCTTTTTGTCTGTTATATTTCCATTAAGATTCTAGTTTTTGTTTTCTATCATCTACATTCATATATAACGATAGTATTAATATCATATGGTGTGTATATAGAAGGAATTCCACTTGTATTTTTATTAGACAAACCTGATATTTGTTCATATTTTAACAAGTCCAAGATGATATTTGTTCAAATTCATGACTGGTTCTAACTTCTAAGGGGGAAGTAGATATACAAAATCTCCAATTCCTTTTTCTTATGCATAGTGCACTATAGAGGTGCAAATGGGCCGCCAAAATTGTTCTATATCCCATACTCGAATTTTGTTCGCATGGTTACTATTTGATATCTATAGACATATTGAAGGATTTCTGTGAGTTTTGTAAAGGAGATTGAGAAAAGAAAGAAAGTGTCCTATCAATCATAATCGAGTTAGGTAAAAGTATAACAGAAATTGAGGATGCAATTCAAAATATTTTCTTTGATACCAGTCTCTCGCCTTGACCGTAGACTTTACAATTTTATGTGCCGAGTCTTTGGACTCTTCATGCTTCTTGACCCATTTGTTTCCCTTTTCTCAACATAGTTAATAAACAATTCAGTAATTCACTCGTTAACTATCTTTTCAAACTTAACCTAACGTATTTTAATGGTAATTAATGACAATGCCTAACATTTGACCTGTGAGGATAGCTCTAAGTACACGTACCATCGGATTCACATGGACGTCATTAGTACGTAATAATAAAGAGAAAAAATAGAAATAAATATTTAACATAATTAGCTACAAACAAAAAAACAATTTATGGCTGAAAAAAAGGTAATGCTAGAAGAAAAACCATTGGCTAATCCTATAATCCTGTAGAGCTTTTGCGAAACAAGAAGTGAGACAGATTAGGTAAAGTATCAGAGGAGATGATCGTGATTTCTGGATCAACAACAGTTACTGAAACTAAAATTATAGATCGAGAGAGACTGAAATAAGAGAGATCACATGTCGTGAGTCAGACACTGTACATTTTTGAGAAACTTCCATATATCTTCCTCTGTCATTTTTAGTTGTCCTAAATCAAGCAATCTATAACAGTACTAGCTAATCATTATTGTTGTTAATACTATCAGTTCACACATACATATTGAATATCATCTCACAAGGATAACGAAAACGAAACCCATTTTAACTTCATCTATATGATATTAGCCACATGTAGATGTGTATATAATACTACAAAACTGTAAGAAATAAATAAAAATATTAAATGAGGATTACTACAGACGAATGATAGTCACATTCATGCAAGTAATAATCAAATAGCTAAAAATATCATAGTTCTGCAGCGAAGTAGTTTGATATATATCATATAAATGCCCTATATTACTATCCGTTTACATTTATCTACGCCAATATTTCACATGTTACGTATATATTCATAATTTGACGTTCTCCAAATAGTTAACCTAAACATCTAATATTGTAGTAAGGAGTTAAATCCACATGGAATGACACGATATTATCTAAGTAAAAACCATGGACTAAAATTAAAAATGAAATTTTTTGGCTTTTTCATATAGGAGACTCAAATTAGAGAAAAATATATAAACAAACTAGATTTAAAGTAAATGCATGAATATGAATTATGATTGAAAGCCGCCGAAGACCTTATTTTTATCTAAACTTTTTCCATCTTTTCCGAGGTGGTAGAATGGATAATTAATTTTACAACTTTTACACAGGAGAAATTCATTGGGCAATATAAAAGTTGTTTAAAGTTTTCTTAAAATATGTTTGTTTTTCAAATCTTTGATCAATGGAACACGAAACGTAGCTAAGTCATGTTTAGATCCGGCAAGCAAACGGATAAACGGGAAAAAAGTAGCTTCGAGCTCAACACCAACCCGAAAGCTAGTTCAATATCAAACCCAATTTTTTTCATAAATAAAAAAGAAATAAAGGATTTTTGATTTGACCTTTACTTAAAAATGTACTATCTATCGTGCACCAATAAAAAAAGAGGGATGATTTGTAATACATAAAACTCCAACTAAACCACACTCAATTTATTGACACAAAGATTTCGATCTTACGCAATGAACCAAAAAAAGAGTTGTAAAATGTTTTTTTTTAAATAAAGCTGTATAATGGTTTCACAAGAGGAAACTGAGAAAGTGCAATAACCAAACAATAAAGTTAACGATCAAACTTTGAAGCTACAACATTAATTAAAGTACCTCTCATTGATCTTTAAAAAACGTACGCGTACGATGTGCATGTTAATCACCACTAAGTAACAACCTAGCTAAGGGCGTTTTATCAGATTGCACGAAGTTTGAAAAAGATAAAGACGAGTACAAGAACAACAACAAAGAAAAGCTTCTCATTATTATAACGTTTTAAAGATGAATAATATTCAATAACTGAGTCTGAATCTCAAGACCTTGGAGGTGTGAAGAATGGCGTACCGGCGATGAAAGAGTTGAGTTGAGCCGGGTAAAGCGACGACGGATCGAGAATTAATCCGTTATTATTGTTACCGGCAACAGTAACCGCCGTTTTAGCAGCGGTATCTTCAGCATTGGTAGTTGTAGCAGTGGAGGCAAGGAGGTTAAGTTGATGATGATGGTCTTGATCTGGTCCTTGGTCATAGAGAATGCCTTTGAAGACATGTCCTCCAATGTTCACAGCCGTTTGATAAGCATATTCTTGATCATCTTCTTCATCTTCTATTGAGGTCACTCGAACGCACCGGAACACCGCTGGTGAGCTAACCTCCGGTGGTAAGTGTTGATTCACCTCCAACCCTAAAATCCATTAGTCATCATAGAAAATTTTATAAGAATCTAATTTTTGTAACTTGTTCTTGATTATAAAGCGTAACTTCCATCACATGTCAAATAAAATCGAATCTTGATATATTCAATGCATTGTATTTACATGAAATCGATCTTGGTTAAACCCTTTTTATGTCGTCAGGTTTACTAAGAAACAGTAACTTGGAAAAATAAAGCATCAATATCCAGCGGACATCCTCATTCACACGCAAATGATGTTGTACTTCTCCACAAACATTCATAATTAAAATTTTGACACCTTTTCTTGAAAATTCAATCAATTTTGAGACGTAAATTCAGTGTCATCAATTCGAAAAACACACACTATAATAATTTTTTTACCTGAATTAGAATTAGCATTCACCACACGGGTATTACCATGAGCCGATCCACCACCACTATGGTCTTTATCATCATTATTATCACCACCACCATTAGCTTCTCGTAGGCGTTTCGCGTTTTGCGTTTCACGGCTGGAGGAGGAATGGTGCTGCAAGGAAGCAAGTTGGGCTAAACGCTCACGGCGTTTAGCAGCAGGAACCCAAGTGCTTTTAACGTGAGTTTGACAGTGAAAGCCTCGGCTTTTGCAACAAGTTCTACATCTCATATGAGGACAATCTTTCTTAGCTTGATTCCCACAATCTTGACAATTCATACCTCCTTGTCTCGTCACCGTGAACCCTCCCGGTTCATGATCGGAGACTACGTTGAAGTATAAACTCCGGCTCCGGTTATTGTTGTTGTTGTTGCTGCTGCTTCCACTTGGGACCATTCCAAAAGAGTAGAAGTTTGTAGGAGCTGAGACATGTTGTTGTTGCTGCTGTTGTTGTTGTTCTTGTTGCTGTTGGAAGTATTGAGGAGGCCAAATCTCGAAACCCTTGTTAGTATTATAGATCTCGTCTTTGTAAAGGTAAAGATAATTGCTCTTGTCTTGATGTTGATGATGATCCTTGTCTACTTGATGATGATCTTGCTTGTTGTTGTTGTTGTTGTCTCTCCCTCCTAGATAAAAGAATCCTGCCATATCTTTCCCAAGTGATACACATCACACACACAAAACACCCCAAAGAGAGATCCAAGAAAGAGCCAAATCTTTTCTTTGGTTGGAGAGATTGAGAGTAAATGATGAGGAAGAAAGAATTAATTAAGAAACTGCAAAACGCAGCCACGGAATTAGTCTCTCAGCATCATTTGAAGACAAAACAATTTTGATCTCTGAAAGTGGAAGTTACTGGGTTTTCTCTGTGGATAAAGAAAGAGAGAAAAAGGTTTTTAAGACATAGAGAGTCCCATGAAGATCTTTTGCTTTGGGCACTTCACTACAGTTATCTTCCAGTTTGAGTGATTCCCCATCACATAAATATCACTCACTATATTGTTTAAAAGAATAAAAAAGGAATATAGATAAATAGATAATCTAACATTATTCTAAGTAATTTTCTTTAGACTAATCATTTCCATTAACAAGTATACTTATCCTCTACATTTTCATCTGTATTTCACAGTCCCCCTTTAAATGCATGTAAACAAGGGTAATATAACGACTATAAGAAAACTAGTATATAATATTTTTAAATTTTATTTTGAAAACTTCTAAACAATTTTGCCAAATTTTTTTGTTTAGCCAAATTACCCTATAAGAAAACTAGCTCGCATTAAGTTAAACTTCATACAATTTACTTTTATCAATGGTGATCAAAATGCCACGTGTTTGAACAGGGAGTTTTCCTCCACTCGTCCCTCCCCCGCAAAACCCTCCCCACCGTTTGTTTATCTTTTCTTTCCCCTTTGGCCCTTTCAGCTCGGTTTTTTAAATTTTGACTAAATTGGGAGTTAGTATATGAAAAATCGAAAACAGTATGAAAACTTAAAGGTAAGTCTGAGAAAAGAAATTTGAGGGGAAATAAAAACAACCAAGGGAAATCTAACGTCACGTTGCTTTGACATTTTATCGTCACGGACGGTCTTATCGTGAGGTTTACAGCTTAATCACGGCGATTAGACCTTCATTGACATAATAGAGTCGAAAATATAACTTTTTCAAAGAAGCCTACGTGCGGTAATTTTTCTGTGATTTCTGTTTTTATTCGTCTAATCAAGTTTACGTGTCATTAGTAAAGTATACATGTGTGAATTAGTTCATAGATTAGATCACCAAGAATTTTCTTCAAGAAATTAAACAATATCAAGATTCAAGAATACTACTATTTACTTAGAGGTTTTTCTGTTGTTATGTAAACTGTCATTTTTTATTATATGTTATCGATTTTATCACCTGATCAATTTTTTAAAAAAAATTGTAATTCACGTTTTACTCATAGATTTTTTTTTTAGAAAAGCTGTGGGTTTTTGATGAATATTACAGAATAATCAATCCGAGTGTAGATTATAATTCTCTTTGAAGAAACTAGCTTAGATGGGTTTCCATAATTAAACATCTAACCGGTGCAATAGATAAGTGGTTTTAAGAAACTGAACTATAATAAAAATAGGTGCTGGGTCTTAAAGGATTTTTGCTGGACAGCAATCCCTAGTCTAAGGTTTAGGTCACGAGTCATTATTATTAGCCGATGAGAGGATGTGATCGTCTTCGATCTTTACCCAAAGTCCCAAACTATTACATGAATATTATGTATTTTCTTCTGTATTTAGAAGCTCTAGCTCGTTCCAATCGAAGTAGAAAACTTAGCTTTCACGTTCTTGTTTTTAGAATTTTTGAAGAAATATTTAAATAGTAAACGATATCAGGATTATTTTGCTTTTTTTCTTAGAAATGAAAACGTATTCAAAATATGTATATGTAATCATGACAGTTTATATACCTGGATTGAGTAAAACCGTTAGTGGTTTCTGAAACTAGCTACTACTCGTATTAATTAGTACACCTTAATATTATATACTAGCACGTTGCAATTGGTCATACATATTCTACGAAATTTAAAATTAAAACCACTGAAGATTTATATATTCAGCCATACCTTGGATTGACATTAGAACCGAAGCAACCAGACCCACTCTAGTGTCTTTGATCACGTGGAAACGCGTGAATTAGCGGCGCAATTTGCATTTGATAATGATAATTAAGCGCATTTGATATTAATTAAAATGCTTTTGAAGTTTGTATCTTTGGTGGAGGTCCTTTTAGCTCTGTGGCTGACAAAGAATTCAGTTTGTTTTAGCCTTAGGTTTAGGACGAGTTCGATTTACAAAAAAAAATAGATTAAATTATTGCATATCGATAATGGTAAAGATATTAAAGATTTCCAGTATAGTGTATATAAAAGGTAAAACTCTCTGTCATGAGTGTACGTGAAATTGTCTGCCATGGAACCTCATCAGAAAATACGTTATATCGAATCTTTTCAAAATAAAAGTTTTACGAATCAAAATCTCAACTTATAATTAGAATTGTTGACAAGTTCTCATGCATAATCAATTATTCACATGTAATATCATGTCACGAGTGATATTTGACTTCCCAATTCTTATAGCTAGATTTGATCAAATCTTCAGCAGCAATGGGCCAATTAATACACAACCAATTTCACAAGATAAAGTCTTACAATACCGTCAGTCAGTTATATAACACATACTAATCCTTAAGTATGCAAGTTATGTGGATTTGCGTATCTAGTTTTGTTTCGGTCAGCATATGCCTTTTTCTTTTGGAACCGACCAGCATTTGTCTTGGAGTTTTGAAGAGTTGTGGAAAATATCGCTTAAGAAATTGGGCATGGATATTCAAAAAATATAAGAAGATTGACCCCTGATGTATATATCTAGCTAGAATGGTTTGGTCGTATGTAATATCCTTCCGTTTTTTTTGATAAATTTTCTAGGATTTTCACATATATTAAGGAAAAGCAGATTTTCAATCATTAGTGTATTGATTTCTGCAATAAAACAATTTTTTATAATTTTCAACCAATAAAAATCTAACAAATACAATCATTGTTTCTTGAAAATTGAAAAAGTGTATCAAAAAAGTAAAAAATTTATCTTTGTGAAATAACAACTAATATCTAGAAAATCCATCTTAAAAAAACGGAGGGAATAGTTATTATCATAAACAAAATTTGGTTGTATTTAGGGGCCCGAGACATGAGTCTTTTATATTTTAGAATTTCTTGTTGACTAAATCACTATTTTGTCTTTATTTGTAAATGTAATTACTTAATAGAAAATGAAGGAGCTCCTAACTTTGATGACTCGGGATCTTCATGATTAAACTAGTTGCCTAATGTCCCTTTTGTCTTTTGTCTTTACTTTATTTTCCTTCTTTTAAAAAAACTTTGGATTTTTCATATATATTTTTTTTTTCATTTTTGATAATTTGACTGGACTAGTAACGAGCATTGATTTGGTTTTTGGCGGATGATAATTTCTCTTAAATAGACGGACATCTAAGTGGAATGTTAATGTCCAGAAATCATAATAAGCGATAGAATTACATGGAATATTGTTGATGAATATAAATGAATATTGCTGATACACCATTTCTGGTATAGATGTTTTCAAATTATATCTCTTTAGATTTATTTAATAAATCCATCAACAACAAAAAAATGCTAGATGTAGTCATGCGTAGGTAATGAGGTTATACTAGAACATGTTCAAATGATTAACATTGTCATCCAACACTCTTTCTTCTTCTACAGAAAAAAACATTCTTCTTTCTTTCTTTCTGAAAACACCACACACAAATCATCATTATTATTTTTATCGAATATATCTATTTATATTCATTTTAAAAATCTGTAAATATTTCGAAGAGTAAAGCTATAATCCACCCCACACACACACAAACCCCAAATCAAGTTTAATGCTGAAATGAGGTCACGAATTATTAGGCCGGAATCCTTGTGACGGAAACTATCAAATTGTGAGCAATCGAATGAATTTGAGAGGTGATCAAAACTTTTGTTTTTCAATCAAACAAATTACGATTTTGTCACCTCCCACAAGTCAGGCAGAGAGTGAAGGAGCAAAGGTCATCTTAGGAAAAAATCAAGAATAAGGATTAGCTCCAATTATTATTATGCTGTTGTCTTTCGTTCTCGAGCCTTGTGCTCACCTTTCTTCTCGCTGCATCTCTCTCTCCTCTCTCTTTATATACTTGCTAGTCAATCATTCTTCTCACTAACAGTATTTCCCGACAATCTTCTCAATGATTATCTATTATCTATACGTCGGGTTTAAAAGTTCTTTTTTTATTAAGTCGACACTCTTTTTAGTAGTTCATCTTTTAGGATTTGGTTTTAAAAACGATCTGTAGGAAAATGATCTAAAATAAATAAATGTACACAAAATGTATAGTGGTACTTCACGAATTAAAGAAAAGTTAGCATTGACAACTCAAAAATTTAAACGAATTTTATCTGATAAATAGCACTATTAATTTTAAACTTGACCTACAACACATTTGGTCGGCTAACTATTATCTTTTGTTTTTGAAAGCTTTATTTACCATAAAAAAAAACATTAATAAGTAGTAGTATAAGTACTTCCGACGGTAAATATGAATTACAGTAGAACCTCTATAAAACAATACTCGATAAAACAATAAACACTATAAGATAATATTTTTCTCCGGTCCCAACTCGGGCCAGTGTAAAAAATAGCATAATGCGATAAGATGATAAGACAATAATATTTTTGAAACTCCTATGTAAAAATATAGTCCCAACAATAAGCTAAGACAATAATTATAAAACTAATGCATATATATCTAAGACAATTTAGTAAAATATGACTCCAATGTAGTTTGTATTTTCTGAAAATTGGAGATGTATTCTCAACATGCAGCCAAAAGTTGTGAAGAGTTCTCGAAGCCACAATTGCATCCTTACGTGTAACTACTTGCACATGTCCTTCCTCATCATCTTCAACTTCATCTTCACCATTAAGAACAGTAGACATAATTTCTTATAGACTTTGAACTTCTGAGCATGAAATATGTAAATAACAAAGTATAAGGAAAATTTGAAAAAAAATCTGAAAAAATATATTTCTATAAAGTTTCTTGTTTTTGATAGAATATTTCTATAAAATAATAATTATTGTTTTATCGATAAAATAATAACTCTATAAGATAATAAAATTTCAAAGTCCCAACATTATTGTTTTATAGAGGTTTTACTGTACGTTTAATCTCTCAACGACACACAAGTATCATACAGTTAGGGAAGTAGTAGATTAGAATGACTCAATAAACATTTCTATTTTTAATACTATTAGGAAAAACAACATTTTTCTCCATTATGGCTTTGTGACCATCATTTTTGCTTAAAGCTAAGTTATAATTATGCTCTTTCCGCCAAAAACGGGTTTTGTCTTGTTGAAATAAAAAGAAGGAAGTGACTCAAAGCGTCTTCATAAAGCTAAGATATTCGATTTACTGCGTTAAGAATAAGCTTTATTCCAACATAAAACGCGAACAAGACTTTGAAAATCAGACGAGGGAGCTAAAAAAAATATTAGTTTCTGCGATATGTCCCTACTCATATAACACATTAACAAATTGAAATTCGCGTGTGCATTCACCACCCACTTCATACGATATTTTCTCATCGTATATTTATTACATACCAATAAAGAGAAAAAGGAAACTAAAATAAGTGATGGGATTGTAACTGGGGTTGAATACATGACAAGTTAAGTATAATAAGCAAGTCTAATTCTGAAACCCTAGGCGACGAACAGTGCATGCCAATAGTAGAAAACAGTACGTACGATCACGAGATCAAACTTATACGTACTTTACTTTCTTAGGATCCCTCCACTTGTAGGTACTAGCCTCTTGCCACGTGGTCCCCCTTCCATTAGCTTTATAGGCCTCATAAAGCCCGCGGGGCCCATCTTCCCATCCATGCACATGCTTCACATTAAGCTCTAGCTGTATATAAATACTAACCTTAATACGCATATTTAAGTGCATATAAAACGTATAATATAATAGGCCTACATATGCCTTCTAAGGAGAAGAGACCGGCCGAGGAAAAGACAGTGTTGTGGTCTCCACGAAGGTTGCAAAGTCTCATTGTCACGTGACCACCACCATTCTTCAGACTCTTACATAATTTGTGTATTATTATATAGCTCACATGTATAAAGGTACGATTATTTTATAGAATTTACATAGTTTTCAAAAACAATTTGTAGACCATTCACGAATCTTTAGCACTATACTCTACTAGTTTCAGAATAAACGAGTTGGCCTATTTGGTATAGACAAATTCCAATTATTGGTTGGTTCTATATATATTTGAGGATAATTGTATGAAAATTGAAATCCATTGTAGGCTTTAAACTCGATTGGCCGAAGTATGAGCGTAAATTGTAGTATAAAATTATTTGGGCTTTTACATCCGAATTGTTCCATTTAGACTTCCAAATATAAAGGGCCTAACTTAAAAGCCCATTTAACATTTGTATTTCTTGTTAATTATTATTGAAGACTTTAAGTAATATTCATCAAACCAGTTTCCTTTTTTTTTTTCTTTTGACTATCGTTCATTAATAGTAAACGTTACTATAAAACATGTAATAATAATTGGTAAGTTAATCCATGCATATATTATTGATGACATCAGAAAACGAGAAGATGAAGAGTTATTTTTCTAACAAACGTTAATTATTAGAGGAAAAAAGATTTTGTGGCTGATTCTCTGGTAAATATTTATTTCCTTTCTCAATTCTTCACCGACTTAGTAGAGAAGCTTCTTTCGTTTCCCGGAGGAAAAGCTATTTTCCGTCGATAATGGCGTCGTCTCACTGGATCCCTGAAGACGATTTCCGACTCAGAAAATCCATCGAGGTTTAGTTTTTCACCAAACCCTACTTTTGAATCTCTTGCTCTCTCTTCTTTCACATATATGTATCGATTTCGATTCTTATACTTCATGTTTTGTTGTGTTTACGAGTTTATATTACTGAATTACCAATTAAAACCGTAAATTACAGCAGCGTTTAAACCTAATCTCTGATAGTCATACTAGCTTGTTTCCCAAGTCATCCCTCTCTTCCTTGATTTGAAACTTTTCTAATGATTTATAATCTTTGATTACTTGTAATTGAACAGAATGGAGCTTCTCTAGAGTCGTTAGCGAAAGGAGCTGTAAAATTCTCTCGGAGATTCACACTTTTGGAACTAACAGATCGATGGCGTTATCTTCTCTACAATCCTCAAGTCACATCTCTCTCTTCATCAGTCGGATTCGATCTCGAATACTCGGATCACTTCCTTCCACAACAACATCACAATCATCAGCAAAGAACAAGAGTCAGAACTCAGTTTTACACGGCTCGTAAGAGAATGCGTTTGGAGGAGCCTCCTCTGAATGATCATGCCATTGATCTTGCGTTTGGAGAAAACGTGTTTGATGGTTCTTCTACGTTCCTCGATTTGCAGTTTGATGAAGCAGACTTGGCAATCATTCAACAATCTTTCCCAGATATTATGAATCAACTAGATGGTGATGATGATGGAATAGTTGATCAGTACTTCAACGATGGACTGATTCAAGACTGTGATGATGATGTCACAGCCACGGCAGCAGAAATAGAACAAGCTTTGCTTCAAGATGAGTTTCAAGAACCAAACACATCTCTCAATGAGACAACAACAACAGCACCAGTGCCACATTCTGAACAAGAAGAGACTCCGATTGGTCCAGAGTCTTGTCAAGACTTGCCAAGGAAGGAAGAGGAACATTGTCGTAATGCAACGTCATCATTGTCTAAATTAGATCCACATCCAGAAATCAAGAACGGTGTTATTATATGTGTTCTAAATTGTGAATCCGATGAGATTCCAAATAATGATCATCTCACTCCTCGTCAACTGAACAATCCAAAACCTAGAAGCAACTCGATGAATCCCTCATCATCATCATCGAGGAAGCATACGAAACCCCCTCTGCCTCCAACCAGAGGATCATCATTCTCACAAGCCAGAGGTAATAATAACATTATCCACAGAGATGGTCCTGTTACTACACAAGCAAGTTTTGCTGAGAAAGCGACATCTAGTGCTGCAACAACTTCTGCATCATCACAACGACACTCTCCAGAGAATGTGATATGTGAACAGCCATTGAGAACGGAGATGGACATAGACGCTCCAATGTTGGTAGAAGAAGAGAATCATATTGAAATCGAGAGTGATGAAGATTTGCCTTCCTATTCAGATGTTGAAGCTATGGTATATAAACTCTTACAAGTCTATGAAAATTACTGTCTATTTTTATTTATTTTGAATTTTTACTGACATTGTGTTTCTTGTTTTTGAACCAATCAGGTTCTTGACATGGACCTTGAACCGATTTATCAAGACCGGTACGAATTGGAAGGTAAGTAGATGATCTTATACGTCTCAAAATGTAGTTGTTAGCATTTCTTTCATATAATCTAACAAAAAGCTTTTACTGATGAATCTGTGTAGCTAGAAGATATCGAACCGATGAGATTGTGAGACATATAATAAGATTAGAGAAGAGTGCTGCGTCTTACATGAATCGCAACATCGCTTCTCGTGGAGCTTTCGCGATTCTATACGGAACTTCCAAGCACTACATTAATAAACCAGAGGTTCTTGAAATCTTTTCTTGAGATGCAAGATTAGGTTACTTACTGTGATTAATCGATTTAATCGAGTTTAAACCTTTTTCAGGTGTTACTTGGAAGAGCGACAGGAGAATATCCAGTGGATATCGACTTAGGAAGGTCAGGGTCTGAGCTAAAAGTATCACGACGACAGGTGATGACGTCATCCATTCATATTAACATATTTTCTGTTGAGCTTTTATACATTTTGGTTGAGAGATTTTTTAAAGTGTTGAGTGTTTTAATGAAACTAGGCTCTAATCACGTTGAAGCATGACGGTAGTTTTGAAATCAAGAATCTTGGGAAGTTTTCAATATGGATGAACGAGAAAGAGATTAAACATAAAGAAGTTGTTCATCTCAAGAACAATAGCTTAATCCAGGTAAATTAATATATACTTTTTGTTTAAATATTTTGGATCAAGAAACCGAAGCTGATCAATTTCTTTTCATTTTGGCAGATACGAGAGATGTCGTTTATATTTGAGGTGAATGAGAAAGAAGTCAAAAGATATTTAGGTGGAATTAACAGATAAGATTATACATAATGAGATAGGACATATCAGAGACTTTATGTTACAAGAGTCGTGTATGATAATTGAAATTTTAAAACGTGATCACATTGATCCAATCAATTATCAATCTATAGGGTGAATTAAGAGTTGTTTTTCTTTTCGTTTGGTTTTCAATTAGCAATAGGTCAATTAATGAATTAAACAGTGAAATGAAAAGGAGAGAAAGAAACAAAATTCGAATCAATTCCATGAGTAAAGTATATCTCTGAGGTGTATTGATGCAAAGAATGGGCAGTGTAGTGGATTTGAGAGATGGTGATTGGTTGGCCAATTTTTGTTTTTAAGTTTTGATACAAAAACACCCCTCCTGTTTTAGATATTTCTATACTACTAGCCCATGACGATGCAAAGATATTTATCGAAATCACTTTTAAATGTTATATATGTAAATTATTAGTGCCATTATCACTTTAAAACATGGTTTTAAAAACCAATTCCCGGAATCTTATATGTAACGATAAAGATTACTTTCTAGAAAATATATTTGAACATGGTAAACAATAAAGTTACTTTCTAGAAAATATAATTGTGTATATTATAATTATGATTTATGAACACTTCAACATGATAGAGATTGAATTATCTCCCCTAATTATACATTGTAGTACGAATTAAGATTGTTTCTGTATGTCTATCATGAACATAAACAGTAATCTTTTTCTTTTTATGTTTTTAATAATGATGTGAAAAGCCACGGAAAGATTTGCGATGGACACTTTCCACGGTTCGGACTAATTTACGTAAGCCATCACGTAAGAAATCTACTATTTTTCTTTAAAAATGTTACAAATTTTGGTTTATTAAAGGGGTCCCTGTTTTTGGTTCATCCTTAAAAAAATATGTAAAATACAAATATGGGGGCATTCATATACGTTAAATTAATGAAAACTCTCCCAGTGTGGTCCAATAAAATCATTAAATTAGCTTAATAAAAAACACTTTTGAATCGCTGTAAGGAATCGAGAGGTTTCGATATTGGCCTCCCCACCTTCTTTCTGCCCATTCATATCCAACTAATTTCCCTTATCTTATTCCATACATCATACATGTATAGATACGCCAATAACCAACGTGGTTGTTAGAAATTTCTACTAATTACTGTCATGGGAACAACCTACTAAATACGATTATCATGAATTATCGTTTTCATGTTCTTGACAATGTGACTATGCTTTAACAAGTTTTCATATTTTCTAAATGTAATTATGCCGTATATTGTGAACTAAAATGCTTATATACCTTTTCTTTAATGTTTATTTTATCATTTCTTGAATAATTTATTTTAAAGAAAAACCAACAGTTTGACTTTAGTATATGAGGTGGTGGGTTTGCTAGGTGATATAACAACAATATATTTGGTTACAAACCTTAAAAGTTATTTTTATATATTTATATAAAATTTTCTATAATTTCTATGAAACCTATTAAGATTTTGAATTACTTCGAACCATATTGTACACTTTGAGTGTGTCCGAAATATATAGAAACGTCATTAATTTAGTTAAACTAACTTTTAAACGTTTTCGCTGTTAGACCCGACTATGTTTCGACTATACTATTACTAATCTATCTGACATCCAGTAGATGATTTAAAAGGGCGTGAATTATATAAGAAAAATAAAGATAGATTGTGAAAATTAATGGAATAAATTATAGAAAAATGAGTTGGTGACCGAGTCGAAGCCTAAGAGTAGAGCTTCGAACAACGTACGAGAGACACGACCCACCAGACTAGCCACGTGTTGTCTCTCTTCTTTGTCCATCCATTCTTCAACCTTCTTTTGGACTAACATCGAAGTCTTATCTGCTGAATCTTTAGTTTCAGTGTTAAGAAAGAAATCAGTGAAATGAATATTTGACATCATGGAATACGTACCTAATTTCTCGGCAATTTATTATGATTTATTAAAATCATCATCCAGTCTTCCAAACAACAATGTAAAAACAAGCAAGCAATTGGTTTTGACACAAACTTTTATTTTCGCCATGGGTTGTGCACTTGCTAGTTGCTAAATATAGTACATGAGACTATGAGAGTGGGGCCCATCTTGTTCCCTAGCTCACATTCACGAAGTTATACCTAATCTTAAGTAATCTTGCGTTAGACGCTGTTCACATGGAGACTGTATTATGTGCTCTCTATCAAATAATAACATCTTTAATTTAGAATACTGTTACAAAAAATATCACACTGCTACACTGCATCTCCGTTTGATTGAGATTGCTAGCTGGTTACGGTATATTATACGTAGAAATGTCATAGACAAATCCATTTTCTTAACAAAAAAAAAGGTCCGACAGAATTTGTTTATTTTCTCAGTGGTGATTTTCAAATTGGTTTTCACGATACGATTCGGTTAAACAAAATTGTGGCATCCGGATAAAACCCTATATCACAGTGTAGTACGTATACCATAAAACTTGTGCTATGATAAAATGCTACATGTTTCAAGTAATTTTGATCAGAATGTTAATAATTATTGGTGTGAAAATAGATCGAGATTCACAAAGAGTTATTTGTACCTGGATTATGCAACCTATGTAGTAAATGGAGACAAACAGAAAAGTGTTTTTTTTCCAGTATGATCAAAACCTTAATTAATTGTTTCTGAGAAGAAAACTTTTAGGTCATGAGCTACATTCGAGTAAGAATGTTCTACAAGTGTCCAGTCTGTTCGCGATATCCATGGCTACTTACTTTCTTGCCGACTTCTGAGTGTCCTCTTTGCCAAATATATTAATTGGTAAGTCTTGAAATCTAGACCGACTATCAAAGTAACAAGTAACAACTATAGATTATATATATTTTTAGCAGGAGCATAATCTAGACATCTAGTAGCACCGTATCTTGTAAATTACTAAATTCTCGGTCTAGTCCAGAAAAAAAGTAGCATACTAACAAAAGAATAAAAGATTCGACAATTAACTAAAGGCGTATGCTTAAAGAAACTTTAAACCCATATAGAAGCCTGCCAAGTATCAAAATAATCATTCTTTCGGTGTGGAAAGTATTACGAATAATATGGTGTAGAAATATTATAAAGATACAAATCTAGAAATGTTATAAAGTTACAATTATAAGATTCCATGTATGAGTCCACATGGAAATACCCTTAGGCCCCGGTACCTATCTTATCGATCTCAGTTTGTGATAGAGTAGTAACCACCAGTAAAAATAAATATCATGTTCGAATCTTATCAAAAAATGGATATCTTAGTTTTCTTTTATGATTGAATGAGCTTTCAGAAACTCAAGTGAGAAAGAAAAAAACAGCAACACTGTATAAAAAGGTGAATCTAACTTGTCAAAAAAGTAATCCACTGAGACATATTTTATGTGTTTAAGCAAATGCTATATAAAGGAAAGACCCCACGAGCCAACTTGGTTCGATACCCGCGCTTCACTCCACCCACTGGCCACTTCCGAGGCGAAGTTCTTCGATGGCTTCAACCATAATCTGCCAAAACAAAGATAACACAATAGTATTCCAAACTAAAACAAGATAATAATATCTGCAACTATTTAACATATGTAGCTGCAATTATAACTACGTTCGATCTCATCCTCTGTTTGGAGTTAGTGCATGACTGCATGAGCATACTTTTAAGGGACAATTAATGGAGAAAATTCGTAGACGCGTAGTATATATTATCTTACATATAAACTTATCAGTTATGAACAATGCACATTGCACAGTTTAATAAAAAGGATATATGTTTAAAATATATTATGTTATTTTTTTTTGTATGCAGTATGCACTAATGCACATGTGATTATTAAACATGTTAAGAGTCAAGATCTCTACTTAGAACATCAGTTAATCTATTTATATACTGTCAATTGAATAATTTTAATTAAAAGATCATTAAACTTATTTGGATGCACATCAAATAATCTCATACACTACTGTTAGTTGATTTCAATATATAGTTAGTTTAAACTCTTAACAAACAATAAGGAACTACAAGGTTTAAAAAAAAAAAAAACTTCATATAACTAAAATGGGCACTACCTCTTCGTAGTCAAAGCTTTCATGATTTTTCTTTTTAATGACTGAAGAAGTAAATGGAGAAAGAGGTTAAAAGGTTACTTCGAGGACATCTCATATAAAACAAGAAGTGTTTTTTCCTAAGAGGAAAAAGAAAAAGAGAGACAGATATGATTGAGCAAAAAAGAAGAAGCAAATAATAATGATATTACATAAGCACCCTCTTGTATTACTCCATAAGTCCATATTCTCTCTTTCCTTTGACACAAACTCCATAAAACCTCACATCTCCTCTTCTATCCTTTTCAACAACCTTTCTCTCTCTTAATCGAACGATTGGATGAAGATCAGGTGCGACGTCTGCGATAAAGAAGAAGCGTCGGTGTTTTGTACCGCCGACGAAGCCTCTCTCTGCGGCGGCTGCGACCACCGAGTCCACCACGCTAACAAACTCGCCTCAAAACATCTCCGTTTCTCTCTCCTCTATCCTTCTTCCTCCAACAACTCTTCTCCTATCTGCGACATCTGTCAGGTCTGTTTCTTGATTTCTTGTCAAGATTTTAGGACATGGGTTTTGTCTAAATCCCGATCAAGAATCTGAAGTTTAGAGTGTTTTTTCTTTTTGTTTTTTAGGACAAAAAAGCTCTGTTGTTTTGTCAACAAGATAGGGCTATTCTATGCAAAGATTGTGATTCATCGATCCACTCCGCGAACGAACACACAAAGAAACACGATAGGTTTCTTCTCACAGGGGTTAAGCTCTCTGCAACATCTACCGTTTACAAACCAACAACTTCGCAATCTTCTTCTTCTTCAAACAACCAAGATTATTCTGTACCTGGATCATTAATTTCTAATCCTCCCATCAAGAAACCTCTCTCAGCTCCTCAGACCAATACCAAGATCCAACCTCTTTCAAAAACGGCGGCGCTGAACAAGATCGGCGATGCGGTGGCGAGTCAGTGGGGATCCACAAGCACGATTTCAGAGTATTTGATGGATACGTTGCCTGGATGGCACGTTGAAGATTTTCTTGATTCCTCTGTTCCTCCTTTTGGTTTCTCCAAGGTTTGTTCTTCTCTCTAATCAAATTTTGTTGATCTTTATTAGTAACTAAATTTAATGACCTTTAGATTTAGAGGAGAGTAAAAATTGCATTTCCTCTGTTTATTGATTAATATCATATCATTTCAGATCTAATTGAGATATAGAAAAAGTAACAAAACTTTTTAGATGTGGATATAGATCTTTTCTACTTTGGGTATTGTAAAAAGTTTCTGATTTTTTTCCTTTTTCTTGTGGGTTTTCTTTTGTGATTTCAGAGTGGTGATGATGATGGAGTGTTACCATATATGGAACCGGAAGATGACAGCAGTAAGAGAAACAACAACAATACAGTGTCACTTCCATCTAAGAATTTGGGGATTTGGGTCCCTCAGATTCCACAAACCCTTCCTTCTTCATACACAAACCAGTACCTTTCTCAAGACAGCAACAATATTCAGTTTGGGATATACAACAAAGAAACATCACCAGAAGTGCAGTCTTGTGCTCCAATACAAAGCATGAAACAACAAGGACAGAACAAGAGATGGTATGATGATGGTGGCTTCACTGTCCCACAGATTACTACTTTTACTAATCCTCCTTCTCTTGCTTCTAATAAGAAGTCCAGATCTTTCTGGTAATGGTTTTTATATATCTTTTCTTTTTGTTTGTTTGTTTCTCTTTTGTCTTCTTGATTTGTTTAAACTCCGATCTTGATAGACTTAGGCTGCTTCTTTTTTTGGTTCCGTTTTTTGTAAATTTTGAGTGTGATTGAGGTTGCTGTGTAATAATCCTATATTCTCTTTTGGTTTATGCAAATGTTCTCTCTTATCCTCCATTGCAAGTAATGCTAAAAAAAGTCCCCTTGACTTTATTTTGTGAATTTCATGGAGAAGGACTTCTCCTGTTATCGTGGAAGCAAGAAATTGTTATTTTTCAACTATCATCTACATTATTTTTCCTTTCTCAGTGAATTTTTTTTTTAACAAAGTTCCAAATTATCTATAGTATAATACGAAATCTAGTGACTTTTAAGTATGTGACGACAGTCTTTTTCATCTTCTGCCTTCCCATCCCATTCCCCAATATGGAGAAAGGATTGTTCTTGGATTTGGTTGGTATTTATTTATTAGTATTTATTAAAAAAATTAAAAAGATAAGAAAAGAGGCATATAATGGAGACAAAATTCACTATAACGTGCCCATCACCATCGGCATATTTTTGTTTGTGATTGAAATATGCCTCGAGAGCTCTGATAACTCAAAGACACCTCATTATGGCAGCCAATACTATTTAAAGAAAATACCGACACGTCATTTACTCGTTTTAATTAGCTTACTAAATGGTGAAAAAGATACGTCACATTCGTGTTGTTAATCTGGCCCAACTAAGTCAGGCCCATTGTTAGATTCAAAATAATACGAACCGTTCATATGGGAGAAAACTCAAAACCCCAAAAATTGACTTCTTTTGAAACGTTTTTGTTTCTTGTTGCACTCGAGTGTTTTTGGTAAACCATCATCTCGTTGTTTTGATGTTTCTTTAGTGCTGACATTATTATCTGTTTTTCTGTCTACAATTATATTACAGTCAGCGAAAATTATGCTTAAAAAGATGAATGGCTAAAGATTTAAAGCCATGATGCTCCCGAGAAAGATTTCGTTCAAACTTTTCGAAGACTCTTTTCTGTGGTCACGTATTTGGACTTTTTCTTCAACGCACTTCTATTTTCATATCTAGTTATCTACACTCAATAACCTATTGTGATCGATTGGTCATGATAAATCAAGATTAATAAGTAAGAAACAGTGAGACTGTGAGATATAATCTTGATTTATCCTGATGAACAAAAACCCAAAAATAAAATCAAATAAAAAACCGAAGATTGATAGACTGATAGCATAGGTCATGTTCGTGCTCTAGGCTATAGAGGTTAATGCTTGACACATTTTCTTTATGGTCACTACTTACGGCTGTAGGTCCGTATACTAGTCTTAATATGAGTTTAAATTCCCCGGTTACTGAAAAACAAGCATAAAGTATTGTTCATGATGTCAATAATTCTCTCGTTCAAAAACACCAAAGAAAGTAAGAAAGTACGAAACGGAAGATTTCTTTTCAAAAGATGTTCATTATAGAAAGCAAAAAAAAAAACGTTTACACTGAGATCCAATGGCAAAAGAAAATCTCTTGCTTTTAGTCATTTTAGAAAGCAACGAAAAAAAGAAAAACTTGATGAAACAAGATCATCACAATAGAAATGCTAAATTTTTTGTTACCTCATCATCACTCAAGAAGCCTGAAAAATGTTTGTAGAGAAGAGAAGAAACCCTAAGAATTAAGGGTACAAACAAAAAGAAAAAACAAACAAACCCAAAAAAATTAGAATCGTAAAAACCGAACGATATGGATGTGGTATATCTCTCTAGCGACGGCAATGAGGTTTGCAAAGAAAGAGACAATCGTAAAAACAAAAACCTCCACAATGCTGTGGACATTCCAATCTCTTTCCACTACATTTTCCTCTTCCCTTACACTCCGCGTACTCTCTTTTCACAAATTCCCCTCTTCCTTCTCTTCCTCTTCCTCCTCTTCCGCCGCAACCCCATTTATACCATCCTCCACCACCTCCGCCTCCTCCCCATCCCCATCCTCCTCCTCTTCCGCCACCACCACCACCACCACCTCCTCCTCCACCGCCGCCACCACCCCATCCCCATCTATAGCTCCCGCTTCCTCCTCCATAACTTCTTTTCTTGTCCTTGAGAACTATTTCGGTGGTTGTGCTATCTTTATCAGTGTTGTTGTTGATGTTCTTGACTGCGTCTTGATCAGTGGAACGGACATTCACACTCTCTAGTTTGTTAGTTTGAAAGGTCAGTACAACGAGGAGAATAACCACCAATGAAGAAGTTGTTTTCATCTTTTTCTTTGTTTCTCCTCAAAAGTTGGTAGACTTTGTTTTGGATTTGATTTGATATGATAGCCTTTGGTTTGGTCCTCTCTTTATACTATAGTCCATTTGTTGTTGTCCCCTTCAATAATAATTGCAAATTCTTATTGACAGATAGGATTTGGTCCTACCAAAAATAAAGTATTTGTCTTCAATATTATGAAGAGAAGACTATCATAATTGTGTGTTTTTTTTTGTCAACTTATTATGTGTTTTTAAGAAGCATATTGACCAAATTAATTAGCATGATTTGTATAAGAGCAAAAGGTTTCTATTAGAGACGATAACACATCATTTCCTATTTTCTTAATTTATCCTTGTATCATAAGATGGGAATTTGTTGTCATCTGGAATTAGATTAGTTATACAATTACAGACTAAATCAACAAGCATAATCATTAATGAAACCTATTAGCTATAGGGAGCTTTACATTATTAGCTAAGAAAATGAGTGGTTAATTCTCTAATGATTAAGCGAAGATAAACTAATTTAAATAAAAAAAGAAAACAAAAAAAGGAGAGAGATCCCTTAGGTAACACTACTAGTGGTAGTAGCCACACCAATCAACACTGCAAATCTTCTCCTTCAATAAACATCCTTCTTTTTTCGATGTTAATAAAGAATACTTACGCAATGATGCTACCAACTTGGGAAACTCCTCAAGATTTAACATTTTTTACCTGTAAAACAATACATTCCTCTTACAAAATTATAATATGCATTATCTCTCTACATCTTTAATAAGTATAAAGTTCGCATGCCAAAAAAAACAACCTCGCATGCCATGTTCGAGTTTTGTAAGTTGGTATTTGTGGAGTATCTGGTACGGTTGTTTATACTTTCCTTCGACGTTATCCAATTTCATTTCATCTACTTGTAGATGATCTTGGACCACCATGTCTCTCCCACTAAAAGTTCCCTTGTATAATACAGTTTTCATCTTTCTCGAATCTTGTGTAATACATACAAACTCTATGTTAATTTCGAGATCGGCTAATACTATGAAAGGTTTGCTTACAAAAGACATTTACTTGCATAGTTACACATGTTATCCAAAACCCTTTGAAATACTCAAGATTGGGAGCAACTAAAACATAAAATTTGTTTTCTAATAATATTGGATAATGAAATCTCAGAACTAGGAATCACAAACCTAATCTGTTCAATATTTCATACAAACACAAGCAATATCTCAAATCTCCCCAAAAAAACCAGCGTTGGCTCACTCCAGTAGCCAAAAGAAAACAAAATCAAAGTCACAAGAGAGCACAAAAGCTATAGAATCACCAAACAGAAACAGAAACCTAAACCACGAAGAAGAATGGAACTTTCGACCGGTAGTTTTCAATCTTCAGTACCGGCGGAATCCACGGTCGGCGACTCGAGCAGAAGGGCACTCATAAGCCATGTGTCCTCTGCCACCACAGTTGTGACATATTATGATAGCACCAACACCGTCTCTCCCAATTCTACTGAAACTATCTCTGTGCACACCACCACCACCTTCTCGAGCCCTGCTTCCTCTGTCTCTGTCAGAGTGATGATTGCTCTCTCCTTTGGGGCATAGCCTAGCCACATGGCCCGAGATGCTGCAGATGTTGCAAACCGGCTCGTTAGGGCAGTCACGAGCAATGTGACCTGAAGTCCTGCAGTTCTTGCACGCCTTGTCGTTTGTGCAGTCGGCAGCGAGATGACCCGGTTTGTAGCAGTTGTTGCATAGCCTCGAGTCCCCTGGACGAGAGTTCGGGTTAGGGCAGTCTCTCACTCGGTGTCCAGATTTGCCACACGAGTGGCAGATTCCTTCGTTTGTGCAGTTTGTGGCTACGTGACCAGGTTCTCTACAGTTCCAACACCTTGTTTCCGCAGTGCACTCCGCTACAAGGTGCCTGCAAAGAGAGAGTTTTTAAGCAACCCATATAAACAGAGGAAGCTTGGTATTTGAGTTAGGAAGGATAGATAGATTACCCTGGAAGGCCACAGTTGTTACAGACGGAGACATTGGGGCAGTCTCTTGCAAAGTGACCAGGTCGCCTGCAGTTGTTGCAGAGACTTCCTTGGCTGCTGCACAAATGTTTCAAACAGAATCAACAAATTTGTGACAATCTACATTGAGACGCAGTAGTTATAAGATAAATTCATCCAAAAAGTGTGTATGAAAGCAAACAGTAGAGCAATGACACCTAATATTTGGAGAAACATCAAAAGGAAAACAGTAATTAACCATGATCCTACGCTGATCACACAATCTAGATAAAAGAAGAGAGAAGAAGGCTTGAGAGTAGGTCACTAGAGAACTTAATCAGCAAGAAATTCATAAGCAAGTTAGACAATGTATTAGCAGCATCAGCATTGGCTTAGTTCATCTATAAGCATTGGACTGTGGCTTAATCGTCATCTCCGTTTTAACTAAACTCAATGACTGTAACTATGAGAAGGTTGCAAAGAAGAGAAGCATAACGAGGTAAGGACTTTTCAGGCTGATGTTATGGTTTTGAAGAGGTCGAGAGTGAAGAGAGTAAAGGTTACTACTACTGAAGATTGAAGAAAGGCTCGAGATATAAGGAAAGAGAAAGACCTGAAACCACGACGTGGCTCACGGTCCCTTCTATAAGGAGCATCACGGTAAGTAATTCGCTGAGTTCTCATTCTCCTGTCTCTCGGAGGACTCCGACTACGACTCCTTTCCCGGCTCCGACTTGGGCTCCGGCTTCTGCTCCTGCTCATTGAACTCATTTCCACCCCGAAAACTGGAAAACTTTCAACACCTGCCAACATTCAACCACACACCATCATTACCTCCTTCACTTCCCATACATCAACAATTCTTCAAATCACGGTTAAGAAGTTCGATTCTCTGTAGATTCAAGATCTTATCATGTCACATTCTCTGAGTATCCACACACCAATCCTTGCATTTTCAACACCATTCGTCCCCAAATCCACAGCCACGCAAACTTAATTCGGTTCCCACAAAACGTAAATCTCCTAAATCGCTTTCGATGCGATAAAACAAACTTCGACATATACAGTCTATCGAGAAACAATCAGATCTAGCAAATCCAATATTCAATCACAAATTACGAACCCAGCTCAAGCAAATCTATCAGAACAGTAAACGGAAGATCACGCCCCAGATTTTTCAAACGGACATTCAAACGAAGTGTGTAGCGAGGAAAAGGATTTACGAACATGAAATCGAATCTCGGGAAATCTCCATAGCGAGGAACAGCAAGTATAAAGAAGAACACAGAAAACGATCGACTCGTAGAATGATTCGAGAAGGAGAGAATAGCTATCACCAACCTGAGCTCAAAGAATCGTAGATTTTCCTTCCGCCGAGAAATATCCTCTCCGCTCGCGATACCGGCGAACAATCGGCAAATCTATCTTCTATGTATCGCATCATCCATCGAGTTTTGTTTAGGCTGATCCATGGAGTTCATATTGGGCTGGGCTATAACGTGGGCCGTATAATAGGCAAAAATAATTTAGGCCCGCATAAAAATGCAAAAATCTCCGTTGCCGGGACTCGAACCCGGGTCTCTCGGGTGAGAGCCGAGTATCCTAACCAGCTAGACTACAACGGATTGTTGATTGACATTTTGTGATTTGCATTATAAACTATAGACTATAGTTAATCAACTGTAAAGTCTTACCCACAATCAAATGGCCTAGTGTAGGTAGGAAACAAAAAGCCTAGACTCTTTCTCTCTGCGAATAAAGTCCTAAGGATATTCGACATACAAATGTAGTTCATATAGTTTTAAAAGGGAGGAAAGTGAAATTTATATGATGTGTGCACCACCTACTCTTTTTTTAACAAAAGTGTATATTGTAGTATATATGGCGGTTGATAGTTTATGAGAACTTTTATCATCAAGAACAAGAGTAATCGAGTGGTTAGTTTATATTAGACTATTAGTTAGGCAGAAACTTGTTTCTAGCTTGTTAAAAGTGTATTTTTCCAAACGTTCTCATAACATTGATTTCGAAAAGATAAATTATTTTTAGTAATCTGCGTCGCATTTTAGATATTAAAACAAAAAACATCCAAAATTGATTTTAGGGTGGTTGTGTCTTGTAAATTCGCTTGAAAATAAACATGATGGTCCTTTATGTATTCTGTTTATGCCAACTACTTCACTGTTGTGGGACCCATATAACTAGTATAGTTTCTACAAAATTGTGAGGAAATAAATAAGTTTTAGTTTTTATGTGACCAATCTCGTTGATGGAACATGTGAGTTTGGTTTCATTTTATGAAGAGATTCGCAGTTCGTTAGGAACATTATTCCGTCATCGCTCGTTTCAATGCATTTTTTAAACACGAGTTTACATACTTATTTACAAATATATAATTCAATGCGTAATCCTGCTGATTCTTGATCTTTCGTATTTCTTCTTTCAAGATTTTTGTTATCTTAAGCAAAAGAAAGATATTTTATTTCAAGATTGTGTATACATTTCAAAGGGATGTAACGACATGTAATTTTCAATAAAACAAATGCAGTGAAATGGATTCAGAGAAGAAGACGAAATACACCCCCAAAAGAATCCAAGAAAAATATACGGCTTGCATGTGCATTTACTAGCTTAATTGCAGATATTAAATTGGAGAAGCCGTAGCGAGTTCGAGTACTCTTTATGTACGAACGAGACACCTTTAAGTCCTTATCTCCTTGTGTTATAAATCTGTCCTTGTTTTTAATCTCCACCCACACGTTGCTGTTTTGGTAACTATTCATCGAACAGGCTCGTTGTTGCTGTACAAACAACAAATCCGTCACGGCTTCCACTGTTTGTCTTCGCCTCTCACTCCCATTTACTCATTTTGTTTTTTCTTTCCGAGAATATACGGCAAGTTTTTGTTCTATTTAAACACAGTTCTTGTAATAAATGATTTATACATGCAAACAAAAGTTCTTATGCGTTACATTGTCTGGGCATGCATTTCGAGTTTTTGCATATCTTCTTCATGTTGCACAGTTTAAAACTCGTGAACGGATTTTGTGTGTGTGTGTGTGTGTGTGTGTGTGTGTTCAATTATGGCTTCAGAGTATTCGGAAAACCACGTGAGTGTATATAATAGCCTCTGTGGGAGTTAGACGCAGGAAGTAAATTTGTAAATTTAATTTTGGGGCTAGGTAGGGTGTGAGGCTACTCTTGCAACTTGGAGGCTTGGAGATATTTAATTATTCAAAACAAAACAAAAAAGTTTAAAAGGTCTCTTCTTTGATTAATTTATTTTAACTTACAGATGCATACATTGATGACTTAAATGCAAAAATAATGCATCATGTACGATTTCAACTCACAAATTTTTTATTTTTTTACTTGTTATAATATGTTGATAAATAGTTTTCAAAATATATCAACATTCTGTTAGGATAGTGGTACATAGATATGCATCTGTGATCAGTATAAGAAAAAGTTTTAAGATGTGAGATCTTTAATTGAAAGAAAGGGTTAGAAATTAAACTAAAAATACAACAACAAAAGAGTAAAGTGTAGGTAAACTGTAGAAGTAGGGAAGTAAGTAGGGAAGTTAGGTAGGCATGTGAGTCAGTTGAGACTTGAGACAGTTGGAGAGTCCCCGTTTAGTTACTACAAATTTTCTTGGTTTTAGTTTGTGGTCCGAAACATCGACCCCTTTCCTCTGCTTCTTTGTTTTTTGTTATCAATTGTTTTTTTGATGCGATTCAATATGCTATAAAGATTCACTGTATATTGTTTTCCAAGTGGACAGAAGTTCGGTACGTGTTATGTAAAGACTTCAGAATTATCGTTGTTTTTTAATCATAATTTATCTCTGTCTCTCTCTCTCTCTCTAGTGGCTCATTGGGTACAACGACTCTCCTTTTATCCTTGTGAAGTTTCAGCTTTGATGTCTTTTCTTTTATTCTTCTAGATTCACGGGTTCAATAACCAAGATCGTGGTACTCTTCTGTACTTTTTTCTCCCATTGAACAAAAACTGTGATATATTTTCACAATAAGAGTATTATGATAAATTGATAATACTGACCTACTACTATCTTTGACCCAACAAAATTATATACCAAAAATATGAAACTCCTTGGTAATCAAACTTCATTATAGTAAATACAAAATAAATTTACATTTGATAGTATTTGCAGGGAATCTAGAATCGGTGTGCTGTATAATCCTATACATAGCAGTAATCCCTAATTCGTATTCGATGGTACCTAGGTGCTTATGTTTAAATAAATAAACTATTCATGGACTCTTAATTTTTTATAAGTAGAAATTTTACTATCTTAAATTTTTCTTTTTCTTTTTTTTTTTGCTAAAGCTATCTTGCATTCTTGACGTTTGACAACGTGCATGAAGTAACACGTTGAGTGATTCGTACGTGTGGTCTTCAGTTGTTAAAAGTATGTGAGCAGTATTAAATTATTCAATAACAACTTGGATAAAATCATAAAATCCCTACGCTCGATGTAAGAAAATTGGGACAAGTAAATGGGAGAATGTGTCACGATAACCATAAAGTGGAGACAATAAAAGATAAAATACGAATTAAGAGAACTATACAGCAAATTCGAATAAAACCCTAATCAACCTCGAGGAATGCGAATGGAACCCAAAAATATTAACAAAATCAACGAGCATGCATAAACCAAAAAGGAGTATTAGATATTCAAATATACTCTAACCACAAAAAAAGTGAAAGGAGACTAATTATCAGACCGTCCGTTTAACAAATCCCACACATACTCGTCTCAATTTGGACCCCACATCTTCACATGCTTTGGAAATACTATTTGACATTTTTCTGAATCAGTTAAAATGGGACATTAATCTAAATTAAATTACACAAAATATGTTGAAGCAAAACATATGATGACCCCAAGCGGTCGCTATCAAGTTTCTACATTCTATCATTTCTGCAACAAATTAAATATTTGTATCATCTTAATGCACAACAAATGTTTACCCGTAGCAAACACGCAAATTCATAGTCAGACAACAAACACATCATAATCTCCTCAACGCCTCGATATTATCATACTCCATCTCTTTATAAATTTATATACACACACATGTGGGTGTGAATAAATTCGTGTACATTCAATTTTTTTACTTTTTGAAAAGAAAATAAAAGTTCCACTCGCCCTAGTCCTCAATAAATACCCCCAACCACATATCCATGAGCCCTCCTCCCTCACTCCTCTCCTCTCTAATCTCACTCATCCATTTCATTCTGAAATTAACAAAAATAAAAGATCTTGAAACTCAAATCAGACACACACAAAAAAGAGATATTTTCAAGAACCCATTTCGAAGAGAATGGCGATGAAGAAGTCGAGCAAGCTAACGCAAACGGCGATGATCAAGCAAATCGTGAGGAGATGCTCAAGCTTGGGGAAGAAACAGAGTAATGTATACAGCGAAGACGTTAACGGACATCCTCTTGACGTGCCTAAAGGTCACTTCGTCGTCTACGTCGGAGAGAATCGGGTCAGGTACGTTGTGCCCATCTCGTTTTTGACCCGACCCGAGTTTCAGCTTCTTCTCCAGCAAGCAGAGGAAGAGTTTGGCTTCGATCACGACATGGGTCTCACTATCCCTTGTGAAGAAGTCGTTTTCCGATCTCTCACCTCCTCCATGCTCCGATGAATATATATTTTTAGGGTTTTTTTTTTTTAATATGGTTAGGATGAGAAGGGAAACAGAGGAAGCTGTTCTTGAGTTAAATGCTTCTCTGTTTTAGCAAACTAAGTTTTATATGTTTTGGCTAATAGTATGGGTTTAGTGTTGTATTAGAGTGAGACTAACCCTTAGAGAGAACCCAACGAGGATGATTACTATTTTTGGTTCTCTTCTCAGATTTTAGAAAATCCAAAAAAAAAAAATGTTGTAGAAGATCACTCTCATGGTGGTGTGGTTGTTGAATGCATACCCTGTGAGAGAGAGCTTGTAATATTTGATGAATGAGACATTTAATTTCATCAGCCAAGGCTTTTAATTTTTGTTGGTGTTGATTTTCTTTTGCATAATCAGTGAATTATTCTGTAATGTGATTTATATATAGTTTTTGAGTCTGGCAGACCAATCAAATTTATCTGCTGAGAGTTGATATGTAATAAATCCCAAACAAAGTTCTGTTAAATGGCGAAGCTAGTGAAAGCTGCTCTTCTTTCTAATTAGGTCGTTTCAACAAATTTTATAAAGAAAAAATAACCCATCGATGAAAATTAAGACCCAAAAGAATGAAAAAAAGCAAGTACTTTCGTCCTTGAAAACAGAGCAATAAGACACGGTCGTTACTTTTTAGGGTTTTGTCTCTCTCTTTCCCTCTTTCCAAATTTTATAATGTTTCAATATTTTTTCCATCTTTTAAAAACTCCCGATATTTTCTCTTTCTTTTTTGATCCTTTCTTATAAAAAAACAACTGTGGTTTCTCTTTCTAAATCGGCGGTTTTTTTAGCCGTTAAAACTGTTGAAATAACTAAAATAAATAAATGAAATTTCTGGATGGAATGTTAGTTGCAGAATCGTTATAGTATATAACTATATACATAGCCATATAGGGCTCTGCTTTGTTGAGACTTGAGATTCGTGTTTGTATTATTAGGTGATGATTGGTTCTCCCGCTACCACCCGCAAACGCAGCGTTTGCGGTTCGTAGCGGTTCTTAGCGTTTTATAACAATCACGACAACCGCTTTCAACCGCTCTATACCACTCTGTACCGCTCTATATCGCTGGAAATCAAAAGCTCCTTTCCGCAAGCGTTTGCGGTTGCGGGCGGTTGCGGTTTGAAAAAAAAAAAAAAAAAACATAATATCTCCAAATTTGGAATAAGGGTATATTTTTTTGAAAAATACCATAATTATGTTTAAAAATTTCGAAAATACCTAATTTTTTCTGTTTTGAAAAATACACTTTTAAAATGTAAAAAGTCTGTTTTGACGTGATTTAAACAAAAAATAATAAATAATTACAAATTAAAACGAAAATTAAAAAATAATAGAATTAATAAGTTTTTTTTCAATAAATACAGTATATGTTAAATTGAAACAAATTTTAATATTTTGGATCTTTATATAAACAACTTAACCTCATACACATTCCAACCAAATGAAACTTTAAATAAATTAAAACTTTACATATATTTAAAGTTTATAAATTATTAAAAATTTAAAAATGGAGAAATATATCTTTCATTTTTAATGTTTATCTTTGAAAAATTTAAATATTTTTGAAACTTTATATAAACAACTTTAATCTCACCCCATTTAAACTTTATATAAATAATCTTATATTTTTATTGTTTAAAAAAAAATCTAAACAGGTAATTAGGATGGTTTAGTATGTTAAAATGATACAAAATTATTATCAAATCTTAATATTTTATATTTCTTATTTGAATTTCGTTTTTATTAAATTAGTTAAAAAGTTCAAATTAGGAATAATCATTTCACATATAAAAAGTGTATTTTTCAAAACCAAAAAAAATAAGGGTAGTTTTCAAATTAAAAATTCATCAAAAATATATTTAAAAAAAATTATTAATAATATGGTTATAAATGTTTTGAATAATTATATATTATGTTTATTTTAGTAACTTTTGGTTAAACCGCTCTTGCACCCGCTGGCTAACCAGTCAAAAATATCCCGCAAACGCAACCGCTATGAATTGCTATACCAGTCGTACAAACAGCTTTTAATCGCAAACTCCCGCTTCCGCAAACTCCCGCAACCGCAACCGCAACCGCAGCGTTTAAACCAGTCAGGCCCTAAGTGTATGCGATTAGAAGAAGGTTAAGATAGATAAATTTACGATACTAAACAAATTTGGAATCATCATGCACTTTCAAACGCATACTTGTTGGCAGTTATGTATAGCTATCGTAGCTTGGATTAAAAGTCGTAACTTCTGATAGAAGAAGATACATTTCAGGAATTATTAACTTTCATTACTCCTATGTTTACCCAAGAAAATAAAAAAGGCTAATAAACAACCCATAACTCCTAATGAGCTAACCTTAGATGTTGATGTTCAACCGCTAAATTAATTTCGATATTATTGCAATATTGGCCTTTAGTATTGTTACTATATTAAACCGCACACAACATGGCATTTAGCATAGAGTACGAAGAGTTTATGTTTAGCTTGATTAGTATATAACTCATCCCTTCGGTAGAGATAAAATTAGATTAATTATATAGTTTTTACAAAACTGGTATTGAGAAATGAAAAGAGGAATGGGTTGGAGATGTCAAAATCGAAGTCAGAGAGAGATTAAAGCACATGCGAGTGGGACCCATAGTTTGAGAAATCTCGTATAGGTGAACCCTACAAGATTCTGATGGAGTTAGCAATCCTCTAGAACACAGGAGTGGTATGGTGGACCCACTTTCAATTATTTGGACGGCTGAGATGTAATCCTCTAGAAACTTGAATGATTATGGGCCTCGAGATCACGATAAGATTCACCGTATCTCCTAAGTCCTAATGCACACTCCTGAATATGATTTGACTGAAGTACCCTCATTCTCTTTACCGTACGGTACTTTAACGGACGGATGGAGTTGGAGTAGTTAATTATATATTTTTATATTATCAAAAACTAATTTGACTATGGAGATTAACAATTAAAACTAACCCGACCAATCCATGAAAGTTGACTCGTGATTAAAACTATTGCCAAGTGTTACGAAAGAAAGAAGGAAACTGTTGACGATTCTGATGAATTTCAAGTTCAACTATACACTGACATGCCATCTTTGTTGTTGTTATATGTAGTACTCTCTTTGAATTGTTACCGTAACGTTCTTTTTGAACCTTCCAAATTCAATGTACAAGCTAGATATTATCGCACGTTTTGCTCGAAGATGACAAACTGATTTTTTTTTTATCATAAATGATTGATATTGCGATCAATATTTTTTTATTATCAAAACTAATTTTGACCATGGAGATTAAAAATTAAAACTAACCCGACCAATCCATGAAAGTTGACTCGTAATTAAAGCTAGGGATAAAACTATTGCCAAGTGTTACGAAAGACAGAAGGAAACTATTGACGATTCTGATGAAATTCAAGTTCGACTATACATTGACATGCCATCTTTGTTGTTATATGTAGTGCTCTCTTTGAATTGTTACCGTAACTTTCTATTTGAACCTTCCAAATTCAATCTACAACTAGATATTATCGAACGTTTTACTCGAAGATAGACTAACTGATTTTTTTCTTTTTTCTTTTTAATCTATGAGAGATTGATATTGCGATCTACGTATTGACTATTGAGATAAGTTATTCTGCTAAACAATTTTCAAAATTTTTTACTCGTCACATTATTAAATTCCAAAATTTATGTGATGGATATGATGGAGTATGTCATTCTTCAGTTTCGGTGTATGTGATAGATATCCCAATTGGAAATTATATGGATAACATGAGCTTTTAATAACTAGACTTATAAGAACTAAATTTATCAATGTTTTTTTTGTTTGTTTCCTTTCACAAAACCTTTGATTAAATGAATTATTCGTGATTAACGTCGAATTTATTGATAGTTTATTTTTGTTTGTTTTGTCTCAAAAAGACATTTGCTCTGTAATGTAAAATTGGGCCTAACTTAATTTTCTGTAAAACATTCTTGGTTATTCACTTATTCCCAACAAAGACAACAATCGAAATTCTCTACGTTTTATTGATGTGGACTGGCATGTACAACTGCTCGCGAAGTGATATGTCATAATAACATCGTTTTCTTTAGGTCCATTTATTACCGTACCCATTAATTGTTTTGTTTGATAAAAGGTTTAGTACGGACTAATTGTTGAAGCTGGAATATTTTTATATATTTTTTCAAATAATTGTTATTTATTCAGAAGATGATGTCTTTCTTCTTGGTCGACAATAAGGCAAAAGGGAAAAGATATGGTAATGCAGCTTGATATATCTCTAAAAAACAAATGATTAATTGAAATGTATGAGAATGGGTCGGTAAAGAGATCACAATCCCACCAAGTCCGAAAGTGCTACATATCCACTAATCAACACATCATACCCAATTTTAAAAGGAAAAAGAAAACACCGGAGACCAAATTTATCACCTATATTTTTGCATCATTACTACTAGTATGACGAATCATATTTGGATTCTTGTTATTCTTAATAATTGAACTATATATGAACCGTAAAACTGAATGTCACAACATACCTGGTTTCCAATGTGGTAAAATCAGGTAGATAAATATCAAACGATAGTTGGTTATAGTAGAAAAAAGAAATCACCCATTGTATTAGTTAAAAACTTAAAATACGTATGTATAAACGTTTTCTTTCGAAAGAGTTTATTGACTCTTTAAACTAAAATACACGATTAGGGTTGTTGCATAATGATTAACGCGTGTCTCGGCCTAACCGCATTGCTTTATTTCTTTTTGGTGGCTCGTAATGGTTGGTTAATTCCTTGTGGTTGGATCTTTTGTAAAATGGACTTGGGCTGTAACGCTGGATATCGATATCAAGTACAAGTATATAGCAATAACTGCTCCAACAAAAACTTGTAGTCGAAAAAATATTCCAAAGCTACCATTTTCTCATATGCCAACAAATGTCATCACTTATGCTTACCTTCCTCTCCTTTTTGCCAATGAAATGTTGTGACCTCAAAAAAGTGCGAGTGAAAGATGAAACTCTTTTGCGTATGACTACTTTTCTCACATTTTTGAGCTGGTTTCAGAAACTTGGCTTTTGCTAGTTACGTCTAAATATGATCAAGGGTAAAAATGTAAAGTCAAAGCTTCGACCCCATTGGCATTGGGCCTTTCTTCGCTGTCCTTTCGAAAGAATCTCTCGCCTTCTCTTTGGTTTCACGACTCCCATCATTTTAATTCTAAATAATTGTTGTGTTGATCACAACTACATCTTCCTCGTAAATGATCTCCTTACTGGCTACAACTATCTTTAACCCGACAATTTTCTTCAAACCATTTGGAGAAATCCTCGATAGTTAGATTATATTCATCACATTAATCCAGTTTCGGCTAATTTGAGTAGTTTGACTTTCGCTTGTAACTTGGATTTGGCGTTTTGGTTTATAGTTTATTCTCCGTTGTAATGAATATGGTAGATCCACTTTTTCATTCATACTACTAACCCTAGAATCAAGCTGCATAATACTGTTCTATGATAATACTAATATACGTCGGCATAAATGGGTCCGTTACTCCTTTATGTATCCATATACATATGTGAAATTTGTATTTGTAAATATGAAGTACAGAACATGTTACAGGTGTCCTATATATGTCGATGCAAGAGAAACGTGGACATTGGTATTCATTTATGTTAAAAAACGGTGATTGACATATTGCCTACATAATTTGATGCTATTATAAATTTTCTCTTTTGATGTAATAATCTTCTTATTTTCGTTTTGGCTGCAATGTTTTTCATCAACGACACTCTCGTTAAAATGTAGTGTTACTTTAGTTTCTCTATATAGCATCTTAGTTTTGTTTGAGAAGAAGAATCTCACACATTGTGACTATATTTGCTAAAAAAAACTTGACTTACACACTTTCTTTCTATCGCAAATTTAATATCAGTGTCTTAACTTTGGCTACAAATGGAATTTGGAACGATGTTGCATGATTCTTGTAACTCTTTTAAAAGATTTATTTCTTCTTCTATGTTCAGTCATCTTATAAAACTTCCACAAGTTAATTTTCCAATGTTTTCTGATAAACCTAGCTGTATTTTCTTCCATATAAACTACTGTGCAAGAGAATTCCATGAATCAGACCAGGATCCAAACTATATAATTAGCAAAAAAACTAGGCTGTATGAACATTCTAAACCTAGATTGCGGTTTGTCAAAAAAAGACATATTTGATATATATATAAAATTAATATTGATGATCATGTCATGTACCCCAGAAGGCTAGAATAGAATTGTACTTTGTACTGTTTGAAGAACGTGAAAGACAGAAAAAGCTTTGTTGAGAATGAAAACAAAGCAAAGTGGCTACTACTGATAGTCTTTTCCTTCACATGACCTTGGTCGGATTTTCCAATCACTACGGTACAATTCCAAACAACTTTCGCCTAAAGTTCAAACATGTAAATAATTTCAAAGAAAAAAACAAGTGAAAGTAATATAATTGAGAGACTCTCTACATTTGAAATCCACATTGATCATTTAGTAGAAAATCCACATGACTTCGTCATTAATTAAAACGGCTAAACTATATACTAGCCTAAAATAAGTTAAAACTAAAATTACATAAGCTTATAATATGGGTTTTGTGCAAAAAAACCAGGAAACTAAATTAATTTTGCAAAATTAACCCTTACCTTTTTTCTGTGCAGGTCAATCCCCCTAACTCAAAAGTCATCCGCTAAACGGCCCTTGGGTGTATAGGCGACGTGTCTCGTTTTAATCCACTTATAAATTACAGAACGCTGCGTTTTGGACAGGAAAACGGCACAATGTTTTGCTTTTCTCTTCAGTTTTTGAACAAAATTAATTTGGGGAAATCCAAAATCGATTTGGGGAAAATCCAAATGAGAGGGTTCTTGCTTGGCGATTGATTTTTGATTTTAGGTGTGGTGGACTTGTGGAAGCTGAAATCGATTGGCGTTAGTGATCGACGACCTTCCTGATCGGAGCTCGAGATGAGGTAGATTCGTTTGCTTTACTTCTTAATACGATTTTAAATTCTAGCAGAGAAATGAAAGATGATGATGTCTGCAAACTTTGTTATCTATCTCTTTTTTTATTGTCACAATTGATGTGTCATTTTATTTAATCCGTGAGCATCATTCTTTTGTTATCTTTGCAGTAAAAGCTAGAACAACGCAACAAAGTCGTCAAGATTTTCAAGGATCATGCAAGCAAGACATCCATCCTTGATGATTTTGTTTTCTACTAGACTCGTTAAAAGATTATCCAAGAGGGAAAAAGCAAACAATAGCAGTTAAAAAAACAGGTAACAATCCTCTCTGAAACCCTGTTCGTGAATCTATCCATCAACTGAATATAAAGGAAGTTGTCTAACAAAATTTGGTATTGTTTCCAGCAGGCTCTGTTGGCCAATGATAACAACGGAATCAACAGTGTAACAACAAAATCTAATCATGTGAAAACCCAAGAGCCTTCTATTGCCTCAGAAGATGCAGCAGCAGCACTAGTTGGTGTGACTGAAGTGAGTAAAGTGGGGAATGAGAACGAATCAACTGTCCCAAAAATGCTGCTAACGGAGTTGCTCCTGCCTGCTAATCCAACCTTTGGATTTCAGGGAGTGAAGTAGTGAACTGATTAGGCTAAGAGCGTTTTCAATGTTTGGTTTCCATTTTCGTTTTTTGTTTGTTTGGTTTCTTACAAACTAAGTTGTGAAACTAGTAGTGCCTTGATAGATGAAGTTTTGGCCTCTTACTTTGTCTTCAACGTTGTAGGGCATGAGCATTGATCACTACTTGCTCTCAGGCAGTAGTAGAAAAGATAATAGTATGAAAGTCGTGTTTGTTTTTATGTTGTTGTCGTGATATGTTGACTTGCTCAGATTTCCATTAAAATTGCTCTTCTTTAATCCAAATACTGAATGTATGTGAGAAGCCTAATTCAGACTTAATGACATATAATACAAATACAAAAATGATCGATCTATGAAACAAACAACTAATAATAAGACGCAAAATCACCAGAAGCATCATTTGGGTCTGTCAACAACAATATAATATTTGGCTCATTGATGCGTCTTCTTCGACAGATGAGATGTACAAGAACTACATGTAAACTGAGGATGAACAGTTTACTAGTAGGAAACTACTTTTTTTTTGTTTTGTGCGAAACTAGCAGGAAACTACTTTAGCTCTGCATAATTCTAAGTAACCCCTCTGAACATCCTGAAATTGGTCGGTGCAAGTTCTAAAACAACGTCCTTAAACATAATGCATTTCATGTCAACTCCTAAAACATAGTCCTAGATTAACCACCACTTATGTTATAAATAAAAAGATGAAACAAGCATGTCTAGTCAATCTCTGTCTATATCTTCGAATACGGCTAACGATTTGTAGTTGGATGGCCTAGTCAATCTACTGTATATTTATTTCAGCCAAAGAAAGTAAAAGAAACATTTGGTATCTGCTTCACAATCGAATGTAGGAACACATAATCGATAACAAGCTAAGACAAGATGCATATCAAGATTGTTACAACTTAAGGTTTCAAAATAAGGAAAAACCATAATAGACGCTGTTTTTTTTTTTCAATTGGGTAGGAGAGAAGACCCACAATAAGAAGAGCTCACATCATTTCTTCTCATCATTGGTCTATAGTTCCTTTCGTAGCCGAAGAGACTTATCTTCCCACTGCTGACTCACTTCCTTCACTTCTTCTTTCCAACCCAATCTGACTAACGCCAATCACGCCAATCGATTTCAGCTTCCACGAGTCCACACTAAAATCAATCGCCAAGAACCCTAATTTGAATTTCCCCAAATTTGATTTAAGGTTTTCTCCCAAATGAAATCCGACATATTGATTTCTTGTTTCCAAAACGTGTTTCAATTTTGTTCGAAAATGGAAGAGAGAAGCAAAACACCGTGCTGTTTTTCTGTCCAAAACGCAGCATTTTGTAGTTTTTAAGTGGATTAAAACGAGACACGTCGTCAATATACCCAAGGGCCATTTAGCGAGTGACTTTTGAGATGGGAGGATTGACCTGCACAGAAAAAAGGTGAGGATTGATTTTGCAAAATTAATTTAATTCCCTGGTTTTTTTTCACAAAACCCTTATAATATCTTTACTTTAGAAGTTGATGACAGTTATAATCATTTCGCTTAGCTCGATTTTTTTTAACAATGTTGATGTTTTTTTGTTTTTTTTTTCTGACATCTTAACAATGTTGATTAATGTTCATTACCATTGCTGTGGAAAGAAATTACACATTGATTGTTAGAATCAGTATTCGAATTTCTCCAACAATAATATTTTTCTACAATTTAATGGAAATTGCAGAATTTACAGCCAACAACAATTTTTGTTTTTTTTTTGTCAACCAGCAACACAAATTTAAATCCTGAATAATAAATTGTACATCTCGAACTCGGATTCTGACTCGGTAGAAGGACTCAACCACCTTTCACGGCCATCTTCGTTGTACACTCAGTAAACTCGCCACCTTACTCAAGAAGAAACCAATAAATAAATAGAATCAAGAAAACGAATCCGAGTCAAAACTCAGCCAAGTCAATGACGATTATTCAAAACTGGCTTCGATACATTTTCTTGCTCCTCCCATGGCGAGTAAACTCGTTCCGAGTCAAACCGGGTCAGAATCATTTCTCTTCTTATTATCTATTTACTAATTTACTATTTACCAACGCCGGGAGTGATCATCTTTCACCATATGGATTTTTCAGAGACGCCGTAAAGCAACGGTCGAGATTCAATCCAGATATCCAGCTTCTTTCTGATCTCCACGTGGCAGTTCTTCTGGAAATCGTCGGGACAAGTAAACCGTCTCGACCGTGTCGAATCGGACCGGGATATAAACCGAATCGATTCCTCGAAAACCGATTCTTCACAAGGGAAAACCAACGGACCTTGGTTCACGAAACCGAACTCTTCCTCCGCTTGAACCAGAAGATTCCTTAAGACCGGATGGTTCAGATACGTCGCGCGCACCACAAATCTCCTGCAACTGCTCCCCACGTAGACCGCCACGTGTCCTGACGGCACATCCGACGGCACACAACGGCTGGAAGATGACATCCGCGCTTGGTCGCGCCACCGTCTGAGCATCTGCCTGAGCCTCACAATGTGACGGATCTTGCTGCATTTTCCGAAACCTCCAGCCATTTTTTTCCGGTTTAGTAATTCTTGTTTGTAGCGAGAAAGTGTGAGAAAGAGAGAGAGAAAATGTCAGAGGGATTTTGAGAGTTTGGGAGGGACGAGGTTTATATAGTAAAGGGAGTAACAAAATGACATTGTTATTGGTGGTATTTACGAAATTGCCTAACTTTTGGCTCTATTCGTTTCCATAATGGAAGAAGATTAGTGTGATTGGTAGATAGATTATTCGGGAAATTAATTTTAATTATATGGTTAGAAGTACGAATCATATGGTCCTTAAGAGGAGCATCAAGGATTTAATATGTTTTTTTCTTCTTCGTTCATTGGATGGTGCACGAAGCATTGATGCAACAGGTGATGGATTCGACATGTTTAAAACTAATGGTTGATTATAATTCATGTTTTTGATAATTATGCTAATGAATCTATCATGGAAACATAATTAGAGATAAAGGATTGAATGCTATTAGTTTGAATAAAGAAGTGTCACTTTTAAGAAAAAAAGAGATGGTAGGGAAGTAAGAGCATGTGCTAGTGTTGGATAAGACGACCAGTCTTTGGAAAGAGTCCAAGCATCACCTTGGGATTTGATTAGGGACACATTAGAGTCAATTTCTCTCTTGGTATTCATGTTTTTGTTTGAATATAATCACCAAGTGTTCATACGTTAAAAAGCAAATATATACATGTAGATCCAATTGAGAGGTTGATTAGTGGATATAGGCTTACGTAGCCTATTTGTTCATGTGTTGCATATAGGTGGACACACAAATTCGATTAGCTAATTCTCTCGAATGTTTACAGGGTTCTTAATATGGAAATATAGAAATTTGAACAATAGATAAAACAATGCAAAATACGATATCGAGAATCAGAAAGAAAAAAACAAAAATACGAAAACAAGAGGAAATCATATTGGACTGTTTCCATAAACCTAATTAAATGTTTAACTCTATAGATCAAGCGAATTATTTTCCTATTTATAATAACAACTTATATATAAAACTACAGAATTATTATCCAAGGGAGATGTATTTAAATAATCTGAACAGATGATCGTCGATCATATGTAGTTATGTACCACAAGAAACCACAATAGGTTTAGGATGAACTAAAGCGTATACATATATTTATGCTTCAAGATAGTTTGTACTCGTACAAACAAGGGCCATTAGCCACAGCGGCCACTTGAGGGTCAAAAATCTCATAATTTTTTTATTATTAATATATACTTATACACTTATACTATGCCTTTTTCAAATTAATTAATTTCGGCGCACGGAAGTGGGAGAATTTATGTTAACCAATAATAAATAAAACCCACCACATGGGTAGCTAGAGAAAGGTAGGAAAATGTATTTTAAACAGTGTGATTTAAAATTGTATACTATTCGACTTAATAGTTAATACTATATATAATCAAAACATAGAAAACTATATAAAGGTTCTCTTACCAGACGCAGTTAAGATTAACTGAAGATGCCTTTTGTTTAAGAAGCAGATTAGTTTAGTAATGGAAAATAATGTAATACGGCGTACCACACCAAAATACTTATTTTGTAGTTTACAAATGTGTCCATGCCCCCATGTGCGCGAATGTCCTATCTCCATGTTTTTTATTTATATTTCTAAGTAACAAGCAGCCAAAATATATTTTCATTGTTTTTTAAAAAAAAATGTAAAGTTGATATAAATGTCTAACATTTATCCATATTTTTATCCATATATCGTACGTTTTCATGTGATCAAACGCTTGAATCACATTGTTACCGACATTATCTTCACTCTTCACTATAAACTACTGTTAAGTGTGAACAACGTAACATAGTACAATTTTGTTGCAAGCATAGTTAAAACCCTTACTACATTGCACTTACAAATAACGAATTACTATAACAACTTTTTTTCACCCTTAAATAAGTTGTTGAATTCGAAAATATAAAAATGGATAGTTGATCAATAATACACGGTCCACACCTCGAGTTCCTATCACTCCTACATATCACATTTTCCGCATGTGGCATGATAAACCTTGTGTATATATTCACTTATCATATTAATTTAGTCGAGTATTTGATGCAACTAGTAAATCGAAAGAGATGATTGAAGGCTTGTTTAAAATTTTAAATATTGAGTACTAGTAGTAATTTCCAGAGATACGATAGATAAAGGTGGGTCCAAGTGCATGTTATGGAAGCTAGGATGCATCCCCTATGCGACGCTACGTTCTCACCCCACTTGTTGAGTTTTAAGGATCTTCTCATTTAATCTTATCGTCCTAAGCAAATCTTCATTAATGCTTCTGCAGGTTTTATTATTATTGGTTATTATGGATCCATCTCAATTACACTCTGTCTCCGTATATATAATCACAAGAGAGTCGATCGTATGCTTTGGATCGGCACTGGATTGTCTCTATCTGCCGTCCATGCACCAAATTGCATTCATATGCACGCACAATATGAGGAAATAAATATCTTATATCGAATCATCTAATTCGTTTTTTATTAAGATGCAAATCTCATCAAACTATATATCTTTGTGTAATGTCATTTGTTGAAGCAACAATATCTATATAAATCTTTGGTTACACGGTGCTAGGAGAAAGTGCGATGTAATTAGCGTAATGCGAATCTTTATTCATTGTTAAAACCTTTGTACATTAATATATTTATACGAAGGTTGACAAAAATAAAAGAAAACTACAGTTGTTGTGTGTATAAATGTGTAATACTCGTTTACTGAGAACTTAAATGGAAAACGTCGATGATGTCGACCAATGTGATATGTGTATTTTAGCGATGACATGTCGATGTCTGAAGATGACGTGGTATGATATGTCACATATCATGTGTATTTAGTGATGACATGTCGAATTGTCGATGTCTGAAGATGACGTGGTGTCCTTCTGATCAGAGAGAGACCCATAAATTTCGTGCTAGTTTGTGAGTTGTGTGACACTCTTTCTCATTTCAAAGGTTCGCTGATCTAATTTTAAACATAAAAATGGAATAAAAAAGTAAAAAGTTTGGTGACGGCGCGCTCCGTTGTACCATCTGAACGTTACGGACCCACGGAACACTCCGTTACTGCCGCCCTTTTTGTTTTTATTTTTTTCTTTTCTTTTTTGGGGTTATTTAACGAATTTATATATATTTAAAGCGTTGATATTTTTATTACAGTATATATTAGGCAGTGATTTAGCTATAAGCAGAAGGGATGAACCTGATTAAATTTTGGTTTCCTCAATGTTTCTTCAATTTAAGTAAATCTAGCTTTCACATGTAGCTATTTTGTATTGCAGTTTGTCATTCTCCACTCACATTCTTCCAAAAGATTAAGTTATGACGCGTAAAACACACGGAAACACAAAAAACATAAGTTTGGTTAATAGTTTGCTATTGTACTTTATCAAAGCCTATTTGGAAATCTTGAGTTTTTATTTATTTGCATCATTGGTTTCACTTTTATCTTTATGTCGAATTAATAAAACTTAAGTATCCATTAGTACTTTACATTAAGTGTGAAGCAGAGTGAAGACATAGAAATGCACATGCAATGTTTAGTTTAATAAAGGCATAAAGACATGTTAATCAGGATTATGCCTTGGATTTATTTAGGCAAACGTCTTTCGGCATCTCTAACACCTTATCAGATCTCGCCACGTCATATATTTTTATTTTTTTATAACCTGAATTCAGATCATATGTTTTGTTTCTGATTTTAGCACCAAGACTCCAACAATACAAGTTTATACAACCAATGAACATTCTATTTATATATATATATAACTCATCAATAGATCGATGAGTCGAGTTATGAAACTTTTTAGATCCAATTTTGGTGAAACTTTAAAATAACTTTCATTCTAGTTGGTAAAACTAACTATGGTCGGGCAAATGTATGTATATTCTAATTATTAAGCCGAAACTGGAAATGGTATTGGTTTTTTAATAGAGAAACTGTGGGTACTATTAATAATTCAAGAAGGTTTTGGCCAAAGATATCATAATTAATTATATAAATTTGTGTAACACTAGATTTGGTTACCTCATGGGTTGTAGAATGAAAACAAAAGAGGCAAAAAGCTACTATAAGATAATTTATAATACAATAAATTATGTTAGAAAAGAAAAGCAAAGGACACAGCCTTGCATTGCAATTATACATGAGTATTTATCATATAAAACTGGTTTTGGTAGACATAGTATTTGTTATGGAGCGAAGGAATAAGTAGGCAGTGACGTACGTACGTATTTCATTTTCGAATAATTAATCCTACATTTTAATGATAATTTGTGACTTCAAGCATTGATCATTTTATAGTACGTGTTACAACATTTGTTGTTTTCGTTTATACTTTACAGTAACGAAAATAGTCCTTGACTTACTAAATACACAAAAACTAAATATATAATATTTAGCATCCAGCATCCTAATAATACTGGGAAATGATTAGTCCTTAACTTGAGTCGACAAGTACGTCAATATTCATAGACCAGCTCATCAAAATGTTTGTCTATGAAAAAGAATAATTTTATCGCTTTACTTTAAATAATTTCTTATTAATTATTCATACATAACTAAGTCCACATTATCTCTTAATTAATTTAACTTCCTTCTTTTTTTGTTTATATCATTGTGTAACATTTCACAACACTCACAACTTCAATAGAAAAATCCAGATAAAACTTGTTAGTAAAGTACTAATTAATTAATATTTCAAATCAATTAATCCAAGTAAGAATTGCAGTGCTCTCTAACACCTTCTCCCCTCATAAAGAAAAAAAAACCATAAATCCAATTGCTCCTCCAGTCTGTAAGAGAGTGTCCACAAAAAGCACTGCACTTAGTCATCTTTATCATCAACTGCAAAATTGGACGAAATATTCACAAGTGAGCTAGTATTTATTTAATATTATTGTTTTATGATTGGGAATCATAAAGTTATCGAATCGTCGGTATGAATGTATCTCCTATGATTGGGACTATGGAATTCAATGACACCACCAATATATATCACATGAATCGCAAGTAGTAGCTGAACCGTATTCTATATTCACAATGACATGCATTGTCAAAGCATTTATAATAATAATAAATTGTTCAAAAACAAAATAAAAATATTAGTGATGGACGTATATGGCTGTGAATTTTTGAACCACTTGAATCAAATAGCACTAGGTCCTAATCATTGGATGCATGAGAGCATCTGCATTCGTTGAAATCATTACGTATAATATTTACTAGCATAGTAGAGAAGTTTTATACTTTGAGGAAGACGTAACGTCAACCAACTCATAGTAATCTAATATTCGAAAGATTCATCTTGGAGTTGAGAGGCGAAGATTTAAGTCTTTTTTACTGGTTTGGTTCGAAATTTCCGATTAAAAAAAGGGAGGGAAAAGTCAAAGTCATATAGAGGAGACTGAATGGTAGACATTGGTTTGGAGTCGTAACCAATCATTGTGTTATATTAGTAAGTGATTCGTAAAGGCGAATCATTCATTCTCATATGTTTCGGCAATTTTGGCACCTGTAAACTATTATTGAATCGAGTGATTGCAGATTTTTTGGGCATTAAAATTCCACAAAATTTGGAAAATATAGTACTTATGATTAGTGAAACCTTGAAAATGATTCCGCATATAGTCAATCTTAATCTATAGTATTATTTGATTATCCGATCCTCTTATGATTGCTACATGAGTTGCAAGTTTTTTCTAATATCTTAATCATTCGTGGCTTATGGACATTGGAGCTCACCAATGTGAAACAATAGCTATGTCAATGATCGGGTCGTCACTATCAAGAATATCGTTCTCGAGAAGTTGGAGTTATGGTTACATCAAATATCAAATACAAAACCAAATATAGTAGTAAGAAAAAAAAGCAGAAGACAAAAAAAAAATGAACACATTTTAAAAATGTCTAAACAATCTCATGATCAAGATCACAAGAAGATCTCAAGGGACCGTAATCTGCCTAGAGTTAATTTTATGTATTGTCATATCAAGTATGCATAAGATCTTCTAAATCACGCGCCATTAATGCAAAGAGAGAGAGAGAGGGGGACATGTTGGACAAGAGAAAACAAAAAGTCTTGTATTGCCGATTCCAAGTAGGCCTTGTGTGGACTTGGTTTAGTTAGTCTGTATTGGAACCTGGTGTACTTCGAATTCATGCATAACACATTCAACGAATTTCATATAATTAGTTGGTCCGAGATGAATTTACATTTGTTTTTACAAAACTGGATCAACCAATAGGTTCGTGTGATTTACGGGCTTTAGTCCCTTGTAACATGTTTAGTCATGTCCAACATTTTTGTTTTTTTTTTCTTTTCCAAGTGTTTCGTGACTTCTTTAATTCAAGCTTCTAAATCAAAGGATTTGTTGTACGTTTATGTGTTTCATGTTTATTGAATTTTTGGATGATCGATAATGGGCCTATTAACCTATTTGTTTGGGCTCAAAATCCAAAAGTACCAGAGGAAAAATCAGTAAAATTGGTTTCAGCGATTAGACCTCCCAAATCCCGGTTTACTACAAAACGTCCAGATAAAGTAAGTAGTTTAGCGTCCGCTTAAATACACTGTATCAATCCTTAAACAAGAAAACGCACCAATAAGAATCAAAGACGCGGATCGCCACGTAAGCTTAATCCTCTCATCCATCAAATCTGGACCGTCGAATGTTTCTTAATCGCACGTCCCCCACCACCTTCCCTTAATCTCCCATAATTAAACCGACTTAACCTCACCCTCTCTCACTAATATATAAACTCTTCACTTTTCTCATAACTCAACACACAACATTCAGATTTTCGCGACCTCTCTCTGATTCCAAATCTCTCTTCGTCCCACGCTCAGATTTTTCTCCGAGGAAGAAGCAATGGCTCGTACGAAGCAAACCGCGAGAAAATCCACCGGAGGAAAAGCTCCCAGGAAGCAGCTCGCCACCAAGGTTTGTCTTCTTCTTAGATTTTGATTTTTCGTAATCCCAAAAAGGGGATCTAGGGTTTCGAATTTTGGCTGAATTCTGAAATTCGATTGTATTGTTAACAACAGGCGGCGAGGAAATCTGCGCCGACCACCGGAGGAGTTAAGAAGCCTCACCGTTACCGTCCCGGAACCGTCGCTCTCCGGTAATTTCACGATTCCTCTCCCTCTTATCAATCACCATTGTTGTTTTCGATGAAATCCGGAATTTCTAATTAGGTTTGTGTTTGATTGGAAACAGTGAGATTCGCAAATACCAAAAGAGCACTGAATTGCTGATCCGTAAACTTCCTTTCCAGCGTCTTGTTCGTGAAATCGCTCAGGATTTCAAGGTAATTTAAGAACCCTAGCTATATGCATTCACGATTTCCTAAATTGATGAATTAGTATGATTAGGCTAATTTTGTTGGAATTGAAAATATTTTGTAGACGGATCTGAGATTCCAGAGCCACGCAGTGTTGGCGCTTCAAGAAGCTGCAGAGGCTTATTTGGTTGGTTTGTTCGAGGACACTAATCTCTGTGCGATTCACGCCAAGAGGGTGACGATTATGCCGAAAGACATTCAGTTGGCGAGGAGGATTCGTGGAGAGCGTGCTTAGATTCTCCATTTGCTATCAAACTATTATTCTATTAGGGTTTGTGTTTAGTGTTTCTCAATCGTCGTCTTCTTTTGAGCTTTTGGTGTTTTTTGTCTTGCTTTTGAAAAATACAATGGTGTTTAATCGATATTTTGAAGCAAGAACAGATGTGAAATTGGTTATTTTAGATGAAATTTATCGATGGTTTGTGTGGTTATTGTTCTTGGAATGGTTTCACAGTTCTTCGATCAAATTATAAAATCAATGAATTAATTCGTATAGTTGTGAATTGGAGTATAGAACTCTGTTTATGTGTTTGGTTCCAAGCCACGCCAAGCCTATTTTTCGCACCTGAATTAATTAACTAATAAGAGACTGCCACTTGGCGTGTTACAACAATAACATGAAACACCACACACGTCAGCTAAACAGCCCAACTTCTTAACTTAAAAAGACTTCTTTCATGGGCCAATTTGAGTAATTAACGGCTTACAAAGATTGAATAACTCATTGTAACCATTTTAACATTCTTCAATTAGTACAACATGAACCAATTTTGGGCTATTCTCAATTGGGTTTTATGATTTGGTGCTAATGGAAAACTTTTGGGATTAATAAATTCCAGTGTTTAGACTAATTGCCAAATTTTTGTTAATTATTTCAGTAATTTTATAATCAGGTTTGAAAAATTAACCGAATGTATTTTTACTGAATATTGAATTTTAAAATGGTTTTACGTGTTTACCAGGTAAGGTAAGTGTTATAATTTATTCCACAGTTGTTTTCTGCAAAAGGTCTAAACACTTGCAAACGCAAAACTAAAACACGAAAATCGGATGATAGTCGTTAGGCTTTCGACAACTACAAAGTTTCTCTTTTACTAAAAAAAACTACTTTAAAGTTTCTCTCAGAAGTGGTGATAACAAACAAAGGAAGCTTTTCTATCTTTTTTTTTCTTTTCTTTTCCAGAAATTATATTTGGATATGTTAGAAACCAGATCAATAACTAATACGTTAAGATGTTAATGTTTGTGTCAAAATGTGAAGGGTTTTAAATTTTAAGAGGAGGACTCAAATGGATATGAGATAACAAGTCGTCTTCGTATCAACTTAAGAAAAAATGGAGATGAGATCCTAATCGTGATTAATTGAATTCTCTCAACTCTAACAAACATGTTCTTTCGAATAATCGAGCGAATATGAATAAGTTCTCGTTGTTGATAAAAAAACAAAAGCGTAAAGATTGCTTTCACCGCCACCATTATATGTTTGGGCCAAAAGCGGTAAGATATAGTTTCATCTCCGCTCATATTTTGAATTTTTACGAGAAAACGTATACAAAAGTCAATATTGGCAGAAGAAAATTTAGAGGATCCACTATCAATTTTGACTTAAAGTGTAAATGGTGGAATGTTTTGTGATTTGTCTTAAAACAAGAGTGAGAGAGTGACACAAGTGGAGACGTGCAAGACAGAATCTTCGTTTGGATCATATAGCTCCATACTATATGGCGTAACACACTAAGTAGTTTTTGTCTTTTAGAATCTGTCTCTCTACTTTTGGCCTCGCAAATCTTTCTACTCTTCTTCACGATGACCTTCCTTTTTTGGATTTCCCAACTCAAAAATTTACATCTTTTATTCCTTTATTATTTCCACAAAATTCCGCAAGGCATAATTTAAGCATAAATGCACGTCCGATCTTAATTCCCTTCGCTGGCAAATTATCATTAAGAGTTTTCGTATACACCTTTAAACCATTAAACTTTCACGTAGCGATAAAGAATCTAACGTAAAAAACTTGACCGACTCAAAGACACATACCAAAGTATCTGATTCCTTTTTATAATTGAAGTTTATAACTTTTTTTTTTTTGAACAAAGAACAAGAGTATTGTTACATACGATTTCCACCAAATAAAAATCTGATTAACTTAATAATAATAAAAAAATAATGTTGGTTTTCAATAATAAAATCACACACATATGTATAAAATGTTTTACTGTAACCTTACCCAAATACCTTCACTCGGTATATCTTGGTTCACAACGAAAACCATGTAATAACCGGGCGGTGCAATGTTAACCGATGTTGGTATCATAACCCTAACCTCATAATTCCATATGCCCATCCTCCTAGTGGAAACATGATCAAGAACCAAAAGCCTCTGGTTCATCGAGAAGGAATGCGTAGCAAACGAAGGAAACATCATCGTTACCTTAACCGGACTTTTCACTTTCCCGGTTACTCTAAACCACAGCCTCATGGTTTGACCGTAGTTAACCGTGTTCGGTGGAATGACAATGCTCGGACGAAGATCCGAGAACTGAGCATCCAAATACGACGGCGAAAAAGATTCCAACCTAAGCTCCGTCGGGAAAAGCACGCCGGTGAAATTGTAATACGCGTGTGGGTTGCTTCCTCCGACGAGAACCCTCCCGTCACGTAGTAAACCGGCGGTCGAATGGTACATTCTCGGTATAGCACTCGGGTTCTGCGGTACGAATCTTGAACCGACCGGTTTATCGGGATGATAAAGGTCAGGATGCAAAACCGGTTCACGACCACACTCCCAACCGGCTGTCCCCGAGGAAGCGCCGTTAATTAACAGAACGTGTCCGTCAGGTAAAAGCGTCATGTCTCCCATGACTCTCGCTCTCGGCATCTTCTCAACGAGCCATTGAGGTTTAGCTTCGTTGAGCTTGATTCTTGCACACGTGTCAAGCGCTTTCACGTAAGTTTTTTCCCTGTAAGCTTTGTTGAACGAACCTTTCGGTGCACCTCCACACACAAGAACCTCCAGCTCGACGATCTTCGCTTCAAGATTCTTGACCGGGAGGAGAACGGCTGAGCCAGTGCTCGGGTAGCTTCTCGGGTCGCCTCCGGGGATCTCAGGATACGTTTTGACGACGGTGTTCTTGGAGTAGTCGAGCAAGATCGCTTTGTTGTTTGCGAATATGAATAAGTTTCCGTCGCTGTTGAGGAAAACGAAGGGGTAGAGATTGTTTTCGTCTCCTTTGTCGTATGTTTGGACGAGGAACGGTAAGCTGTAGAGGTTTGGTGCGTTTGTTTTGGGGAAGAACTCGTAGTTGAATTGGTTTCGACCTCCGATGACGATCTGACGACCGTCGGGGAGGACATGGTTCGTAGCGTACCATCTTCTTGCAGCGAGTCCGTTGTCGACTTCTGTCCAGTCGCAAGAGTTGTCGTCGCAAGGAGAGTATAGTCTAGCTATACGTTCGCCGTCTCTGTCTCCTCCGGTTTGGAGGAGTGTTCCGTCGGGAGTGAGTCCGCCTGAGGAGCACCAGGTGTTGGTTTGGACGGTTAAAGGACGTACGGTGTTCGAAGCGACGTCGTATTCGACAGAGTGTGCGGTGCAGTCGCGTTTTGAGACGAGGTCGTTTGGGTTGTCGCGGCAGGCTCCGTCAGGGAGAGAGATGTTTGAAGGACCGAAGTTGGTTCGGTCGAACATTATGACACGGTCGTTGTAGAGAAGCTGTGAGTGCATTGATGAGATTCCGACGTTTTGTAAGAGAAGGTTCCATGTTCCTCCGGCGCCGGATGCCACGTGGAAGGAGAGGAGGAGGAAGAGAGCGAGGTAACGGAGACAACTGAGATCGGAGAGGATTTGAGGTTTGGCTTGTGAAGCCATCCTTTGTTATTTGTGTTGGTTGTGTTATTGAGTTATGTCACGGACATAGATAATAACTGTCCACGAGAACTACTTTATATAGGGTTTGAAAGAAATAAATTCAATTAGCTAATGTCATGGCATTGACAAAGTTTAATAGCTAGAAACTCACGCATATATTATGCCAAATTTCCAGTTTTCTCTTCAAAATTTTAGTTTTTTTTTTTTTTTTGTTCAAACACTTAATTCCATTAATTAAGCTTGGGTGTTACAAAATTTTAGTTTGAAATGGAAATTTCAATAACTTTACTTAAATATAATTTAATATGGTCAGCATAAAAAGTTTTTACCCTTTTGTTGTATTAGGTACATACACTATTTTGAAAATTTTCCATTTTTAAAACTGAGAATGGAACAACTTTCTTTAATAAAATTAATTTGTGTAGGATATATAAAAGGTGAAATCTTGCCACTGTTCAATTTCCTGTATTTTTAATGAGCTTCTATTCACTTTATTTTCCAAATTAGAAAACATCTAATTAAATTTGACCAACATTCAAATTTGAATAGAGATGTAAATGTAAATCCGGAATAGTTGGGTCAGCACGATTCGGTTATCCCCAACGTTATAAAAAAGGTTTCTTCTCTGATTTAAATTCCTTGCAACATTTGCTCTGTATAACTATGAAGCCATATAAAGATTCCACATCAAATATACCAATTCCAAAAAAGAATAAATGGCTTTACTATTTAAATGACTACGCACACACACCAATTCAAAAAATCTTAATAAATATTAACAGTCTTTAAGTAAAACAATCACGTCGGTACCTGATAACATCATACGGTAGTATGATAGTATCTAAATTTTCGATTGTGTCAAAAAAAAAAAATAAAAAAAATATATCATTTTGATCAAACTATAAATAGAATTGTCAAGACGTGGTACCCACCTGAATGTACTAATATAAAATGTTAATTGTCGTCGAAGGAACATTTTCTATTATAGGTTATAACATTATACGTGAGGGGTTGAATAATTCTGTTTGATTGTTTAGTCTTTTTTTCGTGAGATGATGCTATATCAACATCAAACATTTCGATTATAAATAAAATATAGCTAAGCAAGTCAATGTTCTATATATATTGTCTCAGGGGTAAATTCGTTTAATAACAGCGATTTAACTCCACCGTCATCGATGAATCTAATTTATAGTTCTATATACAACAAAAATGACAAAACAAAGGCGTGGAGCATGTTTTAAAAGTACTTTTTCAACTATAAACCCGTGTTTATAAATGATTTTCGATACGTAAAGGAGATATTTGTTCTGTCTCGTTGGGACAACTGTCCTTCCAGATAAATATATTCAAACAGCAAAGAAAAGTAACAAGATCGACAAAATGTATCACAGAATAAATCAATTGTTTCGCCGAGATCAGATATTTAGTTGTTTTAAATCATTTGACCATTTGGGTACTACTCTAACTTATGTCGAAAAGCTGGCGTAAGTATGTCTTTTTATATATTACAATACAAACTGTAAAGATATTAAAAATCTCTCCACTTGAGTTAATAGTTTATGTCTATGTGTCTCAGTGTCTGCTGCTTATAGATCGAAGCGTATTGTTAACGTACGTGACAGGTTACATGCCACAGCTTTATTCTTTCTATGAGCATTCGAAATTAGCTTTTTCTTCTGGGGTGTAAATGTTAAGATCTTTCAAATAGTTTCAGTTGCTTTATGTTATTTAGTTTGATAACTTGTTCATTTCAAGAACGAATTTCCTAAAAATGACGACTTGATTGAGATTTGAACGAGGCAAATCAAATGATGATGACCAAATACAAAAGTAATTTAAAAAGAATTTCAAGCAACAGAGTTATTAGAGAAAGCAAATGTATACTCCACGCATTTTGGAGTATAAGTGTATAACATATTAACATTTAACTCGAGAAGAGTTCAAAAACATAATGAGAATCATAATCTTTTTTTTTTCGAACTTATCTAATGATTGTTTTTCAGATGAAGTAATACATTTTAGATTAAAAATTTAAATAAGAAATACTACGATATGAGGAGATGGCGCGAAAGTATGAAGCAAAAGAAAAAATAAAGATTTTGAATTTTTCTGGCTAACATTCATAAATCAAAAGCCGCCCATACTTTATTTTTTCGTTCTCTTCTCTCTAGTTCATACGAGCTGTATTTATATTTTAGGTTCATTAACTCTATTTTCAGTTACAAATTTAAGTTATCTTTTAGTGTCTTGAAACTGAGCCATGTGTGTTGTGATTGTGATTATGAGTTTGTCCAAATAGTATTATTTTGGGGGAACGCATTCGTTTGCGGCATAACACGTTTATATAACAAAAATACACACGAAGATTTATAAATTATATACCCACACTGAATTGAACAAAGACCTCAACCAAATTTTGGAGCAGGCACCGAGTATAATCGTATAAATTATAACCTACACATTTTCATTTATTACATTTATGTTCAACGTGAATACTCAGGTCAACCACGTAAACCTTCCCCATCTATCGTTAAAAAAGTCTCTGCCATGTTAATAGATAGAACAATCTTTCTATATTCCCTGTAGAAGAGAGATCTAGTTAAATCGTTTTCCTACATTCTAGTTTAGATGATGATGGAACACATACTTAAAAATGCACAAAAATGTTTTTTGAAAAAGAAAAAAAAAACATAAAACAAACATACTGTAGAAAGTTGATGTTCCAATGTTGGCATGAGGTCAATTAACATAAGCTAATGTGTGGTTCAGACCCGACAAAGGCAAAACTTATTGACTGGAAGACGAGGTTTAACATAATCAATGGAATATATAGAGGTTTTATGCACCTTCACAAATATGAGAATCATTCACAGAGATTTGTCAGCGGCTTCAGAGTTCTCGTGGTAAACAAAAACAACATGTTATATATTGACCTTGATACTATGACGTGGAAGCCAATCAAATTCAGACTTCCCCAACCAGAAACAACTTCAGTTTGCATCAATGGATTTATCAATTACTCAACATTGCATACACCCACATGGATGGTTTTGATCAGCTTTCACCTAGAAACAAGGAGGTTGAAGAGTAAAAAAAAATCAAAAGAACCAAAACTTTACATTTTTTCTGTGGAAAACCATGAGTGTTAATGTGAAAGTTAAGAGTATCTTTTGAAGGAGGCACTGACATGCATATTGTAAAGCTCTTGGAGAATCCACATACAAATCTGTGGCCGAGAGGTTGATCCAACACTGTGAAAACAATGCTGGTTCGTAACTTTCATAATAGAACTTGCAAAGAAGAGTAATCAAATATGGCAATAGCGGATAAACAAAGCTACTCAGGCCATGAACCTCACAACAATGCCAATAGAACTATGTTTCTTTAGAAAGTCGATGTAACCTTGTTCTTTTCCATAAACATATTATCTTCAAATGATCCAACAGCCTAAATAAACTGTCCCGAGCTATGGTTAGAGAGGAGTAAAGGGAAAAGACACAACCAACGACCAAACCATTTCACCTAAGAATGGATTGAAAAAGGAAAAAATCAGCTAACTATTCCAACTTCAGCCAAAAGACCAAGTCTAAAACGGTAAAACCAAATATTTGTGTTTTTACTATGTAACTCACAGCCCAAACATTTCCACCTCTTCGATTGGGCCCTGTGTTGGGCTTTCTTTATTCAATGCATTATTCATACCAACAATGAGACCATTTTTAAGCTTTTGATAATCTTATAATTAATTAATGCAACAAATTTTAACAACAGATCTCATTGGAGCCGGAGCCACACACATTTGAACGAAGAAGAGCCATGGCTTCAGGTTTTAGCGGCGATGAAACTGCTCCTTTCTTCGGATTCCTTGGCGCCGCCGCCGCGCTCGTTTTCTCCTGTAAGATATCCTCTCACTTGCGAGAAACTCTTCCCATGATTCTCGATTCGATCTCCGATCCGATCAGATCCGATTTGATGGTGTTTTTTTTCAGGTATGGGAGCAGCGTACGGTACGGCAAAGAGCGGCGTCGGAGTCGCGTCGATGGGTGTGATGAGACCTGAGCTCGTTATGAAATCGATTGTGCCTGTGGTCATGGCTGGTGTTTTAGGTATCTACGGTCTGATCATCGCCGTCATCATCAGTACCGGAATCAACCCCAAGGCCAAATCTTACTACCTATTCGATGGATATGCTCATTTATCTTCCGGTCTCGCTTGTGGTCTCGCCGGTCTCTCCGCTGGTATGGCTATTGGTATCGTCGGCGATGCCGGTGTCAGGTAATTTAACAAATCTCAAATCTCCTTTGATTGCAGCAAATTGGTCGATTCACTTGATTTGGTTATACATCACATCTTAGAGAAAGCTTTTTATTGATTTGGGCTTATTATGTTGCTTGGATTGTAATTTTTGAAGCAGAATTGGATTAAATTATATGTCATGCTACTTCACTTGTGTATCCAATTATTCAAAACTCTGTTTTTTTGCTGTTAATCTTCTTTTGCAGAGCGAATGCACAACAGCCAAAGCTGTTTGTGGGAATGATTCTGATTCTTATCTTTGCGGAAGCGCTTGCACTGTATGGTCTCATTGTTGGTATCATCCTCTCCTCTCGAGCTGGTCAGTCTAGAGCCGAGTGAAGAACAGAAATAAATGTGTCAAGCGGCGTGGACTTTGTTATTATCATCATCTCTCAAGTGAGAAGTTTCATGTAATGTTATGTAGCTTCTCCTTTCATGCGTTTGAATTCACTTCTCACTGGAAACAAGTAACTTGAGTGGAATCATTTGACTTGCTGCGACCAAAAGTATTCATTTTTCTTGGTTTCATTTGCATCACAAATCCCTCAATTCAGTAATACACTAATCACTTCGCATATATTTATGAATTTCCACCTCAGACTAATCAGCAATGTTAGCCAACGACTCTAGTTTCTAGTCTTGTTATATACCATGTTCACTTGAGCTAGAGTAACAAACTCGATTTATTTCAGCCAAAATGTCAAACATTGCACTGAAAGAATTACCGTTTTCAGTGTAGATATATTTTTCTTACTATTCACTTATTACGAGAGAACAGTGATGGTGGGTAAAAACAAGGAAGTGGGTTCAACAGAGTATACCAACACAAGAAGAAGAGTCAAATAGTCATGTCTTGTTTTAATATAGAGCAGTGAAAGAGAGTTATGACACATTTATTAATGATGCGAGGATTCTTGTCCACACAACAGAACATCCATTAAACTCTCTCACACAAACTCGTATCCCTTTTGCATTTAATCTCCTTACCTTCTTTACGACTATCATTCTTGTTTTATTTATTTCTTATCTTCATGAACAACTTTACTCAATAAAGATCTCATGGAAACTTTACTCTATGGCTATGCTTGATGTTAATAGTTCAATAAATTTATTCAGTGGGGTTTTTATAAAATCCATGGAATCCAAAGAGGCGGAGTTCTCCTATACCCAACAACCACAAGTCATACTAATTGCATAAACTAAAAATAAATCATGAGCCAAAAATAAACAAACAGTGTGATTCCGGCGTGGCTTGGGGATTCAGACAACAGTCAGGTTCTGCTTAAAATAGCTTTTCGTCTGACGGCTAAACTTCACAATTCCCAAAGCACAAAAATCCAACAATTTTTCAACGGCTACTTTCATCTCCCTAGGGAGACCAACACGCGTCGCTCACACACTTGTCCAAACTTATTTGGCGGGAGCTAAACAGAAAGGTGGACAATGTGGAAAGGACCCCACGTTAACTCTCAACTCTCAACCCACTGACCAAATCACGGAAGAGTGTCTAAAGCAAAGCTTGTCTAAACCAAAGCTCGGTATAAAACAGATAAGATTACGCAATGCTTCCCAAAACGGCGCCGTGGGGCCAGTTCAACGTTAACTCACTATTTTAGTCTACTTGGTTAATAATAATGTGTTGGTCTCGCTCTCGACATCACTAAATTTATATATTCGTTACTAAACGAGAATTCCGGAAAAAGATTTGTTCTATGTTGACACACAAGAATAAATTGTCACACATTGATTGATTATCAATCACATTCCGTCGTGAATAAATTCATTTGATTTGAAGACTTAAATTTGATTGTCGTACCACGTGACACATGAAAAGTCAACATAAAGGAAAAAGGAATTATCCACAAAGAAAAAGAAAAACAAATGAAAAAGTAATAAAACGATTAGGAAAAATGAAGCATTTTCAAGTAGCTGTGGCGGCGGTGGCCGGAGAAGTAGGCGAAGTAGGATCGGCGGACAAGGAAATCGCCTGACCGACTCTACACCCTTCAAGCATAAACACAACATCAGCCATAGACGGCCGATCAACGACGTCACCTCCGGTACACAACAACCCAACTTTAACCCCCAACAAAAACTCTTCCCACTCCGAACTTTCCGGGTCAAGCTCCAACAAACCCGGTTCAAGCAGCTCAACGATCTGTCCCTTTTGCAACTGTCTCTTAACCCATTTCACTATATCTTCATCCTCCGTAAACATGACCGCTTTTTTCCCCGTCAAGATCTCTAGCAACACGATCCCAAAGCTATACACATCGCTCTCTTTACTCGCCTGCCCCGTTAAACCCGCTTCCGGTGCAATATACCCTAAAGACCCGACCGGAGTCGACGAAGTCGACGGTTCCTCCGCCGGAGTCAACGCCGTCAGTCTATCCAGCCCGAACTCCGACAAATGCGCTTCGAAATCAGCATCAAACAGAACATTCTGCGGTTTCAAATCCCCGTGAACGATCGACAAAGAATGCAAGAAAGAGAGTCCTCTCGCGATCCCTAACGCGATGAGATGACGCATCGGCCAGTTCAACACGTGTCCGTCTTGGTGAGACGCTTCTTGCAAAAGCGTCGAGAGGTTTCCGTTAGGCATGTAGTCGTAAACAAGAAGTCTCAAATCGGGCGGTCCACAGTAATAACCTCTCAGCACCGTTACGTTCTTGTGCTTCACTCTACCTAAAGCCTCCGCTTGGCTACGGAACGTCGCGTCGGTTATCGAAGCGCCGTCCATGAGTCTACGAACCGACAGAACCATCCCGTCTTTAAACGTCGCCTTGAAGACCAAACCGTACCTTCCTCTGCTCAACACGTTTTCCTCGTCGAACTGTCTCGTTGCATCTAACGTCTCGGATAAACTGATCTTGTTGTTGAACATCACAAGCTTTGGACCACCACCACCACCGTTGTTGTTGTCTTCTCCTCCTCTTGTCCCACCGGAGCTAGCTCGGGATGTTCGTGACGGTGTCCCTTTCTTGTCCCGACTCAAGCCGGACCTTATCTTGTGACGCCATTTCCATAGACTGAACACGTAACCGCAGCAACAGAGTAACAGCAGCAACGCTCCTGACGCTGCTAGTGTTATAAGTAGAATCAGCTTCCTCCTTCTTCTACGCTTAACGTTTCTACACTCCAAACCGAGCGGTTTACCGCAGAGATCCCGGTTATCGATGAAGACGGACGGGTTATCGAAACGGGAAGCTAGAGCTTCTGGAATCTCTCCTTCTAATCTGTTTCTTGACACGTTGAAGTAGCTAAGCGAATGAAGGCGAGAGAGGTTTGCCGGTATAGTGGAATTTAACCGGTTCGAGGAAAGATCCAACGCGGTTAGATTCGACAATCTTGATACCGATTCCGGTATACGACCCGATAGAGAATTCGAATTGAGTAATAGAGACTCCAGAGACGAATCCTTACCAATCTGATCCGGGATTTCACCGGTTAATTTATTGCGACTCAAATCAAGCTTCTTCAAACGAGACAGCTTCGAGAATTGGACCGGGATGTGACCTGTTAACCGGTTCGAACCGAGCTCAAGAGCCTCGAGACCGGAGCAATTCCCAATCTCCGGCGGGATCGAACCGGAGATCCGATTGTGAGACATTGAGAGCACTTGCAACGACTTGAGAAATCCATAGTTGGAAGGGATATGTCCGGAGAATAAATTGGAGCTGATGTTTAAGTACCGGAGACTAACCAAGCTGCTGAAACCTTCCGGTACGTCGCCGTCAAGAGAGTTGTTTCCGAGAGCAACCACCTGAAGATCCGGCAAGCCAAAGAGTTCTACTGGTAACTGACCGGAGATCCTCTGTTTACTTAAATCCAAGACTCGAAGCTTCATTAATTCTCCGACGCTAACCGGGATCCGACCCGTTAACCGGCATCCGCTTAGGTTGAGAACGGTTAACCTCTTCAGGTCACCCACATTGGCCGGAATTTCTCCGGAAAATTTGTTGAAGCTGAGATTGAGTATGGTGAGATTGGCTAGCTTCGTTATCTCCGACGGTATAGCTCCGGTGAGATGATTCGCGTTGAGGTTCAAAGTTTCGAGTCCGGTTAAGCCGAGAAGATCGGACGGAATCCGACCCGAGAACCCGTTTCTTCCGAGAGAAACCGCTGTTAAGCTCCGCAACTGACCCAGAAAACCCGGAATCTGACCCGAAAACTTGTTTCCTTCGAAATCAACAACTCGCAACGACCTGCATTTTCCGATACTCGTCGGGATTTCCCCAGAAAAAGAATTGTTCGCTGCTCTCAGCTCCTGAAGCGCAGCGAAACTTCCGAATTTAACCGGGAAATAACCGGAGAAAACGTTCCCGGATATATCCAAAACCAAAATCGAGGTCAAATCGGTCAACCACGCGGGAAAATCGCCGTGAATGCGGTTCCCGTGAACGTCAAATATCTCCAAATTAGGGTTCACGCAGGCTGCATTTGACGGCTTAGCGATTCCCGTGAAGTTATTAACTCCAAATTGAATGATTCGCATGGAGGAATTGTAACCCGACGAGCCACAGAGAAGACTCGCCGGGATTGTACCGCCGAGTGAATTTCCCGACAGTGAAATCACCTGGAGACTTGGGATCTTCCCGAGAGTCGCCGGAATTAGGCCGGTGAGGGAGTTTCCGGCGGCGCTGAAGTGTATAAGCGAGGAGCAGTTAGCCAATGCCGATGGTATTGTGCCTTGTAATTGGTTTGAGTCAAGCCATAGATACTCTAGCTCTTGTAGCTGCCCCAAAGTAGCCGGGATCTCGCCGGAGAAACGGTTGAACGAGAGGTTGATGAGCTGGAGAGAAGACTCCGCCGAGAAATTCGCCGGGATTTTTCCGGATAATGCATTGGAAGACAAATCGACGTAGCGGAGGCTCTTGGAGACTGTAACGCTTGATATGTTTCCGGCGAGTGAGTTGTGAGCTGCGTTGAGGACTTGGAGATTCCTTAGATTTAGTATCTCCGGTGGGAAGACGCCGGAGAAGGAGTTGTAGTGGAGATAGAGCGCCCTGAGGAAGACACAGCGAGAGAGAGAAGACGGAACGGCGCCGTTTATGTCGTTAGTGTGAAGACTGAGTTTACGGAGCTGAGTCAACTCGCCGAGTCGTGGGCTGAGGTGGCCGGTGAGGCGGAGACGGGGAAGACGGAGCTCCCGGACACGGCCGGAGAAGCAGGAAACGCCGTGCCAGTCGCATGGAGCTGAGGGTGACGATGGGTTCCAGCCTTCGAGAGCGCCTAGAGGGTCGTGGAGAGCGAGTTTGAAGGAAGTGAGTGCTTGAATCTCCGATAAAACGGCGGAGGTGTGAGGGAGTTGGGAGAAAACGGCGGCGAAGAAAGTGAAGTGAAGGAAGAAAATGACCGTTGCGGCCATGAGAGAGGAGGAAAGAAAAGATTTGCAGAGAGAAAAACAGTTCTCTGCTCTATAATATAACAGAGGAGCGTATGGAGGGAGAGTGGTACCGGTACGACATCGTTTTGATTCTACTCTATGGCCTCTTTGGGTGGTGTGAGTTTTCGTTGTTCCCCAAAAGCAAGTTATATAATGAACAGAAAATGTTTTCTTATTTTGTGTCCACAGTTGATTTATGAGCAAATAAATATGCATCTTACAGTTTTGTTTATGTATTGTATGCATCATACATGTGCTTGTGTGACAGTATTTTCATATAGTTTCTTATTATGTTGGATTGGACACTACCAATATTATGACAAATGTTACGACTAATAAAGCCTGCATCTCTCATGGCTGGTAAATCACAAGCTACCAAAACCGTATATGTACTTCTCACTAAGGCAGAATATTTTGTCTATTGGATATTTAAAGTAGTTTCATAACTTTTGATGTTCAGTTTTTCAGTGTTTTCTTGTTTCTAATGCTCAAGAGTCATTAATCACACTTAGTTGCTAATGTTCAAATATTATAATGGTTCTTGCTTAAATTGCTTCTGATGACTTTTTGTTTTTCTAAAAAAAGCCATTAGTCACACTGAGACTATGAGACATCTAAGATAATGTAGACAAATAAAATTGGATCATTAGCAAAATGTATTACAAAGAATTATACCACTAAATTCACTAAGAAAATATTAAAATAAAACGATCTTTTAATCCAAAGAATCATAATTCCTGCCGCAATAGCTGGACCACAAGAACAAGACATAAAGCCGAAAGAGACCAGTTTCATCAAGTACAAGAGTAACAAGACTGCGTGTTCTTGAGATGGAATATATTTAGCTGACGAACTAAATATGACCTCATAGATTCCCAAATTCTCAGTCTGGGGATAAATGAGCTATTGGGCTTCAGATTAAGATTATGTTAAGCATATATAAAAGCCCAACTTTATATGCCGTAGTCTGTCTTAAGCCCAATTAGTTTTGACTAATCTGAATAATCCGATTTGCTGTTTTCCAAAACAAAAAGGAAACAAGCAATGAATAAGCTCTTGTGAGTTCGTGCGACCTTACCCGCCGTCGGCAAACACCGTTATTCGTTAAACACTCTCTCTTCGTGCTTAGGTCTCTCTCTCGAGTTTGTGATTTTTCTGGAGATTCTCAATCCGTATTGGTCGCCGGAGATATACATCTTCGAGATCGGTGAAGAATGGGAGTACCGGCGTTTTACCGGTGGTTGGCGGAGAAGTATCCGTTGATAGTGGCGGATGTTGTCGAGGAAGAGGCTGTTGAAATCGAGGGCGTTAAGATTCCGGTCGATACGAGTAAACCTAATCCGAACAATCTCGAATACGATAATCTCTATCTCGACATGAATGGGATTATCCATCCTTGCTTCCACCCTGAAGATAGGGTACGTTCGTTTTATCGATTTGTTTTCATTCCGTTTACTCACTCTCGCAATTCGTAGTGTATTGCTTTCGAATTTGATTTTGCTTCATTCGTATAACTGTAGCATTGATTGATCGGATTTGGTTTCGATTTCCATTGCAGCCATCTCCGACTACGTTTGAGGAGGTGTTTCAGTGTATGTTTGATTACATCGATAGGCTTTTCGTGATGGTGCGACCGAGGAAAGTACTCTATATGGCTATTGGTAAGTGTGCTTCTGTGATTGAGATTTCCCCTTTGGAAGAGTATGCTTAAAGCTTAATATTTTCGTATGTGTTTTGAATTGGGTTTTCGTAGATGGTGTTGCTCCAAGAGCTAAAATGAATCAGCAGCGGTCTAGACGGTTTAGATCCGCTAAAGATGCATCAGATGCAGTATGTCTTTCTATTCTCCATACTGGTATGGGGTTTCTACTGTGTAGTTTCCTCTGCCAGAAAAAAAAAAACTTAAATTTCCTTTTTGCTTTTCAAATGGAAATCTGTTGACATTGTTTAATTCACACAGGCTGCTGAGGAAGAACGGCTCCGAGAGGAGTTTGAGAGGGAGGGTAGAAAGCTTCCTCCTAAGATAGACTCTCAAGTGTTTGATTCTAACGTCATCACGCCTGGAACGGAATTCATGGGCGTTCTGTCTATAGCGCTGCAGTATTATGTGCACCTTAGGCTTAATTATGATGCTGGTTGGAAAAATGTTAAGGTATTCGTGATGATTATAGTTGTTGCTTAGCTCTTCACACAGCTATTGGATTGATTTTGTGACTAATATTTGCTCGTAACTGTTGTACTGTAAAGGTTATCCTATCAGACGCAAATGTTCCAGGTGAAGGGGAGCATAAAATTATGTCGTACATTCGTCTACAAAGAAATCTTCCTGGTTTTGACCCAAATACTCGGCATTGCTTGTATGGACTGGTATGCTTCTCCATTTTCTAGTTTATACTTGGATACTGTTCTGAAGTCTTATTTTCTTGTTCGTTTTCTTGGCCTGCACTTTCTTTTGTGTTATTAACTGGCGAGGGTCGTTTTTGACCTGCTTCTGTTGACAGGACGCTGATCTGATTATGTTGGGGTTGGCAACCCACGAAGTTCATTTTTCAATTCTTCGAGAGGTTTGTGATACACTCTTCTGAGGCAATTGGAAGTTTCAGTTTGTACTTTATTCCTGGGTAAATAATCTGATTCGTAAAATTTCATCCCATGATTTAGGTGGTCTTCACTCCCGGACAGCAGGACAAATGCTTCCTGTGTGGTCAAATGGGACACATGGCGTCAGATTGTGAAGGAAAAGCAAAGAAGAGGGCAGGAGAATTTGATGAGAAGGGCGATGGCTTTGTCAAAAAGCCATATCAGGTTGAATTTAAAGACCGAGTTCATACTACACTATCAGCAAGTTCTTAACATTCAGTCTTTTAAGTGTGATAGTATTTTCAATTCTCATGTCTTTGTTTCTTTTTGCTAGTTCCTCCATATCTGGATTCTTCGAGAATACCTGGAGTTTGAAATGAGGATTCCCAACCCACCATTCGAGATGGACCTGGAGCGCATTGTTGATGATTTCATCTTCATATGTTTCTTTGTTGGCAACGATTTCTTACCACATATGCCGACATTGGAGATTCGAGAGGTTTGTGCTTTATGGATTTGGATTTTATAATAATTTGTTCCTTCAAAGAACCTTAAAGCGATACCTTAGTATGAAAAAAATTGTTAGTATTATTTGATGAAACATATTTCTTCTTATCTCCAGGGTGCTATCAACTTGCTTATTGCTGTTTACAAGAAGGAATTTAGGTCACTTGACGGCTATCTAGTTGATGGGTGCAAGGTGCTTACTTTTCTGTTGATATTGGACGAGTTAGCAGATTTACTCAGATCCATATGTTTCGTTTTCCAATTTACCCTTAGGTGGCATGGTTTTGACTTCATCTTTTGCTTTTATGTTTTCCAGCCAAATTTAAGGAGGGTGGAACAGTTTATTCAAGCTGTTGGATCGTTTGAAGATAAGATATTTCAGAAAAGAACCAAGTTACATCAGGTATATCGTCTTTTTAAAGAAACATACTTCTCTTGGCCTTTAGGTTCATTACCTGAGTAGCTATACATCTGCTATTGACGTATTTGATATATGTGACTTGTATGACAGTTCAGTTTGCGTAGAATTACATGGTTCCACACTGTTTTTTTATTTGTTGTTGTAAAATCTCAACAACATATAGATATAACAAATCTTTCTGTAGTGATGTATTGATGGCTTTTATTGCTTTGGTTTATATCAGAGGCAAGCAGAAAGAATAAAGGGAGATAAAGCTCGGAAAAAAAGAATGGATGATGCAGCTCCGACAGTTCAACCCGAGACTCTTGTTCCGGTTGCAAGATTTAGTGGCTCTAGACTTGCTTCGGCTCCTACACCTTCACCATTTCAGTCTAATGATGGAAGGTCTGGTCCACCTCAAAAAGCTCGACGTGTATCTTCAGAATCCAGTATCGGTGCTGCTATTGTCGATGTCGAGAACAGTCTTGAAAATGATGTATGCATTCCTTTCTCTAGAGATGCAATTTTAACGTGATTTTAAGTCCTTTGTCGCTGGAGTTGAGAGTGGGTTACCTTGTTAAGTGAACAATCATTTTAACTTTGTCTGCTTATTTCAGGAAACCGAGAACAAAGAAGAACTAAAGACAAAGCTCAAAGAGTTGATCCGTGAGAAATCCGATGCTTTCAACTCGGATACTCCTGAAGAGGATATGGTACTTCCTAGTGGATTGCGAATTGATTTACATTGTTTATTGGATTTTTTTTTTTTTTTTTTTTTTTTTTTACAATTACCCTTTGGTTGTCGGTCTCCCTTCGTTTCTGAAAGTGGTTTCTCTATTTACATAGGTGAAGCTAGGGGAACCTGGATGGAGAGAGAGGTATTATGAAGAGAAGTTCTCAGCAGTGACCGTTGAAGAAATGGAAAGAATACGGAAGGATGTGGTGAGTTTGAGAACGATGCATATTTCAAAGTTTTGGTGCTTCCATTCTTGGAGAAGTTCTTCTAATTTGTGAAACATTCTTTTGTGCAGGTATTGAAGTACACAGAAGGCCTCTGTTGGGTCATGCATTACTACATGGAAGGTGTTTGCTCCTGGCAGTGGTGAGTTCCTACGCTTCTTTTTTAATTGTTGAACTCTCTTTGGTTTTCTATTGTTTTCCATCCAAACGGAATCCAGAAGTTATTTTCTATCTATGACTTTGTATTTAATCTTGGTTTCATTGAGTTAACTGTGTTATATCTGTTTCTTTGGATTAGACTTTATATTTGCCTTTTTAGATTATTGCATTCATCGACCGTGATGGTACAGGTTTTAGATGTCTCTACTGATACAACTGTACTATGATGTTACAGGTTTTATCCTTACCATTACGCACCATTTGCTTCAGATCTGAAAGATCTAGGAGAGCTGGATATTAAGTTTGAATTAGGAACTCCTTTTAAGCCATTCAATCAACTTCTTGGGGTGTTCCCAGCTGCAAGGTAGTTTACCTTTTCTTTCTTTTTTCTACATTCTTGTTTTCTCAGCATGGTAAATCTGTAATTATTACTTCGTTTGGTCAGTTCGCATGCACTTCCAGAGCGCTACAGAACCTTAATGACGGATCCCCACTCACCCATCATTGATTTTTACCCAACTGGTAGTTATTCCTCTCCTCATAAGGATTCTATGTTTTTACTCAGCGTTTAACTGTTGTAGTAAATTATATATGTGTATCTCATTTTGCTTTTTTTTATTCTCTCCAGATTTTGAAGTTGACATGAATGGAAAACGTTATTCCTGGCAGGTAGCTTTCCTAATCTCTGACTCACTCGTGTATTGAAAACAAAATCACTATTATGAATGACACCTTTTACTTACTTAATGTTGTTTCCTCTGAAGGGTATTGCTAAGCTGCCTTTCATTGATGAAAAACGCCTTTTAGAAGCTGTCTCCGAAGTGGAATTCACGTTGACGGTATGGTGTCAATACATCATTTCTTCATCCTTTTATGATTCCTTTAAAAAGATGTACTTTTAACTTTTAAGTGTTATTTCTTTAAAATCTGCAGGATGAAGAGAAGCGTAGAAACAGTATGATGTGTGACATGCTTTTCATAGCAACTTCACATCGCCTTGCTGAGCTCATCTTTTCGCTTGACAACCATGTTCGGCAATTAAGTGAAAGGGAGAGAGTAGACTTTAAAGTTAAGATCAGACCTGAGCTCAGGTTTGTATAACAAATGAATCATACAACTCTTTTTAAACAAATTTCTTCTTAGATCTGTTTCCTGATATTCTTAGAACTACTTGCAGTGATGGCATGAACGGATACTTGACTCCGTGTGCAGGGGAGACTCACCCGCCTATATTCAGGTCCCCAATGGAGGGTATGGAAGACATTTTGACAAACCAAGTCATGTGAGAATCACGAACCTAGTTTTCAAACATGTACAAAGCTTATATATTTGTAATACATTCAAAACTGATTTGCTTTCATTGCTTCTCAGATGCTGCGTTTACAGACTTCCCGATACACATGAACACATAACCAGACCTCCTCCTGGTGTCATCTTCCCTAAGAAGGTACATGATACTCAGTGTCTAGTCTGTTAATGTCTTTTGTGTGATCTCTATCGAAGGTAGCTTTAAGTTGGTTTTTTCTTCTATTGTGGTTTCAGATTGTGAACATAGGAGACTTGAAACCCCCACCTGCTCTGTGGCATGAGGAAAACGGGAGGAGACAGATGCATAATAATAACAATAATTATAACAACAACAATAATAGTTATAACAATAATAACAATCAAGGAAGGTAATAGAATCATCAAACCAAGTTAAATAGAGTTTCGTCTAAATTGGTTTCATTAATTGTCAAATCATTTTCCTGCTCAATTTCTTTAGGCATAACCCACCTGGAAGTGTATCTGGGAGGCATCTGGGAGACGCAGCACATCGTCTAGTCACCAACAGCTTAAATACGAGAACCGACCGGCATGGATATCAGATACCAGCAGATGTACATTCTCAGCATCCTCCTGGTTACGGATACAATCCTCCGCAGTATGTTCCACCAGTTCCTTACCAGTACGGTGGCTATGTGGCTCCACCTGGCGTCCAAGGCTATGCTCAGCCACAACCACAACAGCCTCCTTATCAAAGCCGAGGCGGGTACCAACCTCGTGGAGTCACTGGGAGATTCCCGTCTGATCCTTACCCGAGCCAACCACGTGGAGGTGGTGGTCACCGTGACAACAGAGGAGGAGGATATTCCGGCGATTACAATCAACAACAACAACAACAATGGCATGGTGATCAAGGTGGGTCGGAGCGTAACAATGACCCACGAGGGTATGGTGGTCAGCATCATCATCAGCGAGGTGATGACCGCGACCGCAGAGGAGGACGTGGAGGAGGAGGAGGAAGAGGTGGAGGAAGTCATAATGATGATCGAGGCGGGAATTCGTTTTCAGCATTGCGTCCTAGACATCGATACTAAGCAGAGTGGTACTGCTCCTGACTCTCTTCTCTGTTTCTCCTAACCGTATGAAATGAATCATCATCAGGTGTTAGTTGGATTTCGTTTCATACAGTTTGTTGTATCATTAGCAATTTGGCAACTCTGCTCTTGGTTCTTGTCTTTAAAGGAATTAAGAGCAGCTGCAGAAACTATAGGTTACATTAGTATTTCACTATTTCCTGCCGCTTGCAACCATTTTTATTATTGTGGTGTATCATCTCATTTATTTACCGATGGTTTGTATTGTATTTTGTTTTTAAACGATTGTTTTTGTTCAGTTTATCAAGGACAAGGATTATTGGATTAATAATTAGTTTTATTTGTTTAAATACTGCTTTATGGGTATTCTCTTCATTCTATCGCATTCTTCAGAAGTAAACAGAGTTTTAACGTTCATTATGGAAAAAGACATCTCATCATCCAGTGACAGAACCTAAGTTATTGTGAAGATTCACACAAAACCAAATTGCTGCATAATTGGTTAGAAGCATCAACCATGTTCCCAAACACATTTTGAATCCCGAATCCATAAAAACATTGAGATAAAATTGGAAGCGAACAGTAAGAATATTAGTCTAAACGACACATGAGTAGTGATAATAAAGGATTTGATACAACAAAATACTCAAAATCGTCACTCTTAAGCTTCTACTGATTTCTATGTTTCTTCAACTTTGCGATTTTATAGCTTCCTTCGCTTACGATCCCTGGAGAAAGAAAAAAACAAACAAACAAGAGGTTTCTTATTACAGATGATGAAGAGAGAGTTACATTTAAAGGAAGTGTATATATAAAAACTAAACTAACCTATCCATATGCAAAGCTTCTTCATCATTCTTCTTTTCCAGCCACTTCACACATCCTGTGTTCGCCGGAATTAGAGATCCAGCTATATGCATCACCTCTTCATCAAAACTGCACCATGATCGTAATCGCAAACATTAGATAAAACAAAATGACCAACCTCTAAAACATTCACTCAAGTTCATCAAACTGTAAAACAAACAAAATTGAATAAACGAGAAGCAAAGTAATATAGGACTACCTTTGGACTTGAAGGCGCAACATAGTCCCAACCTTAAGTACATGATCTTTATCGGATCTGCTCACAAAACATTCTTCGCCATCTTTCTGAATAGAACAAAGAGTATAATCTTTATTAAAACAAATTGGAGCAAAGGAAGAATAAAGAACGTTCAAAGACTATGATAATATCATTCATACACACCATTCTGTACTTGAATTCTTCACGGATATCAACATCCGTTATGACTGCAGCAGAGAAACCAAGAACAACCACATGGATCGACTCTAGAGAAACCTTCAGAATCTTCCCTTCTGCAAAACACACACATATATTTAACCAAAACACATCACATCACTAGCAAGAAACCATGGAGCAAAGAGTGACTGATACATAGATTCGATCCTCTTACTTACCTACGAGACTATTGGGTTTTGGATTAAAGAGAAGCAGTTTCGTGTTGACTCTGACGCCAAAGTAAGGAGTGAGTCCTGCAAGGATCTTAGCTTGTTTGCTTCCCACAGTAAGATCATAAGCCAATAGCACCCCATCAAATGTTTCATCATACCTTCCAAAAACAACACACAAAAACTCATAAGCAAAACGAATAGCAAGCATTAAAGTAATCACCATCAAGAAAGCTCAATTTGAAAGTCTGCTTAAACCTAAATATCACAAAATCTGATTTTCAAATTGGCTCAAAAAGCAGGTATCTTTCGGAAATTTGAGCTCAAAAGAGGAAGATAAAATCGAAAATTGAGGAGAGTTTAAGGAACGAACTGGAAGAGAAGAGAACTGAGCTCGCGGCAGATAGCCTTACGCACGTTTCTGCTCTTGGAAGGATGAATGTAAACCATCAGTTCCGCGTCTGAGAGCTTTAAACCCTCCATTGTAGAATCGAAACTCCTGTCGATTTACAAAATTTACCAAAATGCTTCAGTTCTCGAAAAATTAGTAAGAAGATTGATTATATAGCAGTGGCAGGTTCCGTTGAGCTCGGATTTTAGAGGGAGCCAAATAGAGCTTGAATTGTCGAGCAGAGAATAAGAATCTCACCTGGAAGAGACGAGACTGTGTTACCGGAGAACTAAACCGACGATTTGTAATCCTGAGCAGAGAGAAGAGAAGGGAACTATAGATTGAAGAAGATGCGAAGGAGAGATTAGGGTTTTCTTCTTTTAATTTCAAAGGGTTCAAGTCCAAACCCAAAATAAGCCGATTCGTTGATTTCAATTTTAACCCGAATTTCCCGGGTTTAAACCGGTCAGGTCACAACAGTTTGGTTATTTTAACGAAGTAAAACGGAGCTTAAACAGAGTTTAACGTCCGATTAACGGAGGTTTAACGTCCAACTAACGGAGTTTTAACGCCCGCCTTCGATTAACGGGAGGTTTAACTTCCAATTAACGGGATCGACGCTGTTATTTGGATGTTTGGGTTTAAGGTTTGTCATTTTGGCAATCAGTAACGGGCCTTATGACCCAATATGAGATCCATCGACCAGTATAAGTTAAATGGAGGTTTTCGTTCTGGTTTTGAGAGTAAAATTGGATTTTGAAGTTGACGACGATGCTCTTCATTTCTAGTTTCTCGTTAACCTCCGTGTAATCTCTTCGCTCTCCTTAGTCCTTATTCTTCTCTCTCTGGCTTCTTCTCCTTCTCCCCTAGAGTTTTGAGATTCGTCAGAGCAAGTTCTAGAATCCCCAATTTAGCCGAGTTTCGTACACCGGAGAGGATCCCGAGAGTCAATAACGCCGGTGTCAAACTCGAGGAGACAGTCGATGCCGTGAAATAGAAGATTCAGCTTGATTGATTCAGCTAGATTCGTGGATCTGTTCTCGTGTCAATGGCGTCAGTACGTAGAGCTCACGTAATGGGGCTCTCAGTTCGTACAGGGAACTAAATTAATACTAAACAGAGTTTAGAGGAGTTATAACGGAGTTTAAACAGAGCTTTAGCGGAGTTATGACGGTGTTTAAACAGAGTTTTAACGTCCGTGATCGTTCATGAAATTAACGGGAGAAGAACTAAACCGACGATTTGTAATCTTAATCCGGTCAGGTCACTACAGTTGAAACTTTAAACGGACTGTTTCGTATCGTTTGCAGTAAATTAGTTAGTTAACATATGTTGGTGTGTAATTACTAATTTTACCTTCTTTACAACGATTTTCTTTTGGACAACTCGACTCTGTTTTGTTTTTTCTGAAAGTTTGGGATTCTAAAATGTTTTTTAATCAACACTCATCAACATCAACACATCAAACAATACACACCGTGAATAAACACACACGCACCCATACAATGATACAAACGAAAGAAGATAAATAAATGAAGCAATGCGATTTAAACAAATAAACAAAAAAGAAAGCTTCACTTCAATGATTGTAGAACAGAAGAGGTAGTAACAAGACTAGACAATAGACCAACGAGCAAGGCATTGTTATACGTCGTCGGCTCGTTCTGCCTCGGGTTGTCTCGTATGTCATGAAACGTCTCATTAAAGAACGGCCCTCCCACGAGCGCACCGTACGCTATGTTCGGGTTCGGTTCCGTCGAGTTAAAATACTTGAACCCGTCCAAGCACCCCGTCGTTGCATCCGCCGGTATCGAAGCGCCTCTGTGATGAATAAACTCTGGATATTTCTCTCCGTAACCAACCACGAAACTCATCCCCAACGGATTCTTCCCCAACATGTAATCAGCCTGTGATTTGGCGAAGTCTCTGAGCTCTGTTGCTTTGAAGATCTTCCCGTCGCAGGATATTTTATGGAGACGAGAGCTGAGCATGTAATCGCTGAAGAGCGAGGCTAAGAACGCTGCGGAAGCGGATTGTTGTAATCCGTTCCATTCACTAACCGATACAAGACCACCTATTCAAGAACTAAAGTTAAAAGATGGAACCTTTATAAGAAGCTCTTATGTTTCTATTAGACTTGGGACTTCGGGGTTCCGGTTGGGTTAGGGTCGGGTTTTTCGGGTTCCGGATTTTCGGGTTTAGAAATATAGAAACCGTTCGGGTTTTTTTAAGTCTCAGTTCCGTTTCGGTCCGAGTTTTTCAGTTCGATTCGGTTTTTTTTATGTTTTCCCGGGTTTTTCGGGTTTGGGGTTTTCGGGTTTGAGATTTAAAAACCGTTCGGGTTTTTAAAATATTTCGGCCCAGATTCGGTTCGGGTTTTTCGGGTCGGGTCGGTTTGGGTTTAGGGTAAAAGTCCCAGGCCTAGTTTCTATGCAGTAATAGAGTGGAAAGTTACCGTTTGTTCTACTCTTTGTAGCTGTGGGAGAGTTTGGAAGAAGCCCACACATGACAGCTTTAGCTGTATCCCTGTAATTCCCAAGCCCCTTGCTTCCTGATAAATCCTTCTTAAAAAAGAGCAATCTTGATAACAACACCTGCAAAATGAATGTTATCAGCAAGAAACACAAAAGATAAAACACTTTCTTCTTCTTTCTTCTTCTTTCCAAAATCTAACCTGTGTGCCTGCAAGTTTATTATCCCAGCTAAACCAAGTCGGATTCCCAAAGCTAGCAAACTCGTTTCCATGTTTAGATACATAGTCAAGGTAAGTCTTATCCTCCGTCGCGTGGTATAACCAGCTAGCTGCCCATAGAAGCTCGTCTCCGTAACCAGTGGAGTTGTAAAACTTCTGAACCTCGGGGATGTTGACACTGTACGAGCCTCTCTTCGTCTCCGCGAAGTCGAACAGCTGCTTCGCGTGCCGCAGAAGCGTGCTCGAGTACTCAGGGTCGCTATCTTTGAACACTAGAGACGCTGAAGCCATCGCTGCTGCAGCTTCCGCAGCGACCTCAGTCCCTGGAGTCTCTGCATCGATCTTGATCAGTGGTCTCTTCTCTTTCATCGTCTCAGGTCTCTCCCAACACGGATGATCCAAATCTGGATCTCCCACCTGGATGTAGAGGACGTTATCAGAAGGGTGAGCTTTGATGAAGAAGTCGGTGGTCCATCGGAGAGATTCTTTAGCGGAAGCTAATTGGTTCACTGCTTTCATTTGATCGCCGTACTCGAGAATTGACCATGACAGTATAGTGGCGGTGAAAGCCATCGGGAAACCGAACTTTATGTGATCTCCGGCGTCGTATAGTCCTTTCGAGAGATCTAGATTCGCTTCGCTTCCGTCTTTGAGTCCTGAATCTCCTCTCCATGATATTTTGTTGTTCTCCAATTTCCCAGCTGCAAGCAATCAAATCACAATAAATCATCAATGATCAAATTGTCAGATCTGTATAAAACAGTGTATTTGCAGGAGAGCTAAAATGAATTTGAATTTCTGAGCATATCGGAGAATTCGAATTTTCTACAACGTGGAATCACGACGACGATGAATTTGAAGAAGAAAAACAAATAGTGAAGAAGAATCGTTACATTTCTGGATATCGAAGAACTGCAAGGCGAGTTTGAGAGCGTCGGCGTATTTCTTATCGATGGCGCCGGGAGGTCCAGGGACCGGACCAGCTCCGTCGTCGCCGGATTTCTTAATTTTCAATTTGACGGTGTAAACGATGGCGAGGACGACAGCAGCCAATACGATGATCGCGATAAACCAACCGCACCAACCTCTCGAGTTCGATTTCTCTCCCATTTCTCCGTCGGTGCAGTTAAAAAAACACAGAGCTCGTTAGATCCGGGTCAATGCAAATGCATTCGCCGAATCGGTGAAGAGAATTGAGCTCGCTCCGTGGATCTAGGAATCGGAGATGGTTTCGGTGAATGGTGACGACGAAGATGGAGAAATGATAAGCTAAATCAAAGGAAGGTGGAGAGAGGAGTCACTCACACTATCGAAAATTCCAGTAGTTAAAATGTCGGTGGAGTATCAAGCGGGATTTCAGATCTGTTTTATCCTTTTTTTTCTTCATTTATTAAACATGAAATTACTGTAATACCCCATTTCCTTGAAAGGAAAACAGTTGAGCTGAGCCGAGTCAAAACTTCAGTCACTGTCACACCGCCGGTGACCGGTCCCTGTATAATTAATTACTAGTCCAATCACATTAATTCATTAAATAAATTAAATTAGTTGCCAAAGAGACAAAATTTAAACATTGGGCTGTATTTGGAAATTACTGGGCCTGGGCTTTACCAAGCATTTGATTGCGGCCCGTTTTAGTTTCACATCGCAAAAGATTAGTGAAGAAACGCGCCAACTCCGGGAAATCCCCAAATCCGAATTTCGTTTTCCAATCCCTAGACATTCTGGATTCTCCGTTTCGTTCACTCTTTGCCTCGGGATCAATGGAGGACTGATCTTCACCGTAATTCCTTCTCCAGAATCATTCTAGGTACTAAAAGTTTTGCTTTTTTTTGTCTGACCCCTTATGAATCTCCCTGGGTTATAATGTTCGATCATGCAAAATCGATATGGGTCCGCGATTTTGAGTGTGAGAGAAGATGATCATCTGTTATTGCTGCTTGGGTTTTTTAAATTCGATTCCTTTAGATTTCCCAGTTGAAAGCGAATGGATTATGAGTTAATTTCTGGTATCGAATTTCGGGACTTAGTTTTGATCACACAATCAGATAATGGATCATTTTTGTATACATCGTCTTAATCAGTGTCATTTTGTAAAGTCTCTGTCTTGTAACTTCTTTTTTTTTGCTTCCAGATGGTGATGGATACTGAAGCTAAGAGCCTACAACAAAAGCAAGAGCGATCTTGGAGGAACAAATGGACTGCATCACAGGACAAGCTTTTAGCTGACATAGTAGTGAAACAGATCGAATCAGGAAACAGGAAGAACAATTTCTTCGACAGGAAGACGTGGACCAACATGCGTAACGATTTCAATAAGCAGACGGGTCTCACCTTCAACAACAATCAATTGAGGAAGCATCTCGACGTTCTGAGACAACGCTACAACTCTCTGAAATCGAAAAACGAGCTTGTTGTGGAAGAAGAAGATACGAGATCTATGTTGGGGTTAAACTTGTGGGAAGAGTTTGGTGTAAGTCTTTAATTTAAGGTTTAGTCAATGTGTTTTTTGTTTTACTGAAAACTATCACTTATGGTTTACAGGTACAGCCGAGGAGTGAGCCGGTTAGAGTCAAGGATTGTGCCATTTATGAGCAGCTTTGTGTTATATTTGGTGATGATTCAGCTGATGGTAAATATGCTCAGTCAAGTCACTTTGAAGGATTAGAAGAGTCCATGGCGAATCAAACCTCAGAGAGTTTATCAACACCAAACACAAACTTGGCTGAGAGGAAAAGGAAGAGAGAACCGGACTCAAACTCAAAGACTTCTTCGGTTCCGAACCAGATCGATCAAGCAAGATTGCAAACCGTGGCTGGTGCTTTGTCTGATATGGTGACTTCTTTGAGGTCAAGGATGGCTGATTCGGTAACGGAAGATGATGGATTTAGTATCACAAACTGCATCAATGCGCTTGACGAGATTGAGAATGTTGATGAAAGTGTCTACTTTGCAGCTTTGGATCTTTTTGAGAATCCTACTCTTAGAGAGACTTTCATGAGTCTTAAAGCTAGCAACTTACGCTTGACTTGGTTGCAAGTAAAGTGCAGGAAACTTTCTCCTTCAGTTGCTTGACTTCAAGCTATGTATATAGCTTCATTGTTCTTTTGTAGGGTTTTTTGGTCATGTTTGTTCATTTACAACAGAAGAAACGTTTGATTGATTCAACTCTTGTTAATTCAAGGTCATGATCTCACATGTTTGGTGAACAAAAACAGTATTTGACACACAATGAAGAAATGTGAGAAGAGGAAAAAAAAGAGACTTTTTGATCTGATTCTCTAGTCATCGTCCTTGAACTCCCTGACCAGAAGGAAGAAAGAAGAGAAGAGAAGAGCTGTGTTAGTAATAAGTATCTCTACAATGTGCAGAAAGAAACAGAGTGTTTGATCAAATGTAGTACCTTCGATCGAGGTAACGAGGTTGAACACCAGAGCCTTGACAAGTAGTGCAGGTCAAGGAGCCAGCACCGTCACAGTTGATGCAGTTGGAGACTTCTTTCTCTCCTCCACCAAGCTCTACCGTCACGTTACCACTTCCCACACACAATCTGCATTTCTCTGCTCCATCAAGAGAAAGAAAAACATTTGCTTCACAACCATTCATCTACACATCAATCATTTTACTCTAAGAAGAAAAGCTTAGAAGGAAGAGAGAGAGAATCGATTAACATACGAGCTCCGGTTCCATTGCAGGGAAAACAAGGTTGTGTATTCTCTCGCTTAGCCTATATGAATGTGTTCAAAACGAAAACAGTGTTAACTAGATCAAAGCCATGGATTCGAAATTAAGAATCGGTTTTAGACTGAAATTGAAAAAAAACTGGGAGTGGAGTCTGAAGACTGACGGCATTGTCGATTTGCGTTTCGTAGAACACAGGGATTCCGATTCCTAATGCGACGCTCGCGACGCCGACTGAAATTGCGATTACCTATTTAACGAAACCAAAATTTACTTTAGAATCACTTTGAGAAGAAAGATGATATAGCTAGCGAGGAGATGACGAACCGTGTTCTGATCGACTTCTGATTTGATTCGGGGATAAGACGTTGTTGCCGGCGACCGGAGCTTCCTCGCGGAGATCAATCGGGGAGAGAGAGTGATGGGACGGTGAATGAAGGGAGATTGAAGACGAGGCGGAGATGGAGCTGATACTGGCATTTTCGATTACTCCACTGCCACTGATTCGCGTAAGCGCGCGAAGATGATGACAGAGAGAAGACGAACCAGTGGTTTTGTTTGGAGATGGTTTCTGGGTTTTGAGTTGATCTCAGCCACTAGATTATATACCCTGCGGCTAAGATTTCTTCACGTGGCATTACTCCGTTCATTACTAAAGGATTTTCTCTTTTCCAGATTCTTTTACATTTTTATCGCCTTATCCGGTTTTTTATTTATTGCAGAAGATAACCGTAATTTGAGAAGGAGACAATACGGTGTGAAGAGATACGGTACACCCGCTCAAAAGTAGAAGATCGCAACCGTCGAATACAGATCCAACGGCCACTAACCTCTCAAAGTCGTGATTAAGAAGTGGCACTGTTTCAAGTTGAAAGTCACAAGGAGAGAACCAAATATTTTTGAAAAAAGGATTCGCAAGTCACAATCGGATACGAAGTACCGTTGCTTCGCCTTTCTCCATTTCTTCTCTCTATCTATCTCCATCTCTCGCCGTCGCTGTCGAGGACGTAACTGTCGCCGTTTATTCCGTTCGTTTTCCCGCTCGATTCTATCTCATTTCCTCCAACCGTTTTATCATAAGGTATGTTTTTGTTCAATTGCTTAAAACATATTATTGCTTCCCCAAAGTCGCCTTGTGAAATATAAGTTTTCATCAGTTGTGATCGGTTAGAGTTCTGTATTAATCGTAGTTCCATGTGATCAAATAAAAGTTAACACGCTCCTGTTGTTCTGTCTTTGTCTTGTTTTTCTATTGATTCTCTCGATTCATGTCTTGTTCCGAATTTGAAGATTTCGATTGTCTCTAGTTGAGAGCAGAGAGATTTTCAAAAAACGAATAGCATGTGACTATCATTAATAATATCTGTCTGCAACTGTTTTTCTTTTCGTTTCTTTTTGTTTGTTGTTAAAGATTTGCAATTGCTGCAGAACTAGAATTTTCTTTAATTGAAAGCAGATTTTTTTCACGAGACTTGTAACATATCTCTAGGTGGCTTTATTTTGTGAATTTATAGTAGAGGATTAAATTTTTGATCAGGCGGATTCGTTTTTCTTATGTTTAAGCAGGTGATCACCATGATTGGATCGTTTCTGACGAGAGGACTTCTGTATGTTACTAATCCTTATCTCTTCTTTACTTTTAGTTTGCTAAACACATTTTCAAAACTAATTAATGATTCATTCGATTTGTTGACAGAATGGTGTTTGGATATGCGTATCCTGCTTATGAGTGCTTCAAAACTGTGGAACAGAACAAGCCTGAGATTCAACAGCTCCAGTTCTGGTGCCAATATTGGTATGTACATGTGAAGAGCTTCTCATGTTATCTTTTATCTTTGATCTCTACGCTTGAGCTTTCTAAATTCTTTGCTTTTTCCTCCCAAAAAACTTCTTGCAGGATTCTTGTTGCTGCTTTGACAATCTTCGAAAGAGTTGGTGACACTCTTGTTTCTTGGTAAGATTGTGATTGATTTTAGCTACTTAGAAAACAAAGAGTATGTATTAGCAATCTCTTTATCTTTGTCATGTTTTTCTTGAAAGGTTACCAATGTATAGCGAAGCAAAGTTAGCCTTCTTCATTTATCTCTGGCTCCCAAATACCAAAGTAAGTAAATGCATTTTTAGATTGAGAAGTAAAATATATTCTTATCTTCTTGTTTACTCTTTAACTTCGTTTAATTTCCTCTGTGTATACCATTTCAGGGAACAACGTACGTTTACGATTCTTTCTTCAAGCCATATGTCTCAAAGCATGAAAACGAAATTGACCGCAACTTGGTCGAGCTCAAGACTAGAGCTGGTGATATGGCAATGATCTATCTCCAAAAAGCAATCAACCATGGACAGACTAGATTCTTTGAGATCTTGCAGTATGTTTCAGAACAATCAACTTTAAAAGGTCCAAAACCACAGTCTAAGGTAATAAGTTTTTTCACTTTTAACCGAATTTAGTTTTTATAATATGCTTTATATGAGGAGATTATAAACCTTTTTTTCTTCTATTTACCATATCCAACAACAGGAAAAGAAAGAGACCACAGCATCTGAAGTTGATGATCCAACTCTTACGGCAACAAAGAACAAAGACAATTAACTAAGATGGAGTCATACAAGAAGAAACGCTAAATGCTGACTCGTCAATATCTTCTTTCTTTTCTTTTGTAGTCTTTCACAGGAATAAATTTCATATACTGTTGGTATCAGTCTCATAACTCAGATGTAAATTGCTTAAGAATTTCATATTCGTTTTAGAGTTGGGAAATAAAACGAATGAAAGTGCAACATTTCTCGATGTTGGTTTAGCATTAGCTTAGTTATGGGCCTTAACCCAAATCTTGTTTCTCACGTTTTATATAGGCCCAATCTATTCTTGGCCATGTCTCCGTGGTCAAACTTTGTTTTAGAATTCAAAGAAAATTAATTTGGTACGTCTTTGCGCCAAAAGAAAAAAAAAAAAAAAAAAAAAAAAAGAACAACAAAACAGAAAAACACTCGACAAAGTAAGTTAAAGAATGAAAGTGCGTAAAAGTAAAAACAATACAGAACCATATAGGACCACACGGTTACAAGTTGTGATATCTCATCATTGTGTGAGGGAAAACACATCAATATTTACAACATTTCTAAAGATGTTTCATATTGTATTGTACACATATATAATTAAGTAACCAAATTAACCGATTATACGTGTAAAAGAATCAGTGAGTTGTAGAGAACTCGAGATATACGTACCAATAATTGAAGATGGATGTAAAACGAATGATAGATGAATCCACTATTAAAGTTCGGGACCATTTTTTTATTAGAAGTTGTTGTACGTACATCTACTTATCTAGCTGCTCAATCAATTGCATTGATTGTTATGAAGCTTATTGTATAAACCAGTGTGAAACTTAAAGAGTGTCAGCAAGAACTTCTGTTTTTTTAGCACCGTTTTGTTTGGTTCTCTCAAAACTAACCTGATGCGAATTCCCATTTTGGACTTTCCTTCTATCCAAATAAAGCAACCCAACAAAAAAACAATAGAATTTAAATCTTAGGTGGTAAATTCCAAAACCGAGCTCGTTTTTCTCACATCTAACTCTCTACAAGTTACTTGATTGTAGAACGAGTGTGCAAAAGAGAATACATTGCAGTTGTTCAGCTTCCATTACATATTAACAGTATAAAATAAGCTTTTAGGCTAGGGGACATGATCTCATAAAAACTTACCAACTATTAGATTTAGATGTAAACAGAACCATTATGATGAAATCTAAAAAGTTTGTAACATTTCTCTAAGATAAAAGGTACGAGCGATAATTATGTGAGATGGTTGATATGTACGTTGTAGGTGGAAGATGTTAATTCAATTACAAACGGTACGCAAGGGATCTTGTAATAACTTATAACTTTATGATTACATAAAATGGGGACACAATGGTCTCTGTTTATTTATTTTGTTTGAACCGTTTTGCTAAGCCCTTTCAAATCCCAAGTTACACGTGCACTTACCAACATTGTAATCGAAATGTTATCAAGAGTAACAACATTATGTATCTAGAGATATCTTCTTTTGTTTGTCACAGAAGTATCTAAAACAGAGAAAATTCGTGAAAAAATATCCACAATTCAGTACATATATTCAAACTGTTGTGTTCATACGAAGAAGTTCTCTCTCTCTCTCTGTCGGTGTTTTAAAAATCTTGTATCGTTCGTGGCTCTATATTTAATGCATATGAAAAGCACTTGAAATTATACATATTGGGAATTGGAAGGGTTCTCTTTACTGCAATACAAGATGGGTAATACTAATATTAAATGTATATCAGTTTTTGAAGTTATAAATGGGAAAATTTGTTAATCAAAGATCAATGCTAGCAAGCCACGTGTTCATTAGAGATTCTTTAACATGCAAGAGGATTAAATTTTCTGTCAGACGAATAAATTCCATTGTCACCGGAGTAACATTTGTTTAAATGCTATGTGTACGTAACTATTTTACTTTAATTTACCTTTAGAGTTTGGTTTCGAAATTCAAACAAACACATTCTGAAGATCTCGCGCTCCTTTTCTTCTTTGTCTAATTAAAAACCAAATGAGTTTGTATATAATAAGATCTCGGATGATTTTTATAACACAACTATGAAGATTTATTAGATTGGAAACAAAAGAGAGGGACAAATGTGGAACACGACAAGTGAGAAGGCCAAAATATTTCGCGGCGAATGTGAAGATTTCAGATTTTACATCTGGTATAAACGGTCAACTCTTAACCGTAATTTAGTTTTGTTGCTACAGTTGAAACCCTAATGATTAAGGTACTTGTGTTAATGATGAATGATTAGTGCAATTACTCAAGTTAATGGACTTTGTTTGAATGTAAATGCCACAACCCACAAAATTAGCAAACTGTAGAAAACAAAACTTTGTAAGAACAAAATATTACAGCATAATTTGTTTTACGGAAATTAAGAAATCAAATACATAAAACAAAAACTAATTCAAGACAAATAGAACATTTGGAATCCGTAATCACAGTTCCAAATACGAAGTTTCCAAAGACCTTGTCTGCTGTTTACTGTGTAATCTTGATCTGTTAAAACAATTGTTTTGACCATACATACAAAAACATTATTTTATCATGATTACTTATTTTCTTTTTCTTTTTGCTGTCTTACATACATGGAAAGGAATCTCCAGACTTTTTTTTGGATAAACCTGAACTAAATCTCCAATTTTGATAATTTTTAATTTTATTTCATCAAACTGTACTTAGTAGTGAAAAAAAATCATTTATTATTCAGTAGCGTCTATTGATGACGACTGCATATATTTTGCAACCAACCAAAGCTTTAGTGACGTTGACCAAGTCAGGTCAAACCGTAATGGAAGATTTGTAGGTGGAGCAAGTTAAAGCACATAACAAGCCAACCAAGTTCGTCCGAAAATATTTAATTTCAGTTTCTTTTAACTACTTTCTTATCATTAAAAAGGAATTTACTTTTCAAAATGCATATTAGTACTGTTTTATCTTTTGAGGAACCAAAATAATAATTAACTGCACCACAAAGCAACGAAGATGCCAAAATTAATTCGCAAGATTTGTTTCTCTGACAAAACATGACATCTGAATATAGCTTAGTAGTTTAGTACACTAGTATTTTTTTAACTAAAAGCTTAGAGCATCCGCATTGGACATATTCTTAGGGGTTCTAGAGCAAAAAGAAAAAGAAAAACGTAAATAATTACACACATGGCGAAGCCCAAGCCCAGAGTCGAATCTGGCAGAAGAGTTTGCAGATCCGGCTCTACTCTACACGTGTCGGCTGGAAATTTCTCCCGCACGATTTTTTCTTTTCTTTTCTCTTTTGTTCTTTGAATTTCTTTTTCTTGTTTTCTCTTCTTCTCCGACTCACGCCTCTCGTAAACCTCCAATCCAAGCATCGTCAAAAGTGTCCTTGGACCTTCAGTGACATCAAATTCTTCATCGGCTGATAATGGATGGGCTCCATCGGGCTTTCAATCTGGGTATGTATTTTGCTGGGCATCTAGGTAATAGAAACGATTTGAGATACTTTCTCGTGTTTGGAATGATGGGATTGGGATTCTCACTGTTGTTTTCGGATTAGGGTATTGGATGAATGTGCATTTGCTCTGTGTTTTACATGAGTGTACAGATTGTTTGTGGGTTTTTCCAGTCGATTGGATGGCCTTGTGTGGGAATTGGTGTGGAAAGAGAAACGTGGATTGATCATGGGTGTGTGGAACTCTCATATGTCTGTTGGGAACATCGTTGGCTCAGGTGATCGCTTCCTCTGTTCTTGATTCCGGACGGGGATGGTCTTTTGCTCTGTCTTGTGTTTTGATTTGCTGCAATTTCATATTCAGTGATCGATTTCAATTACAGTTTTGTGTAGAATATTTTGAAAATAATTTGGGCATATATGGCATCAGGAAAAAAGCAAGCGTTGATATCTTTATCTGACAAGAAGGATTTGACTTTGCTTGGCAACGGTCTCCAAAAGTTGGGGTATGTGTTCTTCAGAAATCTCTTACTTTAAAGTATACAGATTTGAGTTCTATTTGTATCTGAAAGGCTTATGGATTGAAACAATCCATTTTCATCTGAATGTTGTGTAGATACACTATTGTTTCTACTGGAGGAACTGTCTCTACATTGGAGAGTGCTGGAGTCTTTGTAACCAAAGTGGAGACGCTTACTCATTTTCCAAAAATGGCAAGTTTTGTTTCTTTCTCTAAAGCTTGCAGCTCTTGCTTACATTTTGGTTTTTGTGCTAGTGTTGATATTCGTCAAAGATTATGACAAACAATTAGGCTGGTTTCAAATTGAGGTGTGACTTTCTCAATGATTATGCAGTTAAGTTTGGTATATTAAACTAAGCTTATGGAGGTGACGATGAAGCTTTCCTGCAGAAAGTAGTGACTCCCCTATATACAAAACAATAGCAAAGGTTACTTAATTCAGTTATTATAGCGGTGACCATATTTTCCTGCAGAAAGTAGTGACTCCTTGTAACTTTGCAGGTCGATTGGGTGTTTCTGTTTAGGGTGGCCTATGCGAGTTGATGCTGATTTCTTTCTCTTCAAACAATAAACTTGTAGATACAAATTGTTTATGTGTAGATAATAATCAAGTGAACACTTTTTTTTAAAGAACCTCATATGAGTTCTCCAATGGGGCTGTCAAAACTAAGAAAGTAAGTAGAAATCTCTAAACTTAAAATATTAATAATTTTAATATAAAAAATGTTTAAAGAGTTCCATTTGAGTCTCACCAATGTGGATGTTCTTAGAGTATGATTTAAATTTTAAAATACGAAGGACAAGAATATTGATGAGAAGGGTAACAAAGTAACAAAGTAAAACAGTAAAAATAAAGAATTAAAGAAAAATAGAGCCCACCACTTTAATTTCTCTTATTTTTCCCTCCTTATTACCCCATCTTGGATCCATCTTCGATTTCAACAAAAGCTCATAATTAAAGAACCAAAAAGAAAACAAAAGCTTAAAAGAAAACTCTCACATTCTCAAGAACTTCTCTTTCAGTTTCAATGGCTTTACTAACTTTCTTGCCGGAAAACGCAGAGCCACCGAAACACACTCCACCGCCAAGCAAACGCAAGAAACGTGACAAACCCAACGACCAAACGCAGACGCAGAAGTCGCACAAACCACACAAATCTCAGAAACCGAAGAAAGCAGCACCTCAGAAGCAACCGTCTTCGTGGGACCAAATCAAGAACCTATTGACTTGCAAGCAAATCGAAGGGTCAAGAGTCCACGATCCTTCCAAGAACTCTCAATCTGGTCCGTCCACGACGACGACAACGACTCACTTATCTCCTTCCAAGCTCGGCTCTTCGTGTAGCTCCATCTGCAGCTTCCGAGACGTGGCTCACGGCAACACTCGTGTTGTTCACAGAGCCGACCACTCTCCAGACGTAGCTAACTCGGCTACTGCTGACTCGGAGACTCGTCTTTTGACTCGGAAACCTGGTCAACACGGTTCTTCTTCATCGTCTCGGTCTCTTACTTCTGGCGCCTCAACGAGATCTACCGCCAGCGGAAGCTACACGTCATCTTCCACGACGTCGTTTAGAGCCATGCAGTTCCGTAAACTCTCCGGATGTTACGAGTGTCACATGATCGTGGACCCTAGCAGGTAATGAATTACAAATTTAGTGATGAGATAATAAAAATTTAGCTGTATTTATATTTTTATAATTTGTTTTTGGATTTTAGGTATCCGATTTCGCCTAGGGTTTGTGCTTGTTCCCAATGTGGAGAAGTTTTTCCGAAGCTTGAAAGCTTAGAGCTTCATCAAGCGGTTCGTCATGCAGGTAAGGTTTTCTCTCTTTTGTTCGTTAAAATTTGTTTAAGTTTTCAGTCCATAATGTGATTTGTGAGAAAATAAAAATTTGATATAACCTGTACTAATTAGCTCAAAATAATCAGCATTATCACATGTTTTGGTGAATGCGCACTTGGATTTAGTACCATAAGATGTTGAACAATAATCAACGAACATGTGCATTCATTTCATAGCTTAAGCTTGAATATTTTATAAATGGAATCAAGATCTCAATGTTATTGTCGGTGATAATATCGATCAAATGAATTAGGATGATTTGGCCTTATGTTGCAGATTGTTTTTTTTGTCTAATACAAATTCATATACATCGATGATTAACACATGCATTTTTAGAGAAAAATACAAAAGAGAAGAGGAATAATATTAGATGGAGAACAATATATTCTAATTCTATAGTGTCCATATCTGTCGTTTTTCTTTGATGGGACCATTTGTGGTACTACAAAAGCAAAAATAAAAAACAGCTGTCTCAACTCTTAACTAAATTCAATGTCTCCTGATATTATTACGTGTAATTTTATCATTCGTTAGTACCAGATATCATAACTTCCACCTGACAAAAACCGAATTAAAACTCTGTCTTTAATGTCACTACAACCCTAATTTGTTTTGTTCTTCATTGACTTTGTTTTTTTCACTGATTTTAAGTGCAAAAACGTTATCGTTTTTACTTGCAGTATCGGAGTTAGGTCCGGAAGATTCGGGCCGTAACATAGTGGAGATCATATTCAAGTCAAGCTGGCTTAAAAAGGACAGTCCCATCTGTAACATCGAACGGATATTAAAAGTCCACAACACTCAACGCACGATCCAACGGTTCGAAGATTGCCGAGACGCAGTGAAGGCGCGTGCGCTTCAAGCCACCAGAAAAGACGCTCGCTGTGCCGCCGACGGCAACGAGCTTCTCCGTTTCCACTGCACCACTCTCACTTGCTCTCTCGGATCTCGTGGCTCCTCTTCTCTCTGCTCTAACCTCCCGAGTTGCGGCGTATGCAACGTGATCCGCCACGGATTCCAAGGAAAATCTTGCGCCGGAGGAGCAACCACCGGTGTGAGGACGACGGCGAGTAGTGGAAGAGCTGATGATTTTCTGAGATGTAGCGACGATGCGAGGAGAGTGATGCTTGTGTGCCGTGTGATCGCTGGGAGAGTGAAGCGCGCTGAAATACCGGTGGATTCTACGGTGGAGGAGAAGAAGTCTTCGGTGGAGGATACTTCCGCGGTTGGAGTTTCGTCGAGTGGCGGTGTGTTTGACTCGGTGGCGGTCAACGCCGGAGTTTATTCGAATCTGGAGGAGCTGGTGGTTTATAACGCGAGAGCTATATTACCTTGCTTCGTGGTTATTTACAAAGTTTTAGAATCTTGAATTTGTAATTTTTAACTTCAGTAATAATGTTTTTTCTTTTAGAACTTCTAACTATTTAAATATTGTAGGGAGATTAGGTTAATCATCATATCAGATTTTAACCTGCTTCATAAATCCCATCTTGTTGTTGTAATTAGGAGTACAAGCTTAAATATTATTGTTGAAATCATGATTAGGTTAAGAATTTATTAGTAGTTGGTCAATATATTCATGATTGTGATGAATTTAAGGTGTTTTTTTTTTAATTGGCCTCTTTGACCGGTAAATGTAACTCTTTTTACCACAGTAACTTTCAAAAGCTGTGTTTACAGTGGGTGGGCATCAAATAGTGTGGGAGTGGCAGAGTGATATAATTGCTACCACATGCGTTATCATTTACCAGTAAATTGTTTTATTCTCCCGAGTTCCTTTTGTTTGTTTTTCTAGAGAAAGCTGATTTTTCTTTTATAACTAGGCAAAGCTGTTTTCTTTTGTTTAAAGAAATCTAATTAGTATTGTGTGATTTTAATTCTGTAGTTATATATGGGGTAGTATTGTAATCCAGATAAGTTCAACAATTAATCCATAAGTAATAAAGGGGTTGCACGCTGAGAGGGAGCCAGTGGAACTTTCCTCGTTGTCAGATGTTGCTTCATTGTTTATATGGTAATAACTCCATTTCTCCTTTAAGTTGTAAATGAAATCAGAGTTTTAGAAAGAATCAAACCACTATTAATAGCATTAAAGTTTGTAACAAATATGTGGAGCATAGGTTTCAAACAAAAAAAAACTATTGAGAATAGAGATTTAAAGTTGATTAGTTTAAGCGGACAATGTTAGAAAGAAAAAAAAAATGAAACGGTAGGAAACATTGTTAAAAAAGAAAGAAACCTGGAACTTTATATAGTGAGATGTCTTCATCTGTGAAAAAAAAAAATTATCAACCGAATTCTAAAGTGTCGACTGTTGAATAGTACAAAGTTTAAACAAACAAGGTGAATCTGAGGCACCTAAAGTAAATATGATCCGTAGTTAAGAATGGTAATTTGGCATATTTGTTTGGGTTTGACCCCTAAGTTCATGGCCAGCATAACCTTCTATGTGATGTTTTAAAGATGGCCCGATCAAAACGTGTCAATTTCATAACAATATTGATCATGAAATCCGGATTCGACCCATTTATATTTAGGATTCAGTCTGGTTTCTTCAAAGCCATCTTTGTATTCATTTGGCCCGTTTGCTTCTCAAGCCCGGATTGTTTAGTTTTCTTATCCTGTCGTTTTAGCTGGTCTATCCATGTTTTGTTTATGAGTTATCCAGGTGGTTTAGTTCTTACTTAACGGAAGAATTAAAGTACAAGACATAATCATAGCAGTCACAAACCTTGAATAATTAGAAAAAGGATCATAATCCAATATAATCATTTCACCAAAAGTCTATAATTCTTCTATGCACACTCTCCATGTCGCATCCTATTTATTTTATTTCCTCATTATCTACCTTTTTATCCCTAAATCAAACTCTTGTTTTGGTCTACGAATTATGTTTTGAATTAAGCTAAACATTGCTTACTGGTCCCAAGTTTAATTGTGCCCTAAAACTAGTTCAAAGTCAAGTGTAAATGCAGGACCACAAAACTCTTTCCGAATGTAATCACTAAGCACAGCTTTTATCATGCTTTAATTATGCATTAATTATACGGTAATGAACCTATGATTAATCGTACGTTAACCCGTTCCTTGGTTCGTCTTTTTCTTTATTTTCACTAAAAGCATTTTAATCAAAAGAAAACTTCAGTCTAGCTATAGGTCTATGTGGTATCTATACCATTAACATTTATAGCAAAATCTACTGATATTGTCTTAAAATGTTGCAGATGCTATCTTTACTCATATCCATCGATCCTTTTCAGATTTTGAACCATAACATGTTACATGGTCTTGTGTCAATTGCTACTCAAATTTTCGATTTCTAGACTTTTTGAAAAATGGTACTTAATTTTAGTTTTGTCTAGTTAAGATGGGCCCTACATTTGTTCATATTGTAAAACACATCTCAAGAAATTCTTTGGCAGTTTAATCATTGGAACACTCTTCTTCCTGGCTTTCCTCCTTCATGAATCATTACAGATTTACTAAGGGATTTTTTTTTCTAAGAAAAATGAATGCTTCTTTCTTAATTGATCAAAACATTTACATACAAGCTATAGTTTCACCATTTATATAGACAAAACGTTAAGATCCTTCATCACCATGAAGCTCTTCCACAAATTCCGAAAGATTCTCATGAGACTCATCGATCTCACTCTCCCTTCCTCCTCCCGCCGACAGAAGAACTCCGGCGAAGGAGAGAGATTTGAGCCCCCGAAGATCTCGTGCAGTAGTTCGTACTACTCGTCGCACGTACACTACAGTGAAGCTATCGCAGATTGCATCGAGTTCTTCAACAAGTCTTCGGCTATGTCTTGTGATGTGGATCATGAAGGTCGTGTAGATGATCAGGATTTTCACGGTCGTAACTTCTTTAACGTTTAGTGTACAACTATAAAACTAAGCATGTCTTCTTTTGATTCAAGGGTTTGCTTCTATTTTAAGTTTATTCGAGTTATTGTGATTTTTAACACTACATTTATCCACATTTTTTATGATTGTTTTCTTTGAGTTTCGAGCATTATCATCATTTCAAACAAACCTATTTTATGAAAAATGTTGTGCTGCATAATTTTCCTAGGTTGTAAATCATATCAAAATGTATAATGGAATTGTATTAGACATTTAGACTAAACAGTTCAACTGTAATATTTTGCATTAATATTTACGATAGAACAATATTTCTACTACAACATTAATTTTGTTGTTTATTTTTCAAAAAATAAGGAGTGGAAATAAAATAACTTCAAGAACGATATATACAAAACATACATATGTCACATTATTATCAAAACAAACAAACAAAAAAACACACAAGAAAAGAGAAGAAAATTTAGAAACCAGATTGTTTCATTGAAAAACCTTTTTCTTAGCAAAAATCCCTCCAATAAACAAAGGGAACAAACTCTTCTTCTTCTTCTTCGTCTTCGACTTCTTCTCCTTCTTTCTCATTGAAGGGTGTCTCTCAAGAAACATTTCCACCGCCGAACCATTATCACCCGTCGTAGGGTGTGCAAATTTAACGTATCTCTTCTCACTCATCGATCTCAACCTTGGACTAGTACTAATTGGTCCATCATCAATCTGAGGAACCAACACTTCGAATTTGGTTTTGAAAACAGTCTCATCAACTTTCTTTACGGGTTCCACAGGATCCACTCTCAGCTTCTGAAGCTCTTGTTTTGTCCTTTCAAGCTCTTCCTTAAGAGAACACAAAGAGCTCCTCATTTGAAAGCTTTCTTCTTTTGCTCTTTTGAGATTGTGTTTTGTCTCTTTAAGCTCTGTCTCAATCTTTTCTGGATCAACCAGTTTCTCTCCTTCCATCTGCGTTTTCTTCATCAATGTTATAGAGAGAGTCATATGGAAATTCAAGTAAAGATAAAGAGAGAATGAGACTTGCCACTTTGAGATGGTTGGAATAGACTTGACTGGCTAAGACTCTCTCGCCGAACAAAGCGACAGCTTCTTTAACGGTTTTAAACGGTGCCGTTGTATCAATCTCTGATCTCTTCATTGTCTCCATCGTTTGACTGTTTAGCTCTCTGTGAAGAGAAGTAGAGAGATACTTAAGCTTATAGCTTGGTGACTTTAGAATCGAGTGAGAGATTACGCAAAGCATATTAGTTTCTTCATCTCCACTTCTTCATAATATATACTTTTTCAGTATATATTATAGTGTTTTGGATATATACATATATACGATTGTTGATTATGGTTTGTACTAATATTTATGTGATGTCATTGTTCTAAATTCAAATTTCTTAGTTATGGGTTTGTGAGTTATTAATAACCAAAAATAAAATTGTTTAAGAAACATACAGTACTGTGTTTTTCAATATTACTAATTTCTAGCCGACATGAAATCATTGGCTAAAACAATAAAAATGTTCATTTTACTAAAAATGGAACATACTAAACAGTCGAACATGTTAGTGTATTTTTAAAAGAACTAAAGTAATTTTATAAGAGGCTTATTGGAGAAATTCGCTTGCTGCACAAGAAACTGAAAATCCTGCTTTTAAAATATTAGCTGAAAACAAAACCTAGCAATTTTTTTCTCCTGTGATTCTCATTTCAGAAAACGTGGATCATTTACATAAAAAGACGGTAAAAGGTTTTTTCTCAAACAAGTGGCACTCATTAATCATCTCTCTCACTGACATTTCTTGTTCATCTATCACCTGAGAGAAAACACCATCTCAAATTCCGGCGAAGACAGAAACAGAGCTCTGTTTTTTTCTTTCTCTCTTAAGAACTAACTTATCTATAAAAGCAAAGCATCTTCACGACTTCTCGTTGCAGAGTAGTTGCATTGACGTTCTTGTATCTTCATAAACAAGTGGGAAGTGGTGTTCTTGTCTGTTCATCACTATCGTCCGTGAAGGATTGTTACTGTTATGGTGATGATGATGATGATGGTTCATTGACATTGCAGCAGCAGCAGCCATGAGACGATGTTGCTGTTGATGAGACATACTGTTGTTGCTGTACCTTGGAGAAGAAGCAACGTGCAGCGGTTGAATACTAGTCATGTTCAAGGAAAGGTTTGGTTTACTACTACTGTATTGGCTCGATGAAGGTGGCGGCACAGTGTTTCGACTTGTCTGTGGTCTGTATTGAGCAGCCCATATCCTTTTTTGTAGCTGTTGTTGCTGCTGCTGGTTTGCGTTGTAAGCTGTTTGATATCTACTTGCTAGATAAGGAGAAATCTGTTGCACCTATAAGATGAAAAGAATAGGTTAAACCCCTAATCACAAGTAAAGAGAGACAAATTTAGGTCAGAGCAAGAAACCTGATGGCTTGAAGTTGAAGGAGAGAGCTGGCTATTGTAATGTGGAAATGAGTTTGGTATTGAGAAATGAGATTGTGATTGTGCTGCTCCATTAGATGATAAAGAGAGAAAATCGTAGCTCTGTAGTCAAAAATAGAAGAAATCAAGATTAGAAACAGAGAGGTTAGGGTTTAAACGAATAAGAACAGAACAGTGAAGTAAATTTACCTGTTTATGTGAAGCTTGAGGACCATAGAGATCGAGAGCAAGCTTAGTCATGTCTTCTTGCGCAGGTTTTGGGTTTTGTGCTTTGTGTAGATCAAGCAGATGAGGGTTTTGATACTTCTTGGAAGGAGAAGCCATGGATTTAAAGTCGCTAATGGTTGTTGTCACCGGATCAGGGAGCTTAGGTTGTGACGTTTCTGAAGATCTTTGCTCCTTTTGGTTACTACTGGTCTGTAATACTTTGATGAGCCTGGAAATGTAAATGTGAGAAGCACATTTCTTCAACTTCCTCGGCTGGACTCTTAACGGCTGTTCAGTCACGAGTGAAGAAGCATTCTTGGATGGAGAAACAGCTTGTCCCATCCATGGTGGAAGCTTCGTAGAAGATGGTCTGATATTAAAGAAAGATCAGAAACAGAGCAGCTAAAAGAAAGAAACTAACATGCAATTTAAGGGAAAGAGTTATACTTTGAAAGAACTTGAGGAGCTGTTGAAGATAAGCCAGGCCACAGAGCAAGACCGTTGCCACACGTTGCAACCTTTGTTTCAATGGCTCTTACCTATAAAATATTTAAATGTTACCATTAGTTTGAATGTTATGACCAAGAAAGTAAGATTTTAGAGTGGCATGTAGTGTGCTTACAGGTGCATCAGTCACATTCACTGAGCTGCTTTGCTTCAATCTATCAAGAAAATCAACCATTCTGCAACATTAAACAACAAGAAAAACAACAGTCATCAAAGTAAAATCGAAAAGATTAAAAGAAAAGTTATACACAAGAATTTGCTACAAACCTGTTCTGGTTATGATCTTGTTGTAATGGCTTGTCATCAATTTGATCAGTTTTGGCTGAAGAGAGAACCGAAACCGCCGGTTCTGGTTTGGGAGAGTCGGTTTCAAGAACCAAGATTGAGTCAACTTTGGTGGTTTCTTTGTCATCAGGCAAAGGATCACGAGTCTTCTTATCAACAGAGGAGCTAGTCTCAGTGAACATATCAGCTAAACCGTATAACGTCTCTGCAACTTCTTTCTCATCTTTCGAAATCATCATCGACTCAGGAACCATAGCTTTTGCTTCCTAACCAAAACACACAATAAAGGATCATTTCTCAAGTATTTTTATTTTTACTAAAACAAATTTTGTAGAATCAGCAAAACAAACCATTTCTTGATTCTCCTTCTTGATCATCAAATCCTCAGAAGATTCAATTCCGGTTTTGGACCGGTTTAGTCTCTTTGAACCAGAAGATAGCTTAGAAACAGATTCAATGTTCCGCTTCTTCATGGCTGCAATTGAAAGTAGCACAAAAAAAGAGCTTTAGATGGACCAAAAGTGGAAAAAGTTATAAAAAAAGGACCTTGCAAGTTTCAAATTTCGACGTGATAAAAGATTAAAGAGAGAGTTCTCAAATTGACAAAGACAAGCTTTAATAGAAAAAGAAAGTGAACATAAACAAGTATTGTTCTTTTGATATTATAAGAAGAACATAAAAGACAAGTAGCAGAATCTTGCGTCTATAAAAAGAAAGTGAAAAATCAAAAAAGCAAAAGAGTTTGCTTGAAAAATAATCTTAGATTCAAAGCTGAAAATACCATAATCTTCCCAACTACTCAGAAACTGAGTTTCACCGACACTTTCACATCCCCTCCATATGGTAAATACAATTATGACAAAAATAATTTTTAAAAAAAACATTCGATTTAATTCCTTGTTTTTTTCTTGGAAATTTAAAAAATTGGTGATATTAAAAAGTCACGAACAACGCACCTGAACGAAGCTTCCGTGGTACAGAGGCATGATCCACACCATTACTGTCCTTCAAATTCTTCAAAAAAAACGAGAAATTGAAAGTGAAAGTTAATGTTGAGAAAGTGAGAGAAAATTACAGTGCCGTATTGATGAAGAACTTACCTTTTTTGGAAATTTAGATTTCTTCCTAGCAACCTTAATTTCCAAATCTGATGGAGAAAAGTCGTCGTCGTAGCTCACCATCTCTTGTTTCTTCAACAATCTTTTCTTCGATTTTGCAGAAACACCAGATCCTAATCACAGATAAAAACAGAGCAAACGACGACGAAGTTTAATATAACAAGACAAAAACCGAAAAAGGAGAGAACTTTGGATAAAAAAAAACTTGTTGGTTTCTGAAAGTTTTGATTTTTATTACCAGATTGTTTCTTAGGAAATCGATTGGTTCCTCCACGTCTCATATCTCGACGACCCATTTCCATTTTTTTCCGATAAACTTGTCTTCTTCTTCTTCCTCTCACCACTCAAAGAAGAAAAGACTCAGAGAAGAGAGAAATGTCAAAAATGTAAAATCTCAATTCCACATCTTTGCAAAAATACACACTTTAATTTAGATTACACAGGAAAGAAAGAGAGAAAAGTGAAAAGAGGTTTAAAGAGAGAAAAGTTTAAAAATTGTTTCTCGTGTCTCGAAGAATCAGGTTCTTCGTGAAAGAAGAAAAGAGAAGAAAACAAACAAAAAATTAAAAGATAAAAAGAGGATTTAAAGGAGCTACAAAACAAAACAAAAAACAAAAAGAAGAAGATGATTTTAAAGGAGGATTTGTACATTCAACCCGTGATTAAACCTCTTAAAAATCGTTGAATATATAAAATTGGAAAAAAGTTTCGATTTTTAACAAAAACTTTCATTAATGGAGTCACTGTTCTTCAATCCAATCAAACACTGATATGTAACTGACACAAAAGGAAGTTGAAAGAGAAAAAAAAAACGTTAAAAACAGTAGAGATTATCGAGAAACACAAAAGGCTGAGAAAAAAAAAACCCAGAATTCAGAGATTTGAAACAGAGAAAAGAGAGAGAGAGAGAGAGAGAGAGAGAGAGATTGAAAACCTTGTGGGTCTCTCTCTCTACGAAATGAAGCTCTGTCTCTCTCACACACACAGAGGAGACTACAATTTTCTCAAAGTTTCCACATTCCGAAAAGACGGATAATCCGAAGCTGTCGCTTCACTCCGATCGCTTTTATAAATGTCACACAATTGCCAAAAAAACGCTTCACTCTCTCTCTCTCTCTCTCTCCTTCGTTTTATCTTCCTTTCAGCTATCGAACGGTGTGTAGTGAAGGAGAAACGATAGCCGTTGGATTGTTTTCAGTGTAGTGCCACGTAATCAGTGAGAAAAGCGATGTGTCAGACACGTCAGCGTTTAAGAGCTGAAATTGTACTGTTTTGCATGGGTTTCCTATGATATGATTTGAATCCGTACTTCAGTGAATCGCATTTTGATTTTGTTTTTATTTTCTTTTTACTTTTCCAACGAATCGGTTGGTTTGGATATGTTGATTATGCATATGTAAAAGACGAAAAAAAAAAAAAAAAACAGTAATTTAGTCCGATCCACGTTTAGAATCTTTGTTAGATCGTAAATCAAACTTTCAATATTTAAAAAGAAAAACTAATTTCTTGTTACATATCTACTGTCAGTATTGTACGTGTAAAACGGTCAACACTAGTATAAAGTATTTTATTCCTTATCGGTCGATATTAAATTAAAATTTCTAATGGGTTAAGAGTCGATTTGTAAAAAGTACTGGAATTCACTATGAGATGAATGAGCTAAAACAGTGATCATCTTAAAGAGACTTGTTATAGTCCACATTGAAAATATTATAATGTAATGTTGAGAGACAAGTACTGTTGTATAAAGAAAATCAACTATTCGCAGTTCGTACATATACACCAACTAGAAAAACTAGAAAAATGGGTCTTAACTGGATTTAGTAAAAATGTTTAGAGGCTAATCTAATTGCGTATGATATATCAATTGTCAAATGATGTTTGATTTAAAAGGGTAGAGATGTTTGACTCTTACTTGATATGTATATGGTTCTACCGATTAGATGACTTTGGTGTGTGTGCAACCAATTTCTCAGCCGTCAGATTAGAATATTGGAGCAGATTTGTGTGGCATACAATGAGAAAGTTGTACGATAATCTAACAAAGATTCATATGGGGTTTTGACCCATTAGAACAATCAAATGATTTGTGGACTATATGCGACATAGATCATAAGCGATAAGATTAGATTAACCTACAAATGGTTGTACGATAAGATTAAGATCTTGAACATTATTACCACTAGTCTCATTTTCTTGCCTAGTATATTAATGGGATGACCAAATTAATCAATGACCAAACGGCTAACCAAATTTAATGGTTTGTTGGACACCAAATTTGGTGGATAAAAGCCAATTAATACTAAATATATGCGTCGGCCATTTAATTTCATACGTTTATAGGACTAGACATCCAGTTTTTGCAACACATCATCTTCTTCAGTGATATTGATTTATTTAGCACTACTATTAAATTATTAATAACCAAATAAATGTACCACGTAGCTTTGTAAACCGGGTCCCCACTTAACTCAAACGTCTGGCTGTCTCTCATAAATACGAGAGAATGTCACGGCGTTGGTTTTGTTAATACCATCTCCTCTTTTAATGACTCGTCCAATCAAGAAACGGCACGACTTTCTCTATGTCCGTCCCATCATCCAAATGCGCGCGAGAAAGAGCGAGAGAGAGGTTTTGGCGATGCAAACAAATCGACGGCTGTTATTAGCTATCAGAAGTTACATAATTTCGCGACGTCATCACACTGAAATCGACAAGTCAGGTAACTTCTGCCAACTGTTTAGGGAAAGTAATTCACAGTCTGCTCTATTTCTATTTTAGTCAAAACTTGTTTCAAAATTTGTTTATTACTCCATTAAAATAATCTGCAAATGCGGGAAATAAAACATTATGACTTCCTACATGAAACAACGTTATTTTCTTTATGGAAAAAACCGTTATTCTAAAATTTACTTTGAAAGATTTAAGACTAGTTACTAGGCAGACCATAATTCAGTTTGTTTGATAACTGACACAGAAATTTGAAAGTACTAACTGATACAATATGAATTTGATTTGAAGTGTAAAACTAAAAGTCTGAAAGGCCATAAATAACGAAAATAACGATTTTGGAAAAAAGGCCCGATACGAGTTCAGTTAAGGCCCAATCATATGACAGTAGGGCCCCCGTGCGCACGAGGAATAAATTCCGCGCTCTCATTGGCTTATTATTATTATACTAATGAATAAACATAAAATAAAAACAAAGAACAAATGCCTCCCTCCGTAGTCCGTAGCATAGTCATATTGCGTTCGCTTCGTAAGCGAAAGGCCGCGAGTTCGATCCTCGCCGGGGGCTAACTTCTCATAATCATTTTGTTTTTCCACCACAAAACTCGCGTCGCTATTTACAAAAACGACCCTTTTGCAACCAAATCAGTTTTACTTATTCTCTGTAGCTAGATTTTTATGTTTCGCCCATTTTATTCGTCTTGTAGTCTCACTATCGATTCCTTTTTCATTTTGTTTTTATTCATCTATTCTCTTGTTGGATTCTGTGGACCACAAATTTTTAAAGTAGATTATATGGCTACCAAATATGTATCGATGCTAACAAAATCGTCTACAAAACTCCGATCTACAGCCTCGGTCTCCTCCACAAGTAAAATGAAATCGCTGAAAACACATACATGGATTTGATGTAACATATAAGAAAATTGAGAAGATCTTTTATAACTTATGAGTAAATTTCATAATAACCAATTTATTCAGTCCAATATATGTCATGCTGATCATGTTGTTCGAAGTCAAAATCACTTCAAAAACTTTCTTTCAAGAACAGCCGATCAAACGGAAAAAAGCATAATAACCAATTATTCATACGCAACATGATTTTTATTAGAATATGGAACTATACAACGAGATTCTTTAACGAATCCAAAGACAAATAAGGAAAAACAAAACCAGAAACTTACAACAAATTGACAAATTTATTGTACAAATACACACAACAACGACGTACGGCTCTCATGATTTATTCCAACGACCACATATACATGCCAACAAATACTACCAAAACGACATCGTATCGAACAACAGCAGTTTCTTTCTTGTACTTAAGGGCACTTGCGGCGACCACCGTGGGTGGTGAGACTGGCGTAGCACTCGCACTTGTCGTAGTTACCGTACGTGCCAGGTGGCACACAGTTGCACCTGGCGCAGCAAGTCCCGCACGCTCGGTGACACAGCCTCGGCCTCTTCGAAAGACTGCACCGTGCTACACACGCACCGCCACAATCTATAATGAAAGACACATATCATTGATTTTGTTAGTTAATTAGTCTTACTATAATATAAATCCTACTTGTATTTGTGTATATGTATAAAAGGTGATATAATTACCAATTTTCTTGCCGTAGCCACCTTTTTTGTTTGAGGTTTCCTGCATAAAATGATATAATGTTAAAGAAATATTTTGCAAAGAAAAGAAATATCATATTGGATGTTTGCGATGAAAAAAAACATTTACCACATCGGCCTGGACGAGTTGAAGAACAAGAAGAGATATAAGAAGAGTAGCAATAAGGGCTTTTGAAGTAGCCATAATTCTCCAAGGAGAGACTATAGTATGAATTATGAAAGATGGCTTAACTCAGAACGAGAAGATTATGTGTGTGTTTAGTTGTGGTGTCAAAATGAGAACTTGGGGACGTCTATTTATAGGCCTCCTTTTGATGGACAACCGACCCCATTTTCGGTCTAGACTATTCTTGTACATTTTAATTATTTCTTATAAATAGTTTTTTCAGGAAAAAGATGATATTGGCTTCCGAGTTTCAGATATCAATATGATATGATGGCAAGTACTTTCTGCCAATTGCTAAATGATCAAGAAGAAAAATAAACTAAACTTAAGTTTTTTGTTTTAGTTAATCGAGAAAGTCAATTATATATTTTATCCTTACTTCTTTGTAATTTTTTTTTAACACTAAATGGTTGATAGATTTTTAGAAAAAGAAGTTGTGTATATATAAGAATTTTTGTTCTTTTTAAAAATGGGTCGGTTGGTGCGTATAAAAGTTGTGCGTACGCAGAAAAGAGAATATTGTGGTGGGGGGGGGGGAATAGGTTGTATTATTTGTGGTCTCTTGTTTTAATTTGATCAAATGATTCGGTATAACTTTCTCCACCACATTGTGTATAAGCTTATTTGAAATTCAATCTTGCTGTAGAGATAGTAACCAATGTATATTACTTTAATCATTTGTACGTGTCGTATTCCTAAACAGTAAGCGATCTATTATTGGTTTCGCTTGGGTTTGGTACGTTTTGGTTCTACCAAAACATTATTGATTTAAGGTATATTAAGATAATTCATAGTATAAACGATTTGACTTATGATGATGACTTCTATAGTGAGCTTGCTTTTATGCAGTATTGACGTAAACACGGACTACTCTTTCCGCTTTTGAAGTATATAATCTGTAAAAAAAAAGAAGGAAAATTAGTTTTTGATATACATCTATCGAGTTTGTATTGTTGTAAGTTCTAACAAACAAATTAAAAAACTAACATTTGAAAATATTATAAGTCCAAAAGTGTTCTGGTTTTGGTTGGGTTTATGTCGATGCTCAATCTTAAGAAAATGAAAGAACATAAGATTAGATTAGTAAACCCTAGCTATCTCAAACAAAGAGCATAAGATTATGGGTAATTAATGACGAAAAGGGACTTATAGAAGAGTTAATGTGGTTGAGACAACAAGGATGAGGGGATGTAGACGTGAGAGGTCCTTTTGAAGAATACTTCCTCATTTCACAGCTTGCACTTCATCATCTGAGTTATGACCCACTTATTCGTCTCAAAATGTTTTCCTTTTATTTTATACACGTTTCTAGACCAATCTTTACGATTTGTTTTAACATTACGATTTGTTATTTTCATTTGGTCCACTCTTCGCTGTTTTTCACTTCCATTTTGTTGGTATTGATGTAGTTTTTATAATAAAGTTTAAAGTAACATTTGTATGGTGAAGGCCACCTTTATAGGGTCCAGTCTTAATTAGTCACACACAAATGGTTTTAACCGATCTTGATCACTCATGCAACGATAAAATATATATTACAAATGATGATCCTGCTACTTTTTTTCGCTTGTGCGATTGATATTTGTAAGAGTTGTGTATCTCTCTTGATCGTTACCAATCAAATCATGAGAGTTTGGAAATAATAGAAAAACACTGAAAAGGTAAATTAAGTGAGAGCCTGAAAGGTCACGGTCTCACGGATCGTGTGTCGTATGTGTTTGGCTTTTTCACCAATCTTATCGACGATAACATCATCCGCACGCACACTACGCAAAGTCTATACCATAGTCAATGAAAAAGTAAATAAACAGTTGAGGAACATGTAGTTTTTTTTTTATGCATGAGAACGTCACTTCAATTAACTATTATGGCTGTCACATAGTATCACACGTTCGGTAGTCGTCGTTTGTTCAACTTTACGTTAAGTCAAATCAATACTTGCACCTAACTCATCAGACTGTAAGTCAAATAATATACATGTTATATTAATCGATTTTGATACATAAGGTTTTATAAACGAACATATAGTTACATATTGTTAATTAACCAGCAATTACTTTGATGGTAACAGTTTAAAATCTAAGAGACATGTACAAAACAAGCGAGAATATGAATCATAAACTCATAACCTAAGAAATTAATCAAATGATGAAACTAAAAGAGCATGCAATGCAAAACAAGTAAATATCTTGGTCTCCATTAGTTCAGAGATTAGAACTCTGGCTATCGAAAATAATTCTTTATATGTTTTTAAGGAGGGTTTTCAAGATATCGTCCTCGTGAAGTACGACACTTTTAATTATTAAATTCGAAAATGGTAGTGGTCTTTTGTGTTAACAAACGTATAAAAAAAGGAAGCAAAACTAAGAAAAAGCGATAGAGAAATGAGTTCTCAAGAAGACAGCTGTGAAGTGTTGTTATTCACTTAATCAACAGCTATCAAGATAAGCTAATTGCCAACCTGTTATCTCCTTTACTTTCTTTTGTTTCCATCCCAATCCATTTGTAGTAGATAAGAGGATTTTGTTGATACTATAATAATTAGGGAGTTACGTTTTATATTATGTGATGATATGAACTAATTGAAAAAGAAAAGATCTATACAAAAGTATAGAATTTGGCGTGTTATATACCATAGGATTTAGGCTTTACCTGACATAAACAGTAAGTTAAAATAGATATCGTAATATGTTAGTGTGTTACCCCAAAAAAAACTATTACTATCAATCACAGTCGAATACGCATCCCAAAAGTTTGTAATTTCTAATGACTTTTAACATAGATTGGTATATATTATTTCAGATGTTATACTTTTGTTACTTTTGTAGTAAAGGTGGTTCTTTAATGCAAATGGCTTTGGTCCATACTCTCTTGTTCTGCATAGTCATTTTCTTCTTACGAGAATCTGTATTGGCCGATACCAAACACCGATCGAATCATCTAGTGACCACAAAACTATATTCCACTTGGCATTTTTTAAATAGTTCAGTAAATAAGCAGCTGTAAGAAACGAAATTGTATTTGTAATTGGAAGTCATAACGTTTTCACCACTCGACGTTCTCTAAGTCCAGTTACACGAATGATCTATATTTATACTATACATCAAGTAATTGTATTTAAAATATCTGGTGGGATATTAGGTGATATGACTACAAAATACCAGCTGGTCGTAGCCGCCGCCAAAAGAGTCGAAATCGAATGATAAATTTTGGATAAGCTCAAACAGTCAAACACTAGAACGTTTTAGTTAAGATAATAAACATTCATATACAAGTTAAAATAGGTGAAAGAAACAGACAATAACATCAATTATCATCACTTGTTTTTGTCTTTCTAGTCCAATCATCATCATTCGAGAGTGTGGAAACAAGATTTGAAACCGTGACCTTAAGGTTTTATGAGACACAAACGGGAGAGTTTATTTTGGAAGCGGAAAAACTACTAATTTGCGAAACCATTACAAAAGAAGCCCAATTATTTGAAAAAGTAAAGCAGAACTAGTTTTCTTTGTATTGATTTGATGGGTTATTTTGATCATCTCACAATACCAAATGGATATCCAAAGAATCATTTCTTATTTCCTCAAATTAAGTTTTGTTTTGTTTAACAAACAACAACCACTATGAATGATTTGTGATCAAAAGTTGTTCAAAATAAAGCATAACAGCATGTTATATACTAATATATGTATATTGGACACATCTAGGGGTTATTGAGAGATGGATTTGTAAAAATTCTTGAAATTTTCAAAAATCTTTGTTATTGGTTTATGAATTCTAACAATTTTATTAAAATTTCTTGTTATTGATACTTAAAGTTTATGTTTTAATGATTCCAAGAATCCATTAAAATCCTTGTTATTGGGACATGAATTTTAAGCAATTTAACTCATGAAACAAGATTTCCAAAATATTACCTATAACCTTTAGATTTTCAAATACAAACTCTCTCCAAATCCAATATAAACTGTTTATAAATTTAACAAATCTCTTTAACTCTTAAAATTTATCAACTCTATATAAAGTAACCCCCCCTTAAAGTCCCCTACCTAATATTTCTCTCATGTTTTGGGTTTCTAGTTCTAAAACAGATCTTTTACCGAAAAAAAACTTAAAACTAAAAGCTGATAGGCTTGTATTAAGTCGATGATATATGTCAAAATCTCTAACAAACTCCTTTTCTTTTTACAATCCTCCAAGAAAAAACATTAAACGTAAGAAAAAAGAAAAGACAAAGAGAAGACTAAGACAATGGCCTGCAAAAACAGAGTCTCAAACTCCATTACCATAAGCTTTAACTACCGTAGTATCTTCTTCTCTCTTCTCCACCAAACTCTACACAACTCCTGATGGCAGACGAAGAACCAGCTGACCACCCATCAAACTGCCAAACATCCAAAACATAAAAACCTTATAAGACCCATAAAAAAAACTACAATGAGCAAAAACATTTATGACTTTACCTCTTGACATAGTAGTAGCAGAAGTCAGCGAGAATGAAAGTTTGGACTATCTCAGAGAGGAGAACCATTATAGGCCAGAATCCATACCCTAAAGCAGTCAACAACCGACCTCGAGTGTCCAAAACCTACATCACAACCATCATATTATTTACTATAAGACTACAATCAACTTCACAAATCTTGTATATATATGGAGAGTCAACAAAGAACAAACCTGAAGGACCCAATGTGCACAACTCAAGAACCTTGCTATCCCCAAAGCGAAAACGTAATGTGCTGTGAATGGCTCCACGATCTGAGACAACAAGACACATGCGTTACTAGCTTAAGCCAAAACGTATAGAGAGACAAGTTTCATGCTTTTTTCAAAGTACCTTAGTGTTTTGCATGACTCTAAGCTGAGGAAGGACTGAAACAGCTTCAAGGTAAACACAGAACGCCCAAGAAATCTTGTTGATTATATGATGATGCGTTGATGGATGAATCAAGACTGATAGAACAGCACATGGTATAACCTGCAACCACATTTACAACAAAAGCTTAGAAAATATTGATCAAGAAAAAGCTGCTCTTTTGGTGATCCAAATATGGAAATGAATTGCAAATTTACATTCTTTAAGAAAAAAAAGTTGAGATTTTTATAAGATAATTGAGAATCCAAGAATTAAAGGCAAACAACTTACGACGTAGTAGATGGCGAAATTGTCTTTGTCTTCCATGTAACTAGCTTTGAGGCTAAATCGGATCATGTAGATGACCCAAAGAGTAGTCACCAATGTAGCCGAATCAAGCACCGTGTGGATATCGAATTCCATCACGAAACTACAGTACAGCCTCACTGCCAGAAACAGAGCCGTAAGCTCTTGTGTCTTCAGAGACAATCCTGTCAAAAAAAAAGATTTCAAATCATTTCAAATCCATGCAATTCTCATTCAATTTGGGATCTATTGGACGGAAAATGTTAAATTGGACAAACCCTAAATCGAAATCGAAGCAGATCGGGAAAATCCTAAACCTAGAAACCCACAATTCCCCCAAAATCAATAAAGTTCGATAATTTCGCAAGAGGGATTGTGATTACCGGCGCAAGTCTTCTCCTTTGTGAGTTTATAGATGAGAACGGAGATTCCAAGGGCGTGAACAGCCTCGGCGGCGACGAAAAGGTTGTCGTGGTCATGAACGATCATTCTCAGGAAAACGAGAGCGGTCATGGCGGATACAACGCCGAGGAAAGCTTTGACCTTTGGTGGTTGCCGGTGAACCCATGTCGTCACGGCGTGGATCGGTCTCTTCGCCGCCTTCATCTTTTCAGATTCACCGCTCTTTTTTCACAATTCCTTTTCCTAAAATAGAAACAGTAAAGTCGATACCTTTCGGACCAGATCTGCCTTCTTTTATGTCCGAATTTTTAGAACGATCAGGTGATTAAATTACACTGCTTTTTGGATTTGGAAGTGATAGCTACAAAAATCACTCCTTTTCTATTTACTTGCAAAAAAATAAAAAAGTTGGAAACTTTAACACTCTAGGATGGTGACACGTGGAGGGGTTGAAATTGTTTAGGTGAAAATTAGATTTGTGGTAAGCCAACGACTCTGCCTCGTCTCTCTGTATCCATAGAAAAAGTAACGTTTGTATGGAATCGATTGTTTTATTTTAGAATATTCTGTAATGATTTTGATTAAAACATCTCTTACAATATAGAGTTTAGAGAGACAAAAGACAATCAGTGTAATGACAAAGCTGTAACTCTACGCATAATTCCCACAAATCTTCCACTACATTGTTGCTCGTGTGATAAATCTTCATCCGACTCGGAAGAAGAACCTGGAAGAGCACACAATCAGATTATATATCGTGAATCTTGATTGGAAACGAACGGTAGTAACGGGTCAACGTTTCTTTGAGATCAATATATACGGTGCGTTTTGATCCATGCAGATCCGTTAGAGCTAGCTACTCATCATCCAAATCTCAATGTTTGGTTCAAGAGAATTGTAGAGGGTACGACCCAGAGATTTCCTCTGACTCCGGATAAGCTAAAGTCGTGGTTGGGACTGTCTTGAAAACATGGTGGTGGTGGAGGTAGGACTGAGAACTTCTCTTGTAAGTCAAATAAAAGTTCTATATTTTCAATTATGCAGCAGATTTACCAAATAAAAGTTTTAAATATTAAATTTATTTAAAAAGCAAGACTATTATTATTACTCCTTTATTAAAAGATATTTACAGAGAGAGAGAGAGAGAGAGAGGAATCGAGACATGAAAATAAAAGTGAACTCTCCATCAAAATCCAGCAAAAATAGTCAAAATATTAGTTTGCTAACTTCAAAAACGAGAATGAAAATAAGCATAAGGTAGTATTAGTTCGGACTTGAACAAACAGTTCGCCATAAAGAAAGGACATGTACTCTTCTTCTTTTTATTCGTCATCCTCTAGAGGCTCCTTCGGTCATCTTCAAAGCACAAAACCTTGAATGTTAAAGAAAATCAACCAAAGTCAGTAAATCAATCAAAATCATGCGGTACTATATATTGCGCATTTAGAGCACATCTAGTTGAACTCGATTGCTTTCTTTCTTTCTACTGAAACACTATGAATAACTAACAAGACAGTTTCACCGAAATTATAATAATAATAATAATAAACTCGAGTTATTTAAACTTGCCTTGGGTTTTTTGTTAATGAAATCAGAAAGATTAAAGGACTTCATAATCTTTGCCTTCCTCTTGCGTAAAGGCAGTGACAAGTCAAACTCCTGCTTGACAAAAAGATAACATAGGGGTCAAATTTGACAATTGTAATTGAAACAAATATTTAAGAGGTGATGATGCTTACACGCTCTAAGTGGGGACGCTCTTTGAGATGCTCGGCGAAGTCTACAAACCTTTGGCCAGGACATGTATCACATGTCGTGCAAAAATAAGTTGCTCGAGGCCGTAAACGATTCGTTTTGCTCTTTTCATAGAGAGGACAATCACCCAACAGTAAGTGTTCCCAGAGATAGCTCTTTTCATTAGCTTGAGGAGATCCCCGAGGTTTAGCGTGAAGAATGGTGTATCCCTGACGTTCTAGGGTTGAAAACCATTCAGAATAAACTTGCGCAAGCTCTCTACCGGTTATGAACAGTATATTAGCCGGAGGTTGATTATGCAGCGTCCACGTCAAAAACTTGTCAAAAATCTCAGCGAAACCTGTTTCAGTCGATGAAAGCAAACTCAATGCCAAAAATCTTATCTAAACCCTTACTTGTACTAAAAGAAAACAGAAGACAAGATTTACCGCGGACGTGATTAAGATGGATTCCAGAGTTAGAGAGATTCCGATGAACAACAGGGGTTTTTCTTAAGATGGGTTTTAGGTTGCCAAAGGCAGTGATGGTGAGAGGACCAGTGTAGCCTTCCTTATTTAACGCCGATTCTATACTCGGACCGACCAGACGAGCATCGTGACCATCCGGAACCGGACAGGTGTCCATGTCCCAGCACACCCACGTTTCTGCCGTCTTAGTCGTGGCACTTCTTCTCCGTATCGAATTCATGACTTTCAACCTGAAAACAAAAACCAATGAGAATCCAAAACTGGGAAAACAAAATCGCAGTTACGTCTTCGGTTTATAACGAAAATCTTCTCTACTAGATCATCCGAGAGAGAGAGAGTTTGACACAGTTTAATCAAAACTACTGACCTCGTTTACGATCGGATCTCATCTCTTAGTGGCAAACCATAAATAAATGTTGACGACTTATATACCTGCGGCTTGGTTTATACGGACCGACACGCGCGGCCCATTACTCCGTGAAGTTTGCATTTACATAAAAAAAAAAGTAACGTTTGTATTGAATCGATAGTTTATTTTAGAATATTTTGATTAATTAAAACATCTCTTACAAAGTAGAAATCAGAGAGACAAAAGACCATCAGTGTAATGACAAAGCTGTAACTCTACGCCTAATTCCCACAAATCCTCCACTTTACTGTTGCTCGTGTGGTAAATCTTCATCCGACTCGGAAGTAGAACTTGGAAGAGCACACAATCAGATTGTATATCGTGAATCTTGATTGGAAACGAGTGGTAATAACGGGTCAGCGTTTCTTTGAGCACAATACGATGCGTTTTGGTCCATGCAGCACTCATCATCCAAATCTCAATGTTTGGTTCAAGGGAATTATAGTCTACGACCCAGAGGTTCCCTCTCATTCCGCATAAGCTAAAGTCGTGGTTGGGACTGTCTTGAAAACATGGTGGTGGAGGTAGGACAGAGAACTTCTCTTGTTCTAGAGAGAAAGACACGATCTTTGTTGGAACGTCTTTTGTTGTCCAGTAAAGGAATCCATCGGCGTGAACTGGAGGGTATGGCTGTAGAAGGTAAGGACATTCTTGCTCTTGTGATGTCCATGGAAAGATCTCGAGATGGTGCTTGTAGCTTCTTGGTGTGATGGTAAGAGGGAGTATCTCGCATTTGCAGATTGTGTGACATGAAAGGAAAAATCTGATGATTTTGTATTGTAATGTCGAGGAGACAAAGCCGAAGGAGATAAAGGTAGGGGAAGTAGAAGAAAAGGAGGAGGGTGGTTAGGTATTCCTAGGGTTTTTTGGTTAATAGGGTCGAAGAGAAACTGTTCCTTGTCAGACACGAAACAGATAAATTGATGGTTGGAAGATAAGACTCTTACTCTATTTCCGAGGAATTGTTTAGTGAGGGGTTCTTGAAAATCTGTGGGAGATGTGAGAGTGCTGAGAGTGGTTTCATTGGTGGAGAGGAGGAATTTGAGCTCTACAATTAGAGATCGATGAAAAGGAGCTATGGCGGTTAGGGTATAGAAAGAGTTCAAGGCAAAGCGGTGGTGGAGACGGAGAAAGTATGGCTCAGAGATTATGGAGTTGAATTGTTTTGAAACTAATCGGAGTTTTGGTAGTGTTTTGCCCGGAAGTAAAGAGAGGATTTTGAGAATTACTTCTGAAGGCAAATAAACTGAAAACATTTTTTCCAAGTAATCAATAAAAGACATGAATGTGTATATATATTTATGTATATGCTTGTTTTCCAAGGCTTCAGGTTAGGAAGTTAAAAGAGAAAGAAAGTTAAGTATTCCGATTTCATTTTTAAATTTCTCATTTCTTTCCATATGTTGTATATATATATATATATATATATATATATATATATATACTTCTTTTGACATTATACACACATTGAATATATGAAAATAATTGAGAAAATCAGTGTATTAGTACATTATTTTCTAGTTTCTACAGCATTCGTTACATTATTTGTCTTAACTCTAAAGTCTAAACTGATTAGTTAAACTAATTTAAAAAAAAAAAAAAAACTGTTACAAAAAAAAAAAAAAAAAAAAAAAAACTGTTACTACTATGAGTTTATACGTTGAGTTTAGATTGAGGCCATCTAATTTCGCGTGTGACTTGAGATCCAAGGTTCTGGTTTAAAATCACACTTTAATTAAGCGCGTCTTTTAAGTTTGAAGCTTGGTTTGAATACCTCACTCAAGAATCAAATGTATGAATCTAACTTTTTTTTTTTCAAATTCATCTTAATCTGATTATTTGCGAGAACGTAGAGATGTTCTTTTTCTTTTTTGGAAGCTTGCGTTTGGAAAGAGATGTGAGGTATCTACGCAATTACGAGAAACCGAGTTTGAGTGTGCGTGGAGTGATCAATTCAAAGAAATCGAGAGTGGATTCACTGATAAGTTAATGAAGAAAGACGAGGAGAACAAGGGAGCTTCAATCGTCTAATCGTGAGAAAGATAAGATTATTTCAAGATTGATGGCTGATAAAGTGGCTGAAACTGAAGACAATTATAGTGAAAGAAAAAGAAACTCGGTAAAGTCTTTAAGGAGGTCTCCTAGGCTTACAACTCGTAACAATAGCAACTCTGTTGTACGTCTTTACTTTACTTAAGATCATCCACTATGCAATAATATGTTAATAAAGGTTAGCTTATAGTTAATAGATTACTTTCGGTAGTATAATATACATCATATATAGATTTTATACTCACACAAGTACGATATAAACATTTTAAAACTACGAGAAACTTATTAAACGCAAAACGATGGAGTAAGCTTTGTTACAAGTCATACCATTAATAAAAAAACGAAACCCTAAATGCTTGGTAAATTCTAAACTCAACCCGACGACTAAGAAAGATAGATAATCGGTAAAAATTTAGTGAATCTAAAAAGACTAGTATGCAAGTATCTAAACACTAAATCGGAATGAAGAGAACTCCATTCATAATATCACCGCTACCTAGTGAGATGGTACTATTTTAAACGCTAGAAGCACTAATTAAACCCTAGCATAAGTAGTAAATCTAAATCAATTAATGTTCGCTAGGCTATCCACAAAAGACATATAGTGAAAGAAATCTAAACTCTTAATTAGAAAAACAAAACCCTAAACTGAAATACAAAATTCATATAATATCAGAATTACCTAGCGAGTTATTAATGATATTCTAATCGAATATATCACTAAACCCTAGTAAAAGATTAGTGAACTTAATTAATGTAAGAAAAACTAACTTATATACTAGGCTATCCAACAATGTCATAACAATCCAAAGAGAAATTAGCTATCAAGATACATACTGAATATTATCAAAAATATATTGCATTACTTCTAGTGGTAGGAAAAAATATATTAAATTAGCTCGTGAAATCAGATTATGGAGAGACACATAATTTTGCTCTTCATAATTGGGTTCATGAAATCAGAGTTTGGAGCCAAAAATTTCAAGATGTTCAAGTCAAATGGATATTAAAAAGCGAGAATAAAGTAGATGATCGTGTTTTTTTTTTTATTTTTTTTTTCTTTCACACACTGATCGTTTAACAAAGGAACTAATGCCTTCTGCATCTTTGTTTACCTCTTATCATTATGCATTTATGCTCCTTCTTATATTTTGTTCTTGTTACATGATGACCTTGGGCAATTTTAATGAAAAGCAGTTGTTTAAATAAAAGAGAGAGAAAAAAAAAGAATGCCATTTATTCTTTTAAAATTTGTAAAACCGTCAAAATGAAACCAAGAAGGACAAATTTTTATAATTGTTTTTACCTTTTGAACAGTTTTAAAAGAATTAGAATGACGTAATATGTGAGCTTGAAAATTGGATGTATTCTCCTGTTTCCTGCTCAAATACAATGAATTTAATTAATCCATTTATTGCTTTTAACTCTTGCGAACAAAATAAATCATGCAAATTAGGAATTAACCAATTTCCTTTTGACCAAAACTGACTGAAATGGAATCTCCAAAACTGGTAACCAAGAAACTGACAAGTTCAAAATTAAGAAACAAGAGGAAACAAAAGTTGGAAAAAAAAACGCACAAATTTAACAAAGAAAACACACTGACACGTGTCACTAATCTAAACCATTAAAATACATTTGATACATGCAAAACAATAAATAAAATAAAACGAAAGAAAATCATCCGAAAAGATTTATCCTATTTAACCAATCGTTTCAACAACACTCCCAAAACACACTCGCGTCTCTCCTCACTCTAAAGCGGCTGTCGGAGACAAAGAAGAAAAGTGTTCAACAATGGAAGATCACTCTTCTCTCCGCTACAGTGACGGTGAAGACGATAAAACCGACCTCGAAGTTTCTTCAATCCTACTGGAACTTTCGCAACCTGTCTATTTCTCTTATGACCCTTCTCCTTGTTCTCTTAAGTGGGGTCGCACTAAAAAGCGTACCTTTTCCGATATCATGCCTCCGCCGAGGATTTCATCGGAACCGGTTATCCAACCGCAACCGATGACTGAGGTCGTCGGAAGTAATTATAGTTCGTCGTACTCAACCGGCGACGCGAAGAAAACCAATAGTCAAAGCGTAAAATTCTGAATTTTCTCTTCCTTGTTGTTTTAGGGTTTAGATTTTCATTTTATTCACCAAAATGTTTTTCGAATCTGTTCTTCTATCTATGTCTTTTTTTTTTTCATATCAGTGTAAATCCATTTGATTTGCAGAATGGATACTGAGTACTAATTAATGAGTCATTTTTTTTTTATTATTAGATAAAATTACTGGGTAAATGTTTGTGGCTTTTTGTTTTTCCTTTAATATAAAACTACAGAGTCGAAATGGTTTAGAAGAAGGATTTTGCATGACATCTCTGAAGTTGAAGCAGACGACCTCTTCTCAGCCAAGTGCATCATCATCCCCGGTTCTCAAGGTGTTTTTTTTTTTTTTTTTTTTTTTTTGACGATATAATTTTCCTTTTAATTAATGGTTTGTTTTTTCCCCTTTTTGTATACATTTATTTATACCATTTCGACTTTTGTTTTTTTTGTGAAGATTCAGGCGGATACGGGATTAAGTACGGCGCAAGCTGTTGCGCCACCAGCGCAGCCCAGTGCCAAGAAGGGAAGAAGAAGAACAAATGGTCAAAATCTGCGTCCTCTACGACCGTTGATGATACGCGATGATCGTACGGATAACGCGAAGCTTACCGAAGGGGAGGCGTTTCTGCTAGAGGCGAGGCTTAACATGGAGCGTCGTGGCTTTAATCAGGAGCCAACAAACAACAACATGGAACGTCGTCGTAGTGACTTTGCTCTGCAGCCGAGAGACAACAACATGGAACGTCGTGACTTTGTCTTGCAGCCGAGAAACAACAACAAGGAACTGAGTGGCTTTAATGTGGACCCGAGAAACCACATCATGGAACGTCGTCGCTTTGATCTGGAGCTGGTTAACAACATCATGGAAGAACGGCGTGGCTTTAATCTGGAGCCAAGGCATAACAACATGGAACTGCGTGACTTTGATCTGCAGCCGAGAAACAACAACATGGAACCGCGTGGCTTTGATGTGGAGGCGAGTAGGAACAAGAACATGGAATGGCTTCGGTTTGATCTGATTGCGAGGCAAAACCACGTGGAACGGCGTGGCGTTGAACTGGAAGCGAGGCGTAACAACGTGGGAAGACGTGGCTTTGATCTGAATCTTCTTCCAGCAGCAGAAGAAGAAGTTAACCACCGTGACGCCGTAACGGTTAGTTTTCTCGGAGTGGTTAAGACTAAAGAAGAAATGCAAGCCGCTGCTCAAGCAAGAAACAGAAGATTGCGTTTAAGGCAATCTAAGAAGAAGCTTCAGAAAAGTGCATCTGTTTCTCCAAACAAGTAGAAGGAATATGGATTTTTGTTTCTTCAACTTTTTCAAACTTTATGATGTATTTGTATTTTAGATGCGAATATGCATAACCAAAAATTGGAAGTTCCCGTTTGGGGAACAGCAAACTTTTGGTTGTGTATAATTCATAAATGGAACCTCTTTTTTTCTCTAAAAAAAAAACATGAAAGAAAAGCTAAAAGGTGAGAGATAGGTGGAGAAATCATTATTACAAGCCAATGAGAATGAAAGAAATACAATAAGAACCATAAAATGAAGTAAACTCAAAAGACTTCTTTGACAATAATAACAAACAAAAACACTTTCAATTTGATATGTATATATATAGAAGGAGATTGATTGATTGATACCTTTCTTTTACCTTTTTGGTTGTGTTCTCTGACAAACTCTGAGAGATTCTGAAATCAAGACTCGTAAACTTCTTCTCCTTCTTCTTCATCCTCATACTCACCTTCTTCATCAGCAGTAGCATCTTGATACTGCTGATACTCAGCGACAAGATCATTCATGTTACTCTCAGCTTCAGTAAACTCCATCTCATCCATACCTTCACCAGTGTACCAATGCAAAAAAGCTTTACGCCTAAACATCGCCGTGAACTGTTCGCTCACTCTCCTAAACATCTCCTGGATCGACGTGGAGTTTCCGACGAACGTGGACGCCATTGAGATTCCCGTCGGCGGGATGTCACAGACGCTGGACTTGACGTTGTTCGGGATCCACTCGACGAAGTAGGAAGAGTTTTTGTTCTGTACGTTCAAGATCTGTTCGTCTACTTCCTTCGTGCTCATTTTGCCTCTGAACATGGCGGACGCTGTGAGGTAACGTCCGTGGCGAGGATCGGCTGCGCACATCATGTTCTTGGCGTCCCACATTTGCTGCGTCAGCTCCGGGACTGTGAGAGAGATGTACTGCTGCGAGCCGCGGGAAGTGAGCGGCGCGAAACCGACCATGAAGAAGTGGAGACGAGGGAATGGGATTAGGTTCACGGCGAGTTTTCTTAGGTCGGAGTTGAGTTGTCCTGGGAAACGTAGAGAGCAAGTCACGCCACTCATTGTCGCAGAGATCAAATGGTTCAAGTCTCCAACTGTAAATATACATAATGAGGTTAAGGATTGAGAAAACAAAAGTGAAATGTTTTAGAGTTTTTAAAGTGGTGGTTGGTTACAGCTAGGAGTGCTGAGTTTGAGAGTGCGGAAGCAGATGTCGTAGAGAGCTTCGTTGTCGAGGACCATGCACTCGTCGGCGTTCTCTACGAGCTGGTGGACGGAGAGAGTGGCGTTGTACGGCTCGACGACTGTGTCTGAGACCTTTGGAGATGGGAAAACAGAGAATGTGAGCATCATTCTGTCTGGATATTCCTCTCGGATCTTTGATATCAGTAGCGTTCCCATTCCTGATCCTGTGCCTCCTCCAAGCGAGTGACACACTTGAAACCCTGTATTGAACTCAAGATCACATCATCAGCTTTATCAAGATTCCGGTTTACCAAATCAATTTCATTGTTTTGGTACTGTCATGATGAAATGTTTTGCTATGAAAAGTATTAACAATGCTAAAAACAATCATGTAGCTAAAGTCGCTGATCCTGACCTACTTGATTATCCAGTTAATTATATGACAGAAATGATATGTTTCACCTTGAGAGTATCAACAAAACAGTATAATCCTAAAAAGTGATTATTAAAGAATTAGATGATGGATTAAGGATCACGTGTTTTGATACACTGCGACAAAAGTGGAACAAACATTTAGGGGGCCACAATATACACTAGCGCCAAATTAGGATACTGTCTTTAGACTAAAATGACGTAAACGTTACAACTTTATCCTATAGAAAACCACAAAATCTAATTTGGAGGGCCTATTAATAAAGTGTTTATTAAACACCTCACTCTTCACAGTAATTAACATCTGATTCAGTTAGACGGTTTCAACAACAAAAAATTGAGTTATTGAAGACGAAGCATGACTATTGAGACTAATCACTCACAGCAAGAGAGAAAAACACCTAATCGTCGCACATAGAATTCATAAACTGTGATTAAAATGTCAACAAAACGATTATGAGAGATCAACTTGTGAAATTGCATGATCAACAACAAAAATGAAATCGAGATCATCGTTTACTAAATACGCAACTTAATCAACACTTCTGAGATCTAAAATGATCGAAACTAGTCAATGATTGGATCATTAACTAGTCAATGATTGGATCATTAAATGATTGAAGTTTTCGTTCACAGATCAGTCAATGTTTTCGTTCACAGCTGCTTTGATTGTGAACATTGATGTTAGTCTCCGTCGTTGATTTGATCGGATAATTCAACAAAGCAGCAATCAGATTCATCGTTTCCGATTGAAACTAAATTTTAATTAAGAGGAAACGAAACGATAAACATACCTTGAAGGCAGTCGCAGTTCTCGGCCTCCTTACGAACAACATCGAGAACAGCGTCGATGAGCTCAGCGCCTTCAGTATAATGACCTTTCGCCCAGTTGTTACCGGCGCCGGACTGACCGAAAACGAAGTTATCGGGACGGAAAATCTGACCGTACGGCCCGGATCTGATGCTGTCCATAGTACCAGGCTCGAGATCCATGAGCACCGCGCGAGGGACGTACCTCCCGCCGGAAGCCTCGTTGTAGTATACGTTGATGCGCTCGAGCTGGAGATCGGCGGATTCGCCGTTGTATCGACCGGTGGGATCAACGCCGTGCTCGTCGCAGATGACTTCCCAGAATTTGGAACCGATTTGGTTTCCGCATTGGCCGCCTTGGACGTGGAGGATCTCCCTCATGGTTGGGTTTGTGACGCGATTAGAGGAATTGAAGATTGAGAGATCTGGGAGAATTGAGAGTGATGGAGAAGGAGAGGGAGAAATAAGAAGGAGAAGAAATTACAATGGCGGGATTTTGTTTTGGGAGAGAGAGAGGGACGTGTAGTGACAAATTGACAGCGTGGCAATATGGAAGATGGATCTTGCCAGCTATATTCACTGTTTTTCAATTTTCACCACAATCTACACTTTATTTATTTTATTTTATTCGTTTTATGTTATTTTGTTTTACCGTATCAGTTTTCATGAAAAAAAACCAACTACCAATTCAGAATCTCTTCCAGCTCAGGATTCATATTTTTGCAGTCAAACTTAGCCCTAATATTACAAATTGTGTGTTTATATTGGGTTTAATCCAAAAATAAAGAAATTATTCTCATTAGTTCATAGTTTATTACGGAAAAATGTACATATTTATGTGATTTATACGTGTTTATATATATGCGAATTATGTAGATATTACTTACAAATAAAACTGTGAAAATAATAGAAACGATAATAGCTAGAGATGCTTTTTTCACTGCACCAAGTGTCACTAGCCAGCATCATGTAGCAGCATGTTTTGTGAAACAACCTTCTGATTCCTATTTAAAAAAGAATCGTTAACTGTTTTGTTATGCATTATAGAAAAAAATCGAAATAAATACAACTTGTATTTAGTATCTGAGATGTTTAAGTGACACAGCACATGCCTCGATACGAAATAGCGATCTGGAGATCTTGAATACATGTACCTGTTTCTATGTAAATGATAAACCACAATGATTGAATCTGTTTGAATAATTACATAGAAAAATCTCTCACTCACAGTTTGTTTTTTGGATCTACTATACAATATAGATAACAGAAAAAATAAAGGGAGTCGTATAGAAAAATTAATAATGTCATAGCACATGTAGCTAGATGTGGACTGTAGTAAGATCTGAGATTTGATCAATTATTCATTTATTTCATGTCAAGTTCGATCTACTGTTTACATGTACGTCAAGATCAAATAATTGAACTTGTAAAAGGAATCCTACTGTTATCATTATTGTGGAAATGTTGAAAGCTCTTTGTTTAGAATCAATCCAAATTCAGTAAAAACTTATCTGGGCCGCTTTTCAGATTGTGTAAGCCCGTCTAGGGCAAACGGCACCGTACGATCGTCTTAGTATTCCGGAAACCCTAATTTCCACAGGCTCGTTTCGTTATATAATAACAATCCGTCCTCTGCTAAAAAATAATAACATAGGCTAGAGAGAAATCGCCTACACAAAAAAATTCATTTGCATTTTTTGGGTGGTTTTTTATACGTGCAAAACTTTTTGGTGGTTTATCACCTTTTGTTTTGCCTTAGGTGAGTTCTTCGTATTCCTGACTATTAGGGATTAATGGAAATTAAGAATTCATAGCATGCAAGTTCAAAACTCTGAATTTTCATCACTCATTGTTTGTTTATGAATCATGTCAAGCTCCTTCTGTTTTGTTCACACAACAATTGTTTTTGCAAGTGATCACCCATCTGGATTTTCGGGAAGTCAATTTTTTTTCTTGTCAACGATATGTTTTTACAACTATTCCAAAATCCAAATCGTTAAAAGTTAGTGAAACTACACATTTGGATTTGTGGATTGCTTTAAGAACATTTTGGTGACAAAAAAAAAAAAAAAAGGAAAATTCAGATTGATGTTCACAATTTTTTTCCAAAATTCATAGAATGACAATTCAAAACTAATGTTTCTATCACTAACTCGTTTGTTTACATCAAATTCTCTTTTTTTCTGTCCACGAAATTGTTTTTGTTTATTGATTGTTTTATAAATAGGATTCATATGATGAGATTGGATCTAAAATTCTCACGACGGTCGTCTGATTCATATGATGAGATTGGACCTAAATACTCTCTGATACATACCGAGCCTTTAAACCTTTTTTTTACTGCTGATTAATGAGTTTTAATTATGTTGTTCTTTAAATGAGAACTAGCACTAGATAATCGTTACACTAACAAGAAATAAATAAGCATATGTTAAATTTATTGGAGTAGTCTGCCGCAACGAATAACATTCTCCGGTATCGGAGATTCATCTCTAGCCGGAATATTCGAAGGATCTTCTTCTCCTTCACCTTTAACCCTAAAATAAAGCTCTTGACCTAGATACCATTGTTCTGCTTTCTGTGATCTCATGTTCCACATCCCTTGATTGTCCATCGCTACCAGTATTGCTACCCAAGAATATGGAAAAACCTAAACCTCAAACAAAAAATTAATCAATTAAAGCTAATCACCGGTTTAATAATTTATTTACAAAATTATAATTTTCATTTTCACCTGAACTGTTGACCGTGAAACAGCGTCCACTAGATTATATCCTGATCTCTTGCTCTCTGACCAACCTCCATATCCCAATCTAACGTCAAAGTAAATAAGATTAGGACTAAAATTAACATCAAAGTAAAAAAGATTATGAAAATCATTGTTCATTATAATCTTTATTTATTTTACCCGACGACGAAGAAATTGTGACCGTCGATGTGCCAACTTTGCAACTCATTTAGTGGATTTTCGAAGACGATGTGGACGAAATCTCTGTACAAAACATCGACCACCGAAGTCCCGAGACTCGACGGTCTGTTCGAAGGATAAGTCTGGAACGTGTCGGGAACGAACGAGTTCTTTAGCCTGAAATGATCAATGAGCTTTAACGGCGTATCAGGGAAGACGAAAGAAACGCCGTTAATCGCGTAACGGAGCTTGTTCGCCGATTGCATGACGTCGTTTTGAAATATTAACGTCCTTGACACGTTAACTCTTCCGTAGTGGTACGAGCCTTGTGGGTTCGGTCTTGACGCTCCAACGTTTAGGTCCTCTCTGTATCACAATGACGTTCATTTCATCAAGAAACGAAAAATCTTCAAAATTTCATTTAAAATATACGAAACATACAAAAAAAATAAAGTTTTTACTTACCTAATGGATAGGGTTTGTCGAACCGAGGAAGCGAAATCCCACGATTCAGGTCCTTGAGGAATTGGTCCGACCGGGAGAAGAGGGGAATTGGGATATCGAATATAAGCTATACCGGTCCTGTAGGAATTACTGAACCGGGTTGAAGCGAAAATGTAGTAGGAGCGGCAGCTTCCAACCTGGTCGGTTTTGGCAGTGACGAGAACGGAATATGACTGGCCCACGTGGATATCCAAGCTCGAGTATGTACGTTTCTGAACATACGTACCTTCTGTCTCAACAAGAAGCATATCGTGGTCCTGGATCCTGAAGTTTAAGGTTGACTTGAGACCCACGTTTGATATTCTTAGCCGATACGTCTTACCTGTTTATTATACACAAAACAAAAACAAATGTTACATTTTTGTATTGTATACTTAGAGATAATAGTATGATTAAATGTGACGCTATACAAATGAAGTCACCTGGTTGAAATGCAAAAAATGCCTCTTCGGGTCCAAGTCCATTAAAAAGAATACCATCAGGAGTTGCTAAACTGAGACCGTTGTCAAGTGAAGCTCTCAAATCCTTTATGCAAACCAAACTAACATTAGTGCATGTAATGAAGATGCATGAACAAAAAAAACAGTTTAAACTATTTTCAAGCAAAAAAAGATTTTCAGTTCTTGTATAGTTTACATTTGATTCAAATCTATAAATCTATAATAATAACATTATTTACGTACCCTATGGTTAGAACGGAACCAATCTCCGATCAAGATGTCATATTCGTCATCTGGACGAGGGAATGGAACCGGGACCAGTTCTGGACTGTAGACTCTAATAGCACCGTATCCTCCGGCGGCCTTTTGGAGTAGAAGCGAGGGAAAGTAAAAGTAACTTCCGATCTGATCTTTGATCTGAAAACTGTAGGTCCAGTTTTTTCCCGGTAGTATGGGACAGTTTGTTCCTTGAACTCCGTCTTGCCACGAGTTCTTCCTCATTCGCAGTCCATTCCTTTTAACATATATACATCGTTTTGATAACAATTGTAATAAGAATAAAATCTAAATAGAAAAGATGTTTTACTCAATGTAAAATAAAAAGTTACCAGGTCATGAGAAAGGGCTCGTTCAAATGGTTGAAAATGTTAACGTTTACAACATCGTCTGCTGTTGCAGTAAGGATCGGTCCAGGAAACATTCCGTTGATCACTATGACCTGTTGATTTATTTCATATACGATGATATAAAATAATTTTATGTGTTCTTAAGGAAACATAAGCGGATCATCAATGGAACCTGCTTGTTGGATCCGAGAATGGAACGTTCAGAATAAGAGACGACCCATTCATACGAAACGCAAGGTGCAGATGCATTGGTCAACTCTAAGAGAACCACTAAGATCAGAAGCAACACTTCAACCACTACATATCTCATCATGAAAAAAAACTCGAGTATTTATAAAAAAAAAAACTGAGAAATCTTTGACTAGTTTTTGAGTAGCAAAGATAAAGTTTTTATTTTATAGATTTTGATATGAATGTGATGTGATATTAAGAACATCTTGATGCAAACATATATAAATTTGATGAAATTTGTTTGTTGGAATTAGGAATTCTCTCAAGTGTGGTATGAATATTGATGAATATGACCGGAAGAAAAGGGTTTATAATGTATTTTGAACCTAATCACCAACACTTTTTTATCAAAATTTGTTCACGTTATATGTACCTGACCAAAAGTCCTTAATCACACGTGTCTAAGGAAATTTGAGTTTGATTTTCTTAAAAAATGGGAATGCAAATTGCATGTCACTATTTCTGCACTTACATAAACTGATTTCCTTAAAAGCCCATACACACAGTGATTTGATTAAAGTATGGCCTTATTGACAAATATCAAACCCTTAAAGGTCCAATAAGTAGTTTTATTGAGTTTTTTTTCTGTTTGGTATGTGATGGACGATAAGAAACAAATTGTACGTGATCGAAAAGGATGGCTTACGATATATTGTAAAGTGAATGTGACCTGTGTCTGTCTGATACAACATTACAAAACTGTCGCTGTTAGTCCTACCAAAAAAAAAACGTAAGGCAATTATTTATCACTTTATATATCTTCTTTTATCTTTTACAGTGCAAACCACGTTTAAAACAGTGAAAAGTAACAACATTTTCACTTTCACAGAAAATATCTAACGGATAGTTGAAGTATACTGTATACAGAAATGGTTTTATTATTGAACAAAAAAATGAAATTCATGTTTTGGAATATATCGTTGAAATTGATCAACCAAACACAAGATATTATAATTGGACAAACAGTTTTATACAGCCAAGATATTATATGGATTCTCCAATATAATTTACATGGCCCGCGACTATCATCAGACGTTGAAACGTCCACTAGTGGTACCTATTTGTTCGGAAAATGAAATGATAATTTCATAAATTATATGGTTTCAGACATGAAGTTCGTCATCACTCATCATTTTGTACTAGACCCTTCGTTATTGTCAGATTCTAAAAAAAAAAAAAAAACAGTTTGTGCAGTTAAATCACTATTGAAAATTTCTCTAAAAATCATAGATAAAGTAATTATTACATGGTTATAAATCGTAATTGCGTAATTATTCAGTAAAGTTTATCAAAGAATCTTGAAAACAGTAAATCACTTTACGTTTTGTAGATATTTTAGATTAAAAAAGCTAACGTCAAAAGGTAGTTGGATATTTTCGTTGAAAAACATCAATCAAAATCTGACAACAAATTGTAGCAACTAGTAAACTTTGGTAACCATTTTAAAACCAGACACTATATAGACTACCACATTATTGTATAGTTTCTAATTATGAACCGATTAATGTGGTAATCTATAGACTATATAGTCTATTGCCATATCAGTCTCACTCAACGGTTAAAAATTAGAACCCAATTAGGTGTTTCCACGTAAGCAGGCGTACCGTAAGCCACCAACCGACACACACAGCTGATTCCTACCAACAGAGAAGAAAGCCAACGGAATATTCTTCTTCTATAAATCACATATCATCTTCATCATCTCTTTTTCCCCCGGAGAATCCTCTTTTAAGTGTCTGTTATAATAATAGTAATAAAAGAAGAAGAAGAAGACGAAACAGAGCAATACAAATCTTCACATTCATCTTCTTCTTTCTTCTTCTTAAATCCAATTCAATGGCTCTTCCGTTGCCATTGATCTTCCTCGTCTTCTCCCATTTCTTCATTTCCGGTAAATTTTGTTTCAGTGAATCGACTTAATAGTGATTACTACTGTGACTCTGTTTTGATTTAAGACTCTGTTTTTTTTTTCAGGGGTTAAATCGACGAGCTTCATAATGGAGAACAAATGCGAATACACAGTCTGGCCGGGACTTCTCTCCAACGCCGGAGTTCCACCACTTCCGATGACCGGATTCGTCCTCCAGAAAGGCGAAGAGCGAACAATCAACGCCCCGGTCTCCTGGGGCGGTCGATTCTGGGGTCGTACACTCTGCTCCACCGACACCGACGGAAAATTCACCTGCGAAACCGGAGATTGCGGCTCAGGCAAAATCGAATGCTCCGGATCCGGCGCCGCTCCTCCCGCCACACTCGCCGAGTTCACGCTCGACGGATCCGGCGGTCTCGATTTCTACGACGTGAGCCTCGTCGACGGGTACAACGTCCCGATGCTCGTCGTGCCTCAGGGAGGCTCCGGGCAAAACTGCAGCAGCACGGGGTGCGTCGTGGATCTGAACGGATCGTGTCCGACGGAGCTGAGGGTGGCGAGCGCCGACGGCGGAGGAGGGAAACAGTCGATGGGGTGCAAAAGCGCGTGCGAGGCGTTCCGGACGCCGGAGTACTGCTGCAGCGGCGCGTTTGGAACGCCTGACACGTGTAAACCGTCGTCGTACTCGTTGATGTTCAAAACCGCGTGCCCACGTGCGTACAGCTACGCCTACGATGATCAAAGCAGCACCTTCACATGCGCCAAGTCCCCTAATTACGTCATCACCTTCTGCCCATCTCCTAACACCAGGTAAAATTCCGTTTATACCCTTATGCTAATCTCTCGTTAAAGTCGGAGCATGGTTTGATTAGGGAGGTTAATTTCGTCAGAATACAGCCGACATCTTCACTGTGAACAGTAGGAAATGATTTAAGGTTAGGTGTGAACACGGTTTATCTGGGAGGGTAGTTTCGTCAAAATGCGACTGACATCTACTTTCAGTCAGCAATTAATAGCTGCTTTTGCTTACCGTGCAATCGAAGTTACTTACGTCTTCCCATTTATTATCACTGGAAATCCAAAACTAGATTTTTTTTCCTTTTTACTGCAAAAAGAAAAGTGATCGAGTGTTCATTACGATTTTATTTTTGTCATTTTGTTTTATATTCCCGATTTATCGATTTCTTGGGATGTGGATCCGTAACGGCCCATTGACATTTTTTTTTAATATCATCTCTATTATCGAGGTGAAGCGTGGCAGAAGCTCTCACCTAACGGCTATGTTTTATTTTACTTTTTGATCTGTTGCAGTCAAAAGTCATCTCAAGATCAGAGCCCGGATACGAAACCGACGACGCCGCAAGGATCGTCGGCAACTCCTGCCGGAGGGAGCACGACGTGGTCGCCGGTAGATACTTCGATGATATACGAAGGAGCTCTGGACCAGAGCAAAGCATCACCGTCCACGTGTCATCTTGCTTCTTTATGTGGAATCACAGTCACTCTCGCGCTGGCGTTTTGTCGGATGTGGCGGCTCTTTTGACCTAATAATAACTTTCGTGTCTCCCGGGCTAAACAAATCAGGACGATGTGGGCCCTCAACTAAAGCCTTATATCGTCTCGGCCCATGTGAGCTATTTCTTCCTCAGCACGACGTCGGATGGAGTCATAGTTGAAAAAAAGGTGCAGAGAAAAGATCTTTACCCGAACATAACAAAATACCCTTCGTAGGAGGATTCTCATTTTTGGGTGAGGAACACGTGGGAAAAGAAAGTGGGCTGCTGGTGGAGTTTCAAAAAAGATGGGAATGAATGTTAATTTGTTGATTTTTAATTTAATTAGGATTAGAATATTATGTACACTATATAAAAGTAATCTGCTAGTTTTAAGTTTACATATTGGATAAATGGGGGAATATTTCATTTGTTTGTTATCTGATGCTTCGTTGGCTATTTGGAACATTGAAATGAATAATACTAATCACATTTCGCGTTCTTGTCTCAACCGCAGCCGCTGTATTTTTAAATACTAATTTGACTTTACATGCGCAATGATAGCCATAAGAAATTCAGATATTCTCTATTATAAATTGAAAAAAGTAATTATCAAATTCAAAACATTAATAGTGATATGTGGTTAGTGGTAACCACTAGCTGAAAAAGGTACAATATATGGATAATATAAATTAAGTGCGAGTGTTTGATGATGATGCTGCCTAATATAGTGGGAGCGAACCAATTAATATAAACCAAAGTGTCCATTTCACTGAATATGATTTGACAAAATTATCACAAGAATAAGCCATCATGGAATATGAAGACATGCTTTAATCTCTTTTCTCAAAGACACAAAACAAGAGAATAATGCAAGTGGATTTATTTGATTGGGAAAACCAAATGGCAAGATGGGTCCAAAATTAAAGCCCACTATCAACTTTATAGGCCCAGTTCAAAACATCGAGTACAATACTACGATCAAATTTGACCACAGACATTGACATGCGTGAAAGTCGTGTAATTGGTGCGTGGCAAGTCTTACAAATTGCTCCACGTCTATTTCGGTAGACGACGTCGTTTTCAATAAGGGTACCACCAAAATCTTCTCTCACTTTATCATAAGCCAATAGAAGCAAGAGATCTGACGGAGGGTATATTCGTAATTTAAAATATCTCCCTTTGACAATACGCCTTGAGGCTTGAGTAACTCAACAACATCCACCACAATACGCTATTTCCGCCTTTTCTGTTAATCTCCACCGTAAACAATAACCGGCGAGAAATTTCAATTTCACGGCGGCGGGAGAAACAACCGGTCTTATCTCTATGTGTCTAATGGCGTTATCCGACGCGGTTCTCGGGAATCTCGCGACGATCTACGTGGCGGTGATTATTGCGATTAAGTTGTACGGATTGGTCTCCGGGAAAAGCTTCAGCGCTGGATTCGTCGTCGTCGTTTCGATTACAGCGGTCGGGGTTTTGCTCGCGGTCACGCTCGCCTGGGACGTGTCTCGCAGAGCGGCGGATGCGGTGTCCCGGTACAATCGCGGCGTCGAAGATCTAAACCTCCGTCACCATCACGACGGTGGCGGTGGGATTTGTAAAGGAGGAATCTGCTGGCACGGCGTTGCCGTCCGGTCACCGGCTTCCCAGGTTCGATTTAGGCTTCCACAACACATACCCTACGGCGCTTTCTGAGTACATAACTTGAATTTTCCCCCTCTTATATTTTGATTTTGGATCTTCCTTTTATTTTGTTTATAAAGAGCTTGTAAGCGAAGTAAATAACATGTATTAGAGATAAGTTTCTGTATCATAGGCTGATGAGGAATAAGGTTAATGGTGTTCTTCTTGTATCTATGAAGTTGGGAGGTTGTTTTTGTATTGATATGTTGTAAAATTTGATAGTGATGATGATGATACATGTTCTTGTTTTTTTAATAAAAATCGATTTTGAGCTTTAAAGGCAGTGTTAATTAGATTCAAATGTTGAAATTCTTTGATTCAATATCTCGTAGCCTTGAGCATTTGGGGTTTAAATAATGTGAAATCTGAAATGGTTAATTAGATTTCGATTTGGATATTTGGTATAAACTAGCGATGAAAGATTGTTTTGTGAGCAGACATTGCAGATGATTCAGTAGTTTAAAGCCATAATCAATGATGATACTGAATAGATACGGAACACAATAAGAGGTAATATACAAATCGTCACACAACAAATATACAAACTCGAAAGTAGTTTAAAGTATTATCACCACACATTACACATTTTATTTTTCTCATTGAATCATGATTTATGATCATAACGCGATCAAATTAGTAGTCACGGACTTGGGAGGATTAGTGAGCATATGCACAACTTCCCTCATCGTAGGCCTTGTCGCTGCCACATCCTCCACACACATCATCGCTATCTTGAACACATGAACCACACCGGCCAACGGATAACCGGTCAACCTCGAGTCAACGATCGCGACAACGGTAGCTGCATCCGACGGCTGAGACATCGATATCTCTTCCTCCGTGTTCCTCACCCACCTGACAATATCCACTCCTTCTCCAAATTCACCAACCGGTTTCTTCCCGGCTATTAGCTCCAGCAAAACCACTCCGAAACTGTACACGTCACTCTTCTCGTCCACTTTCAAAGTGTAAGCATACTCTAATCCATTTCAAAATGACATAATTAGAGCATGTTTAGTGTTTAAATTTCGTTGGATGATTTTAAAATGTAGCTAACCTGGAGCGATGTAACCATAGGAGCCAGCGATTGAGGACATACACTCAGAAGCAGCACCGTCCACTAAGAACTTAGCAAGCCCAAAATCAGCAACATGGGCTTCAAAATCAGAGTCCAGAAGAATGTTATTGGACTTGACGTCTCTGTGCAAGATCAACGGTGAACAGTCATGGTGAAGGTAACAGAGTCCCTTCGCTGCTTCCACGGCTACTCTCTGTCTCGTCTCCCATTGAAGATGGCCGCCTTTAGATCCGTGCAGTAGCTCACCGAGGCTTCCGTTAGGCATGTATTCGTAGAGGAGAAGGTTCGTGTCCTTGTTCGCCACGTAGCCGAGGAGTCTCACGATGTGACGGTGCCGGATTTTCCCCAGAGTCTGGATCTCCGCCGTGAACCCGTGGTCGCTTCTCCCGGTTCCTCGGCCGACGAGGCGTTTGATCGCGACGTCGACGTTGTTCGGCATGGATCCGCGGTAGACGATTCCGGCACCGCCTTTGCCGATTATGTTCTCTTCCTGGAGGCATTCGAGGACGTCTTCGGCTTTGAAGTCTAGTCGCTGGAAGGCGGTTAGCTTCCAGGCGAGGGATTTCTGGTGTTTCTTCTTTCTCATCTGGCGAATCGCGACGCTGATTAGGATCAAGGCGGTGATCGCTGCGATGATCGTGATGACGATCCTTGACGGTGTGAACAACGCCGTGTGGATGTGATCGGAGGTTTGTCCTGGACGCGAGGGGCATGAGACGCGGTGAGGGAGACATAGGTAAGGATTTCCGGCGAAGGAAGTGTCGTTGAACACCATGAATTGACCACCGAGTGGTATTCTTCCGGAGAGATCGTTGAAGGAGAGGTCTAGAGTGGTTAAGCTCGTCATGTTTCCGATTCCGATTGGGATTGAGCCGGTGAGTTGATTGCCGGAGAGATTCAGAGTTCCCAAGTTGATTACGTCGTGGATCTCTTTGGGGATTTCTCCGCCGATACGGTTACGGCTGAGATCGACGGAGATTAAGGAAGTGCAGCGCGAGATTGACTCGGGAATTTCTCCGGTGAGGTTGTTCGCACTCGTGTTGATTTTCGAGAGATGCTTCAACTCGAAGATTTCTCCGGGAATGTTCCCGCTAAACCGGTTCCGGTCTAAGAACAGGTCCTGTAAATTGGGGAAATTACCGATTGCAGGGGGGATTTCGCCGGAGAACCAGTTGTTGGAGAGGTAGATATGATCGAGAAGATTGCCGGACATCACTGCCGGAAGCTCCCCGGTGAAGAAATTATCGGTGAGTTCGATAATCGTAACGAGCGGCAAATTGAAGAATCCGGCCGGAACCGTCCCGTTGAGGTAATTCTTCACGATTCTGATTTTGTTTAGCGTTTTGCATTGACCTAGCTCCTCCGGAATCGGGCCATAGAAGAAGTTCTTCGAGAGGACCAGCATCTCCAGCTTCCCTCCTCTGCACAAATCGACGGGGATAAGTCCGGTGAGATGGTTATCAGAGACATCGAGCTTCATCAGATTCCCGTTCCGTCCCAGATTCGCCGGCAATTGCAACGTGAAGTTGTTCTCCCACACCTCGAATACCTGGAGGTTCGGCAATTCTCCGATGAACTCCGGTATTGGCCCGTAGAGATTGTTACGAAACAGATTGATCAGAGTGATGTTTCCAAGAGCGATGAAGCTCTGAGGAATCTCTCCGGTGAGCTGGTTGATTGACAGATCGAGCGATTTCAAGCTGACTAAACCAGAGAGCTCCGGTGGAATATTCCCGGTCAGATTGTTGATATGAAGAAACAAAGTATGCAAATGCTTCAGATTACTCAGAGTCGTCGGAATCTCTCCGGTGAGAGTACAGCTCGCCATGTCGAGAACCTCGAGCTTCGTCAATCCACCGAACTCCGGCGGAACACCGCCGGTGTAGCTGTTGAAGTATCCAACATACATTTCTCTGAGATTCTTAAGCCGAGACAAAAACCCCGGAGAGTCACCGGAGAGCCCAGCACCGTTGAGTCCAAGATACTCCAAGCTCTGGATATCTCCGTAACTCTCTGGAATCTCTCCGGTGAAGAAATTCCCGCCGAGAGAAAGATGCTTCAGCTTCTTAAGCCCGGGAATCTCCGGCGGTAACATCCCGGTGAAGTTGTTGTTATAAGCGTCAAGGACTTCAAGCTCAACCATGGAAGCAAGAATCTCTCCGGGGAAGGTTCCGTTAAGGTTTCCATTGTTGGAGACATTCAAAACCTTGAGAGAAGTGAGACTCTTCATCTCCAATGGCAAATCACCGGTGAAATTGTTCGCAGCTAGAGTCAGATTCACCAAACGATTCAACATCCCAATCTCCGGTGAGATAGTCCCAAACAGAGGAGTGAAAGAGACGTTGAGTGAGATAACACGAGCGTCTTCGTCGCAAGAAACGCCGGAGAAAGAACAGTGAGCCGTCGGAGAAGAAGAGTGAAGCCAGTCGTGGAGGCCGTCACCGTTTGGACCAGTCATGGAGGATTTGAGTTTGAGGAGAGCTTCCATGTCGGTGTAAGCAGAGCATGGGGAGAGAAGTAGAAGCAGAATCGAGATAACGTAAAGCTGATGATGAAGATGCAGAAACAGAAGGTGAGTCTTCAAAAGTCTCATCTCCATTTTTTTCTCTTTCTTAAGTTGCCCTCTCAGAGAGGATAGAGAAAGAATAAATAAGTTAGCGTGAGTCTTATGCGATAAGACGAGTACACTGAGAGAGAGATATGAAGAATTACAATGGCATATTATGAAGGAGGAAGAGGAGGAAGAAGACGGGAATCGAAGTGGTACTATTCTAAATACTTGAGACTTTGAGAGAGAATAATTTACTTTTAAAAATCTTTTATACGACTTTGAGAGAGAGAATCATATTATACCGCTAAAAATTAATGCGCCAAATCAAAACCTTAATTGAGATTTCAATTAATCTCGTTAATTTTGTTAACAGTACTTAAATCTGCAGGTAGAAAAATACGTGTCAGTTTCTCAATGGCTCTTCATATCTCACGTACCATTTTTTCAATTCGTTTTTTTCTGTAAAAGGTGTTCATTAGTTTATGGTGAGTTTGTCCAAAAAAAAAAAAAAAAAAAAAAAAAAGTTTATGGTGAGTTTGTACTTTGGTTACTGTTTAAACTCAAAATCTACTGGAGAAAATATATTTGTAAATTTAGTAAATACGCTTTAAAAGCACTTTGACCGGTTAAAAAAAAAAACTTTATAGTTTTACATACACATTACTACACCGATCCACAGAAAGTAAAAAGGTTTGTACTTTGTAGCCGTCACTACACTAGACATGGAAAAATGGGAACGTCGTCTTCTTCCTCTGTTAAATCTTCTGACACGATTTAAATCGAGATATTTTTTTTTTGGCTTCATCACAATAAATAGATAAGATTCACGGCGTTAACATTGATGGCTGGGTTAACTAAACGGCGTCGATCGTACCTTTGTTAATGATAGACAGGACTCGTTACGTTACGTTCCCTAGAGCTGTATTTTCTTGTCAACTCCACCGGTTTATGAATCGGGCGGCGTTTTTGGCTCATCGTCGTCACGTGATGGGGATAAAAAGACAAAGACAAAGAGGAGTAAATGGGCTTAATAAAGTAGGGCCCATAATGTAATGGCCCGTATAGAAAGTTTGTCTGTGTCCTTTCCAAAAGAGACAAATCTGCCCCTTCTATTTTGGATTCAACCTGATAGTCAACGCTCCTTTTCTTGTATTTTTGTTCTCTTTTCGATTTCATTCATTCATTCACTCACTCACTCACCGCGAAGACCTTCTGCTTCAAAGGTCCCCACACTACTATATATGTGTCATTTACCTTTGTTTTTGCTCTCTTTCTGATTTTACCCATTCTTTCTCCTCCTATTACCAAAACGCAAAAACTGCTTGTTTTGCTTTTCCCTAACCGAAGAAATGATTAAAAACCAGTTATTTCATAGTTTGTGACATAACATTAGGTTTTGCGACACAGTTTGATACTCAAAACATTAGAAAGTTTCAATTTTCACATTCTTAACAGTATCCACAACCGCACAGCTGAGGTTTTCTTAACTATAAAAACATGTATATTTTAAACAAGTTTATTTTTCAGAGAATCGATTCTACCCACAAAAAAATTTGATTCTATCGACAATCTAACAATAAACAATGTTAACTGTGAATTATTGGTTTCCGTTATACAAGCACTATGGTTTTTGGCGAATATAACGATAATTTATCTTGTTTTATTAAGTATCAGGAGCTTTACCATCAAAGGGCCTTTGATTTGTTAGGAAATGATGCATACACTTGGGGTTGACATAGACACACACACATACACTTGGGGACCAAGGTTCTCTATATGTGCGGTATATTGGTATAAAGGTCTCTTCATAAATGTCAGCGAATTTCTTGTTTTAATAATTTTGTTTGTTTAAGAAGTAACGCTGAAATAACAACAGATTATGTTCTTTCACGTGTCTTTGTTTGTTAAAAAACGATTATCAACCGGTTTAAGTAGATTGGAAATTAGAGCAAACTCAATCTGTGATGAAGAAGAGAAGCATCTCTTCTGCGATTCGCTGAAAATGCCAAAACTCAATGAACTTTTGGTTTGAGAATAAAGTTTTAGGTTCTCTTCAGCAGAAAAGGAGCTTTTTTAGTAATTGGGATTTATTTTTTTTTTAGAAAGGAATCTCAAAACTTTGGATTGTTTTTTTTAATAGTATAATATACATATAGGAGAATAATATAACGACGCATCAAAGATGGGACATATACCACCAAAAATGTTGTGATCTTTGGCATCAATGATTCACGGTGAATGAACTTTAGACTAACTTCTAGATGGACGTTTATAAAATAGTCTCACGATTAGGTAGTTTGAACTGTAGAAACTTGGTTCGTAGGTATGATTTTCGCAATAATAATTTTTGGAGTTGCACTTGAAGTGGTACAATTTGCATCATATGCTTATTTTTCTCTGTCGCTTGAAAGTTAGAAGAATCATTTACTTTATAATACAAATGTCTCATAATATCATATGCAATTTAAGTGAAGAAGAAATCTGAAATTGTTAAAAAAGGTAGTGAGTGACCCAGTTCATATAGGTTATTAAGAAAAACTATATAAAATTCAGTATTAAATCAAAGTCTTTACAACAATGCAGCACTTGCGTTATGCTTGTTTCACATAAAACGCAATAATTGTTTAAAGAAACAAGTAGAGAGCAATGATAATAGGTTATAGTCTTGTCAATCAAGTTAATAATTAAACGACAAGGCTACAAAAGTAGTAGCAGTAGAAGTAGAAGAAGAAGATGATGAAAGTGAAGACAAACTCTTGTCTTGGAAACTGGAGACTGCCTAATGGCCTTTTTGGGATTTTGCTTCAAATCACTACCGAATCCTCTATCTCTGTTGTCAGCTTTAATCATCCCAATTCTATTCAACGCATGCAATGATTTTTGACGAAGAAACTTCCTCAATCCAAATGACTTTTACATCACCTTTCACTTTTTGTTCCATCGTACGTCTGAGATTTGATAATTTTTTAAGACTTAATAAAGATGCAACACAAATTAAACAAACTCACATCTTTATTTTCTTTTTCTTCTCCATCCAGTATTTGTAATGGCAAGAAGTTTTTCCATTAAGCATTTCATTATAATGTTGAGGTATATATATTAGTCTGTTAAAAAAAAACAAATTATAGTTTTAGAATTTGGAGTCACCACATAGTCGGGCCTTGGGCCTTGAATCAAGTTGATGATCAACTTCCATTTACCCATTTGATACATAGATATAGAATCAGCGAGCCCAATCCAAAAACCATTAACCCAAAAACCTAAACCCGATCCAGTACCTGATGTCACGTGTTGACCAATACAATACCATCGTGTCATGTACAAGCTCATCCCCTGATGCGGTTGAGAAAAGCTGCCATCAACATCTTACCTTGTACTATGTACCTGCTCGTGTGTTTAATCTGTAGATTGACACGTAAAAGACTAAACTCACCTCCATTTCTTTATAAACAGAGTTTGATATCAGGCTTATGTCCTCACACTACTACATAATATAATATACACATTAAAAACAAAGTACTACTAATAGCTATCATGGCCAAGTTTGCTTCCACCATCACCCTTTTCTTCGCTGCTCTTGTTCTCTTTGCTGTTCTTGGTGAGTATTGATCTTATCATAAGCATGGCAACATGATGAGTTACAGATTTTCCTTTTCCTTTTCCAGATTAAAAGATTTAATTGACAGTATTTAAACTTAATATTGCAGAAGCACCTACGATGGTGAAAGCGCAGAAGCTTTGTGAGAAGCGAAGTGGAACATGGTCGGGAAATTGTTTAAATAATAAAGCGTGGAAGGATAAGTGCATTGGACTTGAAGGAGCAAGACATGGATCTTGCAACATTGCCTTCCCAATTAACAAGTGTCTCTGCTACTACACATGTTAATTAAACAAAACTCTTTGGTTCTTAATTGTGTGTAGTTGTGTATTTGAGTAAGTTTTGTGCCTCTTTATATCAATAGAATATCAAAAAAGAAAAACTGACGATTAAATATGACGTCGGTTGGCTGACGTTCATATTATTAACGTCATGCAACGTTACCTTTCTTTCTTGTGGTGGGAATTCTTACAACCTGGATCGATGTTTTGTCCATTAATTTATTAACCCGTGAGATGAAGTGGAGACTCAGCACGAAGAAGAATTCCCTGCCCAAGTGTACCCTTGATATATCGAACCACTTTCAATGCTGCAAACCAATGTTCAACTCGAGGAGCATGCATGAACTGAGATAATATATGGATTGAGTAAGTGAGATCCGGTCGTGTAGCAGCCAAATATATAAGACGTCCAACTAAGCGGCGATACGTCTCTGGATCAGCAAGGAAATCTCCATCAGCCAAAGCAAGTTTATGGTTTTGGTCGATAGGGAAACTGGCTGGACGACATCCAAGTAACCCCATCTCTTCCACAATATCTGTTGCATACTTTCTCTGACACAAGTAAATACCGGTGGGATTGCGTGCGACTTCGATGCCAAGAAAGTATTTGACGGGTCCGAGATTCTTCATATGAAAACAAGTAGACAAGTAGTCTTTGAACGTTTGAATCGCTGCCGAGGTGCTTCCAGAAATTATAAGATCATCAACATAAACCAGAATACGGAGGTGAACATCGCCTTTGACATAGGTGAAGAGAGAATAATCTGGTTTTGTCTGTTTAAAACCATATGCACAAAGTGCGGTACTGAGTTTTTCAAACCAGCATCGAGAAGCTTGTTTTAAACCATATAGTGATTTCTGGAGACGACAAACCCGTGTTTCTCCATCAGATTTAAAACCTTGAGGAAGTTTCATATACACCTCTTCATGTAAATCTCCATGTAAAAAAGCATTGTGTACATCCATCTGATGTACTTCATGATTCAGTTTTGCCGCAAGATCAAGAAAGACACGTACCGTAGTCATTTTAGCAACTGGGGCAAAGGTTTCTTTGTAATCAAATCCCTCTTCTTGACCATTGCCATTGACAACTAATCGTGCTTTGTGACGTTCAATTTCCCCATCAGATTGATACTTGATCGTGAAGATCCAATGACAATCAAGTGCTTTCTTTCCCGGAGGCAATTCTTCGAGTCTCCATGTTTGAAGCTCGATAAGATAATCTATTTCACGATCAACAGCCTTTTCCCAATGCTTATGTTTCATTGCCTCAGCAAAAGTTCTCGGTTCAATATTAGTTGCCAAAGCCACCAAAAACTTACGATGGTTAGGAGAAAAACGTTCAATGGAGACAAAGTTACAAAGAGGATACAACGAACCTGAGGATGGTGGTGGAGAAGGTGAAGAGAGAGGAGAGAGAGGCTTAGTAGTGACTGCACCAACGACATAGTCATGTAATCGTGTAGAAGGACGTTTAGTTCGTTGTCCTCGGCCATGAGTTTCAACAGCAGGAGATGGAGTGGTATGAATATTCGGTAGAGTAACTTCTTCAATGTGGTCATCTTCAGCTTCTGGTGGTGTTAACGGTACCACATCATCATCAGTCTCAGCTGTAACTGGAAACAAAGGAGGCTCTGGCCTTTGTGCAATCGGTGTTGCGATCGAATCCGTATCGGCAAACGGAAAAATATTTTCTTGAAAAACAACATCACGGGAGACAAAAACCACTTCTCGTTCCAAATCATACAATTTCCAGCCCTTTTTTCCATATGGATATCCCAAAAACACACATCGTCGACTTCGAGATGTAAATTTATCACCTTTATGATCGATGTTGTGAGCATATGCTAAGCAGCCAAGAACACGTAAGTGTTTGTATCCAGGGGGATGACCATAAAGTACCTCAAAAGGAGTCTTGTTCTTGAGTAATATCGAAGGAGTGCGATTGATCAAGTAACCGGCAGTAAGTACACATTCTCCCCAATATTCGATCGGAAGATGTGCTTGAAATCGGAGAGCTCTAGCAATGTTGAGTATGTGTCTATGTTTCCGCTCAACCCGACCATTTTGTTGAGGAGTGTAGACACAAGAAGTCTCATGTAGAATCCCTTTTTCCTGAAAAAAACGTGTAAGACAAAGAAATTCTGTGCCATTGTCGCTGCGGATTCGTTTTACTTTCTTAGAGAACTGTCGTTCAATCATGGCCACAAAATCTCGAAGCTGTTGAGAAACCAATGTTTTATCAGGAAGAAGGTATAACCATACAGCTCTTGAATGATCATCCACGATTGTTAAGAAATAACGGGAGCCACAAAAAGCTGTGGTACGATACGGACCCCATAAATCACAATGGATTAAATCAAAACTCTCTTTCGCATTATTTAAACTATCAGGAAAACATTGCCGTGTCTGTTTTGCTCTAAAACACGTATCACAACTCTTAATCAAAAGCTCACTATTATTGCTAGTAGAAGAAGTACAAACACCAGGAATAAGACCAGTGACCGGAAGTGAAGGATGGCCTAAACGGTGATGCCATAAAACTAAGTTGTCTTGAACACTGGTCTGTAAAGAAGTCACATTGTCCATGTTCCGAAACCGGTACAGTCCCTCTCCCTCTCTTTCACCCGCTCCAATCAGCATCCTCGTGGTGCGGTCCTGTAAAATCATGAGTTTATCAGTAACTTGTCCCACAAGATAATTGTCAGTGACGAGCTGACCAAAGGATATCAAGTTGGTATGAAAACCATCAACATAATAAACATTCTGTAGAGACAGTTTTGATGTCAAACGAACTGTTCCTTGTTTCAGTGTAACAGTATCTGCTCCAGCAGGTAATATAACAGAAATTGGTGTTATGTCACGAATGTCTTCTAAAAGATCAAGACAACCCGTCATGTGGTGTGTTGCTCCTGTATCAAGTATCCAGAAAACGTTGTTCTTACCACTCATATTCGGAGATGATTTTCCAGCATTAAGTAATCGTTGTACAGCAGCCCATTGATCATCAGTTAAGCCACTAAGACCTTCACGGTCACTCTCAGTAATTGTAGATGGTTCACCGATCGCAGCGGTATTGGCTGTAGTGATTTGTGTGATGTTTGCTCTTGGAGTAGCAGAATTAGGAGCTGGCTTTGGGATGCTTCCATCCAAAAAACCAAATTTCTTTCGTGAACTTAGGGCCACACGAAAGTTGAGAGCCCATTCATCATAGTTCGAACCGTTGAGTAGCGGCTGCGAAATCACCGCGCCGGGATTGTCACTGGCGCTCAAGTCAAAAGGAGAGATCGTCTTGTATTTTGGGTTATTGTTGGTCATCGTGTCGGATCAAAGAGATGCTCTGTTTTGGAGTTAAAAAAAACAGAGGAACAAAAGAAATCAAGTGTGAAAGAGAAATCACTTGATTAAGGTCAAAGAAGAAGGAGAGAAAAAAAAAATAAGTATGGATCCCTCGCGAGTACGAGAAGATCTGAAAATTATGCTTGGTCGTGCTCTGATACCATAACAAACTTAGAATCGGAAAACTTAACTTGTCTTCATAAGAGGCAATGCCCAAAGTATATATACATACACAAGGAACCGACATTATATTAACCCTAACTAAATAGGAAACTATACATTAACAAGTAGATTTGAATATATCTCAATATTTATGAAAGGAACTTTTGACGTTTCTTTGGGTTCGAACTTCTTCCATTAATTTTCGGGTCACCATGGAGAAAAACAAAGAAGTAAAGAAAAATGTTGAGAGTGAAGCAAAAACATACAAAAGGTTTCCGATTAGTAAAAACGAAAAAAGGTTAATGAGTTAAACGGTTAAACCTCAAATGGAATCACTAAGAATGTTATGGACAATGGAACCATCAGCTTTACACATCGGTGTCGTCATATGCATCCTGGTTCATTCTCTCATGTCTACAGGTTCCTTTCAAACTTTGATCTAAACACCGAACCGTTAAATCTTCAGCCGCACATGTGAAAAATCTTGACTTAACATAATATAAACCTATTTCCTCACACTACTACACAATATGATATACACATTAGAAACAAAGTACTACTCATAGTTTTTTTTTTTTTTTTTTTTTTTTTGTTAACAGTACTACTAATAGTTATCATGGCCAAGTTTGCTTCCACCATCACCGTTCTCTTCGCTGCTCTTGTTCTCTTTGCTGTTCTTGGTGAGTATTATTGATCTTATCGTATGGATGGCAAAAAGATGAGTTACAGATTTGCTATACGAAAAATTCATAGCTTTCAGCAAAATATTCGTAACTAATTTGGAGCAGCTTGTAATTTCTTTTCCCACATCGAAAGATCCATGAGTTTTCTACCGACAAAAATCGACGCTTCATCATACATTGGATAATTTCATTATTTTTTTCATGTCTACGTGTATCTTTCAAACTCTCATTCTAAACACTGACCGTTAAATCTTCAGCAGCCCCCATGTGAAAAATCTAGGGCTTAACTCAAAGCCAAAGCAGCCTGATATATGTGGTAGAGAAATCAGCCATTAACTATGAAACTAGTCAAACATCTTATCTTCTTTTGTGAGTTTAGTTTGTGAGGCTTATCACATTTTTTGTACGTTGAAAAGTAAAAGACTAACTCACCATCATTTCACTATAAATAGAAGGTTGCGATAATGCTTATTTCCACACACATCACAAACATTCAGAACAAGGTACTAAACTACTAATACTCATCATGGCCAAGTTTGTTTCCACCATCGCCCTTCTCTTCGCTGCTCTTGTTCTCTTTTCTGCTTTTGGTGAGTATTAATGATCTTAACGTATATATGCATGGAAGCTACGAGTTAATTTTTTTCTTTTCTTTTAAGATCACTCGACAATTAACCTTGAGATTTGTGTATTTGCAGAAGCACCAACAATGGTGGAAGCACAGCAGCAGAAGTATTGCGAGAGGGGAAGTGGGACATGGTCAGGAGTCTGTGGAAACAGTAAAGCATGCAATAATCAGTGCATCAACCTTGAGGGAGCACGACATGGATCTTGCAACTACCGCTTCCCAGCTCACAGATGTGTCTGCTACTACCCGTGTTAAGCTATACCAAACCCTCTTTGGTGCTTGCATATGTGCTTCTTTACGTTTTCAGGTGTTTTTATTTACCATCAATAAGTCTTTTGTCACTTTATGAGTGACCTTATGACATGTACCACTTATGTCAATTTACGTTTGTTGTAAAATTATGAACTTAATGTAAACGTTTTATTTGTGTGTGTGCAACGACCGTTGTTATTATCATAAGAAATGCATACATATGAAATTGAAAAGACTATGTGTTTCAACAATAATGCATGCAGGAATCAGTGCATTAATCTTGAGAAAGCACGCTGTGGATCTTGCAACTATGTCTTCCCAGCTCACAAGTGTATCTGCTACTTCCCATGTAAGCTGCCAAACCCTATTTGGTGCTTATAATTACTTAATTACGTGTGTGTTTTCATATAATAAGTCTGTGTCACTCCATGAATGGCCTTATGTCATGTACTCGATATGTTTATGTTTTTTTTTTTTTGCTTTTTGGTATGAAAGATATGTTTATGTTGGTTTGGTTCTATACGACGTACTACTGTTTCTTCTTCTCCATCTAAGATAGCTCTCATATATATAGACCATTGACCAATACCTATTTTGCTTTTGCATTTTTTTTTTGTTCCTCTATCAAGGTATGGTTAGAAAACTTTACATTATGCGAGCATTAACTAGCGAGAATTTTGATGATTTTTGGGTCGATACTTGAGCAGCTTGGAAGAGAGTCACCAAATAGTCAGGCCCTTGGGCCTTCAATGAAGTTGATGATCAACTTCTATTTACCCGTTTGATACATTGAATTAGCGAGCCCAATCCCAAAACCATTAACCCAAAAAACCAAACCCGTTAAATCTACAGCCGACCCCATGTGAACAAATCTAGCGCTTAACTCAAAGCCAAAGCAGCCAAGTTACATTAGATAGAGAGGTAGCCTGATATATGTGGTTGAGAAATCAGCCGTCAACTATGAAACTAGTCAAACATCTTATGATTTTTATCTTCATTTATTAGCCACTTGCTTGTGTTTCGTTTGTGGGGCTTCTCACATTTTTTGTACGTTGAAAAGTCAAAGACTAACTCACCATCATTTCACTATAAATAGAAGGTTGATATTATGCTTATTTCCACACACAGCACAAACATTTAAAACAAAGTACTACACTACCAATACTCATCATGGCCAAGTTTGCATCCACCATCGCCCTTCTCTTCGCTGCTCTTGTTCTCTTTGCTGCTTTTGGTGACTTTTAATGATCTTTATTTTATTTTCTTGTTAGATCACTTGATAATTAACCTTGAGATTTATGTATATGCAGAAGCACCAACAATGGTGGAAGCACAGAAGTTGTGCGAGAGGTCAAGTGGGACATGGTCAGGAGTCTGTGGAAACAGTAACGCATGCAAGAACCAGTGCATCAACCTTGAGGGAGCCCGACATGGATCTTGCAACTACGTCTTCCCAGCTCACAAGTGCATCTGTTACTTCCCGTGTTAATCTATCAAACCCTCTTTGAAGCTTGCATGTGTGTTTATTAACTTTATTTACCTTCAATAAGTCTCTTGTCACTTTATGAGTGACCTTATGACATGTACCAGTTATGTCAATTTATGTTGAGTTGTTGCAAAATCATAAACTTTAAGTAAACGTTTAATTTTTGTTTGTGTGAAACGACCATAAGAAATGCATACATAAGAAATTGAAAAAACTATAGGTTTTTAATCTCAAAACGAAGCGTTGAGAACGTTGTGGACAATGGGACGAGCTTTACACATGGCATGCATCGGTGTCGCTTGGTGCATCATGCTCCCTTCTTTCATGTCCACATTTTCTTTTCCAACTCTCTCCCACTCGAAACACTGAACCAACGATCCTACAGCAAGATTCGCTAACCGTTGAGCTAAACCGGAACCAGGACAAGCTCGTCGTCCGATCCCAAACGGGATCAGCTTCTGATCAGCACCTTTTTTCTCAAACCTTTCTGGTTTAAACATTTCTGGCTCTTCCCATATACATGGATCTCTATGCATGGCCCATACGTTCACCAATAAGACTGTGCCTCGTGGCACGTCGTATCCCGCGACCATGCAATCCTCAGACGCCACGTGGGGGAGAAGTGTCGGAGCTACCGGATAAAGTCGTAGAGTCTCCGACACGATGTTCTGAAGATAAGGGAGATCTTTTATGTCGGATTCGTCGACTAACCTCTCTACACCGATTTTTGTGTCGATTTCGTTTTTGGCTTTTCTCAAAACCTCTGGATGGTTTAGCAAATTTGATATCGTCCACTCAAGTGTTCCTGTTACGGTATCAGTCCCCGCAAGTATCAATACCTATCCAATGACAATCATCAAAATAGTCAGAATTCAATAAATTAAACTCTTATTAATTAGTTTTTTTTTTTAATTCACAAGAATTTCAATGGTCTTTTGTTAATTTTGTTTAATTAGTGTTTTTTAATTCACGTAAAAAATGGTAAAAAGACACTTTATATTAACACTTACGACTATGATCCCTTTGATGATGAGATCTGTGTAATAATCAGGTTGCGTTTCTTGGAGAGAAAGCAAACGATCGATCATGGTATTGCCCTTTTCTTTTGCCGCACGTTTCTCGTCAACAAGTCCTTGCAAGAACACGTCAAACCGAGCTGCGACCTTTTTGACACGTCTCTCGTAATCAGTGATCCAACACAAGACCGGAAAATAATCAGCGGCGTTTCCGGCGCCGGCACTAGCCACCACGTCAGCAATCAACTGCCTAACGCATCTTGCGTCGTCATCGTGTTCTGTTCCATCGCCGTAAAACCGCTTCCCGGCCACCATCCTCATAACATTGTTAAGAATAAAGTCCGCAAACAATGTTCTCATCTCCACTTTCACAAACTCCTGGAAGCAGATAGGTTAATTCTCTATAAATAACAAATATTATAGTGTAAGTAAGTGTTATAATTGGAAGATGAGGACATTACTTTTTGAGAGTTTTTGGAGAGACGCAAAATCAAATGTCGGATTTCGTCTTTACGGATGGATAAAAGGCTGTTAAGCCTTTGAGACGAGAAGATCTCAATGGCGCCGATTCGCCGGAGAGTACGCCAGTGATCGCCATAAGGGGCACTGACCATGGATGTGTAGTTGTATTCCACATGCTTGGAGATCAAGAACTTTGGCCGGTTGGCTAAAACGATGTCGTTTTTGGTGAAACATTCTTCAACAATGGTGTAGGAGGAGATGACAAAGGCGAGTTTATTACCGAGGCGGAGGCTGAATATTGGAGCACCACCGAGTGATTTAGAGAGTGACAAAAATGTGCGGTGGAGCGGCAGTTTAAGGAGGTGGAGGTGTCCAATCACCGGCCATGGTCTTGTTAGGCTCGGAGGTAGGTTGTATTTTTTTGTGTTTTTTACCAAACAGAAGTTTTAAAGAGAGGATTAAGAAGACTGCTAATATTAAGTGATAAATCTCCATTACGAATTTGATGTATGTATTTTCTGAATGTGTTTTAGTGAAATTTGTTGATTGAAGTTATCTATATAGCGAGAGTGAATGTTCCTGGATGAGTGTATGATATGATCAACAAAAATCTCAGTTCATAGCTTTGGTAATTAAAATCTGATGTGATTTATGTAATAAGGCACGACGATTTTGTAACTTATTTGATCTTGACATTAGTCAAAAATAGAATTAGATTTTGACATGTGTTGATGTCATCTGTTTTTTACCAAAATTGCTATAAAGAGAGGATGAGACAGTAGACCAAATTAGCTAGTAAGTTTTCAACATATCTGCTAGTCTTTTTTCTTTTCCTTTTTTGTTTTCGGTGAGAATGTGATCAAGAAGGTTCTATCCATCGTCTGGTGGTAAAGAGAACAAGCGTGACATGTGGATTGAAGTTGTAGCAGATAGAGACACATCTTGAGTGGCTATATATGATGGTGAACAGAAGAATTCGACTTTTGGTCTTGTTTTCGGATGTCTTAATATTAAGGAATTTACTAATTATAGAATATGATCCTATAACTTACTTAGTTTAGAACCTGGGCAATATAAATCTAGATTACTACGGGTGACATCGACAATTTTCTTTTCATTACAATTTTTTATTTTATTTGATTGGTAGCATAATCAAAATCTTTATATGTCACCTTATTATTATCGATTAATTAACTAAAATTTTGAAAAATTCGTGTTTATATTTTAGTGATTTAATTTTTTTTTATCTTAATTAGGATATTTTATGATATTTTGTTTTATCATTATATACTTCGCATGGTCTTTTTAAACAAATTTACTCAAATTTTGTTTGTTCAATTAAAAGTAACAATCCACATCCAGTTCTATTATCAAGTCAGATCACTGATTAGACATAGTCTTTGTTAAGAAAAGAAACTCTTTATGTACTGATAAGAAGAGCTTAAAAATTGAAATCTACGCTTAGACTCAAATGACATGATCACTACTGGACCGGAGTAGTATAACCACTAAACCAAAGTCATGGGAGAAATATCTCGGGTGGGGACCCGAATCCGGTTCTGGTTATTATCGGGTTAGAGTTTACCACTTGTGCTGTCTTGTTCAGAGTTGGCTACTTAGCTTGTCCGTGGCTCGTACCGGGGCCCCTTCGTATTTTGTAGGCCAAGAAAGCAAGCTTTGCACATGCATGGCTGTTTCCAAACGATTGATTTTTTTTTTTAAACTGATCTTTTTTCAAAAAAACTTCGGATATTAATTTCTAGTTTAGGTTTAACTAATAACTACACGTTTAAGATATAAATGTGTGATGGTGATGAGAGAAATAAAAAACACCCTATTTCATCAGAAGGTGCAGCATCATATCATCATGGTGTTTCTATGGACTATGAGATATGAATATTTTCAATAGCTGCAGCATCGTATTGGCTTTCAATAAAGATGAATGAATGGATAAGAAAACTCCACAGAAAATATCTTATCTGGTGGGGAAATCAGCTCACAAGGTGTGTTAAAACTACGACTTGTCTTCTTGATGACCAAGTCAAACTAGCCGCCATGTGCTGATGTGAACTCCAAATGAACCACATATGTAGCATTGAAACCAGCCATCGACCAGCGCACTGTTTATGAATAGTTTAATATATTATCTGATTCAATTATTATGCATTTGCGTGTCATTATTGTCTACTAGATGACGGTCAGTGTTTTCAACTCAACTCACCATCGATCACTTCGCTATAAATAGAGGTTGATCTTACGCTTATTTCCTCACACAACACAAACATACATTGAAAACAAAGTACAAGCTAAGCTACAAACCTAACTATGGCTAAATTTGCTTCCATCATCTCCCTTCTCTTCGCTGCTCTTGTTCTCTTTGCTGCTTTCGGTGAGTAATGATCTTCTCGTATGCATGGCAAAATATGTTTTAAATTTTCCCTTTCTTAAGATTTATTTGATAATTAACCTTGAGATATATGTATATGTAGAAGCACCAACAATGGTGGAAGGACAGAGGCTGTGCGAGAAGTCAAGTGGGACATGGTCAGGAGTCTGTGGAAACAGTGGTGCATGCAGGAATCAGTGCATCAACCTTGAGGGAGCACGCCATGGATCTTGCAACTATGTCTTCCCAGCTCACAAGTGCATCTGCTACTTCCCATGTTAATCTACCAAAACTCTTTGGTGCTTAATTGCGAGTGTATTTTCATAAAATAAGTCTGTGTCACTCCATGAATGACCTTATGACATGTATACGATATGTTTATGTTGGTTTGGTTATGATATAAACTTTTATGTACGACGTAGTACGTACTGCTACTACTTCTTCTTCATCGAAGACATATAGCTCTCATGGAGAGCCGTGCCTAGGAATTACGATGCCGTAAACAAACTCAAAATATAATAATAATTCTTCTATACAATAAATAGTAACAAAATAGAAAATAAGAAAAATTAATGATTTTATGATCAGTACACACGTTTTTATATAGAAACTTGCAAAGACATAGACAACTAATAAGTTTTTTTTTTGTTAAAGACCGAAAAAGCGAAATAAAAAGTTGGAAGGATTCAAAAAATTATTGTGGCAACGAACTTTTAAACTGTATAATTAAGAAGAAAAGAATCGGTGGTGGTTTAAACTTTGGATATAAACCTAGCAAATTCATGTCAAACAAACAACTATTGTGAAAATATCAACCTTAATCTTTTATTTTGATAGCCGGAAGATCATGAACCATATGAAATCAATTGCAACCATAATATTTAATTGATGATGATTTTATATTTTGCAAATACATTTTAAGAACTTAACCTACCGATGATTCATCATATTTGGATAAATAATATCAAGAAAATTAATTTGGGGGAGAAAGATGTATATATTTTGTACTATGGATCGTCAAAGCCCGTGAAATCCAAATTTTATGGATCTTCGATACTAATATATAGTCGAACAAACATATTTCTACTTTGCTTTTACATTTTTTTTTTGGTACTAGAGTTTGATTCGACAACTTCAGTTTATGTGGGCATTAGCGTCAGGGATATATATCGTGATTTTACATCAAACAAACAACTCAATTGCAAAAATTAATAACGTTTTATCCCATAAGATTTATCAAAGAAGATTATAGGCCGGGGATATCATTAATCATTACTGTATGGAAGGTTGTTCTTACGACTCAAGTAAATGGCAATAATAGCTAGCATCCCTAAATCCTCTTCTAGCATTATACTCATGCAACGCACGTCGAAAATATCTGATTAAGATCTTATCTTCTCGAGTCTTGACAAGACTAATTAATCGGCCGCCTCGTAGCACTAGCTCAGAGCCAAACCAGTCGCTTTGCTCAAGCAGCCTTCCATAGGTAAGGAAAGATACATGGTGGAGACACCAGCCACCATTGACTAGTATTTTAGATAATAATTGTATACTAGATGACACTGAGTGTTCAATTTGTGGGGTTAACACATTTATTGTAAGACGAAAAGTAAAAGCCTAACTCACAAATCTTTCATTATAAATAGAGGTTGATCTTATGCTTATTTCCTCACACAATACATACATACCTCGAAAACAAAAAGCACAAGCTAACCTTACAGTCATGGCTAAGTTTGCTTCCACCATCGCCCTTCTCTTCGCTGCTCTTGTTCTCTTTGCTGCTTTTGGTCAGTAGGCAGTAGCGATCATTATTTATCATATGCATGCAAAAATGAACTTTAAATTTTCCTTTTTTCAGATTATTTGATAACTAACCTTGATGTATATGTATATGCAGAAGCGCCAACAATGGCTGAAGCACAGAAGTTGTGCGAGAGGGGAAGTGGGACATGGTCAGGAGTGTGTGGAAACAATAACGCATGCAAGAATCAGTGCATTAACCTTGAGGGAGCACGCCATGGATCTTGCAACTACCGCTTCCCAGCTCACAGATGTGTCTGCTACTTCCCATGTTAATCAACCAAAAACTCTATGGTTCTTAACAAACTATGTGTGTATTTTCAAAAAATAAGTCTGTGCCACTCCATGAATGGCCTCATGACATGTATTTGGTATATACTGTATGTTAATGTTGGTTTGGTAATAATATAAAGTTTTATGTACGACGTACTATTGTCTCTTCTTCTCCATCAAGTCGGACACATCCGCATCATCTAGTGTTACGATAGCTCTCATCATATTATTCCAATCACAGAGAAAAGATTTTGTGTAAATCTCAACCTTAATAGGTCCAAGCCTTTATAAAGGCTTTCATAGTAGGACCAATATATAAAAATTATATGCTACTTTAGTGAAAAACCGGTCATTTTGGCTGTAAATGAGTGCTGATCATACGTTTTCCAAGAGGATGGGATCGATGGATCCCAATCCTAGGCGAGAAATGGAGCATTTTTCACCAGTGAGCTTTATAGCAATCGGTCTTCCTAGACGTACTTTTTTCATCAAATTAGACCAAACATGATACTTGGTTAGAATCTATCATGCATGTACGTACTTGCTTATTCATTTTTCGACTTTCGAGACCAAACACACAATAAACTAATTGTTTTTTTAGTTTCATCTGTGATGTGTTGCATGTTTTGGCATTTTTATTTATTTTCTTAGGGTCATTGTTGAGTGCAACATGAAAATGGATCGCTCGGTTCATTTTTTGAGTGCAACATGAAAATGTGATCTACGACCTCTCCCAAGCCCAAGCCCATATGTTTATTATTATTTTATTTTTGTTTTCTATTTGTAGCAGATAACCCAAGTTTGGAAAGTATAACGTCGCATGATAGCAGCTGGACTGAATGCGATTTGAAACTTGTCTATGGCTCTTCTTGCTGGGGCTCTCTTAGTAGGGCACCGAAGCAAGTTGTTGGCACGTGGCAGTTGATAGAAGATGGTTAATTAGGAAAAATGACTTATCGTCAAAGTTTGCGGATGACGACGACCATGAAGTCGAAAACGATTTTTCTATCGTTTAGTTTTTAGATTCTGTTTATAAAAATAGAAAATCGGATATTTCTTTAGTATATATATATATATTTTTTTTTTTTGGGCGCAAATGTGAGATAATTCTTTAGGTTGGGAAGGGGAACCACAAAAGTACATATTACTTATATTTGGCTGCGATTTTACTAACAATCTTGTTACAAGAAATAAATAATACTGTAGTTCTTTGGACTTTGTTAGTCCGGACTCTATTGCAAATTATCAAAACTACTATGTTAGGGTAGAGTTAACTACACATTTAGATATTAGTTTGATTGTTTTGAGACCAATAACGAAGAAGGTGAAGAAACAGCCTATTTTATCAACTTGCCACCTAGTAAAAAGTAAACGGACAAGAAAACTCCGTACGTAGAAAATATCACAAGTTCATAATTAAATGTGGTGTGGTCGTGACAAATCACTACCACTACTAGGTGAAGATATTTTTACTTCTTGACCAAGTCAAACAAGCCGCCTAGCTATGAGAACAAATTAATGTGTAGTCACCGAAACACATTGCAAATGACGATTTAGCACTGAAACCAAAGCCATTGATCAGCATACACTGTTTACGAATGGTCAACATCTTATCGTATGTCGATGATAGCTACTTGCGTGTTACCATCGTATACTAGAAGACGGTTTGTGTTTAATTTGTGGGGTTAAACACTTTACCGTACGATGCAAGTAGTGCAAAACTAACACCTCATCTTATTTCCCTTTCACTATAAATAGAAGTTGCTCTTAGCATTATTTCCTCACACTTCTTCTCACACTTTCTCACACATACATAGAAAACAAAGTAATTAAGAGTCATGGCTAAGTTTGCTTCCATCATCTCCCTTTTGTTCGCAGCCCTTGTTCTGTTCGCTGCTTTTGGTAAGTAACGATCTTATCATATGCATGGCATTGGTAACATGAATTTCAAATTTTCCTTTTTAAAAAAGTTTTATTTGATGATTAACCTTTGTGAGATATATGTATATGCAGAAGCACCAACAATGGTGGAAGCACAGAAGTTGTGCGAGAGGCCAAGTGGGACATGGTCAGGAGTCTGTGGAAACAATAACGCATGCAAGAATCAGTGCATTAACCTTGAGAAAGCAAAACATGGATCTTGCAACTATGTCTTCCCAGCTCACAAGTGTATCTGCTACTTCCCTTGCTAAGCTACATGAAAGCTCTTTCATAGTGAACTGTGTGTATTTTACATAAAATAAGTCTTATGTCACGATCTATGAGTGACCTTTGACATGTACCAGAGAAGTTTATGTTGGTTTATAAATGATAATATAAAGTTTTCTATACCACAAAAAGAGCATAATTCAGGCTATATATAAACATCATTTCCAATTATTCATAGCTAGCTAAATCAGTTTAAATGAAAAGGCGCTGGCGTATTATTAAGTAGTTGCTGATTTTGCTACTGAGAAAGGAATGGATCAGAGCAAACACATCGAATTTGAAAATGTATACAGTAAGAAATATTTGGTTTTTTAGTTAAAATTTTCCACAAATACTATGTGTCAGTTTAAATGACTGATAATGTTCATGCGTTATCTGTTACGTTGTTATATGAAACTTCTATGTATTCCTATCTACCAAGATTTGTAGATATATATATCCGTTATCCCAAAAAAAAAGTTTTGTAGATTGATTTATATATCCCTTTATATAAACAGAATCGTTAATTAGACGGTAGGAGTTTTGATCTATAATCATATATACTAAACCGTTTTGAAGTTCTTGCTCTTCAAAATCGTTTATTATACATAGACCTTTCTATATATTTCAAGAATATGGTCGATTAATAACTAACTGGGTACATAATTGTCGAAAACTGGTTTTTCTTCTTCAGATCGATATTTAAAAGTTAAAACTGATATCTGGAATATAGCATGTGACGGAAAATTTGTAATCGGACCACTACTCAACTTTTCACTAATTTGATTAACTGTTAAATCGGGACCGTATATTTAGGGTAATACACTAACACTTCAAAACAAAAAAATTACATAATTGTTGAAATATAGGGGGGGGGGATGAGAAGTTCTTATCGGATATGGAACAGGTCAAAATGGACGAGGGGAAATTTCAAAACTACATCTCTTGAGGTGTCAATTTTCAAGCTTATTATTACATATGGCCCAGTTAATGTATTGACCATGTTTTCAATTTGCGTACGAAGTAATGCCTGTTTGTTGGACACAATTATGAGCCATCTGTCATGCAAACTGTTTTTGCACTTGTCAAACTTATAACACTGTTCTTTGTCCAAATGTTGAATGAATGAGAAGCCAACAAACTTCAGTCTATACACCTTTTAATCTAGTGAAAACGTAGAACAGTAATTGCAACAAGCATCGTAGCAAAATGTAGATTTAACATTAGTTATCAATAAATTAAGAGCAGGCCATCTGTTTTATATTATTGTCTATCATATCAAAATCCTAGATATGCCGACGATATTAGTATAAACCCTAATTGAAACGGTGACCGGCCATGTCATGGTCATTAAAAACAAACTGTTTGACCTGAAAGATTGTAAAATCATAGAAATACGCATATATGTTAATTAAGTTTTTCGATATCTTATTTTATTAGAATGTACATAATTATGTATTTTATAGTTCTTCAACCAACGGGGAACACGATGCAATAACAAAAGGTATATGCCTTTGAAACAAGCATATACGTCGTACTCATTTTCTATGTGTGTAGTTATTAGCTGTGAGTGGGGTTCTTCAAATGTGTTGTGGACCTTGTTTATATAGCCTTCATTCGTTATGTAATGTAATACCCTTCATTATGATCTGATGTAAATCTCCACCACTCGGAGGTTATCAGATGGAAATTTGGAGAAATTTGAAGCTAAGCATAAAGGTAAGACCTAATCAAATCATACAAATCCAAACCGCTTCACATTAAGATTTTTAAGCAAGGAACAAATGTACGGACAAGTTGTGAAGTGTGTGAAACACTAATTGAACTTCAACCGTCGGATTACTGCAGAATAGCCGTCGATCGAGTTATTCGTTAAATATCGGTTTCGATGCCGACCGTAACCCAACAATTCAGGATTGTCTGAGGTATCCTAAATTTAATCACGTGACCCAACAATTCAGGATTTTAGCGTATTGGGCCTAAATTCACTACTGGGCCTAGACTTCGTGATAATGTTTTTCTTTTCTTTTCAGCGTCCAATTGTTTTTGTGTCTTTGTGTTACGTCGTTTCAACTAAAATCAATGATGTCACTTGAACTCATGAAAGATTTATTTTATATATTTTTCCAAACATGTAGCTTTAATTACAAGCAGTAGAAAATGGAGAGCGGCGCAGCTAGGGCTTTGGGAGATCGGGACGAGACGATGACGGATCCCACGGAGAAGGGGAGGCCACCAGGGGATCCGCCGGACGGGAGTGGGCATCGAGAGTAAGCGGAACGAGTGTGGGCGGAGGTTTGAGACCGGAGGCAGTTCTAGATGAGGAGTTTGTCTTTAATCGTTTGAATGTGGAGTTTCCAGATGGAGAGGATGGTGAACCAGTAATCACTATTGGAAGGGAGGTGTTGGATGCGATGAACAGTTTGTGGAAGCAGTGTATGATTGTGAAGGTGTTGGGAAGGAGTAATCCTATTGCGGTTCTCCACAAGAAGCTGAGAGAGATGTGGAACCCCATTGGAACGATGCAGGTATTGGATCTTCCGAGACAATTCTTTATGGTCCGCTTTGGAGAGGAGGGAGACTACTTGCAGACGCTGACGGGAGGCCCGTGGAGAATGTTTGGTAGTTACCTTATGGTGCAAGCATGGTCCCCGGAGTTTGATCTGATGGTGAATGAAATCACCACGACCCCTGTTTGGGTTCGCATGTCAAATCTCCCGATCAACTTTTACCATAAGACCATTCTAATGGGGATAGCCAAAGGGATTGGCAAACCGCTAAGGGTGGATGCAACTACGTTGAATTTGGAGAGAGCCCGCTTTGCAAGGGTGTGCGTGGAAGTTAATTTACGGAAACCGCTTAAAGGGTCGGTATTGATCAATGGAGATAGGTATTTCGTTTCCTACGAGAGATTGCCTGATATCTGCTCTCGGTGTGGCATTTATGGCCATCTGGTTCACAAGTGCCCGTTAGGGGAACCACATCGAGCTGAGGAGATACGCAGGGAAAATGCGGTTGTGACTAGTCCGGTGAGAGAAACGGCCGATGATGGTTTTACCCCAGTGCGCAGGCAGAATAGGCGACCGTCGGAACCAGTCGTGTTCCGGGCAGGGAACTCCGGAGAGAATCTTGGGCGTAATTTGCGGGATATTACGAGCAAGTGGAGATAATGCGAATATTACACTTTCCAACAGTTTTGGAAATTTGGGTTCGGATATGGAAGAGACTGAGATATGTCAAGTTGATATATCCTCGGAGGCAAATAAGGAGAATGAAATCATGGTACAAGATACGAGTAAACCAGCTTCGAAAGTGGTTAGTGGAAGATTGTGTAACAAAGCAGGGCAGCGAGAAAGTGGGAAAGGGAAAAAGGCGGGACAGAATCCGGCTTTGAAGCCCAATGGGCCAAAAGCAAAACCAAAGCACACTCAGCCACAAATGAGCTTGGTGTTTGGCCCATCTACATCATATGGGGACCCATCGTCATCGGGGAAGAGACTACGGGTGGAGGTGGCGACTGTGGTGAGACCCGGTGATGCGTTCTCAACCGGATCTGATGGCGGAATCAGGCCGGCGATGGTGGATGAGGAAAGGCTGGCGAATTTGGGATCGTTTGATTTGGGATTGGAGGAGAGTCTGAATCGATCAGACCCGATTGAGCAGACGTCGATGAGTCAAGGCGGATTGGGGTCAGTGGCTCTCTGATGGCTCGCCCCGGTAATTCGATTCAATTCGTACATATTTCCGATGAAGAATCTGCTATTATGGAATTGCCAGGGGGCGAATAAACCCAACTTCAGAAGATCCATTCGATATATGTTGAAGAAGTTTAACATTGATATCCTTGCTTTGTTTGAGACGCATGCCGGAGGTGAGAAGGCTGGGAAGATTTGTCAGAGTTTGGGCTTCGAACATTCGTTTCGAGTTGATGCAGTGGGACAAAGTGGTGGCCTGTGGTTGTTGTGGAAGGATGGGTGCGGGTCAGTTACCGTTGTCGAGAATTCCGACCAGTTTATTTATGCCAAGGTGAGTGATGGCGAGGAGAATATACACGTGGTAGTGGTGTATGCAGCTCCGACAGTGAGCCGTCGAAGTGGTTTATGGGAAAAATTAAGTGAGGTGATTCAAGACATTGAGGAGCCGTTGATTGTGGGTGGAGACTTCAATACGATCCTCCGGCTGGATGAGCGTACAGGAGGTAATGGGCAGTTATCTGTAGACTCATTAGCGTTTGAAGGATGGGTTAATGATAACTACCTGATAGATATGGGATTTAGAGGTCACAGGTATACATGGCGTCGTGGTCGAACGGAGCAATACTATGTGGCTAAACGCTTGGATAGGGTGTTTTGTAATGCGCATGCGAGGTTGAAGTGGCAGGATCCATCGGTGACTCACCTTCCATTCTTGGCATCCGATCACACCCCGCTCTATATACAGCTCTCACCGACGCAATCAAGTGACCCGAAAAGGAGACCATTCCGATTCGAAGCGGCTTGGTTGTTGCACGAGAGCTTCCAAGACTTGCTGAGAAACTCTTGGAATAATGCAGTGTCTACTCCACACGCGCTCCAGGCTTTGAGAGAGAAGCTAAAAAGATGGAATCACGAGGTCTTCGGTGATGTGAACAGACGGAAAGAGGAGCTTCTCCGGCAAATAAAAAACCTCCAAGACTTACTGGAGGTCAATCAGACTGATGCGCTTCTGGATAGCGAGAATACGTTGATGAAGGAACTGGATGCAGTAATGGAGCAAGAGGAGCTCATCTGGTACCAAAAATCACGAGAGAAGTATATCGCTCACGGAGATCGAAATACGAGATACTTCCATACCTCTACGGTTATCAGACGGAGAAGAAATCGGATTGAGACGCTGAAAAATGACACAGGACAATGGGTGGTGAACCAAGACGAACTGGAAGCATTGGCGGTGGGATACTTCCAAAGACTCTATTCCCTGGATGACGTGGATGCTACGGTAGAGCGACTCCCCCACGGTGGCTTCACGGAGCTCAGTCGAGAGGAGAAACTGAGGTTGGATAGACCCTTTGTAGCAACTGAGGTGGTATGGGAAGGTTCAAGGCTCCGGGGATAGATGGTTTTCAACCCGTCTTCTATCAAGATTGCTGGGACATGGTCGGAGAGTCTGTTGAGCGCATCGTCTTGGATTTTTTTGAAACAGGACAACTACCAGAGGGGATGAATGATGCTTTGGTTGTTTTGATTCCAAAGGTGGAGAAGCCGGAACAGGTGACACAGTTCCGACCCATTAGCTTGTGTAATGTCCTGTTTAAGACTATCACGAAGGCTATGGTTACAAGATTAAAGAGTATAATGCCAAAGCTGATAGGCCTTGCGCAGTCAAGCTTCATTCCGGGGAGATTAAGCGTTGATAATATTGTGGTGGTGCAGGAAGCGGTACACTCTATGAGGCGTAAGAAGGGGAAGAAAGGTTGGATGCTACTAAAGTTGGACTTGGAGAAAGCCTATGACAGGATCAGATGGGACTTCTTGGAAGATACGTTGAGAGTGGCGAGATTCCCAGACAAGTGGGTGAACTGGATAATGCGGTGTGTTGTTGGACCGTCGATGCATGTGCTTTGGAATGGTGAGAAAACGGCGCCTATTACACCGTTGAGAGGCTTACGACAAGGCGATCCGTTGTCGCCATATCTGTTCGTTCTTTGCCTCGAGAGATTATGTCACTTGATCGATTGTTCTATAACTAAGGGAGATGGAAGCCTATCAGACTATCTCGGGGCGGGCCTCAACTTTCCCACATATGCTTTGCGGATTACCTCATCCTATTTGCTGAAGCCTCGGTGGGTCAGATTCGTGTGATAAGACGTGTGTTGGAAACCTTCTGCATCGCCTCGGGTCAGAAGGTTAGTCTTGACAAATCTAAGATCTTTTTCTCGGAGAACGTGAGTCGGAATATGGAGAGATTGATTACGGATGAGAGTGGGATCAAGGCAACGAGAGAGGTGGGGAAGTATCTTGGGATGTCCATCCTACAGAAGAGGATCAATAAGGATACATTTGGGGAAACGTTGGGGCGAGTCTTATCTCGCTTGGCAGGGTGGAAGGGATGTTGCCTGAGTTTCGCGGGACAGCTCACGTTAATAAGGTCAGTACTCTCCTCAGTACCAGTTCACACGATGAGTACAATATCACTGCCGAAATCTACGCTGAATAGCTTGGACAAGGCATCAAGATCCTTCCTCTGGGGAAGTACCACAGAACAGAGGAAGCTGCACTTGCTGAGTTGGAGGAAAGTATGCCAACCGAAGCGAGCTGGAGGTCTCGGGATACGCTTGTCATCTGATATGAATAAAGCGCTATTGGCCAAAATAGGGTGGAGGCTTCTCCATAATGTTGATAGTTTATGGGCACGAGTGCTAAGAAGTAAGTATAAAGTGAAAGAGCCTCATGATCAGAGCTGGCTGGTGACTAAAGGTACATGGTCCTCAACATGGCGAAGTGTTGCTTTGGGCTTGCGAGAGATAGTCATGCCCGGTTTAAGTTGGATCGTCGGCGATGGAAAACACGTGAAGTTTTGGATGAACAGATGGTTAGTGGAGAAGCCGCTTAGAGAAGTAGCTTTATTGCCACTTGCAAATGAAACTGAGGAGGTTCGGGTTTGTGATCTATGGCGAAATGGGACTGGTTGGTTGGTGGAACAGTTGGAATCGCTGCTCACATCTAGCGTGATACTACAACTACAATCGGTGGTCATTGATAATGTCACCGGAGCAAAGGATAGAATATCATGGGGAGAGAGGCCTGATGGAAGATTCACAGTAGGCTCGGCTCATGCTTTCTTTACGAGGGACAATACACCTCGGCAAGACCTGGGTGCTGTATTCACGCGGGTTTGGCGAGTAGTCGTACCGGAAAGAGTCCGGACCTTCATCTGGCTGGGGGTACATCAGGTGCTTATGACAAACTCAGAGAGGCAGCGGAGACACTTGTCGACGTCGGGAGTGTGTCAGGTGTGCAGAGGAGGAGATGAAACTATCCTACACGTGCTCCGAGACTGTCCAGCGATGGAGGGCATTTGGCGTCGTATTGTACCGGTGCGCAAAAGGTAAGAGTTTTTCACTCAAACGCTGTTAGAGTGGATTTACTCGAACCTTGGTGATCATGGAGAGATTTGGGATACCACCTGGTCCACCTTGTTTGCTATGGCAGCTTGGTGGGGATGGAAGTGGAGATGTATTAATGTCTTCAATGGGTCCGGAAAATGCAGAGACAGAGTACAGTTTGTGAAGGATCAAACGCGGGAAGCGACAGCTGCACATCAAAGTGTTAACATAAATAGCAGGACCAGAGCCACATGGATAGAGAGACTGGTCCATTGGGTGCGACCAAGTGCAGGCTGGGTGAAGGTAAACACAGACGGAGCGTCTAGAGGTAACTCGGGTCTAGCGTCTGCAGGAGGAGTGTTACGAGACGAGCTTGGGTGCTGGTGCCGTGGCTTTGCTCTCAACATAGGCATTTGTACAGCACCTCTAGCTGAATTATGGGGTGTGTACTATGGACTGTGTATTGCTTGGGACAGCAAGGCCCAGAGAGTAGAGTTGGAGGTCGATTCGGAGATGGTTGTTGGTTTTCTCAGGACAGGGATTGAGGAGGTACATTCGCTGTCATTTCTGGTACGCCTGTGCCATGGCTTTCTATCAAGGGACTGGATAGTCCGGGTTTCTCACGTGTATAGGGAAGCTAACCGCCTTGCGGATGGGTTAGCTAACTATGCGTTTTCGTTGCCTTCGGGTTTTCACTCTTTTACTTCTGTACCGGATGATGTTCATCCACTTTTCTTAGAGGACTCTGTTGGGACTGGTATTTCACGCCAAGTCCATTTGTAACTTTTATTTGTTTCGTTTAATAAATTGGGGGCATAACCCTCTCCTACGACCAAAAAAAAAAATTACAAGCAGTAGAAATTTTTTAACAAATCATAAATTTTAAATACATAAATTCATATATTGTGTAAGAATTAGGTGTTGTTGGTGAAGAGTAGGTAGAAGCGTGGAGCTAACTCTAACACCTTCTTTAGTTTCAGTTCATATGATTGCGCTTGTTACCTCATACATATTTATAATTGCTGGAAATTTTTGATGCATCCATCTATATATTGTAAGAACAAATATAATAATAATGCAACCTATATAAATATGATTTGGATAAAACTCTTGCGGGGACAATTCATTACGTGTCGAGTGCTCACTGGTGTGTTGCATGAGAGTTGAGCACGTTCATAAAAAGATTAGTTCTTGTCCTGTGTATGTCGTAAAGATGAAGAAAACTCTCAAAATATAATAAAAGACAAAACAAAAACTATATTTATAGAATATGAAAGAGATTTGATAATAGGATTGAAATGGTGCCGTAACACTAAGTTGCACGTTCTTGACGATAGTCGAGAGTCGTCCCAATCCAATGATTAATATCTCAAATTTATGCCTCCCCATAGTTTGGTCGATTATGCTTCACCTTTACTTAATTAATCATAATTTACAAAAACAAAATTAGTTTTAAACAAAGATAGTAGTGCATTAGGTTGATACTTTGGTGGTAGTTGGCTATCTTATACAAAAAGTAATAATTTCATAATGTAAATAAAATTTTATACATATATACAACGGGTAATTTCTCATTCAAATTCGAATTTAAAGTGCAAAAAAAAAATTTTAAAAAGATTTAAAGTGGGGTGAGTGTAAATGATAAGGTGTTGTTTGGTGTACCATTTAGCTGGCATAAGGTTGTATCTAAAAAGCTCATCTCAAAGTCACCAACGGCCCAAAAAAAAAACAGAGAAAACAAAATAAAGAAATCATTTTTTCTCATTCTTCTTCTGTCATTAATCTCTCTCATCGATTTCGCTTTGCAAATTTTGAATTTTTGGAATTGAAAAGCTTCCGAGCTCGAATTTAGGGGATTTTTAGAGTTAGAGAAAAGTTTGTGTCTTGATTCTTGGGAAATGGCTAAGATTTGAGTACAAGTAGAAGACGCAATAAAAAAGAGATTTTTGTAGAGTTTTTGAATTTGCGGCGGAGATGAGCGCTTCGAGGTTTATAAAGTGTGTCACCGTCGGCGATGGTGCCGTCGGAAAAACCTGTATGCTGATTTCTTACACGAGCAACACTTTCCCTACGGTAAATCTCATCCCAAAGCTTTCTTCTTTGTTTCTACTTTAGTGATCTTGAAGCTTCTTTGAGGATGGGTTTTGGTGATTAAGATCTTTCGTTCTCCAATGTGTTTAGCTGGTGAAATTTGTAAAAATCAAAAGTTTGTTTTTTTTTCCCCCAGTTCATCTGAAAGTGATCCTTACAACGTTCAATACTAAGTGTGAAATCACATGTATTATATGTCATATTTAAAACAAAATTGAAATTTGGTTGAGGAAATTGTTACTAAAGTTGACATTTTTCTTCAGAGTTTGCTATGATACTTCCATGGATTTAGGCCAAATTTGCACACTTTAGGACCAACAATCTTGTACTTTTTTGTGTTAAAGATGATCCATTTGAATTGTTCTTGAGAACTAGTTTTAGTTAATAATTCAAAAAGGGTGAGTAAAGCAAACTCTGATGACTTGTTATTGACTATTCAGGACTATGTTCCAACTGTTTTCGACAACTTCAGTGCTAATGTGGTTGTAGATGGGAACACAGTGAATCTTGGATTGTGGGATACAGCCGGTAAAAACTCACAATCCCATCAAAATCTGGTTTCTTGTGTTTATTGAGGTTTCGTTTTGACTGATGCTTTGGTTTTGTGCAGGTCAAGAAGACTATAACAGGTTAAGACCGTTGAGTTACCGTGGCGCTGATGTCTTCATTCTTGCATTCTCGCTTATAAGCAAGGCCAGTTATGAGAACGTAGCCAAGAAGGTTTGCTTTTTTTTTTTTTGATCTCACTTTCTTCTCTCTTATGATAATCACATTTTTTGAGGCTCACTGTGTTTCTTCTTTTGTCTCAGTGGATTCCTGAGCTCAGGCATTATGCACCTGGCGTTCCTATTATCCTTGTTGGAACAAAACTCGGTATTGACTCTGTTCTTCTTGACTTAAAATTAGTTTCTGATCATAAGAAGAGATAATAGTAAGGAGATTTTGGAATTTTGCAGATCTTCGAGATGACAAACAGTTCTTCATAGACCATCCTGGTGCAGTACCGATTACTACAAACCAGGTAGGTAGCTGCTGCACAGTCTAAAATTCTTTTGAGAGAAAAGTTTGTGCCAGGCGAGTTCTTGATTGTGATATGGTTTAATTGTTTTGTCTGCAGGGAGAGGAACTAAAGAAAGTGATTGGAGCTCCGTGTTACATTGAATGTAGCTCAAAGACTCAACAGGTACACAGATATAAATCATATACCTCACATGTTTTGTTTGTTTGAGGTTTTTGTAAAAGAGACTGAAAATGTTGGGTTCTGCAGAACGTGAAAGCAGTGTTTGACGCAGCCATAAAAGTGGTGCTTCAGCCACCGAAGCAGAAGAAGAAGAAAAAGAACAAGAACCGTTGCTCGTTCTTGTAATCACCTTTAAAAAAAGAATTTAGGTAACGAACAAAGCTGAAGAAGGAAAAAAAAAAACAGCATCACATGCAGCAACATTGTATATGTTTCGGTCTTTACACACTTTTCCCTTTTTGTTGATGAATCTAATGAGTGAAGTGAGGCCAAGAGAATTCTGAGTAAGAGAAGCTATGAGTTTCTTGGTGTGTTGTTGTTGTTGTTGTACTTTTGCTATGTAGACTAATCTCTTAATACATTTTTTTTTTGTTGTTGTTGGGTTACATTTTGTATTGTTTTTCAACAGATGAATTCAATTTAAAACTCATGTTTTCGTTCTATTGTCGACCATGGTCTCTTTGTGAGCTTTGCTACTTACTCATAGATTGAGACCAAAAACAGAGCAAAAACAAAGAAACAGAGTTGAATTAAGGCTCAGATTGAAAGAATGGTATTCAGAAATGAGAATTCTATACACATGAAAAGAGTATTAGTAACAAAGAGAATATAAATTACAGTTGTCATGGACTGAAGAGAAAACAAACATGTGTTATGTAGTATACACATATTTTTCAGTGTTTTCACAATTTCTTCCGAAACTCCACAAAAAAACAAATTCAAGGGAATTTTAGAGGTCTAAGGATTTGATAAGGATACAAGTCACAACTTGATGAGGTCGTATTTGTCACCCATCAAGCCACCTTTCTGTTTTTGGTACCTAATGAAACGCAATGTGCTTGTAAAGAAAGGATCCGAGTGGATTGTTGTGTTACCGTTGTCGCTTTGCATCTCGGTGTTGATTAACTCTACGAGACTCTGTATATCAGATGGAGTTATATGTGGATTCCCTTTCTCGAAAAAGTAAATGTACCTTTTTGTATACAAAAAAAGAAAACCATCATTAGTATATGAATCAGTGTCATATGTTCTTGTTTATTTGTTTGTTGTTTAAGCATAGTACTGACTTGTTCAAGATTTCGACAAACAGCGTGACTGGTCCGCTGTTGCCTCTGGTTGCATTAGCCATTTGTTGAGCTGCGTTTGCTATCCTCAGTGCTCTTCTTAAACACAGAAGAACTCTGCACCGTTTTTTTGAATTTGATATAAGTTTTCTCGGCTAAATGATGATAATGAAAGTATTGGGAGGAAATGACGTACCTTTCTCCGTCTTTGATGCCATCGAGATCGTCGACCCAGAAGAGATGAGAGCATGCATAAACAGCTCGACATTGGTCAGGCTTCTTTAGAAGCCTTGCTGAGTACTGATCACAAAGGAAGATTTAACTTTTATATGTTATGGATAAAAGTTGAGAGAAAGCATTGGGAAAACATTTTGTACCCCGGTTGCTTTATGTGTCAAGGTGTCCCTATTTTCAACACCAAAGACGTTGATCCTTTGCAAGGTTCCAACTATCAAGTGAATTGCAGTTACTTGTGCTTTCGAGTCCTGAATATAGTTATACAACACACACAAGAGAATAAAAAAAAAGGTTAAAGTAAAGTTGCAATTCTCTGATTCCCAAAGAAGTTTAGAAGAGAAAGAAATAGAGAGACATTACCGCGATTTCTTCCTCGTATAAGATGAATGCTTGGGTGAAAAACTCATAAGCAACAGGCTCAAGATCACAATCACTTGCAGCCTGATCATAAAATCCAAAACGAGACAACACAATTGAGAATGCTATGTCAGATACCTACAAGCGAATTGAGATCAAGTCAGATAAATGGAGTGTATAGATTACCTCGGCGCACTGGAGGTAGAGCCTTAGAGCCAATTCAGGACACGGAACTGAAGAGAGAACCTCGATTGTCTGGAACAAAAAAGCACATGTTCCATGGATTACAAACAATATTGAGTATGAAAAGTGACGTGTCATCAACTTCTTGATTTTCATGTAGTTCAGCAAGAAAGAGAAGAAAGTAGAACCTGGTTGAGAATCTGAAAAATCTTCCTTGGGGTTGCTGGGTCATCATCTTCTCCAGTTATATCTCCACCCTGGGAATCTAGCTGCCTAACCAACTGTGGCAGAAACATAAGAAACTCTTAAAGTTAGCCATTTTTCATAAAGCAGAGAATCTAATCCTACAACAAGAGTGATCACGTGGAAAATGGTCACACTCAAGGAGCTGTGTAAATAATACTATCACACAAGAACGCATAGTGTGTGGAATATACTGTAATTCACGTAGATACACACACACATACAAGCACGTTATAAGAGATATACCCTGAGTGCAGAAAAAACAAGCGGGGGAACGGTAAAAGGCAGGCGCCGAGGTCCTCCTGTCATAAGATGCTTTCTCACAACACATATAATCTGCACAACAGAACTCATGTAAGAAAATTCGTTTAGTCATAAGATAGGGTGTAAAAATAAAATGATGGTCACATAACGAATTTGTTGAGTATTGGTATGATGGTATCACCTTTAGCATCTCCTCTGGATCTTCATTATCAAGCATATGTATCAGTCGGGCTAATGAATTTTGTTCCTCTTGGAAATCCTCCTCATCAAGCTAAAGACAAACACAGAAAGTCCATTGAGGACCAAGATGTTAGACTAGAGCTGACAAGAGTTGCTCATTCCAAACCACGTGTGAAAAACGAAGGAAAAAGAGACAGCACCTCCTCTGTGTCGGTTCCTTCCAGATCCTTAATAAGTCCTTTTATCAATTCAAACAGCACCTCAACCTAGTGAAGCACAAATTGGCATATTATTACAGTAAACATTCATGTATCTATGTCTTTCATTGAAGAAAGTAGAAAGCATACCTTATCAGCAGTTGAAATACACGAGTCGTTTTTCATTATACTTTGAATAATAAGCATTGCCATTACTTTATTCGTTCCATCATCAAGATGTTCCATGACACGTGGATAGTTTGACAGTGTAAGAGCTGTAACTATGTCATTGTATTTTTCTAAAGGAGCACTCAGAAGTGCCACAACTTGTTTCATTGCACGGGCGTCCTCCAGCTTGGGCACACTGGAAAGCTTAACTACACATGCCCCCTGCAAAGTTTGCGGATCAAAACTTAGTTTAACACTAGCTCTACACCAGATTCAACTAATCACAAAACCTAAACAATGTATTATACACCATTCACAATGAAAACAATCTGATTCTGAAAAGGAATAATTATATAACGTAGATACAAGCTACATAGACAATATTAACTAAGGCACAATTTTTTAGGAAAGACGGCCACGGAAGAAAACCATACCAATACTTGATCCACATAGTCAAGCCGATCAGGGTGGACTCGGAGTGTAAACGTCAGAAGAGAGACAAACAGAGTCATAGCTCCACCAATAGGCATCTCAAGCTGTGTATCTATCACCTGCAGCTCACACCAAAGTCCACACGTCATATAAATATATTTCAACAAAAATAGAGTATCATATGCAGGAGGCTCGAAGAAACAAAGACTTGAAGCACTGAAGGCATTGGCCTGCGGAGTTTACCTTTCCAATTGCATTGCTCAATTTAGCAAAAGCTTCCACTTGCAAAAATTCGTGTAACACCTTCCCAAAAGTATAGAATAAGCCAGAAATGTCAGTAACATTAAAAAAAGGCAGGCAGATAGCTCAATAGGCACTTACATCTAGACTTGAGGCAGCATAGTTTGACAACCGGTCCATCAGTTGGGTTAACACTATCTTGGTGTCAACTGTTGGCTGACAAAATATTTCTTTAAGTCACACAATTGCATTGGAGATTAGAAAAGAGAAAACAATATCTGATTGCTAGCCTACCCACCATCAGTTGGGTACAAGCAGCCAATAGAGTCTCAAGAGTCTGCAAATGATACTCATCAGGAAAGACTTGAATTATGCACTCCATCAGATAATACTGAGCCAGCTCATCTTTACAGTTGACGACCTATTCAAGGTTTCCAGATTTATCAGATCATAAAGCAACTGAAGTCTCACCCATACCAAAAGGAAACTAGTGATAGATGCAAAGATTTGAACCTGCTCTAAGACCCTCGGAAGAACAGTCTCTTTGTACATCTCAAGGTCAACACCTTCGATCTGTCCTAGAACGTGCAGGTTTTTTCCAACCTGAGAGCAAAACGTTTAGATACAACTTATTGGGCAGTGACATGGTAAAACAGGGTATTCAATCCAGTAGTGGTATTGATAGTTACAAGATCACGAAGTTCGTTCCTCTCTTTCTCCTGCTTTTCTCGAACTGTTCCAGGTCCCTGCAGTCCAAGGAACACCTCATCTCAGGTTCACCAATATCAATGATTCACAAGCACCACACAACCTGCATGACCAAAAGCATGCTCTTTCATGGTTCATTTATGCTTCAGTCAGAGGCATGCTAGTGCAGAGGTGCTATGTGTGTATCTAACTGCATGCCAGTGCAGAGGTGCTATGTGTATCTAACTACAATCAACACTCTTCACAGATCGAAAAAATTCACCTGATGCTGCATTCGAACCCATAGCTTATTCATCTCTGTGAAATTCTGTAGCACAAATTCCACAGCATCCAACACAGTATTCGCATCTCTGCACAAGAGTTGCAAGGAGAGTAAACAAAGCACCCAAATTCAAAGGAACCAAAAAGAGAGAGAGAGAGAGAAAGCATAGTTATGACCCACCCTTCGTAGTCTGAGCCAATCTCAGGTAACTTATCCCTGCTCACTTGTGCAAGATAACTCCTCAAAAAGAGCCCACGAATTGGATGTTGAACACCTCTACACATCTCCACGAGATCCTTAAGAACATCCTTAGAAGGAGCCTGCTTGCTTTTGATGTAAACAGACCCTACTGTACATAGCAAATACCTGGTAGACCCAACATCACGAGTTTCCAATTACAAATCATTCAGCAAGACGAATCAATGCAGAGACCAAGAGAAAACATCCATTTTCTAGTCTAATTCTCATAACTGTAGTCCAAATTGAGATTCTCAGATCCTAATCCGATCAAGAGAGATAGAGACTAACTCAGCGATGAACACGAATCTAAATCATTTGCTTACATCCTGGGTAATATGTTCCCGGCGTGTTGAACAAGCTCATACAAATCCACAACGGGTAATCCATGCCTGCTCTCATCCTTGAAGAAAATCTCCAGCTGCCTCAATTGATCGAAAACTCGCATATCTAATTACCCGAAGAAACACACAGAATCCGAATCAGAAGAGAAATCATTAGAAATGGTCAAACAAGCAGGGGAATCGAGAGATTTTGAGCTGTGGAGATGGAATCTACAGAGATCGTAATATTTCTGAGGAGATAGCTTCGACGTTCGGAGCTCCGAAAGCATCAGAGCAGAGTACTTGAGGACTTCTCTGAGATTATTCGCGTCCTGAAGAGCAAAATTTCATCAGATCAAAAAGAGAAAATAACTCGTCGGAGGAGGAGAGAGAAATTATGAGCAAACGGACCAAGGCGCGATGCATGAAGAAAGCGTTGTGCTGGATTCCGGCGATTCCTTCCGCCAGCCACTTCTCCTCGTCTTCTACTCCGGCGAGCGTCCTCATCCTCTCTCTCTCTCTCTGTCAGCAGTTTTTTTTATTTTTCCAGTTGAGCGCACGAATAATAGACTTTCGTTTTTGCTTTTTGTTTAAATCATTATCTCACAATCTCGAATGTTTTGTCTCTGTATTTTTCTTTTTATCAAATTAAATCTCAATTGATGAAACTGTATGATTTTTTTATTGCAGTTGTGACTGTTTTGATCAATCAATTCACATTTATCATTCATCATATTGGTTTGCATCATATTACAAAGACTCTTTGATAAAAGTATATTTGTGTAGCCGAAAAGAACAATAGAGAGCCATATCATCAAAATTGGGTTAGATTAGAATCGTTGTTACAATCAGTCACTGTACAAGTCTGCGACTACAAGCTAAGCTACAGCTACATCTCAAAAATGGGCATTAGAAAGGGACTGTGTAAGGTAAAGAATAAATGCCCACTTCAGGCAAAAACTGAACTCTAGGCCAAGAGGAATCTCCACGGCTATGCAAACTCAAGCTCATGTCTTCATCAATCTTAGCTGCTACTTTGGGATTACTCTTCTCTTGCGCTCTATTCCCAAAGAGCCAATCATCTTCATCGTTCTTAGAAGAAGAATCAACCTCCATGGCAGGAAAACAAATGGATGGAGTCCAATCATCAAACAATGCATTGTATCGTTCTTCTTTGCTTGGCCTGTGCTTCTTTCTCTTTCTTGCTTCAGCCGCAGATGTCGACGGCAGATTCTCTTCAAGCTCAGAAACTTTGGAGCATGGGACCGAGTTCTCTTCAAGAACAGATACTTTCGAGCATGGGACAGAGCTTGTGACGACATCTTGCCCGATCTTCTCACTGTGCTTGAGAGACTCTGCAACTGGAGTGGAGCAGGCAAGAGGATCTTCCCGGGGCAGAGAAGGACTATCATCAGCCTTTGGTTTCTTGAAGATCAAACGAATCCGTAGAGGCTTACCAGCTACAGGAGCAGCTGCAAATACATTGAACAAATAATGTTAATCTACCAACAGCAGAAGTTGACATAAATCTCTTTGAGAGTCTATTGAAACAAACCTTTGACGAGACTTTCAACAGCAGGAGGAGAGTTGTCTCTCTTCCTCTTCTTACTATTCTGGCTTCCATCAGAATCATAACCGTGGAGATTTTGAGGAAGCTCTTCTGTCAAGCCACTCTTCTCAAGCTCAGACTCATTCGACACCGAGTGATTATGAGATTTCGATTTCGACTTCTCATGCTTTTCTTTCTTATGTTTTCTCCTCTCCTCCTTCTTCTCCTTCCGGTGCGCCGATTTTGAATCAGTTTTGATTCTCTCAATCTTTAATCAGAACAAAGGGGTTTTAGACTAGCGGTCTTAAGGGATTGGATCAACCATCACACTCAATGTGGAAACACTCAATAGAACAAGCTCCAAACAATACAAGTTATTGACATCTATAGACCTATTCAATACAGTACAGTGCATGCTTACCTGATTCTTAAAACCAATATCGATTTCTAATTCAATTGAGCAAATAAGATTATGTCAAACCTAATATGCAACTACATGATTCTGAGGATTTGACACTAGCGATACCCACAAGAAGGACAACCAAAATCAAAAAATCTCAAGGTTAAAATCGGATTCCCAAAACGAAAACGGAGAAGGACAACCAAAATCAAAAATCGGATTCCCAAAACAAAAACGGCATGATTAATTAGGTTTAGAAAATAGAGAGATTGAATCACAATCACAAAATACTTAAAAGCAGGAAACCAGATTCTGAGGCTCAACGAACCTTAGTCGAATCGACCAAGTTCTGACAGCTCGCCTGGTTCCTTGCAATCACAAGCGGTGACATACTATCGAATCGGGGGGATTATAGAGGTGAAGAGGAACGAACGATGCAATCTACTCAAAACTTTATCGCGATTTCGCCCCACACACCCAATTACGGATAAACCCTAGAAATTATCGACCTCGAGATGGAGAGAGAGAGAGAGAGAGAGAGAGAGAAGAGGCTTAAGCGCGATTAGGTATAATAAGGCAAAAAGTCAAAGGGTGAGATCCGTATTTATAGACGTAGGAGGAGAGACTCAGATCCACCGACTCGGGCCTAGTCGGTCACGTGTAAGGCCTTTTTTCGTAAGTTCACATTAGAGAGAACACAAAAAAACCCTAATTACGAAAAGGAAAATATCATAAAAGGAGTTACTAGTAAATTTTCTAAATTACTATCATCATTAGGCTCGGTCTAAGCCTCGGAGTCAACTTCGTCGTGGCCAAAAAGACTCTTTCACCCTTTGACGTTTTCTCAGTTTACAAAGAGGGTGTTTCCGTAAATTCCCACCAGAATGAAGAAAGTCAAATATATCACGGAAGGGTATATTAGTAACTTACTAAGACGAATAGGCTCGGTCCGAACTCCGAACCGCCGAGATAGCTACGTAGCTTCCACAAAGACCTTTTCACCCCCATGACCTTTTTTCCATTACAAACACGAGTAATGGGCTCGGGCTTTATTAAAAAGCCCAAATCTATCAAACACGTTTCTCGAAAAGTTTCCTTGTTCGCAACTCATGCGGTTTCTTCCTCCTACAGACGCGTTTCGTATTCGAACGTTCGCGTCTCTTTGTTTCATACTTTTCCGTCTCCTTTAAATTGAACACACTTGACACCAAACTAAGCAGAGTTTCTTGTTCGGTTTTTTCACACACATTTTCTTGCATACACATTTTCCGACAAAACTAGATAATAAACAAGAGACTCTCTTCTTCTTCCTTTTACTACCAAAGATGCGAGTTGTCAGAGAGAAGTTGACTTTCGATGCTTCCTCCGGCGTTGGAGTAATCTCACTAAACCCAACATTCTCTGTAGGCTTAGTTTCTCCATATTATCAACAAGCAAGTGACGTCAACAAAATGTTACAGGTTACGGTCACTTCTTATTAACATGATTTTTTCATTTTTCATTAGCTTTTTCTACGACATTTAATTTTTTTTATTATTATTATAATGTGCAGAATGATGTGACAAGAGAACTGTATCGTGAGTTTAAGCGTCTCCAGAACAGAGCCGTGTATTGTCTGAGAGAGAAAGACAAAGTACTTGGAGAGGCGAACATAAAGAGCAAAAGAATGGAGGATTCTTTGATGCAAGCCGTATTTGATGTCCATGCTACGAAGAACAAGGAAATCGAAGAAGCGAACAGAAAGAACAGAGAGATGGAGGTTTCTTTGAGGCAAGCCTTAGCGGATGTTAAATCTTGGAAAGCAGTTGCGGTTAATGCGATTCAACAAAACGCTTTGGGTCAAGATCATTCTAAAAGGCTTCATGAGAAGAGGAAGAGAGAAACCGAAGAGAGGAACGCTTATAAGAGATTTGCAGAGGACAATGAATCATCTACTGGTGAGAATGGAGATGATGATGATGATGATGAAGACGACTCACCATGGACCCGGATGTTTAAACGACGTTGTCTTTGAAAAAAGGCGGGGTTTGTGTGTTTGTTGTATTTTAGACACGTGTGTAATTCCTCTTTACCACGTGTTGTTCAGTGTTCTGTTCTGTTCCTGTTTCCTAACTAAATAACAAGTTCGATCCTCCAAACTTGTTGGAGGAGAGAAATTTTGCTTTGAATAAAAGGAAATTATTCAATCAGCGTCTTTTACATTTTCTTATATGGTTTAAATAATATGAAACATGAGTAATGATTAATGAAGTATTTCACGAAACGTCAAAAGATATGTATAACTCATACATGCATAGACGAAGAAATGAAAAGGAATAATACGAAATTGACGATGTTGCAATCTAGTTATTACATATCCAAAGTGATTACTACTTTCTTTTACCCCAACATATTTTTATTGCTATAAGTGTCAGAAAATTGTTACCAACTGTTTTTATGTCATCAAACACCGAAGAAAAGAGGATAGGTGAATGTTATCCGCAGATGAGCCAGTACATTCTAGGTCTTATAACTTGTCTCTTCATGTGCCTGAATATCAAATTACTTTGGGCCGGTTGATTTTATCCACAACTAATTCAGAACAGTGTCGGGGCTTGTAACATGTTTCTTTGTGTCATGTGCCACAATATCAGAATACTTTGGGCCGGTTTATTTCTATGATGTCTATACGTGACGAATCACATGCATGGTGTGTCAAAAGCAAAAAAAAAAAAAAAAAAAAAAAAAGAAGGATCACATGTCACATGTGTGTATAAAAAAGGTGGTAGCCGTTACTGAATCTCCTTAACCTCGTCTATGCGGTCGCACAGCTTATTAGGTGAAATTAATCATTACCGGATCAATGCATAAAGTTGTGTATGACTGGTTAAGTTTATAAGTTCTAGTTAAGAATAAGTAGAAAATGATTTAACTAATACTTCATATTAACTTTGTCAAAATTTTGTTAAGTAGTGGAATTCAATTCACCGTGTTGGTTCGATGTAAAGTAAAATCTCTGTGCCACTAGCCCACTACATAATAAAATTAGGTTGCGAAGTCGCATACGCATAGATGCACTCTTAATTACAGATCCAATCTTCGGTATATGTCTATATAAAGAGGAAGAGACATATACATAAATGCACAACTGTTAATTGTTGTATTGCTTTACGTGGATATGATATAATTGTAGCATTATATACATTCTTCCCCCCAATTTTTAATATTTTACTTACGTGGATATGATAGAGAGTATCATATGATTGTGTTTGACTAAACGATAAACAGTTATAGACTAGGAGCTTCTCAATCTTCAACGTTAAGAGTACCAAACTGTTGATGACGAAAACGAAAAAGAAAAGTAAGTACAGTACTTGACTGGTAACGATTGCAATCACGGGCACTTCTTTAATTATAGGTTAGGTTTTTAACTTTTTATCTATAGCGGTTTTGATAAGACAGAGATATACATGGAAACTTGTTACGTGTTTATAACCTTATTGGCTCAAATGTTTAAGTATTTATTTCATAATAATTTATGAAAAAAATTGCATTTACTGCTCCAACGGTGAACTGATTGTGGCACTGTGGGTCCTCTCAAAATTAATACCGAAGATCATGCTATCACCTAATCTTGATAAGACCTTTATTGAATATGAAAGCGCTTAACCACGTGGTGACGTCGACAGTCATTTAGCACTAGTTTATGTTCTTTAAAATCGGTTAAGGTTTCCGTTTAGCGGGCAAAACCATCCTTAAACGTTTGAGTAATATATTTAAGTGTTTGACTGTTTAGACGTCCGACCAGTCAGTCGGTATCAAGAAAAAACCATGTGTTGATAATTATTGTTTACAAACTAGTGTTTAACAGTAAAATAGAAAATAGTAAATCAATGACTAATATTTGTTAAAACCAAAAAAAAAAATGACTAATATTTGTAGGTGAGACATTATTATTTTAATTATTAGAATCTCATAAACTTTTTAAAAAATTATTTTATATGGAAACAAAATCTAAAACATCAATAATTGCAAAACAAACTAGTCAGAAGATCTCTATACGCCTCATGGGTATTCTTTAAGTCTCTTTTCTTGTGGCCATTGTTAGATAGGATCCAAGAAGTGTTATTTCTTTTTCGGATTCTTCAGAGTAAGAAATAACTGAATTTCTCAATAAATGTGTTAGTGTGTAATATATACTTTTTTGATAATGGTGTGTATAATATATACATAATTTGGTAAAACATAAGAACTGTGTATATTCATTTATAGTCATATGAGTTTGTACATCTACAAGACTTATTTGTCTCTTTAACAACTAAATATAGAAAATATTATATTCGTACGCAAACTGGAAGTGGAAGTATTTTAAAGTTATATCCCTGCTATGTATATATATAATCATCTATTTTTATAGAAAACCGTTGAAAGAAGGTGACAGCATTTGCGTCTCTCAATTTCACTCCCATGTGTGTAAGTGAAATAAATAGACTCCACGATGGTAGATACAAACTACTTTTATTGCCAACACGTATCTACTATCTATTTAAGGAAATTTCATCTTCTTTCGGGTTTTCCCATTTTTACTGGATGATAAGTGGGTGGGTCTACATATACAAATGTACTCACTAGAAAATGGTTACTAATAGAAGCCTTACTATAATCAGGTCTTAACTTACATTTAAGATCGGTTTTCGAAGATAAAATAAGAAATAATTTAGTGAAAAAAAACACTTAACATTCGTCCCACTAAACCTATGTTTTTTTTTTTTTTTTGATAAGAATATAAATCTCATATTAATCATGGGAAAATTAAAGGTTTTACAAACTTACAAAACCTATACAAGGGACTCCTTGGCAAAAAATATACGAAAACAAGGAAACACATGGTTAAAGTCGGATTACAAGATCAGGAGAGGCAAAGACTCACTAAACCTATGTTTCTTCAAGAAAAAGCTACGGATAAAGATGGTGGATATCAAAACCTAGGAGACTGATTTTATCATCTACGTACCGTTTTGGAATAATTTATTTTATTTATTCATATTTGAGTCAAACATATAAAAAGTTTGAAACAAAGTTCATAGGGATTTCGTCATTCGCTGGAAAAGTCTCGTTGTTAACCAAAAAAAGTGGTCCTCTAACCATAACACGTTCTGAGATATTAGAATAACATGTAGAGAGAAAAAGAAACATGTCAATGTCTTCAATTAATGAGAACAACCAAAAAACTATACATACATACATATATGAATACAAAAATATCTATACATAGGAAATTTGAGGATGACTATTTATATTCATCGTTCCAAGCTTTCAGAGAATCAAGTTTTTTTTTCTTCATTTGATCATTTCACACATACACACTACAATATATACAACATAGCATTAGCAGCAATGGAACAACGTCGTTCTGTTCATCATCACATCATTTCTTCTCGTTTCCTCTATTCTTCGTCTATACTGTGGTGTAGTTTCGTCCTCGTGTTGTTATTTACGACAACTACAAATGCTTTAGTGAAACTTCCGAAAAACGCGACCTTTCCGGCGATCATAGTGTTCGGAGATTCAATAGTCGATGCCGGAAACAACGACGATATGATAACGGAAGCTAGATGCGATTATCCTCCTTATGGCATTGATTTCAACGGTGGAGTTCCTACGGGAAGATTCTCCAATGGCAAAGTCCCCACTGATATTTTAGGTTAGTTTACTTCTACTTATTTCTTTTTCTTTTTACTTCGTTGAATAATATATTAATTTTTTTTTCTGTAAAAGTATATATTATTTATGAAAATTTTATATAACCTTACCATGCATTATTTATTGGATATACCGAATGCATTAGCTTAGCTAGCTACTTTAAGGTAAAACACGAAGTAGGCAACTTGTAATTAACCTACATTACGTTTTAAAAAATTTATTGTATTTACAGCGGAAGTATTAGGGATTAAACCAAGTATACCAGCATATCGGAATCCAAAATTAAAACCAGAAGAACTTCTAACCGGTGTAACATTTGCTTCTGGTGGTGCTGGTTATGTTGATTTGACAACAAAAATAGCGGTAATTAATCTCGAATTCTTATGTTCTAACTCTTTCTAATAATGAACTTTCTAAAATAACTATTTTTTTTATTGCTAACTATTTTTTTTTTTCCTAAAGGGAGGGATACCGCTATCGCAACAATTGAAATATTTTGAAGAATATTTAGAGAAATTGAAGAAAATGGTTGGAGAGGAGAGGACAAAGTTCATAATTCAGAAAAGCTTGTTTGTTATTATATGTGGTAGTAACGATATAGCAAATGACTTCTTTATTGTCCCTACGATTCGGCTCCAATACGATGTCAATTCTTTCACGGCTCTTATGGCCAACAATGCTCGCTCTTTCGCTCAGGTAAAGACAGTGACGTCGCTTTCTCGTGCACTCTTTTTATTTACAAAAAAAAATGTATTAATTAAGACTGATTATTGGAATTTTAACTCAATTTCCATCCTCTTTTAATTTGTTTTTTAATCATGTGGCGTTGGGTAGGCACTCTATGGATATGGAGCAAGAAGAATACTTATGTTTGGTGCACCACCGATAGGATGTGTCCCTTCGCAGAGAACCGTAGCAGGTGGACCAAAAAGAGAGTGTGTTGATAGGTTTAATGATGCATCAAAACTTTTCAATACTAAGCTCTCTGCAAATCTTGATGATTTGTCAAGAACTCTACAAGACACGACGTTGATTTACGTCGACATCTATAATCCTCTTCTTGATATCATTTTAAAGCCTCAACAATATGGTAATTAACAGTTACATTTTCGAACATGTCAATTTTATGGATTTGTTTTTTTGATAAGAGTATGTTTTCTTATGATCTTGTAGGATTTAAGGAGTCACATTTAGGATGTTGCGGAACCGGACTGATAGAAGTGACTGCACTGTGTAACAGCTACACAGCTAAAGTATGTCCCATAAGATCGGATTATGTGTTTTGGGACAGTTTTCATCCAACTGAAACTGCTTACAGAATTATAGTTGCAAAACTTCTTGATAGATATCTCAGCAGATTCATCTAATCGATCGATATAGCTCCTTTTAAAAAAAAAAAAGTGTTAGTCACACAGTATTCGACTCATGGTTATTTAAATTACCATTACAAGGCAAATAGTATAGATTACACTTTTTTGCAATTTCTCTTTTTCAAGGCTTTTCATTGTAACCTCATGATATTTTTATGGTTATTTCAAGAAGATTATTGTATACTTCTTCATGCTTTAATATAAACAACTTCGGAAAATTTTGTTCCTTCTCCATTTTCTACATTTCTACAATAATAGTACCAAATATGAAGATTGATGATAATCCTCGAGTCACCATTTTGTCACGTGATAAGAACTCCAACGTTTTGCCCTGCCTGAGTAAAAAAGTTTTGGACGTCGATCATAATCGGTATTTGGTACCTCAAATATTGTTGAAACGAAATTATACTGACATCTATAAATTTGGAATTGGGGACCCATTTTATAAGCCATAACATTTTTTTCAGACAAAGATAAATGAGCCTGATTTAACATTTAAAAAAAAATGAATGCCTATCAAACCGATTAAATTCTCTGACAAAAAAAAATGAATGCATATAATTTTGGACCGATTGATATATAGATTAATGCTTTAACAAAAAAGAGATATAAATTAATGTGGTTTGGTGAGGAGTACTTGGCAAGGGATCGGTGGATGTGGTTGTAGGTTGTTGGCCTCAGGGCCGGCCCTTGAAGAGGAACCCAACAAGCAAAGACTTTTAGAGAGCAATTATTCTTACATTTTAAGAACATCACTTTCAAATTTTGTCCATTAGGTGTTCTGGTGGTATAAGTATAACATTGATTATCTTCCATCTTGTATTTTTGTGGATAACTCAACTCCACATCACGTTTTTATTTTTACTATATGATGATTTTTAGATCGTTGATCATTTTAAAATAGGTCTTGATATCTCACTGGACATCAATGATATTTCTCTATTGATTGAATAAATACAAACATACCACAAGGATGTGTACACCAAAGTCTTTCGTCTCAAGCTTTCTCACCTACTTAATAAATTGACTATTTAGTAAATACGAACAGATCACAAGGTGTATTGATATTTCTGTACCCTGTTGTCTAAAGAAAAACTAACTGTGTATTAATTAGTTTGTATAATATAATTGAATACGAACATATCACAAATTCACAATTCACAAGTTGATAGGGTATTGATGTTTATGTACTCTGTTTTCTAAATAAAATTAGTTAATTTGTATAATGCATTTTACATGGTTTTGATTCTTCCCCTTTTTGGTAACTTTTAACTATATATAGAAGTAAATTTTTTTGGGTCTGTTTTAGCCTTTTAGGCTTTTTATAACTCTGGACCGGTCTTGTTTTGGCTGTGTGTGTTGTATATTTTGGAATAGTGATTTAGTGGAAGGACTTACTTTTTTCATTTCTGTATAAAAAATATAAGAAATCTCACATGCCGAAATTTGTCAAGGTACCTTAATCTAGTTGATTTTTAAATGTTGGATCGAGACTAGTAGCTATTAAGAGTACAAATTTCTTAAATACTGGATATATATCGTCGATCGTTACACATAAGTTTTATTGTCTCAACTCATCATTCCAATTAAAGCTTCCAAAGAACAAAATATATGTTCCAAACAAAAGATACATTCACAATGAACCAAAACATCAATATTGTTCATCACATTACTTCTTCTCCGTTGAGACAATTTTGGTGTGTTATCTTTCTCGTGTTGTTATCTGACACGACCATAAACGCTTTGGTGAAACTGCCGCCAAACAAGACGATTCCGGCGATTATAGTGTTTGGAGATTCTATCGTCGATGCCGGAAACAACGACGATATGATAACGGAAGCTAGATGCAATTTTCCTCCTTACGGCATCGATTTTAACGGTGGAGTTCCTACCGGAAGGTTTTCGAATGGCAAAGTTCCGACTGATATTATAGGTTAATCTCAGTTTGCTTTCTTTGATGTACGTGACTGATTATATCACAACATTCCGACATTTCCTTAATAGTTAACAACTAAACACTAAACACTTCTGTTATTATGTTAGATTAATTTGTATTCTAATATGTTGGAAAAAGAACACAAATTCCGTGGCTTGTTATTACAGCAATTTGTGTTACATTAGTTTATACATTTTTCAAAGATTTTTCTATTACAACTTTGTAAATAAATCCAAACCTACAAAAAAAATTTCTATTATAACTCGTAACATTTTTAAAAAAAATTGACTTGTTTTTTTCTGTAAAATTATTTTATTTAATTTTTGACTTGTTCTTTTTTGGTAAAATTATTTTTGACTTGTTATAGCGGAAGAATTTGGAATTAAACCGAGTATACCGGCATATCGAGATCCAAATTTGAAACCGGAGGATCTCTTAACCGGTGTAACATTTGCGTCTGGTGGTGCTGGTTACGTTCCTTTCACAAGCCAAATATCGGTAATCCAACTCTGAATCTTAAAATATTTTTGTGACACGTGATTATTTCTGATGCTATATTTCTCGTTTACAAATTATTATTGTTCTTAAAAGGGAGGAATAGCTTTATCTCAGCAGTTGAAATTATTCGAAGAGTATGTAGAGAAATTGAAGGAAATGGTTGGGGAAGAGAGGACAAAGTTCATAATTCAAAACAGTTTGTTCATGGTTATCTGTGGTAGTAATGATATAGCCAACACCTACTTTGCACTTCCTTCTGTTCAACACATATACGACGTCGCTTCGTTTACTACTCTTTTGGCCGATAATGCACGATCTTTTGCTCAAGTATGATACATGCATAATCTATAAACTATTTTCTTATTTATTAGTAAGTTAGATAAACTACAAGGATTTGGATTTTTCACCCTTTTTTTTTCTTTTTCCTAAACTTTGTATTTAATAATGTGGTCTGTACAGAAATTACATGAATATGGAGCGAGAAGAATACACGTATTCAGTGTACCACCACTAGGATGTGTCCCATCACAGAGAACCGTAGCAGGAGGAAAAACGAGAAATTGTGTTGTTAGATTCAATGATGCAACAAAGCTTTACAATGCCAAGCTCTCTACAAATTTGGATTCTTTATCAAGAATTCTTGGAGCTAGGGCATTAATCTATATCGATATATATAAAACTGTTCTTGATATCATTCTCAACCCTAAACAATATGGTAAAATATTTCATTCTTTCTTTTTTCTCTTTGGTTCTTCACCAAGAAGTTAACATAATTGTATGGTTTTCGTGAACGTGACAGGGTTTAAGGTGGTTGATAGAGGATGTTGTGGAACTGGATTAATTGAAGTTACTGCCTTATGCGGCGTTTTCGCAAATGACGTATGTTCAAACAGAAATGATTATGTGTTTTGGGATAGTTTCCATCCCACTGAGAAGACTTACAGAATTATGGTCGGAAAATATCTTAAGAGATATCTCCACCAAATCCTTTAGTTTACGTCTACATGCAATGCAAGTTAGTCTGATTTATCATGTCTTTTGCTATTTATCATTCTTTATAATAAAGAGTTGATATGGTTTATCGTAATACATTGTTATATGCCATACTGTTGGATGTTTTCCTATGTGTTGTTTTTCTCTTCTAATTCATATACATATCTCTTTTTCTCTCTTTATCTTAGTCCAATAATGTATCGGTTAATCGCTCGCTGCAAGAACCAAAGCGGCAAAGCCCATCTCGCTGCCATTTCCATGCAGTGACACTGACAACAATAAAGCCCACCTTTTAGTTACACGTTTTATAAGCGTGCCTAGGCTTAGACAAATAAGATGATTTGAATAGACCTAATTCAAGTACATCTTTATTGATGATGATGGAAATCAGAGTTGAGAAGACATATAATCATTAAGGAAGATTAAAGTTTTTCGACTGGCCGTACAAATTATTCCAAATCTTCACTCGTTCGGTGATAAAAAAATATATACTCAACTAAGGCTACCTATATATATATATATATATATATATATTTTTTTTTTTTTTTTTTTTTGTGGGGTCAAATGGATTATGGATGCCTAGAATAAGTTATCCATACTTAGATATGGAGTTCTCTGTGCATTATATAAGTTATGAAAAGATAAATAAAATCAACTCTAATAATATAACCAAATCGAATATTTTAAATATCTTCACACGAATCACACCCAGACCATTCTTTCCTAGAGATCACAATATTACAGGTCCGATCAGAAACACTAGTAAATAAAAAAAATTGAATGTGTAGGAGAGCAGTACAGATGGGATGTCAGAGAATAGTTTGAAGTGGTAGGAGATAGTTGTACAAAAGTTATTGGTGGTACCGTTTTAAAACAGTTGTGCGAAATTAGTTGGTGATACTGCATGCTTTCGGGTTTTGTTCTATCGTTTTTGTTGAATCGCTTTTTTATAAATATGAAACAATTAGCTGAAAGCCTGGACTACTTAATTATCACGTTGGATCTTATCTATCACGTTGGAGAGGATCAGCTCCTGGTCCTGGACTAGTTGATTATATGTATATTTAATATCTTTAGAATTGTTTAGCATATTGGACCTACTAATAAATGATAAATTTAATTTCACTCAGATAGTGAATGCTTATCTCACCGAATTCTAAAAATCTAATGAATGGCTTCACTGTATTTTGTTTCTTTTGTCTTCACTATACGTGGAAGCAGCTACTTCGTGACTTCAACTTGGTCGCTGACGAGTTGTTTATATGAATACTATAGGCTATAGCCTGAGTGTAAGATGACCCTATAATTAATATATAGTTATAGCTAGGACCATTTATGTCATAATTTGCGCTCTCGTTTTGTAATATTTTCCCACGGATTACCATAGTATTTGAATAGAGTCTCAAATCACAATGTTTCGTACTAATTCAGTTATACTCACTTCAATTCAAAATTTATTAGTTTTCTGTTAAGAAAATAATTCTAAAATTTAGATTATCTTCAAATGAATTTCAGTGATATTTAAGTTAGGAAATACTGTTAAGCATAAACAAGGCAAAAAACACTTTCTTTTTCTCTGCACATATTTGTACAAACATTGCAAACTCAATTATGTTAGATAGTGGTTGGGCGATAATATAGTTGCGTCAGTCATTAAATTAAGTCCCACATTCCAGTAGCCTTGTCGATATAATCCCTCTCTTAATTAGCTTGAATTATCGGTTACTTGAGCGCTGGCTTACTATTTTGAATTCTATTATTATTACACTTAGACAGTCGTTAAATAGGTAGTAATAACAGCAAGCTTTTCTCGAAATACACGAATATTTTTTCTTACCTTTTCTATCACGTGTATATGTAGCGAAAGCTACCTTATTCACACTCAGATTTGTGGTGGTGATAGAAGCATCCATCACCTATTGCCTGTGATCTACATCTACCCTACGCCTTTGTTTCATTTCTTTATTTATTCGTATTTACGCATGATGAATCGTTACCTCGATTTTTAAAGAACTTGTGAATCAAATAAACGTAGAATATGTTGCAATCCAAACCAAAAATGATACCAATGCTGAGCTAAATATGGTCTCTAATAGTCTTAGTTGTATTAATTATGTTGACCTAAAAAGTTGTAGGTTGGTAACAGTTTACATCACATGCTCAAAGGTTTTAGCCTGGGATTCTTAAAATTAATTAGTATGTTTATCACTTCAACGTAACCTAATTGTCGTATTAGATTATACTATACTATATGTATTTGGATTACAAATGTATATTAACTACATTTATTACCTTAACTATTAACTTATTATATCCACAATACAGTAATCCATGATCCACGATAGAATATTTACATACCAAAATATTTAATTTTCAATAAATGCTTTCGGTTTTGAAGCAGGGCAGTGTCTTTAATACTCCTATGAGTAAGATATTACCGTTGAATTAGCGTTGATAAACATACGCGCTAATACTAGTTACATGCTTCATGCTTGTCACACTGGTATGATCGAGACTAAGTACACGATCTCGATCAGTTGTTTCCTGCGATTAAAATTATTAAAATACCCAACCTATATCTAGAAATATGTTTCATGTCAACTTGTTAATTAGGTCTTGTCCGAATTCTACGGCACATTTGTAATATAAATTATATAATACACACAAAAATTAATATTAACATGCATTGATGCATATGTCTATATCATATCAATAAGTTATAAGTCTGTTAGAAGAAAAATTGATATATAAGTATCTGTTTGTCCTGGTTATTGTAAAGCTTCAAGGCAAACTTTTCTTTTATAAAAATCTCATTTAGTTTTTTTTACGTTACAATAAAGCAAACATGAGAAACAGTATAAGCTGGTCTTCTTCTTCGTGGAAACTATGTTTGTTGTCCGTTCTCTTGCTCACCGAGACGATCGCCGCCGTAAAACTGCCGCCAAACGTGAAGATTCCGGCGCTAATAGCTTTTGGAGACTCCATCGTCGACACCGGAAATAACAACTATGTCAAAACCGTGGTTAAGTGCGACTTTCAACCTTACGGTATCAATTTCAAAGACAGAGTTCCCACGGGAAGATTCTGCGACGGACGTGTCCCCGCCGATTTGATAGGTCCCTTCTCTTGACTCTATTCGTCTCTAGATGTTACTATATTCTTCTTTTTTCAACTTTAATGCAAAAGGAGACAACCAATGAAAAAATAGATTCACACACATTTATATATTACGACCGTTGATTGTTAGGACACAAGTAGTGGCTACAGAAAATTACCTGAGCAATCTTTTGTTTGTTTTTTACCCCTTTTAGAGTAGTAGTTAAAAACCAATGAATGAGTATTCGTACCAAAAGTTATCCTGAAAAATCCTGTTCGAGTCTTCTGAAGACTCTAGTCATGATATTTGTTAAGAAAAATGTTATATATATAAACCAAAAAAAGTTTTAAGGAAATATATTTATTTGTATGCTTTGTTCTTATTTGCAGCCGAAGAAGTGGGAATAAAATCAGCTGTACCAGCATATCTTGATCCAGACTTAAAGCCCCACGATCTTTTGACCGGTGTATCATTTGCGTCTGGAGGTTCTGGTTATGATCCTTTAACACCAAAACTAGTGGTAATACTATTGATGATCATTGTAGTTTGTTTTTAATCGTAATTATTTTGTTTATCCTAACTACTATTTAATTGGTTTAATCTCTATTTGTTGATGGTATTAGGCAGCTATACCATTAAGCGAGCAATTAAAATACTTTGAGGAGTACATAGAGAAAGTGAAGAACTTAGTTGGGGAAGAACAAAAAAGCTTCATATTAGCCAACAGCGTAATCTTGTTGGTCGCAGGCAGCGATGACATAGCTAATACATACTATGATATGCGTGCAAGACCTCATTATGATGTCGATTCCTACACTACTCTTATGGCCAACTCTGCCACCGATTTTATTACTGTAAGCTTCTCTAATGTTTCAAATAAATCTGTATATACATTATACTCCAAGGCATTAATAGTGGGAGGTGTATAAAATAGGTAGAAATAAAATCACCGGCTATATACTGTTTTCCGTGAATATTACTTTAAAGGCATTAATAGTGGGGATGTATAGATTGATCATTAATGTGTCTCATGCATCTTTTATCTTCTTTTCTTTTTTTGGCAACCTTTTATCTTTTTTTTTTTTCATATCTTACAAAATAGATTAAATTATGTGTGGATTGAGTTTTGTAAATTTTATTATATATTAGTTATGCATTTAATTATACTGATTGTGTATGATGAGATGAAATTAACAGAAATTATACGGATATGGAGTGAGAAGACTAGCTGTGTTTGGTGCACCACCACTTGGGTGCATACCATCGCAGAGAACCGCCGGAGGAGGTCTTTTCAGAGAGTGTGCTGAGGATTTCAACGTAGCAGCAAAGCTTTTCAATTCAAAGCTCACCAAAAAATTGGATTCGTTGCGTAAAAATCTACCGGGTATCAGACCGATCTACATTAATATCTATGACCCTCTTTACGACATCATCCAGAAACCTCAAAAATACGGTAATGTTTCATTTTCCTTGTACTAGCTTTTTTTCTTCAATATGAAAAATGTACTTACTTCAAAGTTATGATTTGGGTTACTGTAGGGTTTGGAGTGTCTAATAAAGGATGCTGTGGAACCGGAGTGATAGAAGTTGCTGTGTTGTGCAATAAAATCACATCTTCTGTATGTCCCGACGTGTCTAGTCATGTGTTTTGGGACAGTTATCATCCCACAGAAAAAACTTACAAAGTGTTAGTCTCTATGTTGATTGACAGAGTTGTTAATCAGTTCGTCTGAACTAAAACTATTTTCGGGTCTTAATGATTATTTATATTTCATCATGTTTTCGTTTTGTATAATTTAAATTGTATTCGCTCTGAATATGTTTTATAATTATTGTTGTTCCATTTTTTCCGAGTATTATGCATGCAATCAGAATTTTACATCACACCTTACAAATCTTGTAGTTTGATTCGCCTTAATCTCGTTGATATGAATAGTCAACATGGCAAAACAAATCAAATCATCATATATAACATTTCACTCATATAGGCCTTACTTATTCTCTGGTGTAAACTGACTACGTCTTCTTAAAATTGATATTAAAAATTCATTTTTTAAATAACCCTTTTTTGTATTTCTGTTATTAGAGTTATTGAATTATGATATTCGTAAAAACATGCTGACATTCATCCTGTGTGTACTAAATGCTCCCATACATTTTTAGCTTCCATCGACAAACAAGACTTAACGTCTAAAAATAGTTAAAAAGACACTTTATATACTACTGACATGACCTCAGAAGCAACCATGACTGTATTCTCTTTAAAACATAAGAGAATCTAAACACTGTGGGGAAAAAAGAAAAATGAACTTAATGTTAAATATGTGTAGGAAAAAAATATTGGTGTTAGCATTATTTTCCATTCATTTCATATCAACAGAAGCTGATGGATCATTTCCTGCTCTTTTGGCTTTTGGGGATTCAATTCTTGATACCGGTAACAACAATTACCTCCTGACTCTGTTGAAAGGAAATTACTGGCCATATGGGAGGAGTTTCGACATGAGAAGGGCGACGGGAAGATTCGGAAATGGAAGAGTTTTCTCCGATATTATTAGTATGATTTCATTTTTTATTATAATGCTTCTTTGTAATTCAGTGGTTTATATATTATATTAGTTTGATACTAAAGTTTTGTTTGTTTTTTTTTTTATTATTTTGCAGCCGAGGGTTTGGGGATTAAAAAAACTTTACCAGCTTATCGTAAGTTGTTCAATTCTCCAAGCGACCTCAAAACTGGTGTTTGTTTCGCATCAGGTGGTGCAGGAGTCGACCCTGTTACATCCAAAATGCTGGTGAAAGAAATTAAATACACTTGTTATTTCGGTTAAAACATGTTATATATCTTAACTATTATTGTTTTCTAATTAATAGAATAATGTAATTTTTTTTTTGGTGATGGTTTGGTTAGAGAGTTTTATCGCCGAGCGACCAAGTAAACGATTTCAAAGGCTACATAAGGAAGCTAAAGGCCGTAGCAGGTTCAAGAGCAAATAATATAATTGAAAATGCAGTGATTCTTGTTTCTCAAGGAAATAATGATATTGGAATCACATTTTTTGGGACTCCATCTGCAAGAATGCGAGGGATGACTTCGTTTAGATACACCACTAAACTAGTTGGTTGGAACAAAAAATTTATGAAAGTAAGACAAAAAGAATGATGTCTTTTGTATTCATCAAATGTATATTCCTTGACAATATAAATTTTGGTTTATGTATGTGTGAAGGATTTATATGACCAAGGAGCCAGAAAATTCGCGGTGATGGGAGTGATTCCATTGGGATGCTTGCCTTTGTCAAGAATATTTCTTGGTGGGTTCGTCATCTCGTGTAACTTCTTCGCGAATAGAGTAGCTCAAGATTACAACAAAAAATTGTCGGACGGAATTCAAAGTTGGGGAAGTGAATTCCGCGGTGCAAAATTTGTCTATGTCGACATGTATAACACTCTTACGGATGTTGTCAAAAATTATAGGAAATACGGTACGTTTATTTAGGCACCATCACTAATTTACATATAGTATTATAGTAGTGTTATCATCAAACATTTATATAGTACTTACGTATCATCATGTTCTCTAATGTTGCAGGATTCACTAATAATAAGAATGGGTGTTGTTGTATGCCTACGGCAATAGTACCATGCCCTTTCCCTGATAGATACGTCTTCTATGACTTCGCTCATCCTTCCGAGAAAGCCTACAAAGTAATTTCCAAAAAGCTTATCCAAGATATCAAGAAAGGCCTTGCCTGATTCCTCCTCACAATGCTTTGTTGTAATTTTAATAAACCTCACACCGTTAATTACACAAATCTTTCATTGCGAGAGGATAAAAACCAGACATGTTGGATCTATCTCTTATTTCTTGTAATGAAGAATTTATAATCCAGTGTTATGTAATGTTCATTTTAAATAATTTAATCCTAGAACAATTTCATTAAAATCGTATCTGTGAGATCTGAGACTTTGATCACTCTATCACCTTTACTCGAAAGTCAGAAAGAAAGCTAGAAAAGACATGTATGGATCTCTCTTTATAACTAATGTGTGCTCTATCTCTCTACACAATCGGTTATAACCCTAGAAACTCAGATCGAATAGACATGTAAGGATAAAGGAGACATTTGTAGGAAAGAAATCAAATAATCATTCCCCACTATCTTTATCTAAATCAGATATATAAAAAAAAGGAACAAAATTAACACTTTCGTATCAAGTGAATTAAAAATCATTCTTTTTTGTTTGTTTCTGTTATCAGAGTTATTGAATTATTATATTCGTAAAAAACATGCTGACATTCATCCTGTGTGTACTGAATGCTCCCATGCATTTTTAGCTTCCATCGACAAACAAAGACTTAACGTCTAAAAATACTTAAAAGACCACTTTATATACTACTGACATGACCTCATAAGCAACCATGGCTATATTCTCTTTAAAACATAAGAGAATCTAAACACTGTGGGGGAAAAAGAAAAATGAACTTAATATTAGATATGTGTAGAAAAAAAATATTGGTGTTAGCATTGTTCTCCATTTATTTCTTATCAACAGAAGCTGCCAATGGATCATTTCCTGCCCTTTTGGCTTTTGGAGATTCAATTCTTGATACCGGTAACAACAATTACCTCCTGACTCTGATGAAAGGAAATTACTGGCCATATGGGAGGAGTTTCAACATGAAAAGGGCGACGGGAAGATTCGGAAATGGAAGAGTTTTCTCGGATATTATTAGTATGATTTCATTTTTTTGTTACAGTGATTCTTTGTAATTCAGTGGTTTATATATCATACTAGTTTGATACTAAAGTTTTGTTTCTTTCTTTTTTTTCAGCCGAGGGTTTGGGGATTAAAAAAACTTTACCAGCTTATCGTAAGTTGTTCAACTCTCCAAGCGACCTCAGAACTGGTGTTTGTTTCGCATCAGGTGGTGCAGGAGTCGACCCTGTTACATCCAGAATGCTGGTGAGAGAAATTAAATACACTTGTTATTTCGGTTAAAACATGTTATATATCTTAACTAATATTGTTTTCTAATTAATAGAATAATGTAATTTTTTTTGGGTGATGGCTTGGTTAGAGAGTTTTATCGCCCCGCGACCAAGTAAATGATTTCAAAGGCTACATAAGGAAGCTAAAGGCCGTAGCAGGTCCAAGAGCAAATAATATAATTGAAAATGCAGTGATTCTTGTTTCTCAAGGAAATAATGATATTGGAATCACATTTTTTGGGACTCCATCTGCAAGAATGCGAGGAATGACTTCGTTTAGATACACCACTAAACTAGTTGGTTGGAACAAAAAATTTATGAAAGTAAGACAAAAAGAATGATGTCTTTTGTATTCATCAAATATATATTCCTTGACAATATAATTTTTGGTTTATGTATGTGTGTGAAGGATTTATATGACCAAGGAGCCAGAAAATTCGCGGTGATGGGAGTGATTCCATTGGGATGCTTGCCTTTGGCAAGAATATTTCTTGGTGGGTTCGTCATATCGTGTAACTTCTTCGCGAATAGAGTAGCGCAAGATTACAACAGAAAATTGTCGAACGGAATTCAAAGTTGGGGAAGTGAATTCCGCGGTGCAAAATTTGTCTATGTCGACATGTATACCACTCTTACGGATGTTGTCAAAAATTATAGGAGATACGGTACGTTTATTTAGGCACCATCACTAATTTACATATAGTAACAAAAAATTAATTCCGCGGTGTTATCATCAAAAAATTATCATGTTCTCTAATGTTGCAGGATTTACTAATAATAAGAATGGGTGTTGTTGTATGCCTACGGCAATAATACCATGCCCCTTCCCTGATAGATACGTCTTCTATGACTTCGCTCATCCTTCCGAGAAAGCCTACAAAGTAATTTCCAAAAGGCTTATCCAAGATATCAAGAAAGGCCTTGCCTGATTCCTCTAAGTCTTAACCGCAGATAAAAACCAGACATGTTAGATATCTCTTATTTCTTACTATGATGAATTTATAATCCAGTGTTATGTAATAATGTTCATTTTAATTATATGATCCTAGAACGATGTCATTAAAAACGTATCTGTGCGATCTGAGACTTTGATCACTTTATCACCTTTACTCGAAAGTCAGAAAGAAAGCAAGAAAAATAAGAGACGTGAGGTTTCAAAATTCCTGAAGTGTTACTTTTGTAGGACACAAAAATAATCAAATAACTATCCCCACCATCTTTATTTAAATCAGAGATAAAAAAAAAAAAAAAAAAAAGCAACAAACTTAACACTTTCATTTCGGATCAAGTGAATGAAAAATCCATGTAAGTCATTCAGGCCAAAGTGAAACAGAAATCATGATTTAATTAGATATGAACTAAAAATAGTAATATATGCTAAGTATTCATAATATGTGTTTTTTTTTTGTTAAAAGGATTTTCGTATTCATAAAAGTTTCGGCGGAAAATAGAAGAACTAGGTGATATTTGCAAGTTACCAACGGTACTTCAAGCAAATAGGCTTCTCAATTGGATATATATTTTATGATAGTATAAAAACACATCGTCCACGAGAGATTTGAAAAAAATAATGATATCTCATGGTAACAGCTAACTAAATTTGCACAAATACAAAGAAGGTGCACTAAGACGTAACTTAAAAAAAAAAAAAAAAAAAAAAAAAAAAAAAACTTCGGGTATCTATATCACTATATGGAGTTATTAAACATTCTAACATCCATTCGGTGTGTACTGTACTCTCATGCATTTTGGCTTCCTTGGACAAACAAAAACCAGACGTCTAAAATTGTTATACCAAAAAAAACCATCAATTGATTTCTGCATAAAACATAAGAAAAGTTTTAAGAACTGGTTCGGATTAAGAGTGAACTTATGAGTTTTAGATATGTTTAGGGGGGAAATATTGGTGTTAGTATTATTTTCCATTTGTTTCCTTTCATCAGCGGCTGAACAAAAATTACAAAACACATCATTTTCTGCGCTTTTCGCTTTTGGTGATTCGATACTTGATACCGGTAACAATAATCGTCTCCTTAGTCTAATCAAAGCAAATTATTGGCCATATGGTTGGGATTTTGATTATAAGATACCGACGGGAAGATTTGGAAATGGAAGAGTTTTCACCGATACAGTTGGTATATTAATATCACATATTTTTACATTGTTTCATTAGTAGAAATAGTATTCTCATGTGGTGAATTCTTCTATTGTAGCCGAAGGTTTGGGGATCAAAAGACTTGTACCAGCTTATCGCAGGGTTCGTAACATGAAACCGGACGAGCTGAAAACCGGAGTATGTTTTGCATCGGGTGGTTCAGGACTCGACGATCTTACATCAGCAACGCTGGTGAATTTGTGTTTTGAACTTGTTATTTTCCATTAACACTATCTTGACTCATGTTTTCTAATATATGTATATCTGGATGGTCGTGGGTTGTTTGGCCAGAGAGTTTTATCGACAGGGGACCAAATAAAAGATTTCAAAGAATATTTGAAGAAACTAAAGAATGAGGCGAAAGATAAGAAAGAAATGAAAGAAATCATTTCAAACGCAGTGTTTCTTATTTCCGAAGGAAATAACGATCTTGGATACTTTGCCGCTCAAGCTCATTTACGTTTAGACTCCATAGATACATACACAAGCAAAATGGTTGGGTGGACAAAAGTATTTCTACAAGTAAGGCCAACAAAATATTTCATTTTATCAAAGCATTTGCATTAAACTATATGTATTCTTTTGGTTTATGTATCTACTAATATATATGAAGGATTTATATGATCTTGGAGCGAGGAAATTCGCGGTGATGGGAGTGTTGCCGCTGGGATGTATGCCTGTGCATCGAATTGCATTTGGTGGGGTATTCGCATGGTGTAACTTCGCATTTAATAAAGTTGCGGAAGATTTCAACACCAAACTGCAGAAATCTCTTCAAAGTTACGAAGTAGAATTATGTTTTAAAGGTGCAAAGTTTGCTTACGTCGATATTTACGGCACTCTTATGGATCTTATCAACCATCCTAAGGCCTATGGTACGTAAATAAACATACCATGAATAAGTGACCATTAACAAAGTCTTGATAATATATTGGTTTTTGACTTCTTTCTCTAAATCAGTGACTCCATTGCGTCAATTTTAACCAAAAAACATTTTAGATATACTAGAACGTACGTGTTTTTATATGACTAAATTTCTAATGAAGTAGTTATGACAATTTACGTGTACATATGCTTGCAGGGTTTACAGAAGAGAAACGATCGTGTTGTATGATGCCAACATCAATAATAAAATGCTCAAACCCGGAGCAGTACGTCTTCTATGACTTCGCTCATCCCACCCAGCAAGCCTATACAGTAATATCCAAACCTCTTGTCTATCAGATGAGGAAAGCCCTTTCCTGATTAATTTCTTTTTATTGTAAAGAATGTATAGTCCAATCATGTATTGTCCATTTTATAAAGCGTTTGTTGACAAGTGTATGTATGTTTGCTCAAGAAGATAAACCACCAAAGAGCTTATATACAATGTTAAAGTTTTATTATAGTGAATGTTAACTCAAACCCAATTGATAATGAGTGCATTGGTCTATATGATGGTTATTACGTGCCATCACAAACAAGTCCTGCTTTGATTACGACCGGCAATAATTTAAATCATACTCGAGCCACTCACAAGACCATATCAACAAACCTGATTCCACGAACTTTAAACTCAAATTATTCTATCATGCATACTTCATATGTGGGATTTCTACACATTTGGAGATTTTTAAATGATTTATGTTCTATCATATTTGGAGATTTTTACTTTTATTTTCAACAACGGCGTGGGAATTAATATTTTGCATGTTTATTAAATATGTAGTCATGCCTAAGAAACCTCCTTTAATTCTGTAGTTTTGTTTTGTTTATTGGTTGGTTTCGTAGTTCACACTAATTGCATTGTTTTAAACTTCCGAATATACCATTTAAACTACTTTATTTGTATATTTACTAAAACACTTTTTCTGTTTTTTTTTTTTGTTATCAGTGCATAATTCACTGAAAATATTATTCAAGCAACAATTTTCAGACGAATATTAAAAAAAGAAAATTAATGGAAAAATCTATCTTATATATTCATACCACACACTTTTCATCATCTCCTACATTCCCATTCACTGCCGGTCACGTATGTGAATCACGTGGCTTACATCTTCCCATATGTTGCTTCAAGTTTAAGAACTAATAAAACGAACATACACTTAACAACAGTGTCTTAAAAGGCTCTTTAAATTCTCTATATATAACAGCAAAATTCCCTTCAAATAAATTTGTCTACTCACATTTCTTCAAGTGTTTGATTTACTTAAGAGATCAAATACACACTAATGGAGAGGTTCCATAAGTTTCCTCTCCTATGCTTGGTTCTGCTCCTCGGCCTGATCGGCTCACCAACCACGGCCGATGAACATGTTTGTTCTGATACCGAACACACCTTTTCTCGAGCCAACTTCCCCAAGGATTTCATTTTTGGTACCTCAACAGCAGCTTTTCAGGTATATACATTATATTTACCAAGCTGCAATTTGGAAGATTAATTTGAATCTATCGTTATCAGAGCGAAATGTTTTGTTAATATCTGTAACAAAATAATTCTTGAAATTTTTAGTGATTTATGTGGTAAAATCCTAATTTAAATAGGTTGAAGGAGCTGTAAATGAAGGATGTAGAGGTCCAAGCATGTGGGACACCTACACTAAGAAATTCCCACGTCTCTCTCTCTCTCTCTCGTCCTTTTTCTAGTTCATTTTTATTAGTAATTTTTTTTGGCCAATTATATATACAATGATCTGTTTTTAAGAAAACTAATCTAATTTTTCAGATAGATGTAATTATCACAATGCCGACGTTGCTGTCGATTTCTACCATCGTTACAAGGTGTTAATTTTGTCAATTATCCTTAGTTTGTCAATGCTTGTGAAGTTCTTTTGAAAGAATACTAATTAAAATAAACTAAAAATTATAGGAAGATATCAAGTTGATGAAAGATCTGAACACTGATGGATTTAGATTTTCCATTGCATGGCCTAGAATATTCCCACGTAAGTGAAATATCTCACCCTTGTTTCAAAAAGGTTAAATATCTCAACGAATTATATTTCAATGGCTTCTTTTCCAAATATTTATCATAATAAAAGTAAGTATTAACAGATGGTAGGATGGAAAAAGGAATAAGCAAAGCTGGTGTTCAATTTTACCACGACCTAATCGATGAGCTTCTAAAAAATGGTAATTAGTTTTCTTTCTGATAAACTAATCTAACTTCACAAACTCTAAATTATATCAGAACTATTACTCGTACTAACTCGTCATTCATTTGAAAATTCAGAAATAACACCAATGGTAACCATTTTTCACTGGGACACTCCTCAAGACCTAGAAGATGAATACGGTGGCTTCTTAAGCGACCGCATAATGTAAGATTTTCTTAGTAATTTTTTTTTTACATTCAAATTCGACTTGCTATGTTAGTATTAAACTGTATGCATTTTTTCGTATATTTAGAAAGGATTATACAGAGTACGCAAACTTCACATTCCAAGAGTACGGACACAAAGTGAAACACTGGATCACATTCAACGAGCCATGGGTGTTCAGTCGAGCTGGCTATGACATTGGGAAAAAAGCACCGGGACGTTGTTCTAAGTACATCAAAGAACATGGTGAGCTGTGTCACGCTGGACGGTCAGGATTCGAAACTTATATCGTTAGTCACAACTTGCTCTTGGCTCATGCCGATGCCGTTGAAGCCTTTAGAAGTTGCGAAAAGGTTTTCCATACAACATAATCATCATTCAAACTAAATAATTTCTTCCAAATATTTACGTACTTTCATGAACAAGTAAATTGTAAGCATTTCTTTCTTATATATTTATTATTTACAGTGTAAAGGTGGTAAAATTGGGATTGCTCACAGTCCTGCTTGGTTTGAGCCGCACGAGCTCTCCCAAGAAGAGCACGAAGAGCACGAAAAGCACGAAGAGCACGAAAGTCCTGCAGCTCATTTGATTGACTTCATCTTAGGATGGTAAGAAAATAAAACAAACCCTAAATATAACTTAAAATGTTGAAATACACATGTAAATGTGTGACTGATACTAATAATGATTCCTCAGGCATTTGAATCCGACAACACATGGAGATTATCCACAATCGATGAAGGATCATGTCGGTCATCGACTACCCAAATTCACAGAGGCACAGAAGCAGAAGTTGAAGAACTCTGCTGATTTTGTAGGAATCAATTACTACACTTCACTATTTGCATTGCACGACGAAGAGCATGATCCTTTGAAACCAAGTTGGCAGAGTGATTCCCTCATCGACTGGGAACGTACGTAAACCTACTTCTTTTCCACCAATTTTTGATATTACTAAATTTAGACTATTTTGAATATTTTTTGTTTTGATGCTTTTTTGTTCAGCAAGGTATGTTGATAGATTCAGTGCTTTTAATAGTAAGGTACGTGTTATTTTTTTCCTTTTTTGGTTATTATTTACGTAAAATTACAATATTAAAAAACTGATTTGTCTTGTTAATGTTCTGTATTTTTAAGCCTGATTTTGCTAGAGTGGAAGTCTACGCAAATGGTTTGAGAAGCCTATTGAAATATATAAAGGATAAATATAACAATCCTGAAATCATTATCACCGAAAATGGTTAGGGAAACGTTTGCCTAAATCAAATCTCATAATCATTTTCAAGAAATCACTATGATTTAACTTTATAAACCTTGAATGTTTGTTTTAAGGATACGGAGAAGATCTAGGCGAGCACGACACAAGTCTTGTAGTGGCCCTCTCTGATGAACACAGAAAGTACTATATCCAGAAGCATCTCTTGAGCTTAAACCAAGCAATTTGGTCAGTGAACAAGTCATGTTTTTGATCGAGTTATGGTATTTTAGTAATTTTGTGACAAATGATTTTTTTTTTTTTTTTTTTTCTTTTTGTAGCGAGGATAAAATAAACGTTACAGGGTATTTTCTTTGGTCACTGATGGACAACTTCGAATGGCAAGATGGATATAATGCGAGATTTGGGCTCTACTACGTCGACTACAAAAACAATTTGACTCGCCACGAAAAAAAATCAGCTCAATGGTACTCGAATTTCCTCCTAACTGGACCAAGCGAGTCCGAGCTTGAGCACGATGAGTTGTAGAGTGAATTCTCTGCAATATACTTTGAAGATTTGAGTCATAAATCATATTCACAAACTCTTTGTTTACAGTCAATGTATTTCCATCTTAAAGTAAATAAATCAGATCATCTATATGAAAAACAAGTAAAGTTTGGCTTTGTTATTCGTATTCAGAGTTGTAAGTTTTTGGATATTTGGATGTCATAAATCAAGATCTTGGATTACCGTGCTTTCTCTAATCCAAGTTAAACGCATAGATAGTCCATAACTATAACTTTCATAAACTCCACAGTGTGTCTATAATAAGTTAATAACTAAATGAAACGGAGGCACAACACAACGTCTTTAACAGGTTGATGAAATGTACGTGTTCTGATACACTTACAATGTTTCTATCGTAATTTATGTTTGCTAACTGTTTTCGCATAATAGGGAATGGTGTCCACGTGAAAAAAACTTCGGTTACATAAATATTTTTATGTGTTCTTATTGTTTCCACATTAAGTGGTAGAAAACAACAGTAAACGTGAACTCGGTTACAATTAATGTCTATTTGTTATAAAGTGAATTGTCGATAATGATGAAAGTTTACTTTCAACACTATCCATGAAAACAAAATCTATTCCAAGACTTATAGTGTATTTTACTTGGGTTCTAGTTTGCTCACTGAAAATCGAAAGAACCATTTGTAACGTTTCTAGAAATTTATAGATTTTTAACTTTTAACATAATTAAATTTGATTTTTTCATCCAAAATTATTGTTTTATGTGAATAATATATCATTATATAAATTAATGAATGGTTTAAAATAGTTCTCTATTGATTCATTCTTATCCTATAATAAAAAAGAAGATCATTATTGATAAATTTAAATAAAATCATATCTAATGTAAAAACAATAGAAAAATATATAATTAATGTTTTCTTATTCTAAGGAGATATTAATTTATTGAGAGATAATTAGATAAAAACTTAATTTAGAACTCAAAAATTCTGTTAATCTATAGAGATATTACTTTATTTGAGTATATTACTAAATTCTACTGTAAATGAATGAATCTAGATATTTTTACCAAACAAAAAAATGAATCTAGATATAAAATCAAGATTGTTTATTTTTATTTTTTTTTATTTTACATTTTTATCCTATTTGGAAAAAACAAATCCAGAAACTAATCTATGAGTTAAACACACATCATGTAACAGAATTCTCTAGAAGATTTACAAAGCACAAAGACCGAACTAGTCGGAATCAAATATTTTTAACCTTAATGGCATTAGGATTTATTTCTTTTTTCGAAAAACTAAAAAACAATTTTCCTTATTTCCAAAAAATAAAAGACCGACTCACACAAAAGCCTAGGGATTTTATTTATATAGACGACTCTCTCTTCACATCTTCTCTATTTCCTTCATCGCAAACTTTTCCTTCAAAACCAAATCTCTTTTCCAGTTTCCTCTCATCAGAAGATGTCGACGACGAAGAAGATTGTGTTGAAGAGTTCCGATGGTGAGTCCTTCGAGGTCGACGAGGCCGTGGCTCTCGAGTCTCAGACCATAGCCCACATGGTCGAAGACGATTGCGTCGACAACGGAGTCCCTCTCCCCAACGTCACGAGCAAGATCCTCTCCAAGGTCATCGAGTACTGCAAGAAGCACGTCGAGGCCGCCGCTTCCAAGACCGAATCCGCCGACGCCGGTACCTCCGACGAAGACCTCAAGGCCTGGGACGCCGAGTTCATGAAAATCGATCAGGCTACTCTCTTCGAGCTCATCCTGGTTAGTCTCTCCCTCCCGATCCTCTGTTGGTTTTCGATTTCGATTTTGGGATTTGAAGGGTTTCCGATTTGGAAAAATTAGGGTTTCGTTTCGTGTTTCTGAAAATTTGGGGCTTTTTGAAATTGTTAGGGTTCTTGTGGAATTGAGCTTGAATTGTATTGAGATTTTGCTTCCCTGGATCCGAAATCGACTGAAACTGAAATTTCTAGGGTTTTTTAGTTTGTTCATTTGTAATCGAAATTGTGAATTGAGACTTCGGTATATGTTTATGTGTTCTTATGTATGTTTGTTTGTGTGAGATTTGTTGTTTGGGATTTGGATGTAATTGGTTTTGATGATTTGGATATTGTAGGCTGCGAATTACCTGAACATCAAGAACTTGCTGGACCTGACATGTCAGACAGTGGCTGATATGATCAAGGGGAAGACACCGGAGGAGATTCGCACGACCTTCAACATCAAGAACGACTTCACACCGGAGGAGGAAGAGGAGGTTCGCAGAGAGAACCAATGGGCTTTTGAATGAGCAGCAGAAGGAGAGAGAAGTCTTTGGGGGAGTGAAGAAGGCGAATCAAAACCAACAAGTTTCTTCCTTTAAGCTATTTTCTTTTATCTCAGTGTCTTATCTATCTATGTGGATCTTTCGTTTCTTGTTTTCCTTTGGAAACCCATGACTATGTTCGTCCCCTTCGTGCTTTATTTTTATCAAGGACCAATGTGTTTGCTCTTTGTTGGATGGATAATTTGTTGCTTTTAGAGATCTTGAAAGAGTGGTGTTGGTTTGTCTTGCAATGATCTTATTCCCCTGAAGCTAAATCGACTGCTTTCGTCCATCCTAATAACTTTCTTCTTCAGAATAGTTTGCGTGGTTTGTTTTGGGAATGTTGTTGTGGGGATGATTCAACTGAATTGGCCAGAGATTTGTGAGAATAACCCTTTAGCATTCTTGGAGAAAAGTTCAGGTGGTGTTGGCGTCAAAATAAGATGTGCAGAGCTATTCATTTTCAGGGAAGCAGAGCAAGTCTCTCAATTCTTCCTCCAAGTGGGGATTCAGGTCAGATTTGAGGAGATCGAAATCGAGACTGCTTAGTTTGAAGGAGGTTATATAAATGGTACTTACGAGTATTTTAACAATGAGAGCTTAGAACAATGGCTTTATGACTTAATTAGCCGTACAAGCACCTGTGCTATGCGCGCAGGTTAATTAGTATATCCTCAAGGCATATGTAGAGTAGGGCTGCTGCATTTCTCACTCATGAGTCATATACCTTCTGAAACAAAGAAGATTTTGTATGATTAAGTTTTGTATAAATGATCTATTTAACTCAAGTTACAAGCACTGCTTGCTTCCATTTATAAAATTAAACTCTTTCATCCCGTCCCTTCTCGAGCAGGTACTGTCTTTGATTCAAGCTTATCTTGGAAGAACAGAGGATGCTGAGGAAACAGAAGAATTAGATGTATAGGAAGAAAACGAGAGGAAGGAGCAAAGTGTAACTACTACTTAGGATCCAAAACCCAGTCTTGACTCCTTCAGCCCATATGAGGCCCACATCTATCTCAACAACAACAACACACACACAGAAATTCCTAAGAGAGAATTGAGAATAATTCTTCTTTGAGAATCTTTCATATACAGTACTCTATCAGTTCTAATTCCCTTTTAGTTTACAGCTGGAAAAGTGTTTTCATATAATCATTGAAATTTGAAAATATTAAGATTCCAGTTTGCATATCACATGTTGATCGATAAGGAAACATAATACATATGGAATGTTGATAAGGAATCATTGAAATATGTATTATTGAGTAGTGTGAATAACTTATCAGTGTAACTGTGTATATATATACAAGCAAGCAAGCATTGTTTCTTTTCTAATCTAGCTGAGCTCTCTCATCACTCTTTCATCACTCGAGCAGGTACTTCAACTAACCAAATTCAGGCAACATTTGTTCTTCTATGAATTCGTATTTCTCTTTTTATTCAAAAGATTGGTATTTAAGAGGTTAATCATAATATCTTCAGTTAGAATGTGTTGTTTGTTTGCATATAACAAAATGACTGACTCTAAATGAGTTTCGTGGTGTTTATCTTCTACAAATAAAAATTCCAAAAGAAAATCTATTAAATTTTGTATCTATCATTACTTCAGGAAATAACTTGTGAAATTACAACTCCCCATTATTCGTTCCTTTGTAAAACCATTCTTTTATGTTATCATCTTCTCGAGCAGGTATTCACATTTTTAATCTCTTTCTTTCGACTAATCAACATCTTCACTAATTAATCAACATTATTACTTTTACTTGTCTTTCTTTGTCTCAACTCCACAAGAGCTAGAAAAATGGAGGAGATGAAGCCAAGTGCCGCAAACTCACCGCCGTTAACGCCGTTAGGATTTCTGGAGAGAGCAGCAACCGTGTACGGAGACTGTACATCCATCGTTTACGGAAACTCCACCGTGTACACGTGGCGGGAAACGAATATCCGCTGCCTCCGCGTCGCGTCGTCTCTGTCTTCTTCCATCGGAATCAGAAGATCCGACGTTGTCTCCGTCCTCTCAGCTAATACTCCGGCGATGTACGAGCTCCAGTTCGCCGTTCCGATGAGTGGCGCAATCCTCAACAACATCAACACCCGCCTCGACACTCGCACCGTCTCTGTTCTCCTCCGTCACTGCGAATCTAAGCTTCTCTTCGTCGACGTGTTTTATTCCGATCTCGCCGTCGAAGCGATTTCGCTGTTCGATAAGCCGCCGATTCTCGTCCTCATATCCGACGAAGAAGAGAGTGTTGACGTGGCGGATCGTTCGAAATTCTGTTACTCGTACGAGGATCTGGTTGAGAGAGGGGATCCGGAATTTAACTGGGTCCGACCCGTGAGCGAGTGGGACCCGATTGTGGTCAACTACACTTCCGGTACGACGTCGTCTCCCAAAGGAGTGGTCCACTGTCACAGGGGCATTTTCGTCATGGCGATTGATTCTCTAGTCGATTGGACCGTACCGAAAAATCCGGTTTACTTGTGGACCTTACCGATGTTTCACGCTAACGGTTGGTGCTATCCTTGGGCAATCGCCGCCGTCGGTGGAACTAACGTCTGTTTGCGGAAGTTTCAAACGCCGTTAATCTACCGTCTGATTCGTGATCACGGCGTGACTCACATGTGCGGTGCGCCGGTAGTTCTGAACATGCTAACGGCGGATCGGGAATCTCAGCCTCTGACAAGTCCGGTTCATTTCTTAACCGCCGGTTCTACGCCGCCAGCTTCGGTGCTCCTCCGCGCCGAATCTCTGGGTTTCATCGTCAGTCACGGGTACGGGTTAACGGAGACAGCCGGCGTGATCGTCTCCTGCGTGTGGAAGCCGAAATGGAATCTGTTACCGGCGAGCGATCGGGCGAGATTGAAAGTCCGGCAAGGAGTGAGAACCGTCGGGTTTACCGAAATCGACGTGGTGGATCCCGGGTCGGGTCGGAGCGTGGAGAGAGACGGAGAAACCTTCGGGGAAATAGTGATGAGAGGGAGCTCGATCATGCTCGGATACTTGAACGATCCGATCGGAACAGGGAAGTCTCTGAAAAACGGGTGGTTATTCACCGGAGACGTCGGAGTGATTCACGGAGATGGTTATCTGGAGATCAAGGATCGATCGAAAGATGTAATCATAACGGGAGGAGAGAATGTGAGCAGCGTGGAGGTGGAGAAGGTTCTGTACACGAACCCGGCGGTGAATGAAGCGGCGGTGGTGGCTAGACCCGACGAGTTTTGGGGAGAGACGCCGTGTGCGTTTGTGAGTCTGAAAACCGGGTTGACCCGGAAACCCACGGAGAAGGAGATTATAGAGGATTGTAAGAAGAAGATGCCACATTACATGGTGCCTAAAACGGTGACGTTTCTTGAAGAGTTGCCTAAAACTTCCACAGGGAAGATTCCAAAGTTCGTGCTTAAGAAGATGGCCAGTAAAATGGGTTCCACGAGGTTAAGTCGGATGTAAATTGTAATAAAGTTTCATCGAAGTGTAATATTATTGTTTGAAAATACAGAGGAAGCGGGAGAAATTGAAATATTTGTTTCATGATCAAATTTATTGAAACAAAAAAAAATTATATTTTCATAGCATAAAAAAGCTCCGATGCCGGGAATCGAACCCGGGTCTCCTGGGTGAAAGCCAGATATCCTAACCGCTGGACGACATCGGATTCATATTCTTCTGTTCTCTTTTGTGTAATATAATTAAACAACTCTAATTATTTATGATATTATAAGATCTGCAATGGTGCCAAGCACATATTGCAATAAATATTATACTCAGAAAAAGGCATAACTATCACACAGGTCAGATGATACTTTTCCATAAGGGTCTTGTATTGCTGGAGACCAAGTCGATCGCTGTAATGATCTAGTATATCTCATGTGGAGTCTCGAGTAAAATCTACCAAATGAGATATACTAGAAACACTATATTCGTTGACATGGTCTCAAACAACACGAAACTGAATATGGTTATGAGAGTTACCGGCCGACGCATGCGATATTTATGCTTTTGTGAGGGTGATTGGGTGAACGAGATCTACCATGATAATTTCATTACCAAGAAGCTATGCCACAGGATCGAAAATTGTAAAAGAAAAAGAGAAAAAAAGAGAAGGTTTAAGAATGGGGGTAGTGCCGGAGATCCAATTCTAAAGACATCATATCTCCACTTTTCTTGTTTCTTATTTTTCCTTCCTTAGCTTTCTTTATATACTGATTTCATAAGAGCCAACCTAACCAGATTGTACAATTTTGTGGGACAAGGATCATGGTTGCATGAATGAATAACCAAAATTTCTTAAACAGCATATGTTATGTTAGCCCTGCCCAGTAGAAATTTAGTTCCATTTATTGCTAAAGTTATTGACCACCACCAGCAACAAAAGATTGTTGAAATTAATTAATATCGAAGTGATAAAAATCAACCAATGTTCATGGACTTCCTCACACTTCAACTATGATAGGATGCACATCATGCATTCCATGGACGACATTTTCTTGAAAGTCATATGTTATGTTTTGTTGAGTTGAAATGTTAACTACGCTGAATAAGGTTTATGAAAATATCGTCTCCTTGAATTATATAGTTTCTAGATAATACTTTGACAAAGAAAGACAAAATTTAACAGTATTTTAAATTTTTGTCTTTGTTTAGTACAGCAAAAGAGTTTCATGAAGAACACCATAGACCAAACAAAAATTTGCTTCTAGAATTGTTTTCAGAGAAAACACAACAGCTGTAATAAACCTTCAAAGTTCTTTACCGAATCTGACTTTAAGCCCTAATCATCTTCAGCTTCGGAGCAAAACACGGCTTCCAAAGAAATCAATGGTGGTTTCGGCAAACTGAATCATAGAGAAACTTCTTTCTTTTCTTTATATTCCTCAAAAGTTATCAGTGATTCCTTGTTCTTGGTCCAATCCGCAGGTCTTGGCATGATTATCGCAATATATCCTTCACGATCAGCCTGAAATTTAGATTTGTTTTACAAAACCAATGTGATCAAAATACGGATCATCCTCAACTTTATCATACTCATATACAAAAAGCAAGATATTCAATTTTTTTATCGCATTTCTTACCGAAGAATTAAGAAGTTGTGGTTGCTTGATTAATCTCTCATTCACCTCCAAGAGAGATCCCTTAACGCAACACCTTAGCAAAACCAAACACAGAACGAGAGAAAGAAAACTTCAGTCATTTTACACATGAGAAACTTCGGACTATAAGAAAAGTGAAACCGGAAAATTCTTTGCACCTCACAATATAAGACTCTTTTGCAGTGGACACTTTGCACAATGCTGTATTCGATTCAGAGCGCATAGCATTCTGTACAAGAACAGAAATGTAAGAACACAAGCTAAAGACTCAATTCAAGAAAACGAACACACAGTTTCTAGCTATCATAACAATTAGGCAAGTCTTAGAAAGAAAGCTCACTTTTTTACGCTTGCCGGAGACTTTCAAGACGCTGCGATCAGATTTACCGACATTGAAATCGATGTTAGTGATCCCACCTTCGTCCTTAAAAGCCAAATGCGTAGGAGCCAATCCAATCACACACAAACTTAACAATCAGACAAACACAAAAGTAAGTAATAAACCAATTTCATTATTTTCAAAGAGATGAAACAGAGAAAAAAGAACAATATTTGAAATTTGACATACCCATTGGCGTGACGATAGATGTATTGATCATGACCAGGTTTAGTAAAATCTGAAACCGAGAAAGAAAATTGAAGAACGGGTTTAATCACACTATCAAAAGGTGGGTTTTTTGGATAAACAGTTAGCTGAATCTGATAACCTGTGATGAAGTAAGAAACGAAATTGACTTGTGTAGCTGATGGAGGAGAAATCGGAAGCTCTCCTATATCTGCAAGCAGCAGATTTCTCAATTCGTTTTCGTCTTCTTCATCTTCAGCTACTTGAGTTTGCTTCTCCTGCTCGTCGCAATGTTCTACTTCCTCGGATTGCTTCTGCTTCGTTAATTCGATTATCTCCTCGATTTCTGGATTCTTCGCTTCCTCAGTCTTCTGAATCTCCATTCTCCGATAGCTTTTAATTTCCAAACAATCGTAAGAATACAGAACGAAATCGTTTCCTTTCGAGTTTTAGCCTTCCCGGCGGCGGAGTAACAATCGGACTTACTTCGCCGATCGTGAAATTAGATAAACTAATGGGCTTTATCATTATAAAGACCCATTTAGATTCTACAAAAGCAACGGTCCATACGTTTTGAGTCATCTTCTTTATCAGAGTTTTTCTTCAGTCGGTGTATGTATCACCCAAATTTGATGAGCTCTTAGAACTTCAAAAATCAAAATCGCAGTGAATTCGTTGAAACAGAGTCTTCATAAGCAAAACAATGTGCGCATTAAAAAAAAGTCAAATATCTCGAAATAACACAGACAACAAGAGAGTAGAAGAACAGTACTCAAATCTTAGAAATCATCATCGTCTTCCTCAGCCATGTACTTAGCGAGCTCTTCTTCTTGCTGCTTCTTCTCCCTCCTCTTCTCGTCGCTCTCTTTCTCCCTGTGCGTGTTCGGCGGGAACCTCAACGCCCTAACCGCTTCGTTGTGCATGTTCAAACAGAAGGCGATCCTCGAGTTAAACGCGGTCTGAGGCTCGTTGGTCGAGTAGATGTCTCCAGTCTCCTTGGAGACCATATAACCCTTCTTGTGGTCGATGGTCGCGTCGATCGCTCCGTCTCTTATGGCTTTAGCCACTATGCTCTCCGCGTCAGCCACCGGGTTCGCTGAGTTCAGTCTCAGCTTCTGAGCCACGTCAGGTAGAGAGATTCTCGAGTAGGAGATGCTGATGTTGCGCAGTCCCGTTCTGATCACGTTGTGTCGGAGCCTGACTATGAGGTTTTGAGTCTTGTCTTTGGCAAATGTCTTTGCAAAACTCTCTTGGACGTTCCTGAACAGCTCCAAGTCACCAATCCTCACAGCCTATCAACATTCAATCATATTAGTATGAGATCGTTGCTTACTTCAGAATCAAGCTTTTGCAGAGATCGTTACAGATGCAAGAACTCACATTGGTCAGCTCGAAATATGGCCTGAGAGCCTTCTCCATTCCTTTCTGAGTGAAGATGGATCTCTCTGGAATCTCACCCAAGAGTAGTCGAACTATGATGGCCCATTTGTTGCATTGGATTCTGAACCCTAGAGCAGCGATAGGTGCTTTTCTAGCAGCTTGGAGGAGGCTCTCTTTAGCATCAGTGTACTCGAGTTGGATCGTACGGATCTTACCGAGGTAAAACAAATACCTACAGAACTGTAAAAAAAAACGTATTGTGAGATGTGTATCCTCTAGCCAGAGAACACTGAATTTAGATAATTTATTACAATTTGGAGATATTGAGGTCTAAGAAAACAGGAGAAGGCACAGATAAAGCAAAGAAAACAAAGGCTTTAGCATAAAGCAAACAGTCACAGAAGCGATATAACATATAATCTAGAAAGCTACGATAATCAAGTGAATGGAGGAATAAGCAAAAGGTACCTGTTGGTTAGAGTGAGCCTCAAATCGAGGAGCTTTTGATCTTAGCTTCTCTGCTTGGTCATAGAGGTTGTAGTGCAAGTAGTTGCGAAGCAACAGATTCAGAAGTGTCTCCTGCATTCATGAATAGAGTATAATTTGAATAACCAAATCAAAAAGTTTTCATTCAGAATTTTGAGTGTTTTTGTATCATTTGTAAGCACCTGACCCAACTCATCATGGCGAAGTGTTGCAGAGTGGTGCAAGGCAAGAAGAGTACTGAAACCAGAAACAAATCAATCAGATAAATTGATACTTTAATCTATGAAGAAAGGAAGATATCATGAAAATGAAACTCACCCACGTATCTCGGCGAGATCGCCTGTAAGCTCATAGCTTAGAGAGTAGTAAAAGTACAATCTTGAAGCGATCACATCGATGGTTCTCCTGTTAACACTCTTGAGGCGAGCAATGCTTGCTGTAGAGCAAGCTTTAGCCTGAAAATACAACAAAAGCAAAAGCACATCTCGAATCAATAACGAAGCAAGATTCATAAATCAAAGTCTGTTGATAGAAACTTGAGAGAGAGCAGAAGTAAACCTCGCTGTACTTCTTCTGATCAATCAGAAAAAGAATGACAATGAAGTAGCAGAAGATCTCGAGCTCTGCAGGTAAGTGCTTGAGAGGAGCTTGTGAAGTCGATGATGCAGTATCAACTTCCATGTCATGTTCATTACTCTGTACCAATACAAAATAGATCCAATCGTCATTATCTAAACAAAAATCCAACGGAAATCTCCAATTCAGTAAAAAAAAAATTATCATCCCAAACATCAAAAACTATGCGTAATCACTAAAATCCAGGAGTTATAGAAGCTGAGAAGCGAAGCCACACATATTTACCTTGGGAACATAGGAGGAAAGACGAGTGTGAGCCTCGGATCCAGGAACCAAGGTGAAATCGAGGAAAGAGGAGATCACGGAGCTGGTGAGCTTCTTTCTTAGTCCGACGGTGAGACGAACAGCTCTAGCGATCCGGCGGACTTCCTTGGTGTAGGATCCGGTGTCGATTAGAGTTGCAATCTCCTTCAAATCTGGAAAATCCAATGTGTGAGACGATGAGCGATGATTTCAATTTTGAAACAGAAGCAAAAACTAGAGCATAGAATCGAGATTTACGCTGAAGCGTGGAGGTAGGAGCAGAAACGACGGATTGAGTTGGGGTGTTCTGATTATCTTTCATCTCCACGTCCTGAGTCATCTTCTCCACACAAATCTCAGTGTTCTTCGCAAAAGAGTCGTCAGATAAAAAAAATTGAGAAGAGAAGGGCTCTGCCGAACGAGATTAAAAGTAGTTCCCTACTATAGCTTTCCCTTTTTTTTCTTTGGTTTCTCAATCTATTTTCTTTTCTTTTTCTTCAAGACAGAATAAATGTTATTTAATTAAATAATTCTCTGGTACAAAAGGAGCAACAGAGTCGTTGTAGTATAGTGGTAAGTATTCCCGCCTGTCACGCGGGTGACCCGGGTTCGATCCCCGGCAACGGCGTATTCTTTTTAATAAATATTTGTCGTCTTTATACGACACCGTTTGGAATATGGGCCTTTTTGGATACTGTATTCATGTTATTTTTCTTTCTTACTAGATCCCACACATACCCAACAACAAAATCTCCCAAGAGAAATCGATTGCTTCCAAATCCTTGGCTTACGAGTGCGGTAACGTTTGTGAATCAATTATGTCATCACTTGGAAAATTTCAAAAGAATCGTTCACGTTCACTTGGCAAAATTCCAACAATCGTTCAGATTTCAGAATATAGGAAGAGTAATTAAGAAACAAAAGAATCAACTGTTCCATCACATTAAAAACTGATCAGCAAAGACAAAAAACCGAGTTCAATTTGTTCAGACTCGGTCTCACTCTCACCTAAACAAAACTACAAAACAGTGAGAAGAAAAAAAACGGAAAAGAGGATGCCTCAGTATCTTCTCTAACAAAAACCCAAGACGACGACCGCACATAAATAAATTGAACATATTATCCTAAACCAACTCTAAAGAAAGAAACTGTAAAGAGTGAACCAATGGATAGAAGGGGAAAAAAAGAGGGAGAGATACACTTATGGCAAACATGATGTCTTCTTGATGGACAGAAGAGAACATAAGAGAGATAGAAAGAGAGAGCAAAAGAGATAGAAAAAAAAAAAACATCCAATCCAACGACTTGGCTCTCTTTTTTTTTTCCTTTTTATGTTTGCGTAACAGAAACCTCACTCTCAAACAGCTGCCTGGGCTGGTGGTCCATCTGATCGGTTGTTGAATCCACCACCACCACGACCTCCTCCTCCTCCTCTTCCACGACCTCCCCTTCCACGTCCACGTCCACGCCCTTCATTAAACCAATTCAAAACTCATTCACACAAATTCGATTTTAAGAACAAGTTTCAAAGAAGAAGAGTTTTGATTATTATTACCACGTGGAGGACCATCGTAACCACCACGACCCCCCTGAGGACCATCGTAACCACCACGACCACCTTGAGGACCATCGTATCCACCACGTCCCCCCTGAGGACCATCGTACCCACCACGGCCTCCCTGGGGACCATCGTAACCACCACGGCCGCCCTGGTGAGGACCATCGTAACCACCACGGTCATCATATCCACGGTGTTCATCGTAACCATAACCTCCATCTTGTGGACCGTCATACTCATTGGGAGGACCATTGTACCCTCCTCTTCCACGACCACGGCTGTTGCGTCCCCTGCCACCGCGTCCTCTTCCTCTACCATACGACTGGTTACGTTCCCAACCTCCTTCTTCGTACTCAACGTTCACATAAGCATTTCCTGCCACAAAACAATAAACAACAAATGTTCAAAATCTCTACTGTAGACAGAGACTTGTGAAGAAGCCTGGTGATGCAAATGTAACATTGCTAAAGAAAATCTTACCTCTTCCTCCACGTCCCCTTCCTCTCCCCCTTCCTCTTCCTCTTCCCCTCCCTCTGCCACCAGGTGAACCTTCTGCAAGATATGGACAAAATAAAACTTATAAAGAACACAGAGCAAGTGGGATTTGGAAAGACACTGAGAGTGACTGAGTGACTGAACATACCTCCTCCTTCGTAGTCGATATCGCCTAATGGCTTCACCAGCTCAGCTGGAATCGGGAGCTGGTATCTGCAAACATCATTTACAGTAAGGAAATCTGTCAAAAAGAGAAGGAAATTTGTATGCCATACAGAGATAGCCTCTGCCCAGACAATTGCCTACAAAAATTAATCAGAAAGATCATAAAAAGAAACTCACCCAACAGAGGATGTATCAAGCTCTTTCGTGGATAGGGTAATGGTGATCATGGATACATGCCTTGTGGTCTCGATACTTCAAGAACAAACAAAGAGGAAAAAAATCAGTAACATTTTAATAAAGTCACAAATCAAGAAAAGAAAATCATGTTAAATGTGGCTACTTACGGTAGAAGGCCTTCCTCTCGAGGTTCCCATGTGTCTGTGATGTCGGTGGATCCAATAGATGTGTTCTGGTGAAGATCAGGGATCCTTCTCTGCGTTACATAATAAAATAGTACATTTTCAGATAACTCGTCATCTAAACCACATTTTTAGTGAATTCGACAGGGAACAACTAATAAAATTACCTTAATCAGCTCTACAATGGTCACAGTCTTGTTGATAGCTCTTCCCATTGCCTTGAATACAACTTCACTTGAGCCTTTCTCCTATATAAAGCATAAACATAACAAAATATCTAAATTAAAATTTTCCAAAATCACGTTTAATAATAAATGACATAGCTAATTACTCAAAAAATCAGAGTATCTATCTGCCACATGATAAGAAATCCAGAATCATAAATTTGTTGATTTGTTCGATCAGAATCAAGCTCGTGTCAAAGAAAATTTGCAGTAGATCTTATACAAATATACATCCATTTCCCAACCAAGTGTAAATTATATCTGACGCCTAGATCATACAAAGAGTTTATTTCACAGCTCAAAAATCTTAAACCTGGATTCGAAAAACATTTTCACAACAGCTGACAAAACCGTTCAAAAACCCCTAAAACCATATCCATTAACACGCAATGACTATGAATTGGATTCATAACATTCATAGCAGGAGGAAGAATATGCAGATTCAAAGAGACGACGCAATACCTGAAGAAGAGTCATCGCATAGGTGATGTAGTTTCGTGCTCTGCCCAGACTAGTGATTCGAATCTCGTTCGCATCAATCGGTGTCTCCCCCTTCGGCTTCTCCACGCGCTGGTACTTATCCATCTGAATCCCGCCGGAAAACAAAAAAATCAGAAGAATCAATCACTATAGCTCCACAAAAATCCCCCGAAATGGAAAAAAATCAGCGATGAGTTATAGTTGAAGCAAAAACACAGAGAGCCGAAAATGGATTAGAATCGCGTTTTCATTTTCAAATTCATTAGTTACCTTATGCAGTTGTTCTGGTTAGATCCTTGGAGATTGTAGAAGATTCAGATAAAAACGGGAAATGGTGGTTTTGGTTTGCCCAGGAAGAGCCCTCTTTGTACGGCTTCGTCTCTCTCCTTATACGCCCTAAGAGCCATTTCTGATGCAAGCGCCTCTCTGATATATATCAGCCGCACCACTTCTCTTCCACACACACGTTGCACTACCCTAATCGGTTTTCGGTTCGCGATTTTTGCTCCCAACCGAACCAAGATCAATCAACGTGAACCGATAATTAAACCAGATAACCGTAAATTTTATAGCAGCATCGGAATATGAAACCGGGAATGTTCTGAAATTCGGTTCAGTGGATTTTATCGGTTTAGTTGAGCTACATTCTTTTTTGGCTAGTGAGAGTAAAACTCCAAATTAATATCTTCAAGAAGATTATCCAGTAATCCAGTTGCAAAAAATGCGAAGGAAAAGGTCTAAATGGCTTTTTCAGAAAAAAATAATAGAATTAATTGTTTGATGAGAACCAAATCTACACGTTATTAATAGAAAGTTTCTGGATTATCGGTACTAACAGTTGATTAAGTAAGAAAAAGACAAAATTTGTAGTTTAATTTTAATATTTGAAGAACGTGTCTGTACTGTTTTTGCAGATGACTGCACTCACTCACTCTATGTTTTTTCAACTATCTCATAGCTTTCCTGTTAAAATAATAATAATATACCAGTGTTTAATAGTTTTAGATGCAAATTCTCCTCATGAGATTTTTTAGTAATGTAAATTTTGAAAGAAAACAAAATTATCTGTAAAGCTTTAACAAGAAACTGAGATCTTGAGATTATTAGGAATAAAGAAAAGCAATTGTTGATCTTGATCTTGATTTTGGTCTTAATATCTCTTTGAGTTTTCATTATATATAATTGTTGACCGGCAAACGTGAGAAGCATACAACTTTTGTGGCACAACCCAAAACTGAACCATTCTAAGACTAATAGCATAGCTGCATACTTAATTAATAGTGACAATTGATACAACGAGTCATTCAACGTAGATATTACTGATAGTAGCAGTGGTAAACAAGCCTTAGCTTATGCTTCAGCCTTCCGGATTCTATCGATTTATTATTTTATGTAAAATTAATTATAATGTTTGTCATAGAGAATCAAGTTAAATCTCCATCTATATTGGAAATAACGATCTAGGACAATGTAGCTTATGCTTTTCGTCAAGCCTATAGATTCGGCTGTTAATCAGCAGAGATTACGCAACAATGATAAAGACAATTACATTTTACTTGTTTTCAAAACGACCGAATCGCTTCGTTTCACACACGATATACAGTTCCTCATGTCGTGAATACAAGATTTGGGAGCATATTTCCATTTAGTGAAAAAAAATTAGGCCAGTGTTTTAACTTTTTAATATAACCGGAATGGTTCCTTTTATTACACAATGAACAACATAACAGATTACATCATGGCACAGATTAATAAAGGAAACATTTCTTATCTTCAAATGGAGGACACAAGGTTATCTTTTATCTCTCCCTCGTGTGATTGAACCAGAGGATCAATGACTTTTCTCCATCCTCCAAAATCTGATGGAGCATCAGACAACACAAACCCGTTAACGTAGAAAGTTGGTGTCCCATAAACCCCTCTTGAAGCGCTATACTGCAACACACAAAAACCAAAACACATGAACTAAAAGGTTAGTATTATAAGAACAGAGCCAGGTGTATTATCGACACAGAATCTGTGAAATGACCTTGAAGGAAACCCTTGTTGCACTGTCCGATTTTGTATCGGTGAACCCGGATTTGAGAACATGTTGATACGAGTTTCCCAGCGTGGCTTCTCCGAGCTTGATTATTCTGTCTACAACCGCAGGTCTTGACAGGAGTTGTGTTTGGGCGTTGTAAAACATTGCCTGCCAATAAACAGTTTTCAGTGAACCATATAATATAAACATTACATATCAAATTCTCATTAGATAGATGCAAAACAATAACCAAATTTTTATTTTTATTATTAACATTGAGAACAAACCTGATGCTCGAAGAACCCTTCCAGTAAAATGAATGTAGCAGTGGAGTTATGTGTATTCACAATGTGTAAGGCTCGAGACGTTACATATGCATTGTCATGGTACCTGCAAAAAATCCAAAATCCAAAGAAAAACGATAAAGTTTCATTACAAGAACGAATCTTTGACAAATCTCAAAAGGAAACCATTCACATTGTCATGAAACAATCATAAATCAGAGCGTTGACTTTTTACTAAGCTACTTCTCGATTTTGATTATGATATTTAGGATCAATCAAATGCAGGAATCAAATTACTAAAACGGAATGTGGTAGCTTCAGGTTCAGGAGAACAATGCCGATTTCAATTCTAGCTCAGAAAACAGAAACTGAATCCGAAAATGTAAGAGGAAGAAGAGGGGAAATAGAGTATACTGACGGTAAAGGAAGGAGGTGAAGGAGAAGGGCAACGCGAGATCCATAGTGTTCAACAGCTTTCTTCAGCGGCGACCAAGCGTCTCTACTGTCAGGGCAAACCGGGTCAAAAAACGCCTCGATGAGTATAGTATCCGGGTCAACACGACGACCCTGTGGGTAAACGAAACCATCGCGCCTCGCCGGAGGTATCTGCGCATGTACTTGCGTCGTCCCGGTGACGACGAAGACGAGGAACAGCAGAATTGTTCGAATCATTTTTCTCTGTCACACTCTTTCTCTCTCTCTCTGGATCGCCGGAGATTTAATAAAACCAGGGAGGGTAGTTGTAAAGCAACGGCTAAGATTACTGGGAAGGTAAGCCAGAGACCACTTCCTTTTATCTCCCACCGTTGATTTAATTTGTGCTGACGTGGTGGATTCTCGTGCAAACCCGGCGTCGAAAATTTTGGGTTAAGCAAGAAATAAGTAATTTATTTGGTCCAACCACACGGTTCGTGAATAAAATTACGGTTCGTGAATAAAGTTACGGTTCGTGAAAATTGAAAATAATTGAGATATGGTCCAACCACGTTCACATGAAAGCACGCATAGTTTCAGAGACTCATAAACCGTAACTCTCTCTCTCTCTCTCTCTCTCTGCTCGAGTCGAAACGTTCTCAGGTACGAGTCTTGTTGTTGATCGGATCTTCTTCACAATTCGATTGCGTCTCTGTTCATTCACTTTCACTGGATTTTCATTTCACGATCAGAGTTTGTATGATTGGATCGAAATTCCCGTTGATTTTGTATTTTTTCTTCTTCTTCTGTAACGTTTGTATTGCGAATCGCGTCGTTGATTCATTTCAGGAGGGGATTGTCGAGTTAGCTTGATTTGGTTTTGACTTTGATCTGTGAAAATGGGAGAAGAAGGGACTCTGGAGATCGGCATGGGTAAGTCACCGATCATAAATCACACAATACCTAGCTTCAGGATTTTTCGATCGTATCTATACGTCGTGCGTTTGAAATTTTCAGTTTGATTAAACATGTAAATCGGATCAATTAAGCGCTGTGGCTCGTTTTGACCTTGACTGGCGTTGATAAGTCACTGTCATTTCCTGTCGCTGATGTGATTAACTATCTTCGTTAGTATAATTATATATTTGCGATGTGTAAAGACTGATGAAGAATATTTGAATTGCAGAGTATAGAACTGTTTCTGGTGTTGCGGGACCATTGGTCATTCTTGACAAAGTGAAGGTAGGACCATAAATTTGACTTTTAAATGCTAAATTCACTCTGCGAGGGAACTTAACTGACGAACAATTCTTGCTATGGATGATAAATCAGGGCCCAAAGTACCAGGAAATTGTTAACATTCGCTTAGGAGATGGATCCACGAGACGTGGTCAGGTCTTGGAAGTCGACGGCGAGAAAGCAGTTGTCCAGGTTTAGTATTTCTTCTTTTCTTTTTTCAAACTGTAAACACCAACTATATAATATGTAAATCTTGATTGACTAACTCGTGCTAAGTGTTTCAGGTTTTTGAAGGAACATCTGGAATTGACAACAAGTTTACCACCGTACAATTCACTGGAGAGGTAATTTTCAATTCAACAAGTCCCTCCAATGTTTCGCCAGATATGAGTAGTTGATTCTTTTTGCTCCCTATTTAGTATGTGACCAATGCGTGTGTGTGTGTTTACAGGTTTTGAAAACACCTGTGTCACTGGACATGCTTGGCCGGATATTCAACGGTTCTGGAAAACCGATTGATAATGGCCCTCCTATTTTGCCAGAGGCATACCTTGACATTTCAGGTCAGCTTCAAATAAGATGATGTGATTTCTCCATTGAAAGTTATTATACAAAAATATTATCTGTAAAGCTTCAACAAGAAGCTGAGATCTTGATTTTCTTAGGAATAAAGAAAAGCAATTGTTGATCTTGATCTTGATCTTGATTTTGGTCTTAATATCTCTTTGAGTTGTCATTATATATAATTGTTGACCCACAAACGTGAGAAGCATACAACTTTTGTGGCACAAACCAAAACTGAACCATCTAAGACTAATAGCTTACTTAATTAATGATGAAATGATGACAATTGAGACAACGAGTCATCATCCAACGTAGATATTACTGATAATAGCAGTGGTAAATAAGATGATGTGATTGCTCCACTGGGAGATCTCTGGAGCCAGTATCTTGTCTATGTGTTTGTGAAAATGTGTCAGTGTTTTATATTGATAGGAAGCTCAATCAACCCTAGTGAAAGAACCTACCCGGAAGAGATGATACAAACAGGGATTTCGACCATCGATGTCATGAACTCCATTGCTCGTGGACAAAAGATTCCTCTTTTCTCTGCTGCTGGTCTTCCTCATAACGAAATCGCTGCTCAGATCTGTCGTCAGGCTGGTCTTGTCAAGCGTTTGGAGAAAACCGCTGATCTACTTGAGGTAAGTAATCCTTTCTTGTCCCTGTACCACAACAAACAGACCTTTTGTTGCTCTATAGTGAGAAGGATTTGCATAAACATACCTTTTGTTTCTCCATCCTCTGTATTTGCCAGGACCATGGAGAGGACAACTTTGCGATTGTGTTTGCAGCTATGGGTGTGAACATGGAGACAGCTCAGTTCTTCAAGCGAGATTTTGAAGAGAATGGATCTATGGAGAGAGTTACTCTCTTCCTCAACCTGGTAAAATGATTTACCAGTTGTGTGACTTGTAAAAGCTTATTACCATATCTTACTGTTTGTAGTTTTACTTATTTCTTACCTCAACAGGCTAATGATCCAACCATTGAGAGAATCATCACTCCTCGTATCGCACTCACAACAGCAGAATATCTGGCTTATGAATGTGGGAAACACGTCCTTGTTATATTGACTGATATGAGTTCTTATGCCGATGCTCTTCGTGAGGTTAAAAACGAAAATATTCATACCAGAGTAGTAGACTAGTAGTAACCTTTATTCTACACCGTCGTCAAATTTGATAATATGCATGAGAAATCATCTTAGGTCTCCGCGGCACGAGAAGAAGTTCCCGGAAGACGTGGTTACCCAGGTTATATGTACACTGATCTTGCAACCATCTATGAACGTGCTGGTCGTATCGAAGGAAGAAAAGGCTCCATCACCCAAATCCCAATCCTCACTATGCCCAACGACGGTAAAAAAAAAAAACTTTTTACTCTCTTATAACAATTGTAAACCTCATTGTTGTTTCTTTCTGAAAATGTAGACATCACACATCCTACTCCGGATCTTACTGGTTACATCACTGAAGGTCAGATTTACATCGATAGGCAACTTCACAATCGACAGGTAAATAAAATAACTAACTACTGATACTACTTGTTTTGCTTATATTATGATTGATCAGTAAATTAGATTTTATCTCTGTTTCTTCTCTAAAAACAGATATATCCACCAATCAACGTGCTTCCATCTCTTTCTCGTTTAATGAAGGTTAGTAAACTAACTTCATTCTTATTAACACCCATCACATTTTTTTCTCTCTATTAACTTTATCATTCGTCCTTGTGTTAAGAGTGCTATTGGAGAGGGAATGACTCGGAAAGATCATTCCGACGTGTCGAACCAGCTATACGCGAATTACGCGATCGGGAAAGATGTTCAAGCCATGAAAGCTGTGGTTGGAGAAGAAGCGCTTTCTTCAGAGGATCTGCTTTACTTAGAGTTTTTGGATAAGTTTGAGAGGAAGTTTGTCATGCAAGGAGCTTATGACACACGCAACATCTTCCAGTCGCTGGACTTGGCTTGGACGTTGCTCCGTATCTTCCCTCGCGAGCTTCTTCACCGTATCCCTGCGAAGACGCTTGACCAATTCTACAGCCGCGACTCGACGACGAGCTAAAGAAGTCAGAATCCACTTGGTTTTTGTTTCTCCTTCTCGGGCAAAAGGTAATGGAGTTATCTTGTCGGAAACTCTTTTTGAGAGAGATTAGTGTGAATTTTGTGATGTATTGTTTTTTATGTTTTTATATAGAGAGTGAAAAAAGGCCATGCGTTAAGTTTCTCCAATCTGGTGATTTTTCTTTTTCTTTTTTTGTTAAATTTGTTCAAAGTGAAATTAATAAACGATGAAACAATGTCGTCGTATCTTCCCTTCAATTGATCTAGAAGACTAGAACCCATTTCTGTTACAAATCATATGAAGTTAACTTGCATTTCGATTAGAATATTATTTCATAGAGAATGATCGTCATAGAAGTATAAACGTACGTGAAAGTATTTGTATTCAAATAGGATAAAGTCACGTTATTAACCGAAACCCTTAATTTTTAAGTGTTGTTGGTAGTGGAAAGCGATCGTGATGATTGATGACATGACAGACCACCAAATTAAAGTGAGCAATAAGATTATTGAACCAAACTGAGTTTTGTCTCTTTTCCAATCAATCGCAATCTCCGCTAGATTTAAATTCAGAAATATATATACAACTCTTTGCTCCTTTTTAAAATAAAAACTCAAGTTTGCGCGTTTTGATTATTTATTTTTTATGCTAAGGAAGAAGAGAACCTACAGAGACCCTCTCCAAGGGGACACAATGAAGAAAAATGATACCATAACCTTCCCAAAACGCAAAAGCAAAGAACCTTCAAACCCACATTGAAGCCAACATTGTTTTCAACTTTTCATTTTGTGTATTCATATTCCCTTTATTTACAAAATTCTTAGAATAAAAGAACAAAAAAAACAAGAAAAAACACGGAATAAGACAGAAGACCATTCTACTTTGATCACATGTTCAAAAACCACCATAAAGCTACCAAAAACCAGAGAAACAAAAACATTCAAACCAAACATTTTTTCAAAAACCACATAATGGGGTTTTGCTTCTCCAAATCACAAACACATGAGATCCCAATCTCCTCTTCTTCCGATTCTAGCCCTCGTCATCGCTACCAACCTATCCCCAAACCAACCATCCCTCAAGGACAAACCAGTCATTTCCCCACCATTCCTAAACCCAAACCAGCTCCTCCTCCTCCTTCCTCCTCCGGTTCCCAAATCGGTCCAATCCTTAACCGGCCAATGATCGATCTCTCTACTCTCTACGACCTCCACAAAGAACTCGGCCGTGGCCAATTCGGAATCACATACAAATGTACGGACAAATCCAACGGCCGAGAGTACGCCTGCAAATCAATCTCCAAACGCAAACTCATCCGTCGGAAAGACATCGAAGACGTGAGGCGAGAGGTCATGATCTTGCAGCATCTCACCGGCCAACCAAACATCGTCGAGTTTCGAGGCGCGTATGAGGACAAAGACAATCTCCATGTGGTCATGGAGCTCTGTTCTGGAGGAGAGCTCTTTGATCGTATCATCAAGAAAGGAAGTTACTCTGAGAAAGAAGCTGCTAATATCTTCAGACAGATCGTTAATGTCGTTCATGTTTGTCATTTCATGGGTGTTGTTCACAGAGACTTGAAGCCTGAGAATTTCTTGCTTGTTAGTACTGACGAAGATTCTCCGATCAAAGCCACCGATTTTGGACTCTCTGTTTTCATCGAAGAAGGTAAATAGCTAAAAACAACCTTAAAAATTTCATATTCTTGATCACATTTTACCAAAAAAATTCATATTCTTGATTACTTGGATTAGTAGATTTTTCTTACTTTTCTAGAGAAACTTCTTAGTGACTTAGTGTGTTTAGGACATAAACAATAATGTTTAAACTTGTGGTAGAATTAAGAAAAAAGATAACGATATTTTATCTCCTTGTGGGATCAATCTAGTGTAACATCAAGTCAACCTCGAAAAAGACTTGCGTTGACCCAAGTCAACAGATATTTTCCCACTAAAAAGATTGATGCAAAAAGCCAAAAAATATTAACATGGACAGAAATCATATAAAAGAATTCTTTCTTTTGAAACTAAAACTTTTACAAGTAGCATAAATTTTATATTGAATCATTTGTGTAGGTAAAGTGTATAGAGATATAGTTGGGAGCGCGTACTATGTGGCACCAGAAGTGCTACATCAAAACTACGGGAAAGAGATTGATGTATGGAGCGCTGGTGTAATGCTTTACATTCTTCTCAGTGGTGTTCCTCCTTTTTGGGGTGGTACGTATGTCAAAAAACAATTTTGTATAATTCATTTTTTATACAATCTTTGAAGCATGAGATGTTGAAAAACAGGCACTATATGTATAATGTTGTGTAGAGACCGAGAAGACTATATTCGCGTCGATTTTGGAAGGAAAGCTGGATCTTGAAAGCTCTCCTTGGCCTAGTATATCGGAAAGTGCGAAAGATTTGATAAGAAAGATGTTGGCAAGAGATCCTAAAAGACGGATTACCGCAGCTGAAGCACTTGGTATGTAATGTGTCTAGTGTCTACATATTGTACTTTTATAGTCCTAACAAGCATTAACGGTTGTTATGTTTGGGAAAAAAAATAGAGCATCCATGGTTGACAGACAGCAAGATTTCAGATAAACCAATCGATAGTGCTGTTCTTATTAGGATGAAGCAATTCCGCGCAATGAACAAGCTCAAGAAACTTGCCTTGAAGGTAAAGTTAATGATTCTTCATCTTCAAGATTGATTGAAAATTAATTAAAAGATATCTCTCTTTTTTCTTGGTTGAAGGTGATTGCGGAAAATCTATCGGAAGAAGAGATCAAGGGACTAAAGCAAATGTTTAAGAACATTGATACAGATGGAAGTGGAACCATCACTTTTGATGAACTTAGAAGCGGTTTACATCGGCTTGGATCTAAGCTTACGGAATCTGAAATCAAACAACTCATGGAAGCTGTAAGTTAAAAAAAAATGATAATAAATCATATTGATTTTAAGAGATCAAAAGCTAAGTTTTGTTTAAGGTTTTATAATTCATACATATATAGGCTGATGTGGACAAAAGCGGGACGATTGATTACATTGAGTTTATAACTGCTACAATGCATCGCCATAGATTGGAGAAGGAAGAGAATTTGATAGAAGCATTCAAATATTTCGACAAAGACAGAAGCGGGTTTGGAATTAATTTTCATTTATATTGTCACAAATATAACAAAGATCAATTTGTCATATATAACATATTCTTTTTATGTTTAACAGTTTCATCACAAGGGACGAGCTTAAACATTCCATGACTCAGTATGGTATGGGTGATGATGCGACCATAGATGAAGTTATCAATGATGTCGATACCGATAATGTAAGAATAACAACATTTACTTTTAGTTGTGATTAATGATGATAATTAATTAAGAATTTTTAATGATGATAATGATGGTGGTGATTGATATAGGATGGGAGAATAAACTACGAAGAATTTGTGGCGATGATGACGAAAGGAACTACAGATACAGATTCGAAGCTGATCATCAGATGATATAAATATGTATCCGACTACAATTACGTATGATTTGCTTCTACTATAAATAAAGTAAACTAGTGATGAGAATTAATAAAATACACGAATGAAATATAATTAAGCATAAATGCGTCTTTGCGTTTTCCTTTTTTCTTCTAGATGTTTAAAATTAAAATCATTAGTTTGTTTGTACCTGCTGTTCAAATATGAAAATTTCCTAAATACAAGTTACTTGGGACAGAAGTTACTTGTCAACATAGTTCAAAGATTAGGGTGTTCGCTTCGTTGCTGTTGGCACTATGGATTTGTCAAGGATTGATCCAGAAATCGAGGGTTGTGAGAGAATATGTGATTTGCCCGACGATATACTATTGCGGATCTTACACTTCGTCCCGGTAGAAGATGCAGTGGCCACTGCGGTCTTGTCTAAACGATGACGTCACCTCTGGAAGATGATGTATTCACTCATCTTCACAAAAATCCAAGACCGCGAGAGCGTTGGTCGGTTTATTGACAAGTCACTGCAACTACACAAGGCACCGAAAATACAAACCCTGAAGGTGGAACTGGGTCCACGATGTCTTGTTGACGTAGATGTCAGTAAGTGGGTTGAGAAGGCAGTGAACGAGGGTGTGAAAGGCTTAAATTTCAAGCTCCTCTGGAGAGGAGAGCCCACAAGCTTCCCAAAGAGCCTTTACACATGCGACACGCTAGTCCGTTTAGGTCTATCAGACAAGATTCTCGTGGATGTTTCTTTCCAGGCTAGCCTACCATCTCTCTTATATCTGCATCTTTTCAACGTGGTCTACAAAGACGAAGACTCTCTTGCTAGGCTTTTATCAAGTTGCCCTCTTCTCTTTGAACTGTCGGTTCAACGACGTAGACGTTGTGGGCAAGATAGGGAAGACAACTTGACAAACTTTACCGTGAAAGTGCCTTCTTTGAAAAGATTATGTTATTTGACTCTCTGGCTAGAGAAAGAGCAAGAGCTAGTGGGACGAGAGCAACAGCAGGAGCAGCAAGAGCAAGGGCAAGAGCAAGAGCAAGAGCAAGTTCAAGAGGAAGAGGAAGAGGAAGAGGAAGAGGAAGAGGAAGAGGAAGATGAAGATGACACTGGGTCGTTGGTAATAGATGCACCTGGGTTAACATATTTACACTTACTTGACTATTGGGAAGACTATTGTAGTGTGGTGGAGAATATGCCTTGCCTTGATTACGGATGCATCTATGCTCCTAACCCTGATGAGAAGATAATGAGACGTGTTTCTTCTCTCAGAAGTCTGAAATGGTCTAGTTCCGAAGCAACGGTAAGTGTTGTTACATGGATCTGTTTTGTTCCTTGTTACTTGCTTAGTCAACTAATTTTTTTTTTTTTCCTTTTTCTTTTATTGCAGGCTGCATGTTGTAACGGAGTTGAGTTCCCTTGGCTCACAGATTTAATCTTTAATGCAGAAGTTACATCATATTGGTTGGAACCAATTGTTGTTTTGCTTCAAAACTCTCCTAAACTGAAAACTCTTACGATGGTCACCGGGGTAAGTGCTCTCATCCCTTGAAATAAGCGCATCTGATTTTGATGAATGTAAATATTAAATTGTAATGTAAATGTCATGGTGTCAGGGATGTCCCACATCTTCGTGGAACGAGCCGAGTACTATTCCGGGGTGCTTATCGTCTCATCTAGAGAATGTTAAGTGGGAAGACTATGAAGGAAAAGAAGATGAGAAACAACTAATGACATACATTCTCGCCAACTCAAACTGTTTAAAGACCGTCGAAATCTCCTTCATAGCCACTTGTAATCTTACAAAGTGCCAAAAAGAGTTAGAATCTATGCCTAGGGTTTCAACATCATGTCAGCTTCTTTGTAATAAATCAAACTCTAGAACTCGAAACATTTGATCAACCATTGGGTGAACAATTCTATTTATTTATAATCATGTTTTTAGAATTATCATTATTAAGTTATTTTAATAGATGTTTTTTTTTTCAATGCAGTGGAATACGTTCCCGGAGATCAATTACCCGAAACCACCCTTCCTTTGGTGAATCCTTACGAATACTTTTTACGGAAGCCAAGCACCTTTTCGCTCAAAGGTGTCTGAGAACTAGTCCGACCATCTTCCAGCAGGCGAGTCTTGGAGTACGTTCAATCCAGCAAATTATCCAAAGTCTAAAGCAAAATCTTATTCTTTATCCAGCCGGCGCTCCTGTATTCCTCCGACGATGAAGCCTCGTAGATCGCAACAACTCCGGTACCTAAAGATGCTATGAGAGTTTCTGATCTACGGCGTTTGGTATGGTTATTGCCTTATTGGTTGATGTTAGAACTCACCAACAATCCATTAAAGTAGTTGGAGCTAAAGTCCCACGGAATTCAAGTTTTGATTATGCTTTGTTTTTTTTACATTTGGCAAAAATATTATATTTTTAAGTTTTGATTATACATGCAATGCTTATGTTATCCTTCCTCTTTGCTTTACATCATTGCATGTATATAGGTTTTCTCATTTATCACCACTCTTAACCATCATCATGTGAATAAAACGGATGTATTAGATCACACAACACACACAATAAATTATTATCCGAGGGAGATAATTTATTGTGTATCCATATGATCTTTCTGTCTCTTTTTTCTGTATTAGTTCATATTTCGTGCGACACTATTCACAAAACATCAGAATCAGAAATTTGATATGAAATATGCTATATAGTTAGAGTTTATTTTGCATCATATTTAATGTTTTGCCGTGTGGTTTGAGATATTATTAGGATGAGATCCGTAGACCATGAAGTACATGAAGAAAAACAAAAAAAAAATTGATATTTACATTTATGAAACGTTTAATGGAGGATAAAAGTATAAATCAAGTTCTTAAACTGTTATGTCTAAACCACCAATTAAGTTCTCAATTTAGCTTTTAATCTAGGCATCTCTTCATGGTTTTTCTTTCATAGGCTGATGTGGACAAAAGCGTGATGATTACATTGAGTTTAATCAACATATATAGTTTTCGTTTCTTTTGAATTAAATATGTTAGGAAATTCAAAAATTTGCCAGAAAATTGCAAGACTCACGGAGGTATTTGGAAATAATTGATGAAGATTACAACAATCAAAGTATTTTAACTTATCATTTGTCCTTCTGTGAAGAGTGAATGCTATTGGAGAGGGAATGACTCGCAAAGACCATTACCAGCTATACCCAAGCCATGAAAGCTGTTGTTGGAGAAGAAGCGTTTTCCTCAGATGATTCTGGAATTTTTTGATAAGTTTGAGAGGAAGCTTGTCATGCAAGGAGCTTATGACACACGCAACATCTTCCTGTTTCTGGACTTAGCTTGGACGTTGCTCTGTATCTTTCCCCGCGAGCTTCTTAGTCGTATCCCTGCAAAGACACTTGACCAATTCTACAGCCTCGACGATACTCTCCATTTCTCGGGTGTTGAGTTTCTTGTCAAACACACACAATAAAGTATTACCCTGTTGAGATTAAGATCGTTTTACTCTAGAAAAGCCTAAGCTCAATCGCTGTACAGAAGATCTCAAGGTGAATTACTCTCTCTCTCTAGCTCGCAATTCTCTCGCTTGTTTCTCTCTCTGTAACTACCTGCTCCACACTCTCTCTGTTTCTTGTTGCAGGTATAAAACAGAAGACGTTGATTTCTTCCACGTGGCTTCGACTTCATCTGGAGATGGCCTTTATCTTGGAACATGACCGTGAAGAATTTGGGACGGAATGGGCTTGAGACCATGAGGTGTTTGGCTGAATTCGACTCACATACCCGAAGGAGATAAATCATCTTAACATCAAAATCAGAAATTTGGTATGAAATATGTCGTATAGTAAGAGTTTATTTTGCATCATCCCTAATATATTAAAAGAGAAAACACTTTAAAAATAACCTTTAGTTGATGTGTTATTAACAAGAATGCCATGCTGATGTGTCATCATTAGGGAGCTTCTCATGTTATTTATAAAATAAGGATTAGTTTACTAGACTAATTACAAACATTGTCATTCATATTTTTGGTTAGAGAATCAAATATGTATAGTTAGATTAATCATATATGAAATTATTAATAAAAGAATCATCATTCTCTTTCCTTAATTGGCAATTACGAAAATTAGTAAATAAGGAAAAATATGAGATTCAATTTAATGCTATCATTATATTTTTTTTAAATCATTCTATATCTCCTTTCATCTTTGTTTAACTTTATTTTATAAAATAAAAAATTGACACAATACAAAAAATCTAATAAATAAAATCTAAAACTTTTTCTATATATGCTATGATTTGAATTTTTAAAAACAAAATAATCACTAAAACTATTAAAATTCCCAATATGTTGTTGTGTGTAGGTGTAAAAATATATTATAAAAAATAGATGATATGCAACCATGTAAGTAGGAGAGTAGGTATCTAAATGTAATTTTTTTTAAAATATTTTATATGATTTTTTAGTTAAACTGTATAATGAAATCAAATAAAATAATATTTTTTATAAATGTATTTAATTTTGATCAAAAATTTGAATATTGCTCCATTTGTTTCAATTTTTCAGTACAAAATTACTTATACTTTTGTTATTTTGACAATTTGGATTTTGCAAGATTGATCTTTTATTGGTTGGATTGTTTTGGAATTATAATAAAACATGTTTTAGTTTTAAAAGAAATAAAAAAAGTTAGTTCTAATCCGTGTAAACACCTAAAACTTCTTATCTTCTTATCTTATAAAATATACTCATTTGAGTTTTATGTATTTTGCTGAAGTCTAGCATATTTAATCTATAGTCTAGCATATTTAATCTATGATCAATGTTTTAATTTGTTTATAATTTTTAAAATGTTTAATTTCCACATTATAAACGAAGATAAAAACCTTAACAAGGTAAAAAAATCTGTCACATAAAATTTTGAAATAGTTAAATATACATTTTTAATTAAAAAATACAAATTCAGAAACCATCTCCCCGTGCTGGGCGCGGGTCAAACTCTAGTAATTAGTGTTTTGCTTGGAGATAGTGTTAAGATGAGATCCATTGAAGTTGACTTTTAGTAAAAAAAAATTAAAAAATAAATAAAAAAAGTCAGAAACCTCTAATCCAAATGAAATGTTTTGTTCTCTTCTTGAGAAAGACGACTAAAATGGCTTGAACCAGAGAGGAAAACCCGATTTTGAAATTGACTACAATGCTCTCCATCTCTCAGTTGCCGAGTTTCTCATTAAACAAATCCCTTCGCTCTCCTTGTTCTTCTTCTCTTTCTCTCTTCTCCTCCTTCTTCCCTAGAGTTTCGAGATTAGTCAGAGCAAGTTCCGGAATCTCCAATTTAACCCTCTGTAGTAGCACACCGGAGAGAATCCCGAGAGTCAATAACGCCGGCCTCAAACTCGACGAGACAGTCGACGCCGTTAAAGGGAAGATCCGCCTTGATTCGTGGATCTCTTCTCGCGTCAATGGCGTCAGCAGAGCTCGCGTACAGTCCAGTATCCGTCTGGGGCTCGTCAGCGTCAATGGCCAAATCGTCGATAAGGTTTTGATTGATTTCGGATCCAAATTCTCCAATTCTCAATTTCTTAATCATTCTCAAACAAGTCTCGAATCTTCCCAGGTTTCGCACAATGTAAAATCTGGCGATGAGGTCAATTGCACGATCTCAGAGCTTCAACCTCTGAAAGCTGAACCTGAAGACATTCAATTGGATATAGTTTACGAAGACGAACACCTCCTCGTTGTTAACAAACCAGCTCACATGGTAATCGCATACTAAGACAATTAGGATTAGAAATTGACAGTAGTAAGAATCTCTCTCTCTGGTGTTTAGGTTGTTCATCCTGCGCCTGGAAATCCTACGGGAACGCTTGTGAATGGCATACTTCACCATTGTGCTCTTCCCTCTGTTGCTTACTCAAACCAAGAAGATGATTCCGATGAGGAAACTCTTTCAGATGATGAAGAGATGACCTCTTCTAGCTCGTTAGCTGCGTCTGTGCGTCCAGGGATTGTTCATAGGTTGGATAAAGGGACTAGTGGACTTCTCGTTGTAGCCAAGGTTTGCGGTTTTTATACTTTTCTTCTTCTTTTGGTGGCTGTTTCTACGAACAACTTCTGAAAGTGTGTAATTGGCAGGACGAATATTCTCATGCTCAGTTGGCAGAGCAGTTCAAGCTACACACGATTGAGAGAGTGTATGTGAGTCTTACTACTGGAGTTCCTTCTCCATCTCAGGGGCGTATTGATGTGCCGATTGGTCGTGATTCGAATAACCGGATCCGTATGGCTGCTATTCCTGGATCTTTATGCCGTGGCAAAGCTCGTCATGCTGCTAGTAGGTGATTGAAGCAGTCTTTTAACAAATGCACCAAAGCATGATTCTGTAGAGAAAAGTCTCTTTAAGAGTTGTTAGCTTGTACTGATTCATCTTTTCTCCTCTCTTAGGTATAAGGTAATTGAAACACTCGCTGGAGGTGGCTCTGCATTGGTTGAGTGGAGACTAGAAACCGGCCGTACACATCAGGTACTCTCACGCTATTTCAGTTTTGAAACTCAGTCTCCATTTGTAGGACTACTCAAAATCTTGAAAAGTCACTCTCTTTTCCATCTTGATTTGAAGTAGATACGTGCTCATGCCAAGTATATAGGAGTTCCTCTATTGGGTGACGAAGTGTATGGTGGAACGAAAAGCATGGCGCTTTCTCTTCTGCAGAAACGAGTCTCCCGCAGTGATCAGGAGCAGATCATAGAGCTGATTTCAAGAATGGATAGACCTTGCCTTCATGCTATAGTTCTTGGGTGAGAGAAAAAAAAACTCAAATCTTACTCTTATACATTCTCAAGTCAAACTTATGAAAGAACCAGCTAATATAAGAACTGCTTCGTCTACTCTGTTTTCTTTCTTTAGCTTTAAGCATCCGTGCACTGGAGAAACTGTGAAGTTTTCATGTCCACCGCCGTCAGATCTTGCAGAGATCGTAGGCTTGCTTCGTCGAAGCGGAAGAGAGAAAGAGAAAGTAACCCAATTCACTGCTCTCTGATGATCTTTGAGGGAACAACAAACATAGTTAGGATTCAGTTTCATGATCCATTATGATGTATAATTCCGATCAAAGCCTTTTGTTTATAGCTTGTAGTAGTGTATAACAAAAAGAGACATTCTTTTCAAATTACAAACACTGAAATAGCAACGACTAGTCGACTACAAAACAAAGACCTTTCATTTTCAGCTTCCTCTTCTTCTTCGCTCAACAATTCACAGTAGTTTTGTGGGTTTAATTTGGAAAATTGGGCGAGAGAGAAAGAAACACAAACACAAAGTTTTAAGCAATCCATCGAATCACTAATGATCGCTTCGACGATTTTTCTCGATCATATCCTTTTGCTTCTCCGCGAGCTTATCCAAAGCAGAAGAAACGGCGTCGCTTCCACCGATGAGCAGCCGAGTGATAACCTCCGGATCCGTCTCGAATCGAGCAGCCTCGAACTCTTTCCTAGCGTTCTCTCTAAGCACGTCTCTCCAAAGGAGTCCTCCTGAATCGGTCCACATGAAGAACCGAGTCGCTCGGAATATGTCTCTGTACAGACTCAGCGCCTCCCTGCGCGTGCTCGTCAGACGGCGCCTGTTGAGAAACTCGGCCTCGTCGTCGTCGACGACGACTCGTGGTTTCTCTTTCTTCGCCAGATGTCTATCGAATAGCTCCTCCATTGTGTCTGGACCTTCGTGAACGAACCGTCTCGTCGATTTAGCGTCGATCCGAGAAATCAGATCTAGACGACCTGACAGATTCCGCCATTTCTGAAGCTTCGTCGCCATCATCATCTCTCTCACATTTGAGAGAATTCGTTCTCCGAGTTACAACAACATTCCTGGTAGCAACCTGGGCTCAAAAGGCAATGAAACTTAACGGGCTAATTTTTATGGCTATATAGGCCCATTGATAGCCCACGAATGGTTCTTAAATATGATTATGATTAGGGAAAATTCCATAAAAATATCGATTATGATTATGATTGTGATTGCGATTGCGATTGCGATTGCGATGAACGGTTCTTAAATATTTTATAAAAAAAAATCTAGAAATGGTGAATTTTTATCATGTGTATGTTTACATTTTGATTTATGAATAGCTTTTTGTTTGATGATTGATCTTATAAACAAATGTATAAATATGAAACTGTTGCAATAGTAGTAGGGTTCGATTGATTATTAGATGGTTCCAAGTTACTAACCACCAATATTAACTTATAGGAAACAAGTAACACTATTAATTAGGTAGCTTAAAGAAAAAATAGGTGTGTGTTTGAACTTTGAATAGTATTTTTTTGTTTTAATATTGACCTGACGATAGACACCTGTGCATTTTCTCAATAGTTTTGTTTGTTTGGTCACATTTTCAGCATAATTATCAACAGACTATTAGTTAGTTGTTCGTGCCATGATAGACTAATATTCTTAGATATTTACATTTTTTTAATCAAGAACTAATATTCTTCGATTAATCGCATGAAAAAGTAAATCATTTGATATTTAACGAATTCCGACCGTGGTTATACAGACATGACTATTAGAATATGTCAACGTCCAATTTCAACTTGATTTAAAAAATATGACTTGGTAATTAAATCTATGCAAAACAAAACTTGAATTCCGTGTGACTTTAGCTCCAACTACTTCAATGGATTGTTGATGAGTTCTAGCATCAACCATATCATTTGGCATTTGCCCCTTTTTTGCATGTAGGTCTCAACTATTTCGATTTTTAGATGATTAAGTCCCACAGTAAAGTCAAATTAGTAATTAAAAAATATTCGGAGTGGAAGAAAAATAAAAAACATCCTTAAACATTTGATTTTTGGGAAGTCGGCTGTATAAACACACAAATGTCTTCTTTTGCTTTGGCTCACATTTGACCAAAACTCCTCAAATCCAGGCAACATCGTAGACTTTTTCAAACTTGTTTCCTCTCTTTTTCCTTCTTCAACATTTCATATACACATAAATTACCAAAAAAAAAAACAAAACCAAAAAAATTCCTCTGTTCTTAACTTCTTCGTAGATTTGATTTTTGTTCCTCTGAAAATCGATGGACAATAAACACCATACTTCAACTTCAAAACCTAAACACAAGAACAAGATTTTGAAGATGCTTCCCAAAGCCATGTCGTTTGGTCATCGGGTACCACCGTTTAGTCCGGGAAGAGATCTCCACCACCATCACCACAATACTACGACGTCCTCCAACAAAGCGTTTTTCTCCGGTCCTATGGTCCCTCTGGTTCCTAACGCGGCTCGGGTCAGAAGAGCCAAAAGCGACGCCGTTTGGGACGAACCAACTTCGCCTAAAGTCTCTTGCATCGGTCAGATCAAGCTCGTTAAGTCAAAACGCTGCTCTCCAAAGAAGAACAGAGCACCTCCGTCGTCGCAGATTCCTAAAATCCCCAAAACGCAGTCGTCTTTGACCAAAGACGATGAAAAAAGTCATCGTGTTTCGAAGATCAAGCGATTCTTCTCGTTTTCGGCGGCGGGAGGAGGAGGAGGAAACACGTCTAGAAAATCTCACCACTCTGGCGCCGGCGCCGTCGCGGATGAACATCCGGTTGCGGTGGTTTCCGCCGCGGTTCCTTCGTTAGGTCAGATGAAGAAATTCGCGAGCAGTCGTGACGCTTTAGGTGGTTTCGATTGGTCGGTTGAGTTGAAAGAAGATGAAGAATCTCCGGCTGATCATCGCCGTGGTTACTATTCCGACGATGAGAAGAAGAGAGGAAGCTCTTACTTTAGAGACGACAATGAAGACGAAGATGAAGAAGACGACATAATCATCCCTTTCTCAGCTCCGTTGAGTTTGAAACCGAAGACAGAAGTTAACTTGTGGAAGAGAAGAACAATGGATCCACCAAAACCACTTCATCTCAAAATCTGATTAATTCCTTTTTTTTCACTTTTTTCTTTTTAGTACTGCAATTTCGAATTATATAATGATCATTTATCATAAACACTGATTCTGGATTTTGTTGTTATGTGTATATGTTTGAATGGTGGTGATAAACTGATAATGATCATTCCTTTTCAATAGATGCTAGTCTATGTGAATATCTCTTTCGGTTCTGTGATTTTACATTTTGTTCTGTCACTACTTTTTTGCAATTACAAATTTAATTTTTGTATTTTTCCTTGTGTGACAATGTGTATGACAACAACCATTGTCTTTCCACCACCAAACTGTCCATATATTTAATGTAAATCACAATCCAACCATTTAATATCACACACCAAAACGATATCAAAATGTGTATTCTATTAACTATTCATTGGGTAGGTACAAAATCACTTACATGATTACATCTTTATATATGTCCAGTTTCCGTGCCTTAAAAGTTGAAACAAAATCAAATCAAGGATCACATTTTTTTTTGCGATTTTCATAATAAACCGGTCTCGGATGGTACAAAATACAAACAAAACCCCGAAAAAACTATTTTTCTTGTAATAAATCGAGTTTTGATACAAATTTTAATAAGTGACACGAACGCCAGAGTACCGGAGAATCTCTCCGATGAGTTCTCCTTTCCCGGAACCAACATACCGGCCACGAATCTCGCCGTCTCTAATGAACAAAAAAGTTGGAACCTCGATGACATTCATGTCCTTGAGAAACTCCATACAGCTATCGTTCTCGTCGCCGTTCATTCTGGCGAACACAACGGTCTCCGCCATCGACCGGGACAGTTTCAAAACCGTCGGATAAACCTTAACGCACGGTCCACAGTGCTTCAGACCAACGTCAAGCACTATCAGCTTCCCTCCGGCTTTGTTTTCGTCGATCAGCTTCTCCACGTCAGCTCTTCCGTGCAGCTGCACCACCGCCGAGTGGTTGTCCCCGTAGTATAACACGTCCCCCATTAGCTGGTCCGGTCCAATACCTACCAATAGTCAATAATTAGCCACTATAATACTTTACTCATCTCTGTTATATAATTTGGCCACTATAATACTTTACTCATCTTAGTATATAATAAGGTTAACTTTTACTAACAAAACTTGTTTTTTAAAACAAACAATTCGCTATGGTTAGTGTTACAAGTTAGCAACATCTACAATAAACCCAAATGAAAACTCAAAACGTAATCAGTTTAATATACAAGTGTTAATTTAATGTCAGTATATTTTTGTACATATTTAATCATTTTAAAGTTTCAAGTATGGGAGGGAAATTGAAACTGACCTTCTTCTTCGTGAACTTTCTCCATGCTCTTATAAAAGCTAAAGTGAGGAACTTTCTCGATCTTCTCTCTACGACAGAGCTCTCTGGTTTTTTCGGACTCATCACCCATGACGAGCAAGAAAACGACATCGTTACAGGTCCTGCTCAGATCCACCATAAACGGATATATCTTCTTACTCTGATCACTCTTACTAGTGGCAAACTCGGCAACAACCAGCTTGGTCTTGGCATTTTTCAACGCCTCGTCGAATTCCTCTCCGCTGTGAATCTTCTGTACTTTCTCGTCCTTGGCCGCCGGTGAATCCACCTTCCCCGGCGGTGCCGCTCCGGCCTTCGCGGAGGAGAATAGTCTTCTTGAGGGGAGCTTTCTCCAGCTCTGTTTTAGAGACAGAGAGTTTGGTTTGTGGTCGAGGAATACGAAGGAAGAGGTGGAGGTGACGGCGGAGGAAGGCCGTGGGATCACGGTGGCGATTGGTTTCGCTAAGAAGTTAGCGACGGTGGCCATTGTGGGACTGTTTGTGTTTGTGTGTTTGTGGATTGGTTAGAGTTCGATGAATGGTCAAAATGTGGATAGAGCTTGTAAAAAAGGGCTCAATAATTTGTGTCCACTTGATTTAATTGTGTGGATCATGTCCACTCTTGAGTAGATTTTTTATTTTATTATTGGATAATAAAGGAATATGTGATTTTGTAGAGTTTGCCGATTCATAAAAGCTATCGATATGATTTTGTTTAAGTTTTTGAATAAAGACAAAGTCAATATCCAAGTAAGACTAGTTGAATAGTATGTTTGGAGACTTTTATCCACTATAATTCCATTGTATTTTCGAACTGGTAAACGGAAAATGTATCAGAAATTGCATCAGCTGTCAAGTTTAGACATGTTTCTCAGCTTCAACCAAATTGTCCATTGACATTAAACATGTACACGTGTATACTTGTTGACCTCTTGCTCAAATCATATAACCACTTCAGTGGAAGTGAGCCAGACTAATAAAATGTCGGCCTTTAGCCATCTAGTCCATAAGCCCATTCTAGTTTCGACCCAAAATCGGTAGAATGAGTTGGCTAGTGCATTAGTTGGCAACCGAGAAACTTTTTAGTCAAATACTCAAATTTACAAAATCACACTTCATCACTCCAAAGTTTAGTTTTCATACAAATAAATGAAATCTTGTTTTCTAGTGTAAGCTGTAGTGCGTGAGACCACCACCACGCTTCACCCACTACCACCACAATGCAACAAAACCATTACCCTAAAAGTTCAAATATTCAATTTCGAGAAACTCAATTTTAAAGCTGAAGTTATGTAAAGGAAAATTGGCTGACTTATAAAATAAACATTTCGGACGGCCCACAAATCGCACGACCACTCTCACTACTGGTTACTATCTAACACACTGTCGACACCTAAGCCATGACCCAATAACTTTCCATAAAGGCAAAAAGCAGCTCTGATTGTAAAAGTTCCAAAAAGTAACACTACACGTGCTTTTCCCGTATCCCTCGCCGGCGCGATCCACGGCGGCAGATCTCCACCGTCCATTCCGTCTTGATCTTCACAAGTGTGAAAACTAAGCAATAAACTAAAAGCTGC